GATGAGACAGAACAGACGGGCAAGGCAAGGCAAGGCAAGGCAAGGCAATGAATGGCAAGGCAGTGCCGTCAAGCGGCCCATCTCGCCATCCATCTGGCGCCCTTGCTGTTCCCCGCCTTGCCTCTCTCTGCCTTTGCCGACAGACTCCAGACTCCAGACTGCCAGACTGCCAGACTGCCAGACTCCAGACTCCAGACTCAGAGCAGAGCATCCAGTCTGTCCGTCCGTTGGGTTGGGTCACGGAAAATCGGCATCCAGGCATCTGGCATCTGCGTGAGCGACGGTCGCCTTGCGGGCCCTTCCGGCCGCATCATCCGAGTTGGCCCAGCGCCACAGCCAATGGCAGCGCCGGTGCGCAAACTGGGGGGGTTGATGCTTGGTGTCGCATCAGCAGGCTGGCTGGGGGGGGGGGACCCCCAAAGGCCAAAGGGGAGAGAGCTGGCGAGGGGGGAAAAGGGCGCGAGCAGAGGGCGAATGGATTGGCCCCGTGAGATGAGCCCGGCTGGAGGGTGCCGATGCAGGCGTGGGATTCAGTGGGTGGGAGTGTGATGCATTGCTGGAGCTGGAGGGTAACGGGCACGGTGCATGGGGGAGGAGCCGCACACTGTCCATGTCGTCAGTGTCCTTTAACTGTTCCATGCATGTGCTCACCATAAGGTGATGGCCGAAAGGGTAGGTATTACTTCATGTCCACCAACAACCCGAGATCCTTAGTCAATCTGCAGCTGTTTGATATCATCCATTCACTCACTCTGCATCTGACAAGTTTCTGTCTCATCGAAGTCTGTGGTGAGCCAGGGTTGTTGCTGCTGCTGCTGCTGCTATAACTTCAAGTTGTACGTATCCAATGCCATCACCACTGCTCGCACTGTATTTTCCAACCGCTGTCCTCGCACCTTGGGCGGCTCTAGGGGCTGGTTCCCGGCTGCCAGGTGCCGAGCGAGCTCCGCTGTGGGTGCCCAGCGTGCCGCTAGCCTGGCACAAGCCCAGCCCATGGAGCCCAGCACAGCGCTCTGCACCCGATGACTCCCATGGACAGTTGATCTGCTGCCTGCCAACGGCCATCTTGACACCAGACTTCACGTCCCGTCGCTGAGGCTTAGTCGTATCAATACCTTATGGATCGACTACCTATCCAGCCACGTACCCCCTTAGTGATAGGGCCACTATGTCTAACCATTTTAGGTCACTACCCGCGCAGGATATCTAAATATAGAAGGTATAGCACTCTATATATAAATTAGTATATAAAGCTAAGTACCTAGCACTAAGGGCCATATTCTATTTATAAAAAAAAAAAAATAACACACTATTAATAAAAAAATAGCTTGCTATAACACTACTATAATATAATTACGCCCTTAGCTATAATATTATAATAAGCACCTAATTTTTAATTTATAATATCTTTATAGCTACTGCATTAACTTAGGCTATTTTAAGGTTATAAAGAAGCCTATAACTATCTTTAATTATATATTAAAGATAAGGGCTTTACTATTATCCACTTATATATAATAAATTATTATATAGGCAAAGCTTATTAATATAATATTACCTGCGCCTGCTTAAGTATATATATAAGCAGAGGCTATAGCTTAAAGCATTCTAGTATATATAAGATAGGATGCCCCTTTTAAGTTAAGATTTTATAAAAGTTTAAACTTTAAGGACTTTAAGTAATTAAAATTATTTATAAAAGTTATAATTATAATCCTAGGCTAGCTATTATATTCTTAAAGCATTATAAGCTTGCCTATAAATATTTTATTAATATTATAATAAATAAGAAAATAGGCTTAATAATAAAGGCAGTATATTATATATTAATAGCTTAAGAGCTAGACCTTTTTATTATAATATATAATATATAAAATTTAATATTATAAGAATTATAATACTAACTTAGTAAATATACTATAACTTAAGCGCTAATTAAAAACCTTATAAAGTGTAAATTTTATTTTAAAAATAAATATAACTATTAGAAATTTTTAAAATATCTTTTTATTATAATTAATTATAATTTTAAGTAGTAGGAGGTATTACTAAATATACTAATAGTTAATATAACCTATAATACTAATTATTATAGCCTTAAGCTGCTAGAAATTAATAGCATAATAAATTTAAGCATTATTTTTCTTATAGCCTTTACCCTTAGCTATAATAAAGATAAAGCTATTTATATATAGGTTTTAAAGTATCTGCAGTTAGCGCTAGCGTCTTATATATTTAAAAAGGTAATACTATTAAAATAACTTCTCCTTTAAGTTATAATTATAAACTTTACTGCTGCTAAACGCTTAGTAATTACTAGTATCTTCTTAAGCGCTTAAAAACAGATCTATATTTAGCATATCTTTAAGAATATCCTTAAAGCTATTTATAAGCGCTAAAGCAGCTATAACTCTACTACTGCTGCTACTGCTATTAATATAATAAGCCTTAAGGAGATTATTAATAAAAATTTTTTACTTTTAATATAGTTAGTTATAAATATAAAAGCAGACTTCTTATTAGCCTAGCATTAGCTTCTTTATACTTTAATACCTCTTATATTTAATATTAAATAAAAGGATATAGAAAAAATATTTAAAGCTTAAATTAGTAAGTTAGTTTCTTATTTTTACTATTTTTTTATAAATTTACTTATAAATTTAATGCTTTTATATTATTTAAATAAAACCTATATACTGCTTAAGACCTAATAGGCTTATGCATTTATAAAAGACTACTATAATTATAAATATTATATAACTTCCCTTTATAAAGCATAATACTTTAGTATAAAGTCCTTCCTTTAATTATAAAATAATAACCTGCAGTAGCTTTTTTAAGCTTTAGAGAATTAATAAAAGATACTAAAAGTATAATATTTAAAAAGGTTAAGCCTAAAGACTATAAAAGTATATAATATCTTTTATTAGCCTCTTTTTTAAAATATAATTAACTATATCTCTTAAAAGGCACTATCTTTAGTTTATAATTAATACCTTAAGGTAAAGGCATTATAGCTTTTTCTTATATAAAAATTTATAAAGAAGTGCTTTAAAGACTTTATAACCTAGTATAGGCTGCTATATACTTATATTATTAACAGCTCCCTTTATTTTAATATTTCTTATAATAGGAAAGATTACTAAGTTTATATAATTAAGCTATTACTGCTATTACTATTTAATAACTACTAGCTGCTGCTGTTTAATTTAGTAAGCTTTTTTAAATAAATGCTATTGCCTTTAGTTCTTTATATTAATAAAAATAAGCTAATCTAGATTTATACTATTATATATATAATCCTTAAGTTATCTTATAAAAACGCTGCTTAAGAAATAACCTAATTAATAAGCCTGCCCTTAGGCAGCGCTATTAACACTAAGGCTAGCTATAAAATTTATTATAATAAGCTTTATAAGCTATACTAGTAAGGTTTACTAACCTAAGGCTAGCTACTTTCTTATAAGTTATAATATAATAAGAAATTTAGCAAGCCTTAGGAAATTATATAATACTATAAAGTCTGCTAATAATTATATAAATGCCTATTTTACTAGCTTTAAATCCTATTTATAAAACTTTCTAACACTTTAATACTGCTAAATCTTAAATAAAGCGCATTCCCTTATAATTTAAGGGCATTAAGCCTCTTATAAGAATAGGCATTAGCTATATAGTTAGGTATAAAAACTAACTGCGTTTTTTTAATGCCTTTAGATTATAGCTATTAATTTTAGTATTAATTATATTAATTTATAGTAATAGTAGTAGTAATAGGCTATTTTATAGCCAGCTACTTCTTAACTTAGGCTATTTACTAAATAGTATAAAGGTTAAAGACCTAGAATTAGTATATATAAAGCTACTATATCCTTAAGGTCTTAGGCTATTATTATATAAAAATATTATTAATTTAATATAAAAGTAGCTACTAAAATAAAAATATATTACTTTACTATTTAATTTATATAATCTAAGCTATATTTTAGTATATTTTATATACTATATTTTAACTTACTATATATTATATTATATAATTATAATTACAGCCTTATAATATTAGTGTTATTTTTTTTTCTTATAGATAGAATACAGCCCTTAGTGCTAGGTACTTAGCTTTATATACTAATTTATATGCAGAGCGCTGTATCTTCCACATTTAGATGTCCTGCGCAGGTGGTGACCTAAAATGGTTAGACACGGTGGCCCTATCACCGAGGGGGTACGTGGCCGGATAGGTAGTCTTACGGATCTGATGGCTGGATTAAATGGATTCATGTGTGCGTGCAGCTGCAGTTGCGACAAGCGTCACTGCCCCCCCCCCCCCCCCCCCCCCCCCCCCCCCTTGTCCCGAAAATCCTGCGGTGCGCGCAAGGTTTGGCCTATAAGATTGGGTGCCCTGGCCAGTCTCCTCCATGTTAGTGCTCCATGGATGGGAATATCGGCCACGCGCTTCCAGTTTAAAGCCGGGCGCTGCTGGCACTTCCTTACCGTACATGTACATGTAGGTCTCGTTTCAGGTGCGGCCACGATGCTGCAGCACACGAGGTTGCTGTGCTGCCTGGATACCAGACATCAATGTATGCGTGAACTTTACATGTCCCAACGAAAGACTGGATGCAACTCAACAAAACATATTCCAAAGATAAGGCATGAGATGGGGTTCAGTTCGACTAGTAGGTAGTATTACTGGGCAAGCCTGTGAAAGCTTATACATGTAGTCTACAAAACAAGGTGATTGCTACATGTGGACCAAAACGAATCAAGACGCATCAAACAGAGCCTCAAGTGCCTCGCCCTCTTCTCCGGCAACCACCCGCCGTCTGTCTCACGTACATGTACTCAGTGCTGTAATACCCACTACTACTACTTCTACTACTACATGTATGTTCCATGTCAAGATCCCGTGTCTCGTCTCGTCACATCAGAGACCTCTACCCAAAGACCCCATCAAAGCATTCAGAGCCGCTTTTGTTTGGCTTCACCCCGACTTCGCACCCTCACGTCTCTCCCATCATCTGCATACTATCCGTGCCGTCCCATGCCAGGTCGCCCAGTAACTCGGTAAACGACTCCGAACCACTCCATTCCGCCGGCATCGCATCATGACTGCCACCAACAGTCTCAGTTTCATAAGGTAATAACTCCATATTGTTCATCATATGGTTCATGACCTCCATGGTGTTCACAACTCCCACAGTGTTCACCACCTCCATGTCGTTCATGACTCCCGTGTTCATGACTCCCATGTAATTCACCACCTCCATGTTGTTCACAGCTCCCATGGTGTTCGCAGCTTCTATGGTGTTCACAGCTCCCATACTGTTCACAGCTTCCATGGTGTTCATGACTCCCATGTAACCTACAACCTCCATGTTGTTCACGGCTCCCGTACTGTTCAACACCTCCATGTTGTTAATGGTTCCCATGTTATTCACCGCTCCCATATCGTTCACCACCTCCATGTTATTCATGACTCCCATGTAACTCGCCACCTCCATGTCGTTTATGACTTCTGTGTTGTTCATGACTTCTGTGTTGTTCACGATTCCCGTGTTGTCCACGATTCCCATGTTGCTCACGACTCCCATGTTGTTCATGACTCCCATGTTGCTCACGACTCCCATGTTGTTCACGACTCCCATGTTGCTCACGACTCCCGTGGTGTTGACAGCCTCCATATTGTCCACAGCGTCGACATTGATCACCCCCTCCCAACGCGCAACATAGTCTCTCCTCCGATCCCACAAAGTCGGCATATTCTTCCCAGCCAGATCCCACAGGCGCCATCTCACATCGTCCGCATCCATCTCCACATATTCCTCCTCCTCCTCCATATCGTTCATGACCAGGCAGAGCACCCTCCGCACCTCACCATTCACCGCATCACACAAGTCCTCCCGCTCCTCATCCCTCAACAACCGCACCACTTCCTCCTCCCCTTGGGCCGTCCACGCCTCGCTCGCCATGCAGCTCGCGCACTTTGACGGCGAGGCTCCTCCTTCCGGCGTCGTCAAGGGCACTTCGTCGACGCCCTCGGGGCCGTAAAAGATCCTGGGTATGGGCTCCCACCTGGCTAGATGGCCGCACTCCAGACACTCCATGGCGGCCTCGCAGACGGGGCATGCCATCGCCCTTCCTTCAAAGTGGTCCTTGTCCCGCGCCCTCTCCAGGCACTTGTAGCAGAAGAGGTGCCCGCACGCCAGCATCAGGGCCGACGGCCGCTCAAAAAGCTCGAGGTTGGAAGACGACGCCTCAGGCAGCGCCACGAGAAGTTCTTCATCGCACTTGGCGCAGCCGACTCGGAAGCCCTGCCTGTGGGCCAAGTGATTCTTGACATAGAGTTGGCGCCGCTTGATGATGCATCGCAGCGTCTGCCAGGGCGTATGCTCCTCATGACATGTAGAGCCCTTTGCTGGTTGAGGCTCCGGTGTTGCTGCGGCCTCGGCTTCTGGTGCCGCTACTATCGCAATTGGAAGCGGAGCGGCTCTTCTTGAACCAAGTCTCGAGCCTCCGACAGTCGGCCCCTTTCGCCGCCGGCTGAATCTCTAGTGACGGGCGTACATCAAGGATAGTAGTTCAGTAGATTGTTTCTCTTTCTCTGTCGTTGCAGTGCCTCTAAAGTCCGAAGCATCCTGAACAACAAATTGTTTTATACACAGCCTTTGCTTTTCCAGGCTCGGCCATCATCACCCCCTCGCAAGGCACCTGGCTAAACGCCTTGCACATGCGTTTGTCTATATATACCTCGTGTTTGCTGATCGACGGACCAAGAGCAGGAGACGATTGGTGTTGACGCACTTGCGCAAGTACATACATGTACATGCAGTCTTTCATCTGCGGGCACCCAGACACAAACGTTTCGAAAAGACATTCATCGCCAAACCTGACGCGGTCTTTATATCCCTTTCTGATGTGCAAAAGGGGATCTGTACGTCGCGGGTGATGCGCCTCTTTGTGTGTGCCCTGCGACCATCACAAATCCCGATCACGCCCCGGCTTGGACTGCCTCATCTCTCGCATGTGAGACGTGAATGAGCTTTGTCAATCTTGCAGAATAAAGTCTCTCCAGCCAACAGAATAACATCCCGTGGTCATTGGTGGCTATATATGGAGCATCCCGTCCCTGCAGCTTGCCAAGCAAATAAACCGATCCTAGTGAGCGCCAATTCTGGAATCTACCGATGAGCCAATTGATTCAATGGTGTTGCTGATTCCATGTCGTCCCAATCATGCTGTCTTAGTGGGCATGAGCTCGGGTAGTCTCAGCTTCTATTCTTGCCTCCTCTCCGAAAACACGATTGCCTCACCCTAGCCTCAGCCTCATTTCCATCATGTCTATATTCCTTGCAATGCCTTAATCCTCCAAATTGCTCATGTACCTTGCCTCTATGACGTGACTGCACCTTGACAGCCAAACCGCCGCTTTAGCCATTACCCTCGGACACTCCGCACGTCTACGTGTGAATCGAACAGCCCAACATCGTCCATTAGTTCAGATTGTAACTGGAAATTCTATCTAAATAAGTGTAACTGAACACTATGACGATAAGGTTCAGTTCATATTCCACGAAATTTAATACATGCGGACTGAAACAAGCCCATCTTAACAGGCTAATATGCAACAAAAAGAGCCTCAGATACTACTTCAACCTCTCCTTTAGCACCACTCACCATCTCCCACACATACCAGCCACTCCTTCTCTACCAGTCATTTTCCAGATTTCTGCATAATACCATGCCTCGTCATATTCAAAAATCTCGCCCCAAAGCCAATCGCCCTCATCTGCAGTAGATATCAGCACAGCAGCCCCCCGAGGCCCTTCCTCTTCTCCCCCTTTCCGCCTGCTACGTGTATCATCCATCCAACCTCTCGTCATCAAAGCAAACTGCTTCCAACGCCACACACAGAACCCGCAGCCTCATAGCCAGCAATCTGTTTTATCAAGATCTTCCCGCGCCTGTCGCAAAAAAATTTGTCTGCCATAGTAAACGAACCCCAGATTCCGCAGGATCACCTCACGTGCAACCTCCAATTCCCGCTCAGCAATCTCCCGTATCTCGTTGATTTCCGGCATCTTGCCTTTGTTCTTCTTCTCCTCGGCGTCTATGAAGACGCCAAGCTGCTTCCGCACTGCCACGTCTCCCGGCTCAGACTTACCATTCCTTGAAGGTACCATGGAAAGCATCTTAATCACCTCTTGCTCCCCTCGATCAGCCATCCAACTGTCACTGGACCTGCATCGCAGGCACTTGGGCGGCAAGTAGCCTCCTTCGGGGATCGTCATCGGGACGTCGTCGAGGTCATCTTCGTTCTCAATGAGTTTGGGGAGCTCCAGCACCCGAGCCTTCGTACCACAGTGGTCGCACTCCATGACGGCTTCGCAGGCTTTACACGACAGCTTGCGGCCCTCCTCGCTGGCCGTCTTGAAGTGTCTTTCCAGACATTGGTCGTGAAACATGTGTCCGCAGCTCAAGACATATGCGGACGGACCAAAGACCATGTCGTCTCTCGCATTGAGCAGGCCCACGGGCAGCATGCCCTTGCAAATGGTACAGTTTGGGCTTTGGCCGGCCTCGGCTTCAATGTTCCATAAGTATCTCTTGTTGTTTCTGATGTCTTGATACACCCTTGGCCACTCGTTGTTTTCGCCATCCGGTACTGGCGTTGTTGCTGCCGCTATTGCTTCTGTCGACAGTTAGGCGGCTCTTTTCTTTCGACGACCGTCGTAGTCCCTGGGTTTCGAGCGCCCTAAGCGCGCCGAGCGGTTTTGGATTGCGGCTGTCCGTTGTCGACGAGTAGCTACCTGGACATTCATGGCTGCTGTTTGTGATATACTGCCTGTACAGGTAGTTCGTAGCAAGTAGGGTTTGTACGTTATATATGTACTCATGACGCTGGAGTCGATTTAAAACCCGTGATGCTACTACAGTCTAAGCTTCATACACACATCATTCCCTCTATCATCTGTTTGCTAGACAAAACCGGGCAGTGTCTGGTTCCAAGCATCGAATCATAGACGCTCGATCCTTACACTGCTATATGTATAATCTGTTTGCTATCCAAGACCAGTAGATGATTCGTTTAATAGCACTTCATGAGTGTGGCTCATGCTGAGGTTACCAGATACAAACAGCGCCATAATTGAAAACCATATTAAAATATACTACACGCCATAATTGCCTTGATTGTGTTCTGCATATAGCCATCGTACGTCACCAGCTCTCTGCCACTCTATGTGTGCTACCGCTACCAGGCCCCAATGACTCCTTTTGATCATGACAAACAACCAAGGCGTATCCAAGTGAGAGTCAATCTTCTTGTAGAGTGTCAAAACCAAGGCATCCATGCTGCTATCGTCTCGTCCTGGTATCCTGCCAAGAGGCTCAGTGGGCGCGTCTCGACTCTCCAGTTGACCTCGGAGCCAACAATGAGATAATTGCTCGTGTACATGGACAGCGTGTCCCCGATTTCAGTCATTCAAGGACCTTGTTTGTCTCTCACATGCTGTATTGATGGTTGTGAGCAGCAATCACCGTGGCTTCCACTCTAGCCTGCCTGCCCTGATCAGGATCATCTCCGAAAGCACCACGGCCTCGGTGCTACCCCTGAGCCACCGGCCTATCGCAAGCCGCTACACACTTGGGCGGTGAAAACAGTTAGGTGCTAATCTTATAGTATTAAGGGTGCTTGTTTTCTTTAAGTCCTATCTACACTATTCTTCCTTATTACCATCACCTTAGATAAACTCGGCTTATTAATGCATTAAGTTATTTCCACCTTTTATAGACTAGGGGGGAACTTAATAGTATTAACTTAACACTATTAATACCCTTCTTTTTATAATCCTTTATTAATATTCCCTTATTTTAGTTATATACTAGTACTTACTTATATCTATCCTTTATAAATATATAGCCTTCTCCTTATATTTTATAATATACTATATCCTAGTAATTATATTATAAAGGTTCTAGCTTTAAATTATATTCCTAATATAACTTTAAGTTATTTAAATATAACTTATATTCCTAGCTATCTTGCCCTTTTATAATATAAGTAACTAGTATTACTTATTATATTATTATAAATAAATTACTTTATAATTTTAAGAATTTCCTCTTTTCTTTCTTAAGCTTATTTTACTTTTCCTAGACTTAATTACTAATAAAAAAGGATTATTATAGTAGTTTAGCTTTTATAATACTTACTAGTTAGGCATTCTACTGCTTATATATATCCTTATATAATTCCTCTCTCTTATTTATAGCAGCTAGCACTAAATCTTAAGCTAATTATTTATTTAGTAAGGCTTTATCTTCTACCTAGAATTAAAGTTTATTTTTTAAACCTTAGGCATATTATATAAATAGATTATATCTTAATATAGCCTTTATAAAAGTAGTTCTAAGGCTTAATATATATTAGTTATTAAATAAAACTGTAATTTAAAAGATGCTTTAGTTTTAATACTTTAAGGATTCTCTATTTCTCTTTACTACTTAGTTTATTAATTAGTATTTAACTAACCTTATATACCTTTTAGCTAAGCCTATTAATCTTAAGTGTAATATAGGTTTATAAATTAAGTTAATACTATATTTTTTAATAATTATAATTAAAAGCAAGTTTTTAAAATAGCTTTTATTATTATAGTAAATCTATTATAGCTATTTAAAAATTAAACTAATATAATATATTTATACTTTATATACTTCTTTTAAAGTTACTTATTAATAAGCTAAAATTATTAAGAATTAAGTTAGGTAGTTAATATTAATAAGGATAAAAGAATATTTTTTTATAATTAAGGGAGAGATTAGGCCTATAAAGTTTATATATACTATTTACTAGGCGCTATTTATACCTACTGCCTAGCTTATGCTTTATAAAATCCTTAAAGCTATTTATTAATAGATTAAGCATATTATTATATATTAAAGGATATTATAAGATTATTATAGCTAGTATTATCTTCCTTTTAAAAAAGCTATTATTATTAATTCTTTAAAGTAGCCTTTTATATTATAATATCCTTATAAAGTTACTAGCACTTAGTTTAATAAGATATATAAACTTAAGGATATATTATTTTCTAAATATAAAAGGCTAACTTAATAAAAGTTCTAGTAAATTTAGTAATATAGTAATTTTCACTTTACTAGCTTCCTGCAGATTAGATCTACTACTCCTTATCCCTAGATTAATATTATAATAATTTCTTTATACTATTTAAAGCTAGTATATTTATATAATTTTTCTACTAATCTTTTCTTTTCCTTATTTAATAGTCCTCCTCCCCTAAGTAATATAATAAGCTTTTTTAAAGCCTTTAACTAGGTACTTAGTTTAATTTATATTACCCTTATTATTTCTAATTATTAAACCTTTACTGCTATACTAAGCTACCTTTTAATTTCTAAAGGTGTATTTTATAAAGCATTTAGTATTTATAATATCCTATTTACTACTTTTATAACCTTAGTAGTATTAAGGCAGTAAATAAATTATAAATTAAATTTAAGAATAACTTTTATTTACTTTATAAGTTTTTTATAAACCTTTTAGTAATTAGCTATAGTATTAATAATACCTTAATAATCTATATATACCTAAATTAAATAAAGGGAATATTATATTAATTATTAACACTCCTATAAAGTATAAATAATAGCTAGCATTTCCTTTTTTAGCATTAAGTATTAATATTCCCCTTTTACTAACTAGAATAATATTTATATTATAATATATACCTTATCTTAATTTTTATTAATATACTTTATACTAGCCTTAATATCTTTTAATTAAAAAAGGATGCCTTTAATACTAGTCTTAAAGGTATTAATAGCTAAGTAAAACTAGACTCCTAATCTAGCATTAAAGGTTATATTTTCTTATATACTTTAGTATATTTTTATTATTATAGCTCTTACTTTAGCAGACTAAATTAAGTATTTTTATAATTTCTCTATTATTTTTACTAACACTTTACTACTTAAAGTTAATATTAGAAGTTTCTTAAAGAAAGCACTCTTAAGTGTTTTTACTAAGTTAGTATAGCCTAAAATAAACTTTTATATAAATAGCATTAAGTAAATAAGTATTTAAATATCTTCCTAAGATATTAGGTTATATTTTTAAAAGTATTTACTAATATAAGTAAACTTATTTTAGTGTTTTTATCTAGGTTAAATATAACCTTTTAAAATAGTAAACCTTAAGAATTTAACTTTAAAAAAGAAAAAGGTTAACTTTTTCCTTATAAGTAAAATTAGCGCCTATACTATATAAAAAAAGTAGTATTTCTAAAAGAACTTAAAGTAATTTTTAAATATCTTAAAGGCAGTATTATAATTATTAATATATAAAAAGAAGGTTAGCCTTAATTTTTCCTTATATCCTAAAAGTAATAAAAAATAGTAGTTATTTAAGTAATTTAAGGCACTAAAGGCAGTATTATTAAACTAAAAATAAGTTATTAATAACCTAGTTAGGCCTTATAATATATTAAGGTACTTCTATATACTATTAAGGCTTATAAAACCTATTTTATATTAATCCTTTAATACTACTAGGACTCCTTAAAACCTATTTAATATATTTATTTAAAAGAAAACTTTTAGCTAACTGTATTAAAGTAAGTCTAGATCCGCTTTTAAATTATAATAAGGGTATACTACTTTTATAATATTCTAGTTAATATCCTAATAATTATAAACTACTTAAAAAACTGCATCCTTACCTTTTAGTTTCTTTATTCCTAGTTTTAGAATAAATAAAGTATTAGCAATCTATTACTTAAGAATTAGAATAAAGAGAGCGCCTTATTTAAAAACTGTCTTTTAAATAACCTTAGCCTTTTTTATCTTTTAAAAAATCTTATTTATAAAGCTTTACTAATTACAGCTATAGTAAATAGGTCTTTATATAATTAAAGTAGTATTAGGTTTTAGTAAAATTTAATATTAAACTAAGTTTATAGTTTTAATCTCTTTTAATTAGTTAATAAAATAGTCCTAGTAAGTATATAGTAATTATATTACCTATATTTTTTATTTTACTATCTTAGCTATATTACTAATTATAATTTTAAACTAATTAAACTACTTCTTTATAATACTAAAAGGTATATTACTTATTAATTAAAAATTGCAGGGTTTTTAATTTAATAAAGGATTAGTTTTAAAATTAAGGATTTCCTTATAAACTTAAGCTATACTAGTTTTAAGGTTATTTAAGTTTAGTAAAGCTTATTAGTAATTATTTTTATATTTTAAGAACTAGTTAATTTTTAATAGTATCTCTTAAAATTATTAATTTATATAAGGATATTAAAAATTTAAGGCTAACCCCTTAAAATCTAATTTTCTTATATAAAAGTTAATTATTTTAATTTATATTATATCCTAATTTAATATTTTACCTAATATAATACCTAAAGTCTACACTAGTATTATATAGTAAGTATTAAGTAAAACTAAAGTAGTAGAAGTTATTAAAGGTATATAGTTTAAAGCTAAATTTATATAGGGTTATTAAAATTCTAAGGCTAACCCCTTAATTTTTAAATTCCTTATATAAATTAAGTTCTAGCTAATTTCCTTTATATCCTAGTTAAGATTATTCCTTAATATTTAGTCTCCCCCTTTTACTAAGAGTTCTAATAGGTTTAGATTAGTATTTTTATTAAGTTATTTTAAATAGGCAGTCTTCTGTATTAGCTTAATATCTAAATTAGCATTCTTTTTATCTTCCTTTATTTAATCTTAAAGTGTAATATTATAAGCTATAAAAAATTCTAAGGTCCCCTCCTTTAAGATTTTAAACTTAATAAGGTTAGTATAATAAGTATCTTATCCTGCTAAGCCCTTAAGTATTTAATTAGTATTCTACTTTTACTTTAATTAGCTTTAAATTAAGTTAGGTTATATTAAATTTCTAGTAATTATATCCCCTTTTTACTTAAAAATTAGCAACTCCTTAACCTTTATTATCCTAAAGCTTATATTATTTAAAATAAAGCTTTTAGATTTTTAGCTATTTAAAACTAGTAGCTTTATAGCAGGTTTTTATCTTTAAGTTACTGCATACTATAATCTAGCCTTTAGCCTTACTTTTAATAATGCTATAAATAATAAACCAGTTCTAGCACTATAATTTACCCTTAATATTATAAAGATTTTATTTACTTTATCTGCTTAATTAATAAGAAAATTTTTTATAAAGCTACTAAGCGCAGCCTATGCAGTATTTAGTTTTTTAATATAAATATATTCTTTAAGGATTTAAAAATAGTATAGTTTATTTAGGCTAATGCTGCCTCTACTTTATCTAGGATTTCCTAGTTATTTTTAATAAAAACCACCTCTTCTTTATTATTTAAAGTTACTAGCTTTAATTAAATAATAAGGGTAGTTAACCTAGGTTTTACCTTAAATAAGTTAAGTATAAGGAAAATTAAAATTATTTAAGTTATGCTACTAGTCTTATAAACACTTAGCTTCTTATTAGCATAATCCTTAATAGCCTTTATATATTAAAGCCAAGTCCTACTTAATAAGATTTCCTAGTTATTATAGCTGCTTATTATATATGCCTTTATAATTACTAAAATATTAATAACCACTATATAAATATAATAGTATTAATTTACCTAAGCTAAGCTATTATTTACTAATTATACTACTTTAAAAGTAGTAAGTATAATTTATAAAAAACTTTAAGCAGCTATAAATTTACTATTAATTAAGTCTACTATAGATCTTTTATTAATTATAATTATTAAATAATATTAGCCCTCTATATAGCCTTTAATAAACCTAAAAGTAAATGCTACTAATTCCTTTAAATTAGCAGTATTATACTATACTACTTTTAATATTAAAATAGAACTAAAACACTTATATTTATTAGTCTACTAATCCACTTTTTTAATAGCACCTTTATAATTTAAGAAGTTATAAAATAAGGACAGCAACTTTATTATAAATTTATATAACTTAAGTGTTTTTAGTTTCCTTTAATATTATATTAACTAGGTTAGCTGCTATTATATTAAAGGGGCTGCTTATAAAAGTTAAAGGATGCTTAATAATACTAAAGTATTATATAAATATTTTCCTAAATTAAAGACTAGAATCTTATACTTAGTTATTACTTAAATCTTCTTTAGTTTATATTAGGCCTGCTTTTCTTATTATTATTATAGCTTTATAGCTAAAAATACTAGTAAAGGAGGAGGCATTATTAAGGTAAGAGTTTAGCTATTTTAGTTTTAGTAAAGGTTTATCTTTTTTAAGTAAGGTCTTAATAAAGGTAACTATTTCTTAAACTCTTTAGCTAAAAGAGTTTTAGTTAAGGCTATTAGCATATTAGTATTAAATAGGCAGCTTAGTAGGGTTAGTTTTTAAGTCTCTTTACTTTATTTAGTCCTTATACTAGTCTATTCTCTAGCTAGTTTTTAACTATTACTTTATAAAAGAGGCGCTAAAGCTTAAAACTTTATAATTCCACTTAATTATAAACTTAAAAGGTTAAAGCTAACCTTTTTTAATTAATCTTAACTAATAGTATATACTTCTCTTATAATACTATTATTTATTTAAGGGTTCTGGTTTTTATAGTATTTAGTAATATATTATAAGGTTCTTATTACTAATAAAAAGTAATCCTTAGTTAGGTTTTAATACTATTAGTATTTAAGGGGCAGGCAGAGCAGAGCCCCCCTTTTAAATTAAGTAGCTAACTACACTTTCTTATAATTTTTTATTATTAAGGCATTCCCCTATTTTAAAATATAAGCTCTCTTCCTTTTTATCTTAATACCTTAAGCTTTTTATTATTAATATCTTACTAAATATTATACTTTATTATAATTATTACCTTTTAAATAGGTTTATCTTAAGTAGCCTTATTCTTTACACTTAAAATACTATAAGTAATTAAGATTGCCTTAAATCTTACCTAGCACCCTGCTATTAAGGGAGTATTAATATAAGGGATATAAGCAGTTATTATTATTACTTAGTAAGTATAAGTAAGCATTATTACTAAGTAGGTATTAAGGTTAAGGTTAGTTTTATATTAAGGCACTGCTTTTTAAAAAGTAAAGTCTTTTTATATAAAAAGCATTAAATTCCTTTATATAGTAAATTAAGTTAGTAATAATAGCTTACTATTTAAAAATAACTTAAAGGGGATCTAAGTCTTATACTGCCTAGTTAAAATCCTTATCTTAAGTTATACTTTTTAAAGCTATAAAGTAATATATAAATAAAGTGGCTTAAATATCTTTAATTATAAAAGTGGATATTATATATTTAAATTCCTACTTCCCCTTAGTATTTAGCTAGTTAATAACTCTCTTTTAAAAGTAGAGATCCTTTTTACTATTAGGCATATAAAAAATAAAATAGAAAAGTAATATTTAATATCCTTTAGCTCTTAAGCATTAGTATAGTTTCTTTATTTAATAATAGTAAGTTAACAGGCTCTCTCCTTAACTATAACTAAAAGTGTATACCTATACTATTAAGCTGTTTTAAATAACTAGGTCTATATCCTTAAATTTTAATATAAAAAGCTATTTTAAGGTATTCTAGTTTCCTTACTTAGCTAAGCTTAATATCTTATACTAGGATTTAGCTTAACCTCTTAAGCCTAACTAGAATAATTAATATAAGACTAGGTTATAGTAATTAGATTCTACTCTTATTATAATTAAGTTTACCTTATATAACTTTATATAATTCTCTAGCAGCCTATTACTAAGATATTTTATAAAGGCTAGAGCCCTTAAAAGCAAAGTCTAGTTTATTACTATTTAGTAAAATTAAGGAGGTAATTTTATAAGTATTAAAGTTATACTTATTAAAGTTATAAGGGAGTTATTTTAAGAAGAGAAACTTAATTTAAAATAAGGTAAAAACTTAAAAGGTAATTAATATAGCTATAAATAGTTAAAGGTAAAGATAAAGGTAAAAGTAAAATAAAGCTTAAGATAAATAAACTTAAGTAGCTAAGGGAAAAGTTTTTAGTTAAGTAAAAGGGCATAGTTTAAGGACTTAGGATTTAAAATAAGTAAAAAAGAAAAAAAGGATAACTTAAACCTATTTATATTTTAGATTTATTAAAACTATCCTTTATAAATATTAAATATCTAGTAGTAAAAAGAGAGAGAGGTAAAGAATTTATAAGCATAAGTTATATAAAGTTATTTAAATAAATAGTAGGAATTAAAAGTATAAAGTAAAATATAGGTATATAAGTAAGCAGAGAACTAAAGTTAAATAGGTAGATAAAGTAAGTATTTATATTATTTAAAAAAAGTAAAAAAGAGGGTAAAGAAAGAAGAAAATTTTAAGGAGAGGGGTTACTAATAAAAAATCTAAAGTAACTAGCAGGGTGCTAAAGTATTCCTTCTTATAAAGGGTTACCTTAGTAATTTATCTCCTTAATATTCTCTAGCATACTATTTTTAAACTTAGTTTCCTTAAAAAGGAAATTACTAATAAGTAAAAAAAAGGAGGAATTAGGCTTTTAAATTATCCTAGTAATTAGCTTACTTAGGTCTTTAAGAGCTATATTGCCCTAAAGTCTTAAAAAAGTGTAGGCTTTAATAGTTAAATAATTTAAGATCTCTTCTAGTTAATCTTAAAGTACTTCTAGCTTTAAAGCAGCCTTTAAATAAGTTAAGTCTTAAAAGCTATTCCCCTTATATTATAATCCTAAAAGTTATATTATAATAGTTTAGTAAGTAGCTAAACTAGGTGATTTTTTAAGGTACTTTTAATTTTAGCTAATTTAATAAAGTTACTTAAGCTAATATTAGTTTTTTTTATATCCTTAGTAAATCTTAAGCACTAGTCTTCCTCCTTAATTTAAGTAGTAGTGCTAACTAGTTTAAGTAATTACCTTAGTTATTATAAGCTGCTTTTTAGTAATTTATTAATAGCTTTTTAATAAATCTAATTCTTTAAGTATTTCTAGTCTTTAATAATTCCTTAAAGTTATCTTAGCTAATTTAAGTTTTTATATTATCTTTTAGCAGATCTAGCCCTTAATAATATTAAGTATAGTTAGCTAACTTATTAAACTCTCTAGCTCTAGTTTATATTTACTTTTAATAAGTCCTAAATCTAGATATCTTTATATTAATAGTGTCTTATTATTAATAAATATATCTTATTAAAATAAATCCCTTTTTTTTATTATTTAAACTATTCTTCTTTTTAATCCTAGTTTATAATCTTATTAGCATCTTATTTTAATATTATATTAGCTTCTATATCTTTACTGCACTGCAGTGCTTTTTAATATAATAGTCCTGCAGTCCTATTTCTTTATTAACATGCTTAACCTTTATTATTATATATTATTATTTACTTATTTTAATACTTTAAACTAGCTATATTATTATGCATTCTTAATTCTAATTTTTATTATAATTAGCTAAGGCAAGGTTAGTAATAAAGTCCTACTCTTATTACTATAAAAACAGTTAGGTGCTAATCTTATAGTATTAAGGGTGCTTATTTTCTTTAAGTCCTATTTATACTGTTCTTCCTTATTACTATTACCTTAGATAAACTCAGCTTATTAATGCACTAAGTCATTTCCACCTTCCACAGCGGCCAACAACCCCCTTCAGCCACCGTCCTCGGAAAGTCAATCCATCTAGCCGCGATACCAGTAACAGGGAGATGCACCACAGGCCCCATCCTGCCACATTGCCCACAGTCCACCTTCAACCTGCAGACGGGACACGCTCGCCTGCGATGCATCTCGCGGTCCGCTTCGAATGCCCTGTCCAGGCAGTCTGGGCAAAACAGGTGACCGCAAGGAATCGTCGCGCACCGGGTGAACGCGGGCATTTCGTCGCCAATGGAATAGAATGCCTGATCGATCAGTCTGTCTTTGGCGGGATCGATGCCGTGGATGGTCAGTTCGTCGGAGCAGATGGGACAGACGGCTCTGATGCGTCTTGTGTGTCCTGCGTGGCCTCCGTTTTCGATGTATTGGCGAACAATGGGCCAGTAACTGTGTTCAAAAGGTGCTGCCTCTTCTTGCCCCTTTACTGCTGTGGTCTTTGCTGATACCCTCTTTGCTTCTGTTGGTAATGATCCATCTGGTCTCGCCTGTGAAAAGTCTGACAGACGCAGAAGGACGCCGGATTCAACATCCCCCGGTGGCTCCTGTCGTTGACGACACCCATGGGCCTTTCTGAGAGCCGCTAGCTTATCTTTTAATGAGAGACGGGCGGCCATGGTTCGTTCTCTGGGCGCAGATTCACTTTCCGGGATGTTTGAACGGTCGACTTGAGCATTGAGGCCATGAGTCGTTGATATAACTATCAGGCCTTCCAGCTACCAGTCTCCAGACATGACCATCAGTAAAGATCATCTAGCCTGCCCCCTATTCTGCATATGATATGTAAGCTGCCCTGTTCGCTCCTCTGTGTGAACGACTGAATCCTTTGATCGTCACAAACAATGTACTCAGGAATTTCTCAGGTCCATGTTTAGAGGTCTTCACGGGATCTCTGAATACAACGCTGCCCAAAGCACAAACCCCCGTGTCCGCCAAGACCTCAACTCTACAACCTGCCAAGAGCACGAACCAGTCCTCATCGGCACCACATCTTTGTTACAGATGAGCCCATGACCACCAGAACTCCTTGCATTTCCCTTCATCATCATGTGCGACGACTTTCACAAATGGCCGAGCCCTTTGTCCGTCTTTTCCTTGTGCTTTGTTATCGCAAGCGGCTGCGAATCAAGCGCTACATCTTGCCCGGCCAACACTTGTGCGCATTCTCCCTCCTCCAAATCGGATCATGCGCAAGCACAACCTCCACCTCGATCCCCTCATCGGCCTTGCTCTTGACAAACTCGCGCAGTCTTTCCAACGACTTCTTCGCCTCCGCCGTATCAGTATGGATGCTCCTCAACCCGCCATGTCCATCGTCATACAGCCCGATATCCCGTTCGCCAGACACCAGCCGTCGATCATGGCAACAGTCGCCAGCAAGATACACATATCTCCGCTCCGCCAATCGAGCAAGGAGATTCACATGGCCGTAAATGTGCCCCGGCGTGTCGACCACGTAAAGACTCCCATCGCCAAAGAAGTCGAGCGTATGCGGCAACACGCCTAAAGGCTTCCACGCCCACGACGCTGCTGCAGCAGGCGGCTTCGCTTGGCTATCTTCCGGCAAAGGCGTGTATTTCGGGGCGTAGGGCTCGTTCCCGTATACACCCGTGCGCGAAATTGGCGGAAACTCGATGGTCCGGAGAGCAGGCAGCTCGTCGTCGTTGAAGAATTTCGCGGGATAGGCCGGTCCGGCGCCGTTCCTGAAGAGGTCCAGGGTTCCTGATCCCACGGCGAATGTCGCAGAGGGAAAGTCGGATGGCGTGCCGGTGTGGTCCCAGTGGGCGTGGCTGATGATGATGTAGTCGACGTCTTTTGCCGGATCCAAGAGGAGGCCGTTGGTTGTGGCGGCATCATCAACCGTCTTGGCGGCATCTGTCACTCCGTTGCGAAGGCTTTGGGCGCAATCCGTATCGGTAATGATGGGCTGCCATATGTCGAGCTCCTTCTGCTGCGCGGGCGAGTACTGCAAGTCGCGCTTGACGCCGAGGTCAAAGACGAGGTTTGTGAGGCTGCCATCGGGTTCCGGATGCCGGATGAGGAACGACAGCGACGGGACGAGGTTCTTCTTCTTGGGGTCGGCGTCGGTGACAAACATGTGCTCGGGGAGCGTGATTTGGCCGGCGTCGAGGGCCGAGATGGTTACGGTGGGCGATGCCGCCATTGTCGAGTAAGGTAGGTAGTGGCTTATACCTTACAGACAGAATCTCTCGACACGGATTCTACCTACAGATGGATATATCGAGGAGGACTATCAGAGACTCTGCTGGTTCGACTCTCACAAACTAAAGGGCATATTCATCCCTCGCCTCTTTATATCGGTTGCGATCATCGTCGGTGATTTGCTTCCCCTCATCCTCCCCCGCTTTGCCCATCTTGCCATTGTCGCAACACCACATGCAGTGTGAATGATGCCATCCAGCCAGTCCTCGTGGGACAAAAGGCGCCAGATCCTGCAGACGGCGATTGACGATTGGCTGAGATACCCGACGGCGGCGTTTGAAACCCACGAACCTGATTTGATGGCTTCATACGTGACTGACCTTTCGATCAGGCTAACTTACTGCATGTATGCACACCGAGTGGTGATGGTACCTGTAGACGGGTGTGGCTTGTTCAAGTGGTGTGATATGGTTTTAATAGCCCGCGCCGGCTATCTTGAGCGTCTTCAAGCATCTGCGGAAGCTTAATGCAGCACCGCCAGACGATGAAATGGCGTCTCTCCTTTGACTCTAGTATTTTTGAGCTTTTGAGACAGTTTTTAGCTAAGGTATGCTGTGAGGGATTGTTGAGAAAGGTTAAGTGGTCGCGTCGTACTTTGTTGGATTCGCGGAGAGATGGCAGAGAGTGAGGTAAAGAAGAAGGCCCACCATCTCAATCCAACCACCAAAAAAGAGGCCAAGCAAGACATCATCACCAGCATCAAAACAGCATCACAAATCATCACAAAACAGGGCAAAAGAGGCACCAAAAAAACAGCAAAAAAACAAAAATAGCACCCATGCGTCTCGGGCCAACCACCCGAAGGTATAGTTGTAGCCGTTGAGCGACATGGGTGCGTCACAAACCTTGCAACGGACAGTGATCGAACGAGGAGCCAGAGGGGCCATTTCCTGAAAGTACCTCTTACGTTCGTACCCAGTACTTGATCCCTAAGACGGGTGCCAAGAACAAACCACTGCACCATTCAAGGATGCGCTGTTGACGGAGCTAGTGAAGACCCCTCCTATAAAGCTAAGCCCCAGAAAGTCTAGCGGGTGGTATGATTTTCCGCGCCGGCCGGTGCTGCCGGTGCGGGTACTTTTCGGATGTATCTGCGCTGCAGTCTGTTGCCCGGTCGGCGAGTCGTCCGTCAATCGAGCACAGCTGGCAACTTCCATGATTGTCGAGATGCAAGCGGTGAGAGGGCACCGCAGACAAAGATGCAACCAAAGGTGAGCGAAGCGACAACAAAGGAGACGACAAAGAAGACGGCGATGATGAAAGGAGGAGAAAAAGAAGAGGATGAAGGAAAGCAAAAGCCTGGGAAAGAAAAGACGCGCAGAATTGTGGCGACAAGGGCTAATCTCGTGCTAGGGCAGGAGCCGTCTGCTGTTGGGTCCGCAAACTTTGCAGGGGGGGCTTGGGTGAGACTTGCCACTTCCGGCGACGCCTTCCCTGTCTTGCGACACCAGGACTACATCTTTTGAAGCATAGCGGCGGTGCGTATTGGCGCAGCGACGGGGAAGGAGGAGCGGGAAGAGACAGGGTGGCGCAAGTACCGGATACCTCCAGGGAAGGAACTCAAAGAGACTCGAGACATGAGTCTGAAGAGGTACCTTGGTAGGTAGAGGTCGAGCTGTCGCAATGCTCTCAGTCTACGACCGACAGACACATCGAGGGAGTCAAGAATCTCCTCTCAAGCTTCCACTGACTGCCCGTCTTTGCCCGTCCGCTCGAGAGGCTGACTCCGTATCGGCTATAATGACGACTCGCTTCAATAGACAGCTACGGTTCGGCGACATGTGTACTGAGCACGTCGCTCCAGCGCCTTTCGCAGTACAGCATAACATCGACACGTCCAGCAATCCCGAAGTCAAGCTTGCCCCAGACATCAGTTCGCCTCGTTCAATGCGAAACAGTAGCGATACTCACCATGGTCACCTTGTGGCTGGAGTCTCTCCAAGAACTACCGGATCAGCTTCACACATCATAAGTCATTAATCATCATGTTTGTCGCAAACGTTCAATTGGCCAAGTATCAACTAGAAGGTACCGAAATCGCAAGCCTCCATCCCGCCGAATCCCAGTGCTAAAGCTGTCATGGCCCATTCGCAAACCAGCGCCAGACTTCATTGAAATTATCAAAATCAACGTCCCAAATCAACGTCCCAAATCAACGAGAACGATCCAAGCAACAGTGTCCCTCCTCAAATGGGAACGTATCCCTGACGCGTCTCTTTATATAGTGGCGCATCGGGATAGACAAGTTCATGTAAGCGCAGACTACTCTTCGCCAACTGCTTCGCCCACTGCTTGTCGCTTTGAGGGGCAAATCGTCCGTTGCTATCGACATGGCCACTGCATCTGATGGGCATAAAACTCCATCTCGCTGGCGAGCTGCCCGGGAGAGAGTTTTCCAACAATTGCGGCCCATATCTCCTTGAAACGATTCAGTAGCCTTTGGGCGTTGGCTTCGGTGACAACGTCAACAGCGTGCTCTGCCTTTGATTCGCAGCCGAGTGCTTTGATTCTCTGATGATATCTGCCCAGCAATACAAGGTCATCGCTCAGCTCGTAATGCAGCTTTTCGAGTGAAAGCATAGGATCGCCGCCGCCGGGAGCAATGCCAGAGAGGGAGCACACATGTTCCAGAACGGCTTGCATGTTCACAGCTGCAATTGACTCGAGGGTCGGCTCTGAATTAAGGGTGTCCAGTTCTTGCCAACATCGGCGTTCTTCCAGCACTGCACGGTCGATAAGAGCAATAATGGCTGGAGTGTGGTTTGGGTGCGGAGGAGTCCCATAGAGCGTCTGTTGTGTCGCAGTCCAGGCTTCGTGCTTTATCGGCGGTGCCCTGTCGATGAGAAGCCAAGCAGCTCTGGCTTCCGCTCCAGGACCCCACCATATTTCCAGTGTGCGTCCATTGCGACTTCTTTGCGGCTCGATATGAACATGATTCATGATTCCATGCTCATCGACAAACGAGGTGGGCTCGAGCGGTTGCAAAGAACCGACCCCTCGGAAGCGGTTCGCGTCAGGGTTCTGATCGATGATTATGGTTTTAGCCAGCTGTCCGGTGTTAGAATAGTTCTGCCAATAAGCGTGAGGGGTCCATATACTAGTGACAATACATCGTCTTCATCTGACGGAGTTTGAGAAGTGTCAGACATGATTGAAAGTTGCCATCTGCTGATGTGACTTGAGATCGAGCAGTATCCTCTGAAAATAAATCGATTTGGCGAGTGGGAGGAGGCGGGCGGAAAGATGATAGATGGTTGGTATTGGCCTTCCTCCTCTGTAGTACGGAGAGGAACAACAAGATGATGCAAGAAGCACCAAAGGAATTCGGAGAGACGTAGGGGAGATGGATAGAAGAGGGGATAAGAAGAATAGGCAAAGAGAAGAGTGCTCTAAATCATAACGAGCGGAAACTGGAGAGCGGTGAGGAGCGCAAAGCTCAAGAGTCCAAGATGCAAAGTGTACCTTGGGTAGCCTGAGAAGTGCTCGTCAAGCCAGGTACCGAGTGCCTTTCCTACTCTCTCGAACGGCATCAGCACCACTAGGCCTCGTCAATGGCTCGGATGATTGAGCCTGGGCCTGGACGATACAAATGCGACGGATGAACAATTTGTTGGAAAGCCCATGGTGAGTGGTATCAGGAATCTGACAACACATGGCATTGCTTCCATTCAGTACAGTTGTAGACATATGTACTCCTATCCAGCTACTTCAACAACACCTTGCCGCCATGCCACGCCAACACAATCAAAGCAGCCAAGAAAGACGTCACGCCCGTCACGATAACCATGGGCTCGTACTTGTTGCCCGCATACTGCTCCCGAACAGCCTCCCTCGGCGCCATCAGCTCGGCACTCAGCGGCCCAACCAGGATATTCCCCACGCCCATCAAAAAGACAAAGATGGCATACGTGGCAAACACTGTCGACGGATCGTCGCTGACTGCCCGTCCCATGGCCACACGCATGGTGCCGAATCCGAACGCGAAGAAGCCGTAGATGCAGCTGAAGATGGCGAGCAGCGGAAGGGACTTTGCCAGGCCCCAGAAGGTGAATGACGCAGTCGCTGCAAAGGCGCAGCATGTGGTAATCAACAGACTCACGGGAAGGCTTTTGTCCGAGAGGTAGCCAAAGGCGAACTGGCCCAAGACCTGTGCAATCGACATGAGGGAGACTAACAGAGCGCCCTTGGTGGAGGAAATGTCGAACAAGGAGGCGTACGAGGGCAAGAAGACGACGGGGAAGAAGAAGCCGATGCCCTGGACGAGGACCGCCGAGCCGTAGATCCAAAAGAGAGGCTTCTTGAGGAAGTCCCAGTTGACTCTCGCGAGGTTGGCCTGGTCTGAGGCCGGCAAGCGAGCTTTGAATAGCGGCAACAAGGGGGCTGTCAGAACGGCCATGGCAACGGCGCAAGCGCGCAGGGTGATTTTGTATCCATATCGCCGCAGCAGAGCATCAATGATGAAGGGCAACACAGCGCCAGTCGCGCCAGAAGACGCAGAAATAAGACCAAACGCCATGCCCTTGCGCGCAACCCACCACTCGTTCACCATGCTCACGATGGGCATCGAGATGAGCACAAAGCCGAGCCCGTACAGCGCGCCCTGCGTGGCAATGAGCCCATTCACAGACGACGTGAATGACGCGGACAAGAGGCCGGCGATGCTCAGCACCCAGCCGAGATAGATCTGGTGCCTCTGGTACCGGGGGAACTTGGCGGCCAGCATGGCAGAGAAGGGCGAGCCGAAGTAGTAGAAGCCCGTGGAGAGGACGCCGACGACGGGGATGCGCGGGGCGTCGGGCTGGAAGGCGGCGACGGAGGAGTAGTATCGCTGGAAGACGCCGTAGCAGCCGGGGAAGCCTTTTTGATGAAAATCGTTAGATGGGTTCTATTTGTGGTTTTGGGGAGGTTAAAGGGCTGAAAAGGGATGATGATGAAAGGACATACCCCAGAAGAGGGCGTCAAAGGCGAATGCGCCGAGGAGAGTGCACCAGGCATCGCGGCCGCGATCGACGGGCTTGAGCTCTTGCGTGACGGGTTCAGCTCTGCTGAGCGATCCATGGTTGTGGTTGTGAGAGCGGGAGGGATAGAGCTGCGAGAGCGCAATGTCGGTTTGCCCTCGTTCAGCTGCGTCGTCATGGCCGGCGATTTGAGGAGCAGAACATGGTGGCTGGAGATATTCCACTGCAGTCGTTGTTTCTGTCGCACTCATTGCGGCACCCCTTTTTACGACTTTGCTTGACCGAGTAGACGGCAGAGTGAATAAAAAAAAAGCAAAAAAGAAACAACGAGGTTGAGCACTCTCTCTCTCTCTCTCAGCCCAACATCAACACCATGGAATCCGGTATTTGAAGCTTCAAGTCAAAACATCCCCCGGCTCTTCCAGAACCCGCGATCCGTTGTCCCCCCACAATCCTAGTGCCCGGCTTCTTCCTCCGGCGGGGTCCATGTAATCAAGACTCCAATTGAGTTTCGCAAGAGGCCCGGCGTGAGTCAATTGGAGGAGCATCTGCGCCTTTCCGACGACAAGCCAAGACAATCAATTATACGGTGCTTCGGCTATTGTTTGAGCCGCCTGTCAACACCAGCGTAAAAGAGCCGTGTGTGTATACGGTATTTCACAGTATCAGAGTCAGACGCGCCTTGTAGTATCAAAATCTAGATTGATCCATCCAAGTCTATAGATTCATCATATAAAACAAATAATACTCCATAAACACCTCCAAGCACCAACTAATTCTTCGCCTCTGCCTCGCTCCTCTTCCCTCCTCCTCCTCCTCCCTGCCTCACAAACTTGGTATGATGCCCCTTTGTCACAATCGTCCGCCTCTCCTCGCCATCCACAACGTCCACCTTTGAAATCAAAATCGTCACAAACGCCATCGACCCGCCGACCTTTTCCGCCGTCGCCACAATCTCGACCTCGTCGCCCGCGCCCGCCGCGCTGCTCAGGTAGCTGATGTGCATGTCGACGCTCGCGCCCGTCTTGTCCCGCAGGTCGACCGACGCAATGGCCAGCCCCGTCGTGAAGTCGATGAACGCCGCGGACACGGCGCCGTGCAGGCCGCCCTTGGAGTTGACGTGCGCCGGCGTCAGCGTCAGGCGGCTGGTGACGCTGCCGCGGGCGATGCGCGTGTGGGTGATGCCCGTGAGGAAGATGTTGTAGATTGTGCTGTTTTGCAGCAGCCAGGCCGAGAGCTGGTTGACGTGGGCGATGCGCTGGGCTTCCACGGCGGCGGCGGCGGCGTCTTGGGAGGATGGGGTTTGGTCTTGTGAGGTCATTGTGAAGTATGTTTTGTCTCTTGTTGCGTGATGCCGGGAGAGATAAAGAGTGAGTGAGTGAATAAGTGTTAAGAGATGTTGAAATGTCGAGGTTGAGGCTGGATCCACCTGAATCTGTGCATTTTTCTTATCGCATCTTCAGTCCCTCCTTCACCATCGAAACCACAGTCATCTCGAGCCTCACTTTCTTCAACTGAAAACAGCATCTACATAACACAACAATCAAAGATCTCATCCATCAAGCGCATATGAGAGTCAGTCGCGGCAATACATTGCTGTAGGCCAAATCACGCAGTACAATACACACAAATCGATCAATCATATTTTCAACAAGGGCCTAACCCGCATTCTTATTCAACATATATAAACATTAAAAGGTAATAATATCATACACACATCATCAATCTGTAAAAACCCAACTACAGTCCTAGGCTACAGCAATCACAGCAAAACTGCAATCGCCCAGGTAGCCGCAAAAACACCAGCAACGAGGCTCATCTCGACTCGAGAACCCGCGCTCGGGGGAAGAGTCGGCGGCCCAGTGGGCTGGCTTCCGCTCTCTCCTCCAGTAGTCGTCTCCGAACCAGGTCCGGTCGGCTGCGAGCCAGGGCCGGTGGGCAGTGTGGTGAATCCGCTGGTGGGCTGTTCGCCGCTTGGTCCAGACGGCTGGCTTCCTCCGTTGCCGCCAGTGGGCTGCTCGGTAGGCTGGCTGCTCGGGGGAGGAGAAGAAGAAGAAGCAGGAGGAGGCGGGCTTCCGGAGGGGCTGCTGACCGGGGAGCTGCTGGGGACTTCCGGGGTGCTGGAGCTGCCGCCGGCGGGAGGAGGGCTGCTGGTCTGGCAAGTTCCAGGGGCAACGAGCGTGGGCGAGGCGCTGGCACAGGCGCAGACTAGAAGACACGAGAATGTCAGCAGGGCAGTTCGTGAATAGGGAAAGGGAGGGGGGGGCAGCTGTATAAAGGGATGGAGGTCAGCGATTCTTACCTGAGCTGGCTCCGGTGATGACGGCCTGCAGAGAGGCAGCAGGGCAGCGAGTGGCGACGCAGGGCACCAGCAGATGGGTCAGGCTGGCCTGAGCCTCGGGCTTGCACTGGCAGTCGAAGTCGTTGACGTCGCAGCCGACGCCCGGGGCGGCCGACGAGAAGCACGCTTGGGCGCATGAGGGGACGGCCGAGCTGGCGACGGAGTCGCAGGTCTTGATGGGCACGGGCTCGCAGTTTGATGGAGGAGCCGTCGTCACAGGGGCCGTCGTCACAGGGGCCGTCGTCGCAGGGACGGTGGTTCCGGGGGCACTGCTTGTGGGAGGCGGCCCGTAGGTCGAGCCTCCGGTGGGCTGAGACTGCGAACCGCTGGGGCTGGCGGTGGTTGACTCTTCCGAAGTGGTTGTGGTGGTGGTCTGAGGAGGGACAGGAGTCGTCTCCGTCTCCGTAGTGCAAGGCACAGTCGTCTCCTCCGTGATCGTCTCCGTGATTGTCTGCTCCGGAGTGGTGGTCGTCGTCTGAGGAGGAGGCACAGGAGTTGTCTCGGTTTCAGTAGTGCAAGGGACAGTCGTCTCCTCCGTGACAGTTTCTGTGGTGGTCTGAGGAGGAGGAACAGCAGTCGTCTCGGTTTCAGTAGTGCAAGGGACAGTCGTCTCCTCCGTGACAGTCTCGGTGGTCGTCTGAGGAGGGGGGATAACAGTCGTCTCCGTCTCGGTGCAGGGCGTAGTTGTCTGCTCCGTGACCGTCTCCGTGGTGCAAGGCGTCGTCGTCTCCTCCGAGGTCGTGGTAGCCTCAGTCGTGGTCAACACTTCGGTGGTAGTCGTCACCTCAGTAGTGGTAGTTGTGGGAACTGAAGTTGTTGTGCATTCCTCTTCAGAAGTAGTGGTGCTGGTGGTGGCCTCGGTAGTTGTCGTGCACTCTTCCTCTGAAGTGGTCGTGCTAGCCTCGGTGGTAGTGGTGCACTCTTCCTCGGAGGTGGTGGTGGTGGTGGTGGTGGGAGGCTGCGTGGTTGTCGTGCACTCCTCTTCAGAAGTAGTGGTGGCAACCTCAGTCGTGGTGGTGGCAGCTTCAGTCGTCGTCGTGCATTCCTCCTCCGAGGTAGTGGTAGCTTGCTCAGTGGTCGTGCACTCTTCCTCCGAGGTAGTCGTGGGAGGCTGCGTAGTAGTGGCCGGCTCCGTGGTCGTCTCGCAATCCTCCTCTGAAGTAGTGGTAGGAGGCTGAGTCGTAGTAACAGGGGGCGCCGTGGTGGTGACGGGAGGTTGCGTCGTGGTAACAGGAGGCTCCGTCGTAGTCTCACAGTCCTCTTCCGAAGTGGTGGTAGGGGGCTGGGTGGTCTCCGGCGATGTAGTTGTCTCGCAGTCCTCCTCCAGCTCCGTAGTAGTGGCAGGCGGAGTCGTAGTAGGCGGGGGCGTCACGATAACGGTAGTAGACGTCGAGGTAGACGTCGTGCTGGTTGTGCAAGCCGTCGGGGGGTTGCTTGAGACACAAGCGCACAGGGCATCAACCTGGTCCAGAGCAGAGACGGCTGTAGGCTACTTAGCATCAGGGCAAAAGGAGTAGTAACACTTCTTCAGATAGGGTACTGACCTGCTCCAAAACCACAATGGCCGATGATGCAGTTGCTAGCCGCACCCTTGATGACCTCTCTTTGACCGCATTGGCATGCATAGTCACCCGTCGGACAGGCAGCCTGGGTGACGGCGGCCGAGCTGAGGCACCCTGTGGCACAGGCGTAGATGACATTGACACTGGCCTGGCAAGGGAAGTTGCCGTCGCAGTAGCTGTTGGTTCCAGCGACGAGGCGAGCAAGAGCCAAGAGGCTCACGGCTCCAACGGACTGTCTCATTGTAACGAGCGTAAGGGGGACAAGTCGAGTTGAGCCCTGAAGAGAAGAACGAGAGGATAGCCCTACTATGGGGGGAGCGATGAGCTGTCGGAGCCCACGGGTATATATCTACAAGACGGACAACTCGATCCGGGGACGACGAGGATTTCCCTTGTTTACTACTAGGTAGGCACTGCTAGTATTCCATGTTGCTGCTGCTAGTGCTGGCTTTGTCTGGTTTCTTTCTTTGTCTCGCCGTTGCCCGAGTCCACTACGTACGTATCTCAGCCCAATGGCATCCCTTGCAGCATCTCGCAGCAGGCTCCTCGTATTCCAGTTTACACAGCGCCAGCTCTCTCCTGCACGATGATCAACTAGAGCCAGCAGAAGATGCGCTGCGCTTGTGAACTATTGGCCCACCTCGCCGGCGGTGGTCCGAATGAAGCATCGAGCACGACGGTGAGGTGGAGCTCTGGTTAGGCGGGATTGAAAGAGCAAAAGGGGGGGGCCAGCTGGAGGATGGATCCTTGTCCATCCACGCGAGTCTTGGATCTGTCTTTGATGTGATCTTGCCTTGGTTTTCTTTGTGCCTTTACGAGGCTTCTTGCAGCTTAAAGAACCTGAACCGGTTTGATGTGCGGGAAAAAGCACCCGATGGCCCGAGAAAGATGCAGAGTGAGGCCAATTGGGCGTCAACATGGCCTCACACTCGCATAGAGTTGCGATCAAAACCTCGTATACACAGAATCCTACCGACGTCCACGTCCACGTACATGCAACCGCCACTAATACAGGTACCAATGAGATTCCCGAGCTGAGCTCCCAGGGGGGCCCCATGTCACCAAGAGCCGAATTATTGGTTCGGCTTGGCTCGAAAAGGGAGAGCTGCCAGCGATCTAGTCCGACGATCGAGACTGGGCTTCGATTTCCACACCGCGCCTGTGAGAGTCTCAGAGAGAGAAAAAAAAACTTCTTGGGTCGAAACGGAGCCCGCTAAGCAGTCTGAGGGTCCATTTGAGCGCAGCTCTATATTAGCGTCTGTTCAGCTGGCTTCGGTCACCGCGAGATGGAACAAGGGGAGAGGAGACTGAGGTGGTGATTTGGAGCAAGAGAATTGGGGGAGCATGATCTAGACCTTGGGGATCGTGTGTAGGTTTTTGCTTGTCATGAGAACCTTTCAAGTGGTTTGTGTTGAAGAACTCATGGATATAAATGGGCGCGTGTCCCTGTGCTGTCGAGCCCACGTGTAAGCGGGTGTTGCCGCCAAGGCGGACGGAGCCGAGACGACAGCCGGCGCTCATCAGGGCCTGTGAACCGCCATAAACCGGACGACGGATCGAATCATCAGAGCTTCAATCGAGCCTGAGTGGTTCGGTAGGCCTCCGAGAGCGCAACAGATTAGTACTCGCCACAGGCTCGCAGATTGTCCTGATCCCGCACCAAGGCAGTTAGGCAAGCTGCATGCATCTGTTCCGGATATAGGTAGACACGGCCGGCATCACCTCCGGATCGTGACTGCGGGCCAGTTCCGTGCTCCAGCGCGGGGAACCCATGTTCATCTTCCAGCTCGGCGCAGCAGGTTTTCAGCCCACCCTTCTCTACACACGGGCAGTTCGTGATGGTTGAGTTCTAGGGGAGAGAGAGAAGTTGCCGAGCTGCATGAAATGACGGCAAGTTCACAGCAACGACAGCCGGCGAGAGTCATGATGACGATGGGATGCAGGTCGGGAGACAACAAAGAGACGCTCGCTTGCCGCCTTACACGAGTGCTGGGTGCCTGGCTTGCCGTCGTGCAGCTGGTGCAATTTGATGCCGTCTCGTATTCCGTCTTGGGCTGCAGCCGACAAGGCCACTGAGAGAGCCTATCACGGCATGTTGATACTCGCGTCGGGATTGCTGCTGTGCATCGAGTCTGAGCCGTTGCTGTCATGATCTGATGACAAGTCCGGAGCGAACTCTTTGGAGCCGAGATGCCGCATCGAAGCGACTCGCACGGCAAACGAAACCCTAGCTACCAGCTACCAGCATCTGACAGAAGAGGCATTCGCTCGGGGGAGAGAATGAGGCCAGATCGATTGCGGAATTCCTTGGCGATGCCATCGACTGGCTTTGCCCGGACTCACAAGGCTCAGCCGGAGGAAGTCTTCCAGAATACGAGCATTACACACGTCATATTGCGAGCATACCTAGGTAGGTACCTCCGGGCAAAATCGCTCAGTACGTCACAGACGGATCCAAAGGAACAGTTTTTGGCTCTCTCTAAGCGATCTATGGGTCTATGGCTTGAAATGTGTGGCATGGGAGGTGAACAAGTCGAAGCAGTTACGAGACGAAAGTTAACATGAAGCATCCGATGCATTCGATCCACGTCCATCTATCGTCTCAACCCATATACTACATACCAGTACTACGAGTACTCGATCTCATTGATCATCGCCCCGCTGCTCATCGAACATTACGATCTTCAGGCCCAAGGTGGGACCTGGACAGCAGGACTTTGTTTCCTCGGTGAGATCCGGCAGCGCTGGACGAGACAGGCACAGGGCGCGAGATCCGTGTTATCTCTATCGTATCACTCGGCAGGGGTGGCCAGCTCCATATCTTGTCTAATGCACCAAACCAATCTTCCATCTGTGGCAAAGTTGAATGAGGGCTCACCAAACCAGTCACTTCGCTGAATTTGTTCGAATTGCTGAGAGGAAAGGGAACGGGTTAACCCGTCGTCCAATCGAGGGTGATTCTAGGAGACCCGTCTAACACGAATATGCAGCTGCATATACCAGGGTAGAGTAGAAGAGCCGAGCTTGGCCATCAACACCTGATTCAGCTTTTTACGACTTAGGCTTCCGTACCTATGAACAGTCAGTCATTCTAGGCCCGTAAACAGTACGCAGTTTTCGTTACTTGTAAGGTCATTTCAGGGTAGGTTGGAGAAAGAAGGCAAGTCTTGTCAATTGGCACCTGTTGAATCGCTCTGCTTGTGTCAACCATCAGCAAATATGACACAATTATCTGTGAACCTGGTCAATGTGTTCTCAGGTTCTAAATAAGAAACGCCCAATATCAACTCCATGGACACTGATTTGCCGTCATGATCAAACTGCAACACCAGAGGAACGCGCATTATCACATACATGGTACTCGACTTCCCCGCATGGCGTCATGACAGGCTTACTTACCTTAGTAACCATGACCACCTCATACTTCAACTGGTGCTCCGAACAAGAGGCGGAATGCCAGATTCTCCCTCCAACAAAGACGGATAAAACACCCTGAACAATCCAGCATGTCAGAGTCAAGCGGAAACTCACCACAGCCGATACTGGACCACATTGTCATCCTCGTCTCGGCCAGCGACCTGCTCCAGCTGCCCGACCGCCTCAAGGACTTCTTCGTCGTCAGCCCAGGCGGAACTCATGCCGGGGGCGAGACGTTCAACAAGCTGATTCTCTTCGAGGACGGCGTCTACATCGAGCTCATCGCCTTCACCGAGGGCATCAGCCCCGAGCAGCGAGCAAAGCACAGATGGGGACGCCAGCGGGAGAACACGATTGTCGACTGGGCCTACACTCTGCCTCACGAGAGCGACTTTGCCGCCGTCCAGCAGCGAGTCAAAGACGCAGACGCGGGCTTCACATATAGGGACCCTGTTGCCGGCGGTCGTACAAGGTTGGATGGAGTTGTCCTCAAGTGGGCGATTGGTGCTCCCGAGGATGCCAATGGACATGAGCCGGAGCCTGGTTTCTTGCCCTTCTGGTGTCTGGACAGAACGCCGCGAAGCCACCGAGTGCCGTACGAAGAGGACAAGGCAAGGACGCAGCATCCGAGTGGTGCTCGCGGGCTGTCTCGGCTGCGGCTCAATGTGCCCGAGGAGCAGCTGTCTGCCCTGAAGAGCGTGTACGATGCTATTCACAACGTGGGCGACGCTGCGAGGGGAGGGGACGAGTGGCCGTTTAGTGTCCCGAGCCCTTCGGCACAGGCACGCCATACGCTGGGAATCGCTTCGGAGATTGGGCCCAAGATCAAGCTGGCTTTCCAGGGGAGCGTTGGGAGTCCTTCGTTCTTGGAGCTGCTGCCGGGGATTGTGGTCAAGTTTGAAGCCTGATGGAGTGGCGAAGCGTGGTTGATGCTGATATATCTTACTAGTATGAATGGACTCATATGGCGATTAAGAATGCAATATCAACCGATTTGAAACCCAATTGCTGTTATACACGGCTTTGTTTATGCTGATTTATACTGTAAACGCAGCCGTATGCATCGAAGCATCAACAGTGATATAAGGCGACACTGTGCAAATTGAACCCGATTCACACGGCTACAGCAGGTACTTCCCGCAACACCCACGCAACAAGGGACAGCATGTACCGTACCTGTAAGCTCGAGCTGAACGCGTCGCGAGCTCAACTTCCGTCTTCGTCAACAGCTCGCCAGCCTCTTTGCAGCTTCACCACCGCCGCGCTCCCTCTTGCGGACTCAGTCACCGCCCATTCACTGCTTCGTCTGCATCCGATAAACCCGGCCATCAGCTCTATATCCCGCCAATCCCGCCGCTCCAAGCGCAATCGCGTTCACGATGCCGTCCGACGAGGTCGAAAAGGTCCCCGAGGACGCCAGCACGCAAGACGTCGAGATGGACCAGGGCGAGCAGTCGACGCAGGCCGAGACGGAGAATCCCACAGAGAGCGGCGACCGCGCTCCTCCCGCGACCATGGAGGCCGCAGACGACGTCGACGCCGAGGCAGACCCCGTCGAGGAGCGCAAGACGTTTGCCAGCAGCCTGATGAGCCCCGTCGTGACGCTCATGGTCGGCAAGGAGGAGCCCACGCTGCTGCAGGCGCACCAGGCGTTCCTCGTCAGGAGCCCGTACTTTGAGGACATCTGCAGCAAGTTTGCCGAAGACGGTAGCGTACGGCTTCTCCTCTCTCTCTCTCTCTCTGTTCAGTCCATGGCTCGCCCAGCCTTGCGCTCCAGCTAGCTAACAAAAAGATTGCCGTTCAGCCTCGCCATATCGAGCTCCCCGACGAGGACTTTGACGCCGTCGGCTGCTTCCTCGAGTTCCTCTACACGGGCGAGTACTTCCCGCGCAAGATTGCCGGCCAGCGGACGCTCGAGCACGACCCCTCGATCCCGCCCATCGACGACTCGGGCATCCAGCTGCTCAAGCACGCAAAGATCTACACGCTGGCGCAGAAATGGGGCGTCGCCGCGCTGCAGACGCTGGCCGCCAACAAGATCCACTGCATCAACTCGACGGTCAAGGGCGAGATCGAATACGCGCGCTACGTCTATGCCAACACCGCGCCCGACGACACCACCATCCGCGCCCCCGTCGCCAACTTCTGGGCGACCCGGTCGCACATGCTGCGGTCCGAGGCCGAGGACGAGTTCAAGGCATTGTGCCTGGAGTTTCCCCAGTTCGGTTTCGATATTCTCAGTATGTGCTTGCTTCTTGATATTGGTGCCTCGGCTCTTGTTGTCTCGCGTTGGAACGCTAACCCCCCCGCGCAGCCCGTGTCCTGGACGACAAGCTCAAGAGAGAGCGCAACGAAAAGATGCATCCCTCCAGCGGCAGCGTCCGCAAGCGCCCTCGCCACAGCAGCGCCACCGGTGCCTAAGAGTCGACTCGCTCCTTGTGTACAACAGTTGCTTTTCGGGGTTTATTTCGGGGCAAACGGCGCAGCTAGTTATAGCATACTTGAATCTATGCGGAGCGTTTCGAGGTTCAGCGCTTCTTTCCTGGCTATGTTTACGCGAGACGCTTCGGATGTGCTGCATGCCGGGCTATTAAGCTGGGAATGCTTCATTGAGCGTGTAGTTGGGTTGGATACCAAGCGTTGGGGTTTGCATGTCAGTTGAGGTGATGAGAAACTCTCGAACCTGTTTATCTCGCCGCCGTCATGAATATGACACTCCGAGGGAGCCGGTGACGTGGTGGTGCTCGAGCGAGAAACGCCAGTGCAGATCTATGCGCATGATAGCAAGGAGGAGCCTGAAGTAAGAATGTTGAGTACCTAAGGTAGGCACAAGACGTGGCTCTTGGATTCATGTTGATGCTCATGTTGCCTCTTCTCATCTACAATGAATTCAGAAGTAACCTTCCATAACGTACATGCCTGAGGGGATCTACCCTAACTTATACCCCTTGAAGAGTCTGGCAGTACTCCGTCTTGGTAGAGCATCGGGCCTTGTCGGCCCTGTGGCTTGTCGAGGGCTTCAGCCATTCCCAACTTTCCGAAGCTTGTTTGGAACTTTGTCTCTTTGCTGGTGTTGTTAATGTCTCCGTTGGCTCAAGAGCTGGGTATATAAACATATATTTTATCCCCTCATTGAAGCAGCGATCCCTTATTCTATCCTTCATCCATCACTACTACAACCGTTTGATACTCGAGTCATCGACTCCTATACTTGTCCACGACCATTGTCTAACCACGCACAGGAACAAGATTGTTTGGGCAGTTCCAAGGCGAGCAACGCCATCGATACAGAGCACAAGACAAGACTCGAGTTGAATCGTCTGCTGGGTAAGTCTACGCTACCTACTTCTCAAGTCCTAATCGCCCCTCAGTTGCTTGCTTAACTACCTTATCCCTTTCAACTCTTCACGAGCTTTGCTGGGTATCTGGAAAATACATCGCTGAGGTGTCCCTTCCTTGCTTAGCCTTGCCTCTTCCCTGGTTGAGGCTCAGTATCTTGTCTCTTCCTTCCTTGTCTTGCCTCTTGTTGTCACAGTTCCTTCGCCTTCCATCGTTTCATCAATCTTCTTCCTGCCTTCATCTCCTCATAGCTCTGCCAACTCAAATTCTTGGCCTTCATCCTCTCTTGGCTATTATATCCTAACTGTACCAGATGCTATAGGCTTACTACAGGATCTACCCCTTGGCCATCATTGGACGCTTGTATTCTTCCGCTTGCCTTGAAGATATCGGAGACTGGCCATCACCGAAAGACAAGCGAGAGCATCTTATCAAGCTGCTGTCGGTCAAGGGTCCCAATCATGGCCAACGAGGAAGAAGCCACAACAGAGCCCGCGCCAATGCCCGCGCCGCCGAAGCCAGCGAATCGAACTCTGACGACGTCGTCGGGCTTTGCTCGAATTGCAAGCCCAGAGTCTCCGCCACTTACAGCGCGTCGGCCAAAGCGACCGCGTTCTTCAAGTCCTCCAGATGATGAAGACCTCGAGATCCGCTCCCCCAAAGTATCTCTGCTCAACTCTGCATCGCTTCCAACTGTCCCAGCTTTCCCACCAGCCCCGAATGCTACATCAACTGATTTGGCTCCCTTGACGCCTCCTCGATCACCGGCCAAGCAGAGCACAGAAGGGAGGACGTCCCCTGGCATTGCCAAACAGCCCACAAGCCCCTTGTTGGGTAAGCTGGCCGTGAGCGAAATAGCCCCGTTCGTGAGAAGACAGCGCCAGTTGCTGTATGAAATGGTCAAGGCCGGCGTGATCATTCTTGACAAAGACGTCATTGTTCGTGTCGGAAACGATGGCTTGCTCGATGTGGACGGAACCAGGGACGAACAAGGCGCGGTCATGGTCGGAAGCAAGGTCTTCTCCAAGGACAACATCCCGGACGGCGAGCCACCGGTTTTCATCGCAGGCTCCAACATCCATCCTTCCCTGGTCAACATGGACGGAAAGCGACTGACGCACCGCGACTTTCTCAAGATGAGGGGAGACTCCATCTTCTATTCCTGGATTGTCAAGACTCTGTCTAGCCTGCCCGATATGACTCATGAGCGGTGGTGGGATGCCGTCGATGACCTGCAGAAGCTGCGCCTGGGCAAAAGATCGCAAAGGGCCATCGTGGAACCTTTATACAAAGCGCACATCTTTGACACGATGGACCGGGCGACTGTGCACAACGTTGGGATCAAGCTCAATGCATATGAGGACTTGACCGATGAGGAAATCGACGTCAAGCTGCCTGTAGCCATCGGAAGGCTCATGGGACTGTCGCCCCCTCCGGAGCTTTCAGTTGGGGACGTGTGGCAGGACCAGTTCTGTGCCTATGCCTTTGAGATTGACGGCAGAGTGGCCGACGCCGCCACCAGCTTGTTTTCGATCCTGAAGTTGATGGCCAAGCATCCCGATGCGGACGCTCATCTGCGCCCACTGGCGGTGGAGAAGCAGGAGGAGCTTGAGGAAGCGTTTGAGGCGATCCAGAGGCTGCCGGGGCTGAAGTCGATGCACAAGTTTGTGGAGAGTGCCGTCAAGGCTGGATGGCACTGATGTTGTCCTTTGGTGTTTTGGCTTTTTTTCAACTGGGCTTATGGCTTGGGAAGAATTGGTAGAAATAGACATGGCAGAATGGGTAGAAGAATGGTTTATGGTGCATAGGATAGGAGTTTATGGTGTAAAGCGTATGGATAGGACTTGCATACATCGGTCAACTAGCATGTTGCGCTTGAAAACATGCGGGATGGGCATTGAATTGACACGATGCTGCTGGTATATCAGCTCTCGTTTTAGGAGATGAGAGTCTACGTTGCTTCTAGTCGAGAAATTGAATCATCACGATGAGCCAGATGGCATAATAGCTAAAGCATCTCTTGGATCCTGCTTCTAAGTAGAACTGCTTACCTCGGAAGCTGACACCAGCGAATGAAAACTATGAGCTAATTCGATAGTAGAACGAAGCTGACTGGTTTTGACCAGATTAAGTGCTGCTACATATTTAGGAAACTCTTCTGAGTCTAGGTTTGTTTGTTTGTGCTCTGTGATTGAGTACCGGGTAGTTTGACGATGATATATGTACGTGCTAAATCCTGCGCAAAGCCACAATTGGTGTCGATAAGTGATGCGTACTCGTGGTGCCGTACCCGCGGCTGAGCCAGTGAATGGATGTGAGATTGGTCAGTGTATGGACCTTGATTGATTATAATCATGTCAGACATGATGTATGTTTGGGCAAGTCTACGTAGTACTCTAGGTAGTACAATGGAATGGATGAGTTGATTGCATCAACTGCTATTGACTCGAAGACGCAAGACCCACGACGGCCCCCAAATTGCAGTTGAAAAGTTGCAGTATCCCGCTCGTCAGCTACAGCGTCTGCCTTTTGATTGATCCTATGGCGCGTCATTGCCCGGGTCTGGGATGGAGCTGATACGATGTGTGAGGCTGAGCTGGCGTCTGCCGCGTGTCCCTGGTTTGGGAACTGACCAATGGCGGCTTGCATGGTGTTCTATAAGTCCCAACTTGAGTGAAGAGTCTATAGTGACTTTGGAATGGTTCAGTAACTGCGTGGCTGGCAGAGTTTGGAAATGATGGTTTGTGCTTGTAAGAGGATTTGAAGGATTGCGGTGAGAGAGGAGGCATTGGGCTTGTTGGGCATTGTCGCCGTCAAGATATATACTAGATCACAGATCTCCCTCCACGATACAGTACCCAGCCCTTCAAGATTCAACGATTGACTCTGCCCTAGCTTCCTCCTGCGGCAAGTTCATCAATATAGAAGCCAATGGCTACCCCAACGACTCACATCGCTTCACCAAGCACAACGACAAGCGCTCTCCCATCCTGCACCACTGCCGTTCCCGGAAAATACGGCCAGGTGCCCATAGCCGCCTGCAACTCATCCTACAATGCCATCCCCGAATTCATTCCCGCAGTGATAGTCTCTGCGCTATTCGGCACACTTACTCTGATTCACATCATTGAAGCATTCATTTTCAAAAAGGTGCGTAGTCCTCGATATCTCTCTCCGTCTCTTCCCTCTCCATGCCGGGGCATCGCCTCAAGATCGATAGGGATACACATGGGTCTTGATCATGGCCGCCACCTGGGAAACAACCGCCTTTGTCTTTCACGCCATCGGTGCACACAACCAACAAACCGAAGCCTACGCCATCGTATGGCAGATCCTCTTCCTGCTTGCCCCCCTCTGGATCAACGCCTTTGTGTACATGACCTTTGCGCGCATGGTCCGCTTCTACATGCCCAACAGAAAAGTAGCCTTTGTTAAAGCCTCTCATGTCTCGAAGATGTTCGTCTGGGCGGACATCTTTTCGTTCATTGTTCAGGCTGCGGGGGGTGTCATGGTTACGCCTAGTGCTTCGGCGTCTACGCAGAGACTGGGGATGCACATCTACGAGGGGGGCATTGGGTTGCAGGAGCTTTTTATTCTTTGCTTTTTGGGACTGATGATTGCGTTCCATGTTCGTGTGAGAAAACTGAACCGGAGTCGGCCTGTTTTGCCGGAAGAAGATACCTTCGATGCGGACGTCGCAGAGGAGCCTCAAGAGATGAAGAAGACCAAGGGCGCCTTGTGGTTGCTCTACGCTCTCTACGCGGTGCTAGCATTCATCACAGTGAGTGTTTCCTGCCCCTGAATGGCGTCGCCGATGGAATTGTTGGACTGATGACTTTTTCCTTGCTGATAAGATGCGCATCATCTTCCGCCTCGTCGAATTCACTGGCGGCGATGACCCGTCGACTAACCCAGTGCCGTACCACGAATACTACTTTTACGCCCTCGACGCTTTCCCGATGCTGACTGCACTGCTGATTCTGGCCATGGTCCATCCGGGGCGGTTCATTACGGGGCCGAATAGCAGCCTTCGAGACGCTACAAGAGAAGAGAAGAAGATTAAGAAAGCCGAGAAGAAGGCGTTGAAGGAGCAGAAGAGGTTGGATAAGGAGATGAAGAAGAAGGGTGGTTTTGGGCAGGACTAAGGATGCGTAAGCGCTTCATTCTTGGCGGAGTTTCTACGTCGGCCTGTTGGTCTTTTATGCTTAATGAGGTGCGAATTGTGTCTTTGTTACTTGGAGTTCTATAATAGAAGGGATGTTGATCAGGTAGCCATTAGAAGAAGAGGGTCGTCACTGTAAAGACCAGGGGGGCGAAGATACATACCTACACAATTCACTACCTGATACCCACTTGAACCGACAGAAAGTAGGTATCCTTAATTGAGGAAATGGCTACTAATTCTCTGGTGGGAAACAAACAGACTCCCCAATCTCGATTTCCATTGCCAAAAGGGGGAGATGCGGGATCCAGATGCGGGGGCTGACGCCGGTCCGTGATTCCCGTCTTTGCCGCCTTCATCCGCCTTGGTCCGGGCTGCTTTTTTTCCGGGCATTTCAACGACCGCAGCTTCGGGGACTTTGCACTGATTCCTCTCTATGTAATTCCGTAGTCCATTTCTTTCCTTACACTTGAGGATGGCGTCTAACATGTCTTGTGGGCATCACTCTCCAAAATCCGTGAGGTAGAAGAGGTTCAAACTCATTCAAGACACGATCTTCTTTAGCTACACGGACTATAAGATCTAACTTCATCTCAAGCAAGGGTGGGCAATAACGCACTCCATGTTATGGAATCACGGACTTAAGAGACGCTAGAAATGACAGATTCTCGGCATGTGTGCCGAGAGACGCTCCGAGTCTCGTAGACTTCTCTTTAATACCTTATCAAGAAAAGGGCCTCTCCCAAATTAGCCACACGACCAAACATGACCACATTCCGGCCACTTGTTGTTTCTCCGCGGCGTTAAGACCCAAGGCTGGTGTGCTAAGCACCGGCTTACATATCTCGTCAGCATTGTTTCCCAGGGTTGCTGCTGCACAATGATGGACTTATATACAGTAAGATGCTTCATTGACTGTCCCCAAACTTCAAACAAGTGATTATGGCCATTCTGAATCAGAAAAAAGGCTCTTTGTGAAAGTCATCACAATGGCAGCCGCAGACGAGATCGAAAATGCCACTCCGCCAGCGAGTTCCACCAACAGCGACGGAGAAGCACCAGCAACGGGGACTCACGGCCAACTGACATTCAAAGGCCCCAAGGATCCTGCAAACCCCAAGAACTGGTCGTTATTCAGAAGACTATTCATCACGTTTATATGGATAGCCGGAAACCTGGTGGCATCAGTGTCATCCAGCATCTTCAGCAGCGGCGCCCAAGCCATCAGCGAAGAGTTTCACGTCGGCACAGAGGTAGTCACTCTAGGAGTCAGTCTCTTCGTTATAGTAAGTTGAGAAAAGCCTCTGCCCATTTGTATGAACAAATTACAGAGCTTTAACTGAAAGACGAATCTCTATATCAGGGCTATTCTGTCGGCCCTCCCTTCTGGAGCCCTCTCTCTGAACATTTCGGACGACGATATCCCATGCTCGCCGGCATGGCCCTCTTCACAATCTTTTGCATCCCCGTCGCCGTCGGAAAGTCCCTCGCCACGATCCTCATCGGAAGATTCCTCTGCGGAGTCACCGGCGTAGCTCCCATCGCCCTCTTTGGCGGCGGCCTGGTCGACATCTGGCACCCCGAACAGCGCGCAATTGCCATGGCGACCGTCATCGGCATTGTCCTTGGCGGGCCCTTGCTGGCTCCGGTCATGGGGAATTTCATCACGGCGAGTCATTTGGGTTGGCGCTGGACAGGGTGGTTGAGTTGTATCATGGGGGGATCGTGTACGGTTCTGGTATTTTTTGGGTTGCCGGAGACGTATCCGCCCATTATACTTCAGAGACTACAGACTCAAGATGAAAAGAAGGAAACGGGAGGGTGGCACAGATTCGTCAGGGTATATCTGGTTCGACCCTTTGGTAAGGCATCCCTGCGTTCATATTTCTTCGACAGACATATTGATGGGTGTAGTGTTACTCGGAACGGAACCCATCCTGGTCCTCATGACGCTCTACCAAGCATTCGCCTACGGCATCCTCTACCTCGTCTTCTCATCCTACCCCATCATCTTTCGCGAACAGCGCCACTGGAAACTCGGTCTATCGTCTCTCCCCTTCTTAGGCATGATGGTCGGCGTCTTCATCGGCTCTGCCATGATCGTCACCCGCATCGTATTACTCCAGCGAGCAACTCGCAGGAAACAATCCAAAGAAAACCAATCCGAAGACTCCTCTACAAACCCTCCTGCGGCAGCCCCTCCCGAACGACGCTTACCCTTAATGATGGCCGGAAGCATCCTCCTACCCGTAGGACTCTTCATATTCGGATGGACTTCCGCACCGCAAATCCCCTGGGTAGGCATGATCATCGGCAGTCTCTTCGTCGGCTCCGGACTGCTGTGCGTCTTTGTCACGGCAATGACATATATCCTGGACGTCTACTCCCATGTGGCCAATAGTGCCCTGGGGGCAAACACTATTGTGCGATCTCTCTTTGCTGCTGGGTTTCCCTTGTTTGCGAGCTACATGTATAAAGGTCTCGGTGTGGCGTGGGCGTCAAGTGTGCTTGGATTCGTGAGCATGGCCATGATTCCGATTCCCGTCATCTTTTACAAGTATGGGCCTCGCATCAGGGCGCTTTCCAAGAATTTGATGGTATGAGCCATTGAACAGACTCAGCCTAGCTCAAATCTACATATAAGATACTTTGATTCTACCGGTACCTTATTAGGTATGTCACTGTTTTCATAATCTGCTAGTTGTAGTATATGATTGTATTATCAGCAAACATGAGGTGAGGTGTCTGATCATCGTATCCTTCTAACATTGATCTCCATCATACTAGCCGCCTACGCCGGAAAATACATTCCTGCGCTATGGCAACCTTATAACGAGTCATACTGGATAGCAGACTCAGATGCAAAAGATGTTGTTTCAGTCACAAGGGGTAGTCTCCCCATTCGTTCAGAAAATGCCGTCTTTCCTTGACAGATGCTACATAGAAAGTATAACCCAGGTCCCTCGCCAACTATTGGCGGGCTTCACCCTCTCGAACCCATTCGCAGACCGCCAAACACCGACAAATGCTCTTGAAAACATACACATACAAACCCTCAACCATTAGAGACCCAAGCTACCGACGCAGTGGCGCCACAGCCAACCACAGAATCCAAGGGCAAGCAATCAGGTGGATGAGAAACCACGGCAACAAGTTGATCGATCCCAAAAGCATGGCACGAGCATGGGCGACCACGGCTTCTATTTCGCCCGCGGACCCTCCAGGTAGCTCCACTTGACGATGCTCCTCGAGGATGTCATTCTCGAAGAGCATGACTAACAGCAAGAATAGCCCGACCAAGTATGCGGAGACCGTCAGGAAACATCGAGTGATGTTGTACAGGTTGGTGTTGGGCCTCCATGACAGGAAGATGATGGTGAAAAGGCATGTGGCTGTATAGTAGGCGCTCGCACGGTCGATTCGCATGGCCCGCATGCAATCTGCCACAGGCTCGTTGGACAGAGGCGCATTGATGCAGTACTTGTTGGTAAAGGTGCTGAACATGGAGACGATGTAAGCCGGAGCGTTTCTTAAGAGGTTCATGGTTGGTTGCTGCATAACTCGACTTGGTAAGACTTTGATCGAACCCGATGCTTGAAAGTTTCGGTCAAGATTGCCTGAACAGAATGTCAACGAAGTCTGTAGAGATCGTGATGGTGCGTAGCATGAGTAAATGGATTGACTGTGTCGTGATCAGACTTGCTCCATGACTGTCAGCCTTTTATAAGGTTACCTGTGTGTCGTCGTAGCAACTGTATCTGTGCCCTCAACTCAAGGAAAGTCATCCCAACCTTTCTCCCTCAAGGGAGTTGATGCCTTGAGGCAGTTGAAGTACACAAAACGCAGCTGCTCCCCAGCTGCTCTCCAGCCGCTCCCATCATACACAACTCGATTCTGCAGCCGACAACAAGCCCGTTGCACCGCGTTCAATCTGCTACTGATTCTCCTCGGGCAAGGGACCTGGAGAGTTGGACGTTCATCATTCACCACAATAACAGCTTCCACATTGTGATTCAGAGTAAAGCTGGTAGTCGTAGAGTATACATCATGTGATTCGACGAATATGCAGCACAAGGCCCTCGACGAAAGGAAATCGCGCCCACAAACTGCGTGATATGCAGCCACGGCGTCACCTCATTGTAGCGAGACAATGGAGGCCTGACCGCGAAGTGTCGTGACTAAGGAAGCTGGCCACCCTCTCGCGACGAAAGTGGGAATGCTCTGGGCGCGTAGACTCTGCCACGCCCGTTCTGATTTGAAGAACCAAGTCCATCATCCGACATCGCATAGGATGACCAGCTCCTGCAGGAACAGACAGAAGCGATCAACGGCCAACAGCGGAAGTCCAGGTCTCCTTATCATGGGCTCATGGACTCTTTTACCTCCGGCGTGTGGCATATACATGCACATACGCAGGAGATAGGGGCACGGAGGGTTGGTGAAACAGCAGACGCTTGTCAGCCCTCAGCTCCAGTTTCCAAGTCGAGCAGCATCAAGGCTGTGAGACTCCAGAGACTGCACCGCTTCATCGGGACTGTGGGTCGTTGTACCGAATGCTAGCCTGGACGAGTTTGAAACAGCCATCCAGGGGGTTTCTGTGGAGGCGCGCGTTAAAGAGAGTACTCCACGATCCGCGATAAAGGACAAGGGGGGGAAGAATCCGGCTCGACGGAAACAGCCAAGACACGGCCGGCTGCACAGGTATGCTGAGTCTGCCTGAGACACTGCCTATTGTGTTGCCCGCCATGCTGAGGAATGCCCTTTGTCCTGTCAACGCTGCAATCACCCGGTTTGTCTTGGAGTTTAATAGGCACTTTAACGAAGCACCTCGTTGATGTGGCTGGTGTGGCGTGGGCTTCCTCGTACAAGACACCCTTTCCACAGACACACTCACCAGATCTCACATGCCGAACCACACAAGCGACGGCACCGATGGATTGAGAGACGTCCACCCGAATTTGGATCATGACGAGAAAATTTTCAGAGAAGCGTGCTCCCTCCCAAAAAGGGCCAAGTGACCTCGCGGAAGCCCTCCGAATGGCTCGCGCTTCGGCAAAATGCAGCAGCTTTGGCGAGACGAGGTCAGATGAGTATCCCAAGGCACACAACGTTGGGCCAGCAGGGCTAACTGCCCTCGCCCTCACAAGAATCAGAAGAAGGCCCTCCATAGCTCGTAGTGGGTATCAGGGTTGTCAAGGCAGCGGAAATCTGAAAAAAGTGCGAGCGAGCATTTCGCGGTTGTGTCTCAGTCTTTTGGTATGGCATGTTAATATAAATCAAGAGAGACTCGACCAGGGAGGGGGCGTGTAAGTCGTGCGCGACGACCGGTTCGGGGAAGCGACACAAGTCTACACGCCCCCTTTTGTCTCTGCTAGCACTGCGTCCTTGCATTGCACGAGGAACGTTGACAATGGGATTGGATGCCTGCTCTGCACGTCGAGTGAATTAGTCCAGGCCCCAGCGATGCATGGGCGAATCAGAGACTGTGGAGTATGAATGTCGCGAAATTGAGAAGTGAATGGAGGGAAGTGTTCAAGGGTTGGCGGGCAACGGAATTGTAAGTGCCAATGCTCAACAGAAGCATGGTGCGACTCATCAGCCTCACAAGTGATATTGCAAATGGAAGTCAAAGACATTTCGCATCTCTGTCCCGCGCATTCCACGCAGCTGCCATTGTCTGCTGGTGGTTGTTCGTATTCCAGACGCCACGCAGGGAGGCCGCCGCTGCTGAGAATCCAAATATGGACAGACTCTCAAGAGATGGTGCGGTGACTGTTTTGGGGGCCGCTTTGTGCAGAGCGCCAAAGCCGGGATGAAGCGAGTGGGCAGGTTGAGTGCTGACGGGACCGCCGTACAGGCAGCCCTCGAGGAAACGGGCTTAGTCCGCTGCCGGTGATGGACGGGTTGAAGGGATGCTGACGGACGGGAGATGCTCAGGCGAAAGTTTGTCTGTAGCAGAAAATAGAAGCAGCGTACGCAATCGAAACACGAACATCCCCATGGCCAAGAGTGTGGTGTGCACAGAGGCATGTTCTTTCAAGATGTAGGTCTTTCCCCGAAGCGAGGCGCAATGTGATGGACAATAGACTCGGTCGAAGGCGATGGTGGGATGTAGGGGCGTGCAAGTCCGTCCTTCGAAGGATGGGTTGGATATCTGGCTGGTTGTTGGGGGAATGGCCGTAGACAGCTGGAGGGAAGCAATCCCACTCACAGCACCGCGTATTGAAATGGCACATCTTGGTAGGTAATGGACAATAGTCGTAGCCGTCTCGACAGGAGCAACGGCATGCCATCTGACGTCCGAACTGGTGGTGACAGCCACAAGCCAATGGAAGCCATCCATGGCACTCCCCTGCTGGAACCCGCACCCACTCGCCACAATGAAGCAAAGAGCTCCCTGCCTCATGTGCGTAATAGTCCGTATCGCGGGGCCACATACACACATACGATACAGCAGTGTTCTCGTATGTACATACAGTACGTAGACCCTCGGATCGTCGTTCGTGGTCATGAGGACTAATGCAAAGAGCGTCCGGCACCAAGATGTGCGTCACCACGGTGAGACTCGTGAGAGAGACGAAGGCACTAGCAGATTCCAAGTCCCATCGGCTCCGAACTGATAGTAGATAGTATCCATCATCGTGCTTGTCGATAGAGATGCTGCTCTGACATTGGATAGGTAGGCAGACGTGCTCTGCTTGGTGGGTTTGGCGAGAGTGTGTCATTGGCATGGCCGGTCCAGTCTGTGGGTGCATGGATGGAGGGATGGAGGGATGAATGGGGCCATGCAGGACCGAGTCCCATGACTGCGTCTTGCTCTCAGCTAGTCCGGTAGTTGACCAGCATCAACGCCTTCTATCATTGGCGAGCCCGTCTGGCGATTGCGTAGCCGGTCCCAAGTAGCACGACTCTGTGCTTGGTAGGACTTGGTCGCCCTCTTGGCCGTGCGTTCATAGCGGGTTATGGCGTAGCCAGGTTTTTGGCTGGGGGTTTCGCCGCGATACCGTCATGATGGCAAACAGTGGAAGCGATGGCCGGCGCTGGACGCACATCATCGCGCAGAGTTGAGGCTCTTCGGACAAAACGGCTGCACGTCAGCGAGGCTGTGGCCGGGGAGCTGGGGCTGGTGCCGCGATCGGGTGTCGCCATCTGTGCATCACCATCGGCGTCCGGGTTGCCTCTGGGATGAGGCAGTGAAACTCGACGGAAAAGGTGAGCGAGGGTACGGATAGAGGTGAAGAGAGACGGGAGAGAGAAGAGCCTGGGGTATCGCTATCGCCAGGATTGGCCGAGTGCCGGCTATCTCCTGGAGGTGTGGCGCATGGCCGGCTGGTGGCTTGTGGCTCGCGTTAGGGTCTCCTCCTAGGGCCATTAGCGAGGGGCCACAAAAGGCCGCGAGGTGGGCAAGGTGGGCAGCCCTCTCCAGTCTCCGTCAGTGATTCACTGCAGGTGCTGGGGCATGGATGGCTGCCAGGCAGCACAGCCCAGGCGGCTGAAGAGCCCTGACAGCAGTTGACAGAAGCCTGGAGTCTAGGGCCACCATGCCTGTAACTCAGTGGCTCTAGTGGCCGGAGCGGCAGGGTCTCGTCTGACGTGACCGGGAGGAGGTCGATGACGGCGCTGGTGTCCCTGCCGCGGGTGCTGTTAGTGGCCTGGTGGTGGTTCTGTGGCTGCGCTAACAGGGCGCGCCTAGAAGCGGACCGACGCCATGGCCCATCGATAGCCTCCCGCTCCTCATCGAGCTCGACGCCTACTGGCTCCTCAACCCTGCCAGGACTGCAACATTGTGGCTTGTCAGTCAGTCCATCGGTCCCGTCTTTGGACAATCAATCAGCAGAGGCATCGAGTCGAATCGGACGCTGCGCTCGAATGGCGCCGATCGCCGAGTCGAAGCTAATACTTACTGCTGCTGCTGCTGCTGGTCTGATGCAGGCGAGTCTGACAGGACAAGACAAGACGCGACGCGATGCGAGTGCGATGCTGGATGCCTACAGGCAGGGCAGGGTAGGCAGAGACTGAGGTGCACCAGCTTCAGCCCCCCCGGCGATGGAGAGACTCGCGCTACTGCTGATGCTAATGCGAATGCTCGTGATGCTACTGTACAAGCTCCAAGTCCGAACGATGCAGCTCGCAAGCTACATACTACTGCCAGGCAACTGGATGAGTCAATCCCCGTCTGGGCCCGCGATCCGAGACGTGCGTCAGTGTGTTCTGCATCCCTCGGCCTGGACCGCGGTCTTTTCGTTGGCCAGCGGTGGTGACATTGATGCTGAGGATGGGCTTGGCTGGTCGTCGGAAGCAGAATTGGCGCTCGGTGTTCGCGGTAGGGCTAGGATGGAGCTGGATTGCTGCTGCTCCCTCGCGAGCAGCTTCATCAGCCGCCCTGGACGCGGTGTCTTGCCAGTCTCAGCGTCCAATTTGACGGTATTTTGAGCTGCTGCGTTTCGCTGCTGCCGGTCTGTGCCATTGGCCAACAGCTCGCGCTGTTTCGAATAGTAAGCGCATATGCAAGCAGCAGCAGCAGCAGCAGCAGCACGTCGGGAGGCCCTCTGTGCTGCTGCTATTTTCAGCCCCGGCGCTGAAGAATCGCGCGTGCCTGTTTCGAAATTCTGCAGCCTGCGCCAATGCAGTGGCCGTCAGCGAAGCAGCACTGGCTCCCTCTCTGGATGTTTGCGATGTACAGACAGAGCAGGAAGCGAGATGCCAGATGCTAGTGTCGACGATGGACGGCAGCCTGTGCGCACTTTTGCATCAGCTATTACTAGCCTTCATGGTCTCTATCTGCCTCGACAGGTACGTGGTAGTATGTAATACCACCTGCTCGAAGCAAGCAAGCAAGCAGCTCATCGCAAACAGCATTCTTGTCCTTCCCTCTTCTGGCTGGCCGTTCAGGAACTGGTTGACTGGGGGAGCCAGGGAAAACCCACCGGCCGTGGCTATGTATGGACGCTCAGCCGCGCCGCTATACTGGACTGGCCCGTGGTGATGCAGCTGCGCACCCACACCCGGACGTGCAGACGAACAGGAGGGAGTCATCGGAGAAGCCCTTGGCCTCGTTAGCGCTCTGGGAGATGCCTCACATGCCTCGCCGGGGACGACGCCCACTCCCCCATGGAGCCCGCACGAAGTAGGCAGAAAGCGGAAAGACGGCAGGGGTTGAGGTGCAGGACTTCATGTCGAGACTCTCGATATGGCTGGCCAAGGCCTGTGGAGGGGGGGGCGTGTGAAACAGGAACACGACGGCCAAAAGCGGCCACGGTTGTGTCTCTTGGCTTTCCCACTCCCACCCGCACCCCCTCGCCGCTTTGCTCGTCTTTATAATAAGTCTGCGATGCACCCTCACCTCGCTCTCGATCCAGCTCTTCCAGGCAACAAACGCACAGCAACCACCCCCCACAAGCTCTTCTTTATCCCGTTGCAACTGTCTTGCATTGCATTCCGGACAAGGATCAAAGGGCACCACTCGACACTCAACCGCAACGTGAACAATCTACAAAAGGCTCTTGATACCCACCTTTGTTGCCTTGTTCCCTTTCACTCTTACACCAACCAACCAACCAACCAGCCAGCAAGACGAGCAACGGGACATATACCTGGATCTGTTATCGCCTTTCAACAGAGATAGAACACAACGAGTCTTGATAGTCCCGTCCCGCCTGACCGTGACCTGAGCATCAGCATCTGCTTGTCGTCGTCTACACCACACACAAAAGGGCCAGCTTCGGCTCATACCCTCGCCATCAGAGATATATATCTTGTCCATCTCAGGCTTGCTACATCTCCTGCGTACGACGCGCACCATTACCCGTCGCAACTCGGACACAATGTGCACCACCAACGTCTACACCTACGTCTACTCAGACGGCCACAAGGAACAGTCGCGCCAGCCCGTCCTCTGCCACAAGTCGCAGCACGGCCAGCCCTGTCCCAACAACGTCGTCTTCCAGCACCCCAACCAGTTCATCCAGTACAACGACTCAGCACTGGGCACCTCGCCCAGCTCTCCCTTCGTCAGCCAGTTCCCGCCCACGCCCACATACAGCCCGCGATCCGGTACACCAAACTACCGCTCTGGAGACGAGTCAGACCGTTCGCGCCGCAGCAACTCAAGCTCACGGCGCCGCTCTTCCAGCCTCTACATCAACGGACAAAAGGTGATTGACCTGGATCGCCACAATGCAGGCTCACGGCGCGAGCGCATCGTCTTGGTCGAAAGCCCGCCCACTCCGCGGACTCCTCCCACTTCCTTCAACTTTCCCAGCACAGCGCCGCCCTCGCCTAATGCCAGCGCCAACGCTTTCGCCTCTACTTCCATGTATGGCTCTTCTCCCCGGGGATCCGACTCCAGCTTTTCCCGCCGGCCCATCATTGTCGATGAGCGGACGCGACCAGAGCGTGTGGAGCGAGCCGAGCGGGTAGAGCGACCTCGCATCCAGGTCGAGGTGGTGGAGGCAGTCCCTTCGGGGCGGACTTCCAAGCATGATCGTCACTCTTCCACCAGCTCCCGCGACAGCCACGGACGGAGCAGCGCAGATGACGAGGAGACCATGCGACGCCGCCGCGAGCGAGAAGAGCGACGGGTCGAGAAGCAGCGGGAGGAAGAGGAAGAGCGACAGCGCCGCATCCGCCTGCGCATCGCCAAGGCCAACGCCGAGATCAACAAGCGGCCCCCGGTGCCGATGCCTCCCGCGCCCCTGCGCGCCTCGTCTTTCAAGGCCGCAGCCGGCGGCGACGATGATGCCAACGTCAAGAAGCTCACAGACAGCGTGCGACGCATGAGCTTTGAGGAGGAGCGCCGCGAGGAAAAGGCCCGCCTCCTCGCCCGCAAGGACGAGCAGCGCGAGGAGGACGAGGCCCAGCGCCAGCGCCTTGCCGAGCGCATGATGCCGAGGCGCCGGTCCACCGTCTCGGCGGGCAGCCGTCGCCACCGGGTGGTGTACGATGACGGCGCCTACCGATGGGAGTAAAGGCGATGATGCTCCTGGCGCCATCGCTTCTCCCTTTCCCTCTGTCTCTGTGTCTACATTGACATGTTCTCTCTTTCCTTATACTTGTATTCCACCTTTCCTTTGTCTTGATATGAGCTATCTATATCCTGGATGACACGAGCAGATTCCCGATCCTGCTTGGAGGAGGTCGAAAGAGAAAAAAAGGTCTTTCTTACGACACAAAAAGTAAAAAAGAAAACAAACCACAAAAAAAAAGGGTTTCGCAGGGCACGCGTGTTTGGCATTTGGTTCATTACAAGCGAGCGATGATTTTCCTCCTCTGTTTCCCTTTGGAGAGGATTTTCTTGTATACTATGACTTTTACGATACCTATATAATACCCCAATAACGAATATCAGTGGAGTTGCTTCCTTTCTCTCCATCTGAAGCTTACGAGTTCCATGTAAATCCGTGCAGAGTGTGCGCACTGTCTCTCTGTCGCTCTTCTCTTGTCTCCTCGCCATGGTGGCCACCAGTGTTCATTCTGCAGCTGGTCTGTCCGTCCTCCGTCGTCTGCATATACACACACCCCCCTTCCACCCTTCCTTTCGAGATGGTCGCACTCTAGACGGGCCAAGAGCTGCATGGCGACGGGGAGCGCAGGTGGGCTGGCTGGGACCTGGACGCAATCAGCAGCTTTCTGGCCTCTTTCTTCTTCTTCTCTTTGGTCGCCACAGTTTGTGCGTGTCAGCGACTTGAAACGTTCAGCTCCTCCTTCTTTATGCTTCCTCCTGTATTCCTTTCTCCTTCTTTTCCTTCCCTTTCCCCTTCATCGTCCCCTACTTTGTTTCTTTTGCGAAACATATACTATGACGGATGAATAGGGTGTCAGGTAGCATTTCATAGATATGGAGTAGAAAAAAGCACATTTATCCGACTGCACACACCCTCCTCTTTCACCATCTCCCTATCCTATCCTCTCATCCGCCCACACACCTTTCGCACTTTTTTTTTTCTCTACCTTGTGACAAGAGGATGCAGCCTGCATATGCATCATGCAGTTCCTAATAAGAAGCAGAGCAGAAGAGAGAGAGAAAAAAATGCATCATGCAACGCCCCGGAGCCCCGGCCGTCTCGCATTCTTATCGATAGAACAGTGTGTGTGCTATTGACAATATAAATATTGTATGCAGGTGCTTTTCATTAAGTAAAAGAGAAGAGGAAAAGCTGCCTTTTACGTGAAAGCGCGATGGCGGGCTTCGCCCGTTTGTCCAGTAGGATGAAAAGGCGAGACACCATTTCTGTTCTATTCATCCCACGAGTGGTTTTGATTGATGCCCGAGGCGAGGAGTCTGGAGACGCGATAGGTTGCAGTTGGAGAGAGAGTGAGAGTGTGTGTGAGTGGGTTTTTTTTTTGGTAGTGGGTTTTGGGGGCATGGGAACAGGGGAAGTGGATGGAGAGACTGGGATGTAAGGCCGGGGGAGAGCAAGGGGAAGAGGGTGATGTTTGTATGGGGATTTACAACTGTTGTTCTGTTAATATACCTAGAAGGTAGGTGAGATGTTGCTGTCGTGGTGCTACAGGATGAGCGGTTTATGGATGCGCGATTATCTTCTGCTTGCGTTGAAACAGCTCTGATATTACTGACGATCGCGTAGAGAGGAGGAGGGCCATCAGAATAAAGCAAAAGAAGAGGATTGAGGGAGTGAAAAAAGCCGCGCGAAAAAGGGAAACATGATGGAACAAGCGAGGAAGCGAAAAATAATGTGCGAAGATGTCTGTTGATGCCCTCACGCGATCGCTGAAAGCGTCAACACTGTTGACAAGTAAGAACTCGGCATCAGCTAAAGAAACAGATGAAAAAAAAAAATCATGTTCTCGTGATGGATCGATTTTTTTTTCTTTTGCGTCTGTTCATTCGCCAGGTCTTTTGCAGCCCTCATCACCTAACCCACCACCCTCTCACAGGGCATCATCTCCCTCTCGGCTCTACAAACGTCTTTCCCATGTGCAAGTGCCAGGGAATACAGCCACAAAAACAAAAGCATGTGTCTGGCTGGCTGGAAGGTCTGGTTCCTGGTTTCTTCTGCACGTATCATCTCACAATATCATCCGGCTTTTTTCTTCCCCAACATTGGCTATCCACATTTGGTCCGGATCGTTTCCACTCACACTCGCTGCGAGACTCGGGCTTACACGGACGTTGGCGGGATACATATGTATGTATGTATGGGGTCCATGTAGGTATGTCGACGGAGTGCAAGAAATTACGTAGTACAGAGTCTGTAGAAGAAGAAAAGCAGAAGGGGAAAAGGAATAAAGAAGAGAATAGGGAAGGGAAAAGACATATATAACGCACACGTCTCCCTTGCGCTGATTCCACATATTAGATTCCTTACATGATGCTTCATCTATGCATGCAGAGCAAATGCCGGATATTGATGTTGAAGCCGGGCAAGGCAGGGCACCAAATGGTATTTCGTAGGCAGAACTTCTTGAGAGAGCGCACACACAGATTGTACCTCCAGCACGTCCAAGCCCATCTAGGCTGCTCGAGCTCGTGCTCATGCTGCTCATGCTCATGCCACACATACCTTACCTTACATACATATATGCACGCGCACATGTATGTACAGCTTACATGCCGACCGCGCGCGTCCGCCAAGCAAGGCACGTCCAAATGAGTAGTCGAGACAGAAGACGACGTCGCAAGGATGGGTAGCATCGAAAGAGAGAGAGAAAAAAAAACAGCGGGACTCTTCTCTTGTAAGTGGACGAGGACAGCGAAATGGCTGCGACCTGCAGTAGTCGAGAACACCAGAGTATATGCACACGCCTCTCCCTTTGTCTGGCCGAGAAGCACAGTGAAAAAAAAGAGTAAAGTCACCCGGGACGGCACGCGGGAAACTTCGGCGTGGAGCTTTTCTTTATTTTGCTGCTCTTTTTATTTTGACTGCCTTTCTTGTTTGGCTTCCTGGGGGAGGGGGGAGGGGGGCCTTGTGTCGGGTCTTCTTGTTCTTTCGGGTTGTGTGACAGGCAAGGGGGGGTGTTGCGATGGGATGTGATTGGGTGCGCGGGAGGAGAGCGTTAAGAAAATGAACCGGGAGGGGATCACGTTCAGCTTGCTTTGTTCGAGTTACGGGTCAAGGGGGAGGTTTGTATTGTATGGGAAGTTGCTTGATACCCTCGGTAGTTGTGAGTATCTCAGGCAATATGGGGCGTACATTTTGTTGATGCTGGCACCAACCGGCGTATGGGAAGTAATCTCGCTGGAAGGGGGGGGGGGGGGGGGGGGCAGAAGTGGCCTGTCAGCATTCGTGGACACTCATATTCCGTACGTCTCCCGACGTTCATCGTCTTCCCCCTGTGATTGAAACTGCCCAGAAGCATCGCCGATCAGGCGAGCTTGAAGCACTTGATCCTACGAATTATAGTGGCAGGAAAATTCCTCTCCAATACTTATCATACAGTATCCGGTTTTCTTTGCAGGCCGCGTCGTATCACTCGGAAGAAGCACTTACGGTAGGGTTGGCTGCAACTTATCTAGCAGAACAGGAGGAGTATCTGCAATCCTTAATGCGTTTTTGCTCATCAATGAGGAGGTATACTCAGGGCACGTGAGGCAAATTATACATAGTCTCTGAGTGTCCGTGTCGTAAAACTGCCAGGGCGGTTTTGAAAGGTTACACCGATTCACCTCCTCATAACGAGCAAAAAGGGTACTTATAGGGCCAGTCTACCATGGCCTTTAAACAGATTGAATATAAGTAACTGTGGACTGTCAAGTACGTAGTGCATGTGCAACAGGTAGAACTCATACTTCTCTCATCCTACTCAAGAATCCATCGGCTTCAGAGTATGTGCAGGTATTCTATGTATGACATATGGATATAGAGCTCAGGATACTTGAAAACCCACGTTGGAACAAGAGCGGAATACCAGACTGACTTTGTCACAGAAACACCTTTGGTTAGTTATTATTGTTGTTGTATATCTGGAACAGCCTCTGACTGGAACGGGCTTGATTCATTCGAACGGCGCTTGCTGATATCAAGATACTCTGGAACATGGCCTCGAAAACGCTCATATACTACCCCAGTGTACACTCCATCATTCTAACAACGTGCCTCGCTTTTTCAATGATTGACTTCTGCATTCATAAGACCAGTATTCTTGTATAGCATGCAGCCATCTACATCTTCATCTGCCGAGCTTGGTCTCGATACCCATTCAATCACTAAATGACCCTACCAACTGCTATCTTTGATGATAGAGATACCTGTCACGGGCAATAATCAAGCCTTGATAGCAGCCAAAAGCGTCTCCGCCCTCGCAATCGCCCGCTGGACAAAAGCCCGGTTCTTCTCCGTCCGCCGAAGGGCCTGCTCGCGGAACTGCAAATAGCGCACTTTGTTCTGCGACTCCTCCAGGCTCAAGTAGGTCAGCTCATAGATCTGCTGGAGGGTATCCAGCGATTTAGCGTCCGCCGATGCCTCACGCAGCTTTGCAACGAGCTGGTCCTGGGCTGCGTCATACACCTTCTTGTCCGTCTTCATCTTGCTCACGGCCGTTTCGACGTCTGTGCCTAGACTGGTAAGCACCGTTTGCTCTGTCTGAGTCTCCTTGTTGAATTGCGTCTTCTTTTCTTCTAGGTCCTTCTCAATGTCAGAAAGCTGTAGCGGAGAATTTGTTAGCATTTGGAAAGATCAGTTGTAAAGCGGTTTCTGACAAGAACATACCTTGCCACGTACATCGGGGGCACGCAGGCGGTCCTGAATGTCCATGAATTCCTTCATCCACTTCGCCAAATGGCCGTCCAGGTCATCATCCGGAGGCTGAGGCGGCTTTGGCGGCTTAATGTGCGGAGCCCAAGCAACCGAGTGAACAGGGCCACTGTGCTCAGAGAGCACTCGTATGCACTTGTTGGTCGAAGTGTCCCAGATCCTGACTGTCTTGTCTTTGGACCCCGAGGCAAACTGTACGCCTTCTGGAGCCCAGGAGACAGCATTTACCCAATCTCCGTGGCCATCAAGCGTTGCATTGCAGGAACCCGTGACCGGGTCCCAGACTTTGATCTTGCAATCATAAGATGCCGAGATCAGGATGCTTCCGTTGGGATTCCATGAGACACCTTTGACGGTATCGACGTGGCCTTTGAGTACCAGCTTACGCTCGCCAGTGGCTGGATCCCAGATCGTCACCTGCTTGTCATCCATTCCGGAGGCGAACAGCTTCGAATCAGGCGACCAGCCAACACCAAAGACTTGGGTCCAGGTATTTCCAACCGGAATGCCCTTGTACTCGCCGGTCAAGATGTCCCAGACTCTCATTGTATGGTCGTCTGAACCCGTCAAGATGCGAGTGCCGTCGGGAGACCAAGCAAGGGTCGGCATATCATAATTGCTCGCCTTGAGCGTGGCAAGGCACTCTCCCGTCTCTGCAACCCAGAGCCTCAGCGTACCGTCTGCGGAAGCCGAAGCCAGCTTCGTGCCGTCGGGAGACCAGGAGACGCACATGACGCCCGCCGCATGAGGGAGGGTAAAGTTGCATGCATTTGTCGTGGAGTCCCAGATCTTGAGAGTGCCGTCCGCCGAGCCCGATGCGAGTAGTTTGCCATCGGGCTCCCAGGCGACTGTCCAGACGTCGCCGGCGTGGCCTTGAAGAGTTGCCTTGCAGTAGCCGGTTTCTGGGTCCCATATTTTGATGGTCTTGTCTTGAGATGCTGATGCAATTTTGGTGACGGTTTCTTTAGTGATGATTGACTTTTCTTCCCCGGTAAGGGACGATGTTACGGTGGTCTCTGATTCGGCCATCGTGTAACAAGAGAGTGTGATGAATTATCAATAGTGGATGCCGGTTTGTGTTGCCTTGCAATGGCAGATCATGGAGAAGGGATGCTGTGTAATTCTCTCTCAATAGGCACATATTTATATTCGAACTGACTGAACGTCCTATGGTGTATCATGTCCAATTCAAGATAGCTTCCCATTGCATTTGGGACACGCCGCCGTTCAAGAGCAGAAGCAAGGTTGCAATTCTGTCACCGTCATATTCCAAATCCTCCAGCTTTCAATTGAAGCGAGCCGGCTGGCGAATCAATCCGCAACGCGTACTTCCATAGCTCTCTCATGTCTTCCACGATTCTCTTCAAGGGAGCTGAATTGATGCAGCAAATTCCAAAAGAGACAACAAGAGCCAGCTGAAAGCGGTTCTGTTGAAGAGATTTACCTTATATGGGATGCTCAGCCAGCCACATCTGGTGATGTCCTTTCCTGGTTCGGCCCTGTATGAGGGGCTGACATTCCGCTCTACAGCCAAGCAGCGTGGGTGTTGATGCAGAATTTCAGTCTCTGACACCTATCGGATTGCAGATGCTCGGCTGAAACTGTTGTTCTGTAATGCCATTGGTGTTGCTGTTGTGGCTTAGCAGCTGCATGTAAGACTTCGCTTCATTAAATGCCTGTCACTTCAGCTACCTATGCGTACCTGGTAAGATGAACTTGTAGGCAACTTCTCTCGGTTTTCTCCGACTCAAATCCTTCGTCCAAAAAATACCAGTTGTTATTCCCCTTGGCTTTCTTAAAATCAAGACACTCAACTGCCAGCTAGAATTCCTATAAGTAAACTGTATGCTAGAATAGGGGCGGCATTGGTCACACTGTTCAAGTATTCGCTGTCTCCTATCGCAGCATCTCCATTCGTTGACCCCTTATTACTACAGGATGGAAACCATGAGTAAGCCAGCTTCGAGCAACCATACAGGTCTAATCAGGATTATGTATAAAGTCCATCAGGACTACGAGAAGATGATAAGATAGATAGTAATACACTGCAGCCCCTCCTCGTCTATATGAAACCTCATATGCAGTGATGATGCAGGCGAAGAGCAACAATTGGTCGAGGACCATCACCCCGCACCTCTGAGCTGTTCACCATTTCTCCCTCTTGCAAAACCACGCGTTCAGCGTAGATTCTCGAGAGGAAGCAACTGCAATCTCGCTCGCAGAAAAACAAAAATGCTTCCCGTTCAAGAAGCGACCTACTTGGTCGCGCCCAACTGGACGTACCTCCCAGGCGGCTCCATCTCCCTCGGCAACATCGTTCTCGACCCCTTCCGCCCTCAGCACGTCCTCTCCAAGCCGACGAAGCCGCTGCCCGAGACGGAGACGGCGTTGGAGTACAACTGGATGCTTGAGACGGAGAGGCTCCGCGGCATCAACGTGGGCATCTGGAGTCGCATGTTTGATAAGCTCAGTGTCAAGCTGGGTCCGAGACGTAACAGGGGCCAAAAGATCACGATCTACATGAAGGCGCTGGAGACGATATACTTCAAGGAGCTGCCCTCGAAGGCAGATATTCAGGAGCGCGCAAACGAGGAGGAAGTCCGCAGCATATTGGGCCGCAGCAGCTTATTTCGGTACCCTGTGTACATGATAACGGGCGTGAAGATTGCAAGGGGGTTCCAGATCGTTCATGAGGGCACGGAGCAATACTTCTTCGGTATTGGGGCAACCGGCGCCGGCACCCCGCAGCTGGCTGTCGGGGCCAGTGCTGGCATGAGCTCGAGGACGACCAGGTCGGATGAATTTCTGTCTGGCAATGCAATCGTCTTTGCATACCAGCTGCTGATCATCAAGCCGAAGGGCTGGCGAGAGAGGATGACGTATGATCTGTGTGACTTTCATCACAAGGCGGCTTTGCTGGTGGATGACGATGGACGTGATGAACTAGAAGAAGAGGAGGAAGAAGATGTGGAATTTGAGCTTATCACAGGGACGGATGAGAATATCGCCACGGTTCAAGAGAGGCTCGTGCCTCTGAATCCTGACAATCCGCAACAGCATGCATGGGTGTTTCAGGCTGTCTGATATTGGACTATACAAGCTACCGGTTGCGAGTACTGGGAATGTCTACTTAAATTGTGTTTCTCTCGATTGGTTTCATAGGGTCTTTTTTACGATATAGCATTTGTTACTTCTACTGCTCTTCATCATCACCATCATGGGAAGATTTCTAGCAACCTCGTTCCATATCCACATCACTACTACCTTTGATTTTTATGGAAGAAGATAAGATCATACCTTTCGGGTGCTATGGCCATCCAATGCAGTCTTGTCTACTCATACGTCTTTCGAAGTATCCAAAATACAAGTCTAACCGTCTACTTTGTCCTTGAATGTACAACGTTTACACCATTGTAGCTAGCCACACCCCATCAAGTAGAAGGCACTGTATACTCATTCACATATGCCGCTCCAACTTGGAGAGAGCATAGACTATCGCTGCCACTCTCTCCGTATCATGCCATCTGAAAAACATCCACGGCGCCACGTACCGTCTATTACCCGCATCTTCCTTTTCCGAGATGTGCTCCAGAAGCTGGACCACACCCTCTTTTGTCTGCAGCCTTGCTCTCGTCTCCTCACCCAAGCTCCCAGTGTACTTGACATACTGCATAATTGCTGCCACAATACTCGCCATGATTGGCGTTGCCACCGAGCATCCCGAGGCCTGGACGCCCGCGTCTCCTATGTTGTACGGCACATTCTGTCCAAGGGTACCGTAGAGCAAGCCACCGGCCTTTTGTGGTCTGGGCTTGGGGCTGAACTTGTTGATGAATGCTCCTGTATGGTCCGTTCCGCGGACTGAGATGACCGTTTCATGGCTTGCTGGGAACAGCTCTTCAGAGTTTGCTCCGTCGTTATTGGCGGCTGCGAAGAAGACGACTTCGGTTTGACCTGCGTCTCTCCGCCCGCGGTTGGCGTCTGCAATTGCGTTTTCAATTTCTCGCACTTTGAAAGGGAAGCCAAACGACATGGTGATGATGTCGACTTTCCATTCTACAGCAGCGTGATTGATAGCCTAGTGAAATTCATCAGTGCCTACGAATATCTTCTCCTGTCTGCTCATCTCACCCTTGATATGTTTTGCGTAGATTCAAAGAGTCCCTTTTCGTGTTTTGCAACACGTCCGACAAAGATGTCAGCATGCAAGGCGACTCTAAGTAAAAGAGCCGTAAGTGCCGTTCCATGCTGCTTTACATCCTCGTCTATAGGTTCTGGGGAGCCATCTTGAAAATCATGCCAATGATGACATATTCGTCCCATAGCACCAGGTATGCCTGCAATGCAGGGTGCATCCAGATCGCAGCCGGTATCGAGAACAGCTACCCTGACATTCTCCACGTTCTGCGAGGTGCCTCTCAAACTCTCCAGACTCATGTTGACGCGGTCGAATTGTTTGAGCCATTGGACACTGTTTGCAATCTATTCTGGAGTTAGCATTCATGGATAATGACTTGGCTGCTCATCACATACGCTTCCATTAGATGCCAGAAGAATCGGCTCGGTCATTTCCATGGATGGGCGCGGAGGCTGTAACAGGGGCTGCATGACAACACCTTCGTCTCTGGCAATCTTTTCGCTGCGCACCGGTAGCCCACAACACTCTTTCTCTACAGAGATAGAGGTATTCAAAAGGATGGGGTTTTGGTAAGGGGGAATGTCCCGAAGTGTCTCTGTACTTGATGCTCGGATAGGCTTCCATGACTTGCTAAGCACCCGATCTCTTTGGTTCAGAGGATAGACTACCTTGATCAGTATCTCGGTCCGAAGCCTGCGGTAATAGTCCTCGCTATCCACCTCGCAAAGATCGGTGCAGATTTGCAGACAAGAGTCTATGATGTCCGGGAATGGATCCATATCCTCCAAGTACTGGTCCAAGTCTCCGTGCAATCGGGTAACTGCCATGTATAATGATTTTTCCCCGGTAATGTCGTCGATATCTTCGTCCAGGACTGCGACTTCTTTCTCCAATTCAAGCTCAATCAAAAGTGCTGCTAGAGCCAACACAAAGGGGTCTCCCGGTACCGGATCTTCGATGATGTCGAGCTCCTCCAATTTGGAGTCAAATTCACAGCTCAAGTATGCTTCAGGCACTGAGCCTTGGCCGGGAGTGACGTCCTGGTGCAGTCGAACCTGAATCGTACTGGCACTCCACGGGCTTCGCAGTAACGGGCTTCCGTAATAGTGTATGAGAGAAGTGGAAAGAAGCATGCCTAGTCTTCTCTTATCCTTCTTTTTGATCGTCCTGTAGTGGCTCAGTTTCTTCTGTCGTAATTCTTCCTCGTTTCGAAGAATCTCTCTGAGGCTTCTCGTAGGTGCTATTGTTTGTCCTTTGGACCGCGCTTTCAAGACTGAGCTTCTTGATAAGCCCTCCCCGTTAAAGTGCACTGATAGAATCTTTTTCATGCGGTAGGATCTCGTCAACTCGGAGCAAATCTCTCTGATAGATCTTTCTTGCGTCCCGCCATTTCGAGCATGGCCCATGCCAAATTCAACTTGCTGCCATAGCCGTTGGTTTCCGCAGATAGAAATCATCATCTCGAGCTCTTTCTCGGTAAACTCGGACAGACGCACATGGACATTGTGGCCCTTTGGATCTTTGGAGCATATCGTTTTCTTTACTTGTTCGAAAAGCCCTTCGAGGTCTGACGAGAGCTGTTCTACTTTGCATATCGCGGAAATATCTGGCTCGCCACCGTCTTTGAGGTCCTGCGAAATCGGAGCGCATATCCTTCCAGCGCTGCCTGACAAGACTCTTGAAAGTGTCTTGTTGACGCTATTTGCAATCATGGTTGTATTGCGCTGTGTTGGCCTTTTCCCGAACGAGATGTAGCGAGATCCGGATTGTGACTCTCCTCGGAGGATCTGGTCTCTGAGAGCAACAAGCCTAGGAAAGTCTGCTTCATTGCGGTCCTTGCAGCCCTCATTGGGCTCAGACAAGATCGATGCGTCGACAAGGATCTCAAACTGGCTGAGGATACTGTCGAGGCTGTCAACGCAAGCGTAGAAATCATCTTCGGAGAGGTCCTCTTCAGCAAAATTGCTGTCAACGATGATTGCGATCATTGAGATCTCGTGTCGCAGCAGAGTGATGCAGTTGTTGTCCTGGAGGGAGGCTCCTGAGTCTGCGGCTGGCAGGGCGTCGACAAAGGCGGGATGGATCGCCAGCAACAGCTCACTGCGTCCTACACTGTCCTGGGACAGACGCATCTTGCTGATTGAGGCTTGAAGGCTTTGACTGTGTCAATTTGTTCACGGAGAAGAGGAGAGCGCCGCCCTCCATCTATATCTGAGATGTTGCTGCGATCGATGCTGCTCAATGTTTTGGAGGGGTTGTTCAGAGACAGCGGAGTACCAGGCGTGTGCAGCAGGCCCTCGATATCTGATTGATCGGCTCATGCATCTGGTAATCCTTCTTGAGCCTCAGCCTCGCTACCCCGCTTGCTGCCTTTGCCTGTGCTCCTCCCGAGACTCTAGCATCTCCGCCTAATACATATAGGAAGATGTCTATGTAAAGATGGTCTCGTCTCAGCACGAGAGGACTTTGTATCAAGCAGTAACTGATTGCTCTGATCTATTTGAACGGTATCTCACCCTTGAGCCTGCTTCCTCTCGCCATGACTTCGCCGAGGACCTCTGGGGTCGGTTCAACCTCTGGGCCGCCTATACAGGGGCTCTTGCCGCCCCGAGAGAGTCGCTGGACGCACGTTTAGAAGGACAGGCAAATATCATGGCCATGGTTTCTGAGTTAATTAACATGATCCATGCCAATTTGGACTATGGTACGTTTATTTTTCCCATCTCAAATCTAATGCGATGAAGTTCTCAAGACATCTTTCTCCAGAGCTTACCAGGATGCGCGACGACGCGACAAGTCCCGACCACAATACAGAGGAGGGCTTACCATTGGACGTCGGATTAAAAGCCGTCGAAGAAGCACTGAAACGTCTGCATACGCTGGGATCGTTGATTCAGAAGATTGCGCTTAAAGATCAACAGCAGTGGCCGTCGGATCAGAGCCATTGCTACAAGATTTTCGTCAAACACAGATTTCCAAAAGCTAAGCAGTCACTCGTCGACCAGATCGGAAGATCCCTCTATGTCAGGGGGAAGTCGATGTTTTACCGGCAGCAACACAATAGACAGCTGGCAGTGAAAGGACTTTTGCGTTCTGTTCCGGCTCCGAAGAGTGAGAATATCACAAATTCATCTGATAAAGGGGAGTCGAATGCACCAGACGAGATCGAAAGCAACGAGTTCCACAGCAAGTCTCATACAATTTGGGAGAAAAGACATAGAGAAGTACTGAATAAGATCACGAAGAGGCCTGAGTCTGATGACTCTTCTGATGCTTCTGACTCCTCCAGCAACGGAGGATCCGATTCGGGAGGAAGTGCTTCGGACGAAAGCTTCGTATATCCGAAGGAGGCAGATGTAGAAGAGAGACAGCAGAACGATTTATGCCCTCTATGTTTCGAGCCTGTTGGCCTGTCTGATCTCTCAAGAAAAGCATTCCGGTACGTGGTACTTCGCTCGGCACACCTTGCGAGCATGGTGTCTAACTGGAACTTAGCGAGCATATGAGTCGGGATTTCCAGCCATACGTATGCATCTCTGAAGAGTGCAGAGACCCGCCTCGGTTCTTTGCTCACCTAGATGACTGGGAATCTCACATGCAAACAATGCACACCCCTGAATGGGCACGGAAAATACACACAATTACCTGGTACTGCGAGATTGACAGCTGCAGAGAGAGTGCTGCGAGGAAGGAGTTTGCCGATAAAGGAGAATTTATACAGCACTTCTCGACAAATCATCCAAGGAAACTCACCAAGACGCAAATTCTAGCAAAGACAAGGAGAAACAGAACAACTAAAACCAGGGATCTTCTCGTTTGTCCCCTCTGCGACTGTTGCCCTAGAGGCCTAGAGACATCCTCAGAAAACCCGCAAAGACAGCTGGCAGAGCATATTGCGAAGGACCTCAGACGCCTTATTTTTGCCTCGTATTCTTACTTGGATGATGAAGAGGTTGGGAGTATATCCATGAACACCTGCGTGTCGGGCGAATCGGGTGAAAGGAACCACAGGCTGTCTGAGGTGCCATCTGAAGAAGCTGAGGTTGCTACCCAGGAAAAGACGATCGAAGCCAACCCCAGCCCCCCCGAACTTGAGGAGCCAGTTATCTGGCCAACAAGCCTCTCTAGGGTATATCACTCACGCGACATGACGTTGGAACTATTTGCAGCGGCGCTGCAGCGGCCGCACTGGGAGAAGGCGTATAAGCGATACGATGGGATGATGGAGCAAGTCAACTCTCAAGAGCCGGACATGAGAGCTCTCGCAATCCGATCCCTACTGTGGGTCACATTTGCAAGGAGGCCCATGACGGGCCCGGAACTCCAACACGCCGTCATCGTGAAGGCTGGTGACAGGAGCCTTGATGGAAGGGAGTTGCCGACGGTTGATGAAATAATCGAAGCGTGTGGTGGATTTCTCGCAACCAATGCGGAGGATGGCTTTCTCCAGCTTGCCGATCCATGGATGAGCAGATGGCTCAGGGCAAACTGGCCCAACTGGCTGCGTGATACCCATGAAGGAATCACTGCTACCGTTTGCCTCACGTACTTGTTATTTGACGTCTTTGGCACCGGTTTCTGCACGTCAGATGATGGTTTCGAGAACAGATTACGGTCGTACCCCTTTTACAGCTATGCGGCGCACAACTGGATTCATCACAGTCGGAACGATTTACGAGGAAACCCTCTGATATGGGACTTTCTACAGAGCGAGGAGAAAGTCTCTGCATCATATCAGGCATTGATGGCTGAGAAGGGTTTCGACGGCTATAGTCAAGCGCCTCCGTCGCGCGTGACGGGACTACATCTGGCTGTTCACTTTGGACTAAAGCCGATAGTACGGGACTTACTCCAACACACGTTTGATCCGGACGTTACCGACAGCCGTGGAAGAACGCCTTTATCCTGGGCTGCCGAGGGCGATAAGCCGGGGATTGTTGTCACATTGCTGGAGCAGGGTGCTGATGTGATTAATTCTGAGAACAGGGGGGGTTTCGCACCTATCTCGTGGGCCGCGTGGAAGGGGCTCCGGAAAGTCATGGAACCGTTGTTACAATTCGGTGCAGACACTGATGCCAGAGACTCCAACCTCTATACACCGCTGATATTAGCCACGTGGAATGGGCATCGCGAAATCGTTGAGCTGCTGGTTGACAAGGGTGCCTACATCGACGCAGCAGACGTTTCCGGACGCACTCCACTGTTACTCGCTGCAAAGAATGGTTATCGCCAAATTGCCGAGCATCTTCTGGAACATGGTGCCAATATCGAGTCCAGAGACGACAACGGCAATTCGTCGCTTTCCTGGGCCGTCAAGATGGGACATCGGGCTGTTGTCGAGCTGTTGGTTGAATACGGCGCGGATGCCCAATCGGAAGATGATCGAGGACAAACGCCTCTTGCATGGGCGATTGAGAACGGCAGACAGGATATTGTCACACTACTACTTGACACAGAGGTCAAGGTTGACCTTGGCCATGGAGAGCAGTGTGACTCGCGAAAGCGTGGCAAGGACAGGCAATCCCAGTCTTCCGCCGACGAGGATACGACGCCGTCTTCGGATGAGGAGAGCGAAGAGGACGAAGAAGACACGAAAACGAAGTCTCGTGGCAAGGGAAAGGCGCCAGCAAGGGAATCACCCCTCAAGAAGCCACAGGCACCCCGATCGCTTGATCTGAGTAATTGGCGACGTCTGAGGCCGCGTGAATAGATATCAGTACTTATTTCAATCGCATGAGCTGAGGGGCCACGCCGAAAATAATAGGTACTGCAGCATTGTTTTTTTGCTTTGCACAATGTAATCCGTTGATCTGGGCAAATGGGCATGAGCATGTCTCGAACCATCATTCATTTGTTGACGACACTGAGAAGCCTGCCCGACTTGGCATTTCATTCATATTCAGGACATGATAACAAGACACACCCAAGAGTACAAAGCACGAACCATCAGTCGCGGCTCTTTTACATATGACTTATCTATTCAATTGCGAAGAGGATGACGGATAACAAACGACTGCATCGCGGAGCGTCTTCTGGATATGTGTTTCTGGTATCTGCCAGTGATAGTTCAATCAATCTAGGGTACCCAGGTATGGGTAACTATACGAGATTAGTTTTAGGCTCAAACCGTCCAAGATCTCCAGATCAGGATCTATTGACGAGCTACCGGATAGACTCCGTACGGCTTTCAACACGCTCCATGAGAGTCATTGGGCTAATTTATGTTTAATCGATATACTAGACAGTCTAGCAGAATATCCAAGAGCTTATTAGTAGACAACATAGCACCTCTTAACTGTACGCGGTAATATGCTTAGCCGCGTGAATCTAGCACGACTCCATTCCGCACTGTCCAAGATCTTGTTCAATTACATCATTGCGGCAGGTCGATCATTACCTCACTCAAGGCAACGGTGGATAATGAATCATCAAGTTTGTACATATGTATACGGGCTTGGGGGCAAGGAGATATATCGGAAAGTGGGATGCTGGGAATGATTCCAAACCATGGAGACACGATAGTATTGCAGTGCTAATCTGAGCAGAATTCCATCTCATCGCCATCTCGGCATCGCGAAGTGGGCGATCAATGTTTCTGCCGGCGCGAACTGAACTATAGACTTAGCAGCGATGAACCAAATGCAGACGAACCACTGACATTGTCCGAATTTTCAATCACCAAACAGATGTGGAATCCCGAAAACTGGGACCCCTTGTCCCTCTAACCCGGGCTGTTGATGTGCCAGTCAATTCACAAAGCCTGTATCACACATACCTTACCTGGAGCTACCAAGCTGTCGCGCCGTCGTTGACGTCAATCTAATATCACGACCAAGGCGTTGATGTAGGAGTGACGGCTTGCTGCACTAATCGCCACTCATCATGATCTCATGGTTGAAACCATGTACTGTAAGCGGTTGCCGTGCGCATGCCGTATATAAGGGCAGTTGCGAATGGCTTGCCCTCAAATAGAAAACTGCGTGAGAAGACTCGCAGCTCTCAGCAAACCCTTCCCATCAAGACAGCGTCGTGAGCAAGCATGTCGAACATCATTCCGCCGTCCGTGAAGCAAGCAGTCATGGGCCAGAGAGAGGCGAAAGCAGACCAGCTGGCGCAGCACATGGTCGAGCCGACCAAGGACAGCCGGATCACGTCTGATTTCGGCACCAAGCAGAACAACACGGACGACTGGCTGCGGATCGCTCGCGACGACCAGCTCGGCCCGTCGCTGCTGGAGGATCCCTTTGCACGCGAAAAGGTACCCTATGAGCTTCACCTTTGCGTCTCTTTCTTGAAAACCGATAACTAATCATCCCATATGCAGATTCACCGATTCGACCATGAGCGTATCCCCGAGCGTGTAGTCCACGCCCGAGGCACCGGAGCCTTTGGAACGTTCCGACTATACGAGTCCGCCGAAGACGTCACCTTTGCGCCTGTGCTCACCGACACATCCCGCGAGACTCCCGTCTTCGTCCGCTTCTCGACCGTCCTTGGAAGTCGCGGTTCGGCCGACACCGTCCGCGACGTGCGCGGCTTTGCCGTCAAGTTCTACACCCAGGAGGGCAACTGGGACATTGTAGGAAACAACATCCCCGTCTTCTTCATCCAGGACGCCATGAAGTTCCCGGACGTCATCCACGCCGGAAAGCCGGAGCCTCACAACGAAGTCCCCCAGGCGCAGTCGGCGCACAACAACTTCTGGGACTTTGTCCAGATGCACAGCGAGGCCACGCACATGTTCATGTGGGCCATGTCGGACCGCGCCATTCCTCGCTCATACCGCATGATGCAGGGCTTTGGCGTCAACACGTTTACCCTCATCAACAAGGCCGGGAAGCGCTCGTTTGTCAAGTTCCACTTCACCCCGGAGCTGGGAGTGCACTCGTTGGTGTGGGACGAGGCGTTGAAGCTCGCTGGCCAGGATCCTGATTTCCATCGCAAAGACCTGATGGAGGCTATCGACAACGGAGTGTACCCCAAGTGGAAGTTTGGTATCCAGGTCCTGGACGAGAGCCAGGAGCACGACTTTGACTTTGATATCCTTGATGCCACCAAGGTCTGGCCCGAGGATCTGGTTCCTGTTCGATATATCGGCGAGCTTGAGCTGAACAAGAACGTCGACGAGTTCTTCACCCAGACCGAGCAGGTTGCCTTCTGCACCAGCCACGTCGTGCCCGGCATCGGCTTCTCAGACGACCCCCTCCTGCAGGGCCGCAACTTTTCGTACTTTGACACCCAGCTCAGCCGCCTGGGCGTCAACTGGCAGGAGTTGCCCATCAACAAGCCCGTCTGCCCCGTCATGAACTTCAACCGCGACGGCGCGATGCGCCACACCATCTCCAAGGGCAAGGTCAACTACTGGCCCAACCGGTTCGAGGCCCAGCCCCCGGCCACGCACGCCGAGGGTGCCTACGTCGACTATCCGGCCAAGGTCGAAGGCATCAAGCAGCGGGGGAAGAGCGCCAAGTTCAAGGAGCACTACTCGCAGGCTCAGCTCTTCTTCAACTCGCTCTCCGAGGTTGAGAAGAACCACTTGCTGGCGGCCTTCTCATTCGAGCTCGACCACTGCGACGAGCCGGTGGTGTATGAGAGGCTCGTGAAGCGGCTGGCTGACATCGACCTCGGCCTGGCCCAGTCGGTGGGCAAGATGGTGGGCGGCGCCCTGCCGCAGCAAGCCGGACGACCAAACCACGGGAAGAAGGCAAAGGGTCTCAGCCAGCTGGAGTTTATGCCCGCGAAGCCCATGATTGCCTCAAGGCGAGTCGGCATCATCATCTCCGACGGATATGACCCCGTTGCCTACAACGCCATGTACGGAGCACTCACCGCAGCCAAGGCCGTTCCGCTGGTCATTGGCACGCGCCGCTCCGAGATCTTCCCCGACGGCGAAACTGCCGCCGGCAAGGGGGTCGTCCCTGACCACCACCTGGAGGGCCAGCGCAGCACAATGTTCGACGCCCTCTTCATTCCCGGCGGCGCCAAGGCCATCGCGGAGCTTTCCAAGAGCGGGCGAGCCCTGCACTACATCCGCGAGGCTTTCGGCCACCTCAAGCCCATTGGGGCCACGGGTGAGGGCGTGCTGTTGGTCGAGAAGGCCCTTCAGATGCCGGATCGGGTGGCTACCTCGAGCAACCACGAGGCCGTCGAGAGTTACGGTGTGGTTACACTGAAGAACGTCCACCCCGAGCATCTGAAGGAGATTGTGATTGTTGCCAAGGGGGCTTCAGGGTTCCTGGACAAATTTGCGTATGCGATTAGCACGCATCGCTGCTGGGACCGTGAGCTCGACGGGCTCAACAGCATGGTGGCGTACTGAGGGATATCGTTCACATCGTTGAACGAGGCGGACATGAGAAACGACTTGATATCTGTATTATTTACTTGTACATGTACGGCAGTCACTAATACCTGTCTCAATCAATGAAGATTGATGTAAATAAGCTTAATCAAACTGTCTAAAATATGTTTACATTTTAAGTCTTTGCTCCTGGTTTGTGCTAATAAATGCGTGAGGTGACATCGTCCGGGAATAGTGAGACGAAGTGGTATCACCAAGTGGAGGGACTCATTATTGTTCATGCACGTCCCATGTACAAGGCCTAAATCCGCCAGCTATTCCCCGTATGACCTGTCAATACTCGATACGATACAGTAGCTGTATGGACAAGCAAGTACTACTGGTATGGGTGTAACCCCAGCTGCTACAAACCCTGGGAAGCAGACTCTCACAACCTATTACTAGGTACTCTCGTTCGTTTTCTCAAAGTTTAGGGCATCTCGCATGAGAGCAAGACGTTGCCGGCATCGCCTCAGCTACTTATGATGCCATCTCATCAAGCCCATGAGACCACCTATGCACTGTCACAAGAGAACAAACTTCGCCTTTTGGAACCCGCAAAAACAGGGGAGATGCCCGTTGGTCTTTGCTTGTCTTTAATCCGCTTGATCTGTGTCCACAGGAACGGGGGAAAAAACAACTCGGGTTCGTATTTGCGGTGTGGCAGCTTCCAACAGGGGTATGGAAAATCGACCTTCCCACACGACGGGTTAATATCCACAAGCCGGCGAAATGGTAAATTTATAAATCGAGCATCATTCCCATCTGGGTGGATTTCAAACAAAAGAAAAGGAAGCGCATCGTGGAAAGGGTGCAAGGCTCGGATAAAGTCCTCTTCTCGCCATGGGCAACTCGAATTCCACCACCCTGCCGATCGAGTCGTGCATACAGAGCGTCTGCAACGGACGACTGGACTGCTACCATGTTCCGACGAGCAACCTGGACACGTCGTGGACCAAGCTGTACAATCTCGATCTTCCGCGGTATCCCAATATCATCGTTCGGCCAAGCAACACGACTGAGGTCTCTGCCGCTGTGAAGTGCGCGCATGTTAATGGGTACAAGGTCCAGGCTCGTTCTGGCGGACACTCTTATGGGTACGGAACAGAGGGTTTTCAGACACTGTTACCGTTCCGCTGTTCTGACATGCGATTGCAGCAACTTTGCGCAGGGGGCGGGCGACGAGAATGGCATGATGATCGACTTGGTCAACCTCCAGAGTTTCCAGATGGATAACACCACTTGGCAAGCGAGCATTGGATCAGGCTTCAGACTGGGTGGACTCGACAAGCTGCTGCATGCCAATGGCGGCCGGGCTATTGCTCATGGAACATGCCCTGGCGTCGGAGTCGGAGGGCACGCAACTGTGGTTCGTACTATACCACGCAACAGCCGAGCTGGTTATCCGCGCAGGATCAACTAACGAGTTTGAACAGGGAGGACTTGGGCCCATGTCGAGAATGTGGGGAGCCGCGCTCGATCACATACTCGAGGTCGAGGTTGTTACGGCAAATGGAACCGTGGTGCGGGCAAACGAAGGGCAGCATCCAGATCTGTTCTGGGCCATCCGGGGTGCCGGAGCCAGCTTCGGCATCGTGACGGAATTCGTCCTCAAGACGCACCCGGAGCCCGGCAGCGTTGTCGAGTACACCTACAGCTTCAGCTTTGGCGAGCAGAAGGACATGGCGCCGGTCTTTCAGCAGTGGCAGGAGCTGGTCTACGACCCGAACCTCGATCGACGATTCTCGACGCTATTCATCGCAGAGCCCTTAGGTGCTCTCATCACCGGCACCTTCTATGGCACCGAGGAAGAGTTTGACAAGACGGGCATCGCGAAGAGAATCCCCGTCGGCGGAGACGTAAAGCTGGCTCTAGTGGACTGGCTGGGTAGCTTGGCCCATATTGCCGAGACGACCGGTTTGTACCTGAGTGATCTCGCTACACCGTTCGCCAGCAAATCGTTGGCGTTTGATAAGAACGACAAGCTGGGCAAAGAGTCCATCGACGAGCTCTTCACTTACATGGACGACACGGACCCTGGAACCCTGCTGTGGTTCATCATCTTCAACTCCGAGGGCGGCGCCATGGCCGACACTGCATATAACGCAACCGCATACCCGCACCGCGACGCCATCATGATGTACCAGTCCTACGCCATCGGCATTCCGCAGCTGAGCCAGGGCACGAGGGAATTCGTCTCCGGCGTTCACGACAGGATCAAGAAGGCGGCGCCGCAGGCGAACACGACGTATGCTGGATACGTGGATGTGTCGTTGAGCAGAGAGGAGGCCGAGTGGACGTACTGGGGCGACAAGGTGCCAAGGCTGCAGGAGATTAAGAAGCTGTACGACGCGAACAATGTGTTTTTGAACCCTCAGAGCGTCGATTTGCCATGAGTCTGATCGGCGGCAGAGGGGTAGGTATATGAGCTGTGGTTCATTGTTTTCTCACGGCGCGAGCGGTCTTTGCGTTGCTGGATGGCGGCTGTCGAGGCGGGCTTTGGTCAACTGCAAGGTGTTGCTGTATAATTAAACTACCGAGGTAGGTAACTGAGTGCATACTGGTGCCTTGTGATAAGGTAAACTGTGAGCAGGAAGATGTGCAGTTGGTGGAGGATGGCGAGCCGGATAAATGCAGCAGGAGGTGTAGAATCTTGCCAGTCCGTCCGACAGGGCCATGCCTCGTCCACCCGTTGTTGCTAGCCCTCCGATACTGCTGCAATAGGGATGGAATTGCATTCAATGTTATCGTCAGAACCATGAGCCATATGATACATGTGAAGCACGTGGTGATCATCGAAGAGACAACTTTTCCGTGTCGAAATTGAAGTGACGAGATTGAAGTGACGAGATTGAAGTGATGGAAGTTGATAGGTGTGAAAGTACGTACCCTGATGGTTCGCAGATGAAGAATTGGAGGACCGCGGCAGGGGAGGAGGAATTGGGCAAGTACGCGCGCCCCGCCTTCCCCCAGTTAGGCGGTGGACACGGGTGGAGGCAACCGCGACCGCAGCTGTTGCATCTTGAGCAGCCATCACAAAGGTCTCAAAGCAACAAACAGCAGGAGCAGCTCTTGTTGGTGTTGATGTTATCAATCACGTCACTCGCCTACTCAAATTCTCTCTTGATTACCAGGGCTATTAATTTTGACACAATCCCCCCCTTGAGATTGATAACAATCACACTGCATCAGCTCTTGTGAATTACACAGTCAGACTCTCTGCTGAGCTTAGCTAATCGGCGCCCCGTCTCGTCCCCCTTCCCACTTCTCCACTACCCCGCGTTACTGCAGCTCCTCCTCCCTCCTCCTCCCTGTTGCTACCAAGACAGGCATCTAATCGTCAATTCATGCGCCAATCGGGGTTTCACCGTCCCTCACCAGCTCCCCAGCGGCCAGTCGCGGCACAAGTTGCCCGATTGCCCAGATAGGCGACTACAGGGGGTTTCGATAGCGATCACGAGGCGCCGGACGGGCATCACCGGACTTTGCGCGGAGGCGCCCTAGACAAATCGACAAACGGATTAGATAACGGTTTGAGCCGTGTGGGTAGCTCTCACAGACATTCTTGCATTTTTACTGCCCGACATGGCCTGCGCGCGCCCTTGGGTGCACATCTATTGCACTTGTAAGGCGTAGTCAGGCCTTCCAAGGTTCTGATACCCGCATGGGGTCGTCTTGCTGCATAACCTCCATTGGCAGATACTCCGGCCGCTGCTGGCTGTCGCTCGAAAGACTACTTACATGCAGGCCGCCTCGCATCTGCATCAGGATCTTCTCCATCTCTGGCATCTTTGACTGGACAGCCGGACCTTTTCTGTCCTTCTTTTCATTCTCATCTCTGTTCACGTCTTTCTCCTTTGCCCCCGTCAAGCCTCCTCCGCCTTCCAGCCACCACTCCAGCATCCCACGCCAAGGCAACTCTCATCCCACGTTTGTCTTCATACAGCCAAACACGTTACAGCTGATACCACCCACCCGACGACTCGTGCAGACGGTCCAAGTAAGTGTCTGGATACCGCATACAGATATCAAATCTGCTTTTCCTCCATCACACTTCCTTATGTCATCACTCGCGGATATGTCCCGGCTTCCACCAACCATGCCTTACGCCATGTCTATCCGAGGCCGATTCCGAACAGTCTCAGCCGCCCCCTCCGCAGTCCCCCTCGCAAGCCACTTCCCCTCAACCCATGACCCAAACTGATCGCCATTGCACCATTCCCCTACGCCGTTTCCGCCCTTTGATATTTCAAATAGCCATCACCTTCACTTAGTGCGCTCCATGCAACTAACTTCCCCGAAGCAGCTGTCCAATCGCGAGGCGGAATGAGTCTCCTGCAGCGTTCGGGGGCATCTCTGCCGGCTCTCTGGAGACGCCGTCCTGCGGTGCCGGTCATCGGGGCCGTAGCTTCAAAACACAGCACTTACACCCAGCCGCCCTCTCGGCTACGGAAATACTCTACATCAAGCCTCACAATCCCGAACACCGCATCAGCCCGAGGGCGCAGTCTCATTGATAAAAGGGCAATTCCCTCCACTGCCATTGTGAGCAGCAATAGACAAGCATCCACCGCAGCCATGGAAAAGCCAGACTACCAGAACATGTACACGGCCTCTTCGGCCTTCTTCGAGGCGCTGTGGGAGGCCGGTGTCACTCACTGCTTTGTGAACTTGGGGTCGGACCACCCGAGCATCATTGAAGCCATGGTCAAGGGTGCTCGTGAACGCAAGGGCAACTTTCCACGAATGATTACCTGTCCAAACGAGGTATGTCTTTCCCATGGTTTGTCACCACATCCCTTTGGATGTGGATCGTTACATCATGTCATCCTGCACAGATTGTTCTGTATGTGTGCGAGTGCTTACCATGGCTTCAGATGGTTGCCATGTCCATGGCAGACGGCTATGCTCGATTGACTGGCAAGCCTCAATGCGTCATTGTCCACGTTGATGTTGGCACACAAGGCCTTGGAGCGGCTGTGCACAACGCCGCCTGTGGTCGTGCCCCGGTACTGGTCTTTGCTGGTCTTTCGCCATTCACTCTTGAAGGTGAGCACCGCGGCAGCCGTACCGAGTACATCCACTGGATTCAGGATGTCCCCGACCAGAAGCAGATCGTTGCCCAGTACTGCCGCTACACTGGCGAGATCAAAACGGGTGCCAACGTCAAGCAGCTGGTCAACCGTGCGCTGCAATGGGCCAAATCAGGGCCTCAAGGGCCGGTATATCTGTACGGCGCTCGAGAGGTTATGGAGCAGGAGATTAAGCCCTACCAGCTGAGACAGAGCGACTGGGACCCCGTGAAGCTTGGCAGTTTACCCAAGCCGGCGGTCGACACGATAGCAGATGCTCTTGCCGGTGCCAAACGCCCCATGGTTCTGACGGGTTACGGCGGCAGAAACCACGAGTTCCCCAGAGCCTTGGTAGAGCTCGCCAACCTTGTTCCCAACCTGAGGGTAGTAGACTGTGGAGGCAGCGACATGTGTTTCCCATTCGACCACCCCGCTTCGCTCGGCCTCAACTACGGAGGTGAAAAGTCCATCGCTGACGCCGATGTCATTCTCGTCATCGATGCCGACGTACCCTGGATTCCCACTCATGTCAAGCCGAATCCCGATGCCAAGGTGTTCCACATTGACCTCGATCCGCTCAAGCAGCAAATGCCCGTCTTCTACATTGAGTCTCAGGCCACCTACCGTGCCGACAGCCAGCTAGCTATTGAGCAGCTGACCGAGGCTCTCAAGTCCGGTGAGCACGCCAAGAAGCTGCAGGCCCAGGACGTTGCGCAGATTGCCGAGAAGCGGAAACAGGAGCATGAAGCTCGTCTTGCCAAGATTGCCAAGGCAGCTGAGCCTCTGGCCGACGACAGCTTTGGAACCGGCTATCTGTGCAGGCAGGTCAAGAAACTGGTTCCCGAGGACACCTTGTGGGCCATTGAGGCCGTGACCAATACCGTCTTTGTGTACGACAACATCCAGCCGTCGACTCCCGGATCATGGATCAACTGCGGCGGCGGTGGTCTCGGCTGGTCTGGCGGTGGTGCGCTGGGCATGAAGCTGGCCACTGATGCGGAGAATGGAGGCAAGAACAAGGGCAAGTTTGTCGTCCAGATTGTGGGCGACGGCACCTATCTATTTACTGTCCCCGGAAGCGTGTACTGGATTTCGAAACGCTACAACATTCCCATCCTGACCATTGTGCTCAACAACAAGGGTAAGTGTTCATGAAAGCTTGTATAGCATGTCGCGTTGAATGATGACTGATATCTGTGTGACCGTTTAGGATGGAACGCTCCTCGACGGTCACTGCTGCTGGTCCATCCCGAGGGACTGGGCTCTCAGGCGAGCAACGAGGAGATCAACATTTCGTTTGACCCGTCACCGGACTACTCGGGCATTGCCAAGGCTGCTGCCGACGGCGACATTTTCGCTGCCCGAGTGAGCGAGAGGTCCGAGCTGGAGGACGTGCTGAAGAAGGCCATTGCGCACGTCGAGAACGGCCAGTCGGCGGTGGTGGATGTCAAGGTTGCGTCGGGATGCTGAGGTATGATGGCAGGCAGATGGACTATGAGACGATGGGACGATGGGATTGAGTGGTACATGCCGGATAGAGTAGAGGCCAGTAAGAATTGCTGCATTGCCTAAGATTTGTAGAACGGATTGAACGATTTCGAACCACGCGGCTCGTGGCCCCCATGGTCGTATGTTGAACATGTCACATTGTCGAATGACACTGAAGCAGGGAGACTTTGTGTGATGCACAAGCCAAGCAAACATGGAGAAAGATGCCACAGAGTTTATTTTTAGGAGCAATTATGAAAGCGAATGGGTACTCGGGCTCAGTCTAGGTAGCTCCAGCTTCGACTGCCTCATCACAGCTCGTCTGTTCACATGTCAGTGACTATATCAAACCGTCACTCCTGCGAACGATACGCCACATTTACGTGTAATATCTGGCGCCTGGTTTGCATTAAGCGAACAATGGGATTCAGCCACGTCGGTGTCTATTAGGTAGGGCGCCGTTACCGCTTGATTCGCTGACTTGGCCTATTTTTGTATATCCTGCGTCCGAGGGACATGTAGGTAAGGTAGGTAAGGTATGTACCAATGTGTGGGCATCTTACTGCGTCATGCACCAGGAATTGACCTATGAGAAATTGGTTGACGTTGTCGGGAATGCTGATGATTGGCGATTCTCCTTGCTATCTTATGGGATGGGAGGTGTGTATGGCGGAGGGGACATGATATCTGCTGGCAACCTGCTTGGAATCATCCCACCTTTATGGTAAATGTGTGGTAGTGTACGGATGTAGGAGTTATGAGGCTGTAAGAGGAAAAAAAGGGCACTCCGCGTCTCCGCATTGCGTACCTTTTGAGGAGGGGTGGAAATCGTCGATTCGCTAGGGAGGGTGAGATTCTTAGACCGCTTGGGGGCTGGATGCCATGGCAGAGACGATGCATGAGAGGTGCATGGCGAAGGTGCTTGTTTGGACAAAAGGTGGTGGTGGTGGATGAAATCTTGCATTGGCGTGGGTTATGTATTGGTGGTGGTGGTGGTGGTGGTGGTGGTGGTGGTGGGGAGGAGAAAGGCTGCAATCATAAGCTTGGTCGCTTGGCCACTTCAAGTGAGAGTGAGTCTGTGATGCACTTGTTTCAGTCAGCTTGCAGAACATTGTTCATTGATGCCGCTATCTGGAGGAACGCAGAGCCCAGAATGCCTCAGATGGTCTTGGCCGTGATTCAGTATGCGGGATAGTACTCGTAGTCAGTTGTCAAGTGGGGGGAACCTCCTCTGTGGCGTCTGGGTTTTGGCCAGAACAAGTAATGATCTAGGCTCGTGATGCTTTTCTACCTACCTAGTCATATGCCAGCAAAAAAAGAAAGACAAAACAGAAAAAAATAGGGGTCTTTTCAAAGAGAGGAAAGAAGGTGGAAAACAGAGGGTCTGGTCTGGGTAATACTAAGACTAAAAGTAAAGGGTCCAAATGATCGGCCGTCAAAGAGCTGTTTTGGGCGTGGATGGGGAGCATCACGTTGCATGCAGGAGTCAGTTAATAGACAGATACTAGGTAGGTACTAGAGCAGGTAATGCTAATGCAGATGCATGCACAAGTAGGTATCAACGGAACAAGAAGGAAGAAGAAGAAATCACAAGCAAAGCAGAGGGTGGCATGACGAGATGCTGATTGAATGGTGGGAGCTGGACGCCGGATCTCGATACGACAAAAGCCACAGATGAAGGCGAAATTCAATTGCTTCAAACAGTACAGTACTGCCTTACATATAGGTAGATAGTCATCAATGTCCCCTCCGCTCGAGTCGCAGTCAATCACACGTGGCGACAGAGGGCAAATTTAGGCGCCGGCTGGTCCCTGAAGGCAAATACGCTCCAGTCATTTTGCCTCAACTCTCTCGCCTCTTTTCTTCTCCTCCTGTCCATATGTCGATGAACGCCTAGAAAGACGAACAGAAGAGAGAGAGAGAGAAGAGAGAGAGAAAAGAAGATCAAGTTGCTCGACCTGACTGGACGCTTGGTCCACCCAATGCTCGAGTCGTGAGTTGGCGCCCCCCACGGCTCTTTTTTGACCTCCCCCTTCTCCTTCGTCGGATCTTTTATTTATTTTTAATTTGGTTTTACTGTTTCGGCGGCTGCAGAGCCTGGCTGATCACGCGCTCACTCGGTCCAGAGCGGGAAGGACTTTTATTGGCCATTTTCTTTTTAATCTTCTATTTTCATCTGCACCTGCATTCAGGGTAATACATACCGGTGTGTGTGTCTCTTGTCGAGACGGCGCTTCCCGATAGAATCCGTTTGCGGCAGCGGAGACTTTTCATCGCGCGTGGCGACGACAGGGAACAGCAGCCCGAGAGCAGCGAGAGAGGGACGAATCACGGGGAGAGGAAACAACTGAAAGAAGCTCGAGAAGAAAGTAGAGCAGAAGAAGAAGAAGAAGAGGACCAGCAGAGACTACCCTTGACTCACCGCAAGCATCCCCGAGGGATCATGAGAGCGGCCCAGTCCCAGCGCACCCACGCCTTGCATCGACCGAGGCGCCTCCACGACTGCGTCTCTTGACACCGACGAGCCCTTCAAGACGACAGAAATCAACTCCACGAGGGCTTCAGCTAGAGCCACATACCCATTTGGTGAAGCGAAACCACACAAGCGACCATCGCCCAAGGCAGCGAACCAAGTCGCCGACGCGCGCGAAGCCTCCACGCGTGTGACTCGACCCGAGCCTAATACCTCGAACCGCGACGCGCGCGCACATTCTTGCCGCTCGTTCAAACTGCGAGAGTCACCAAAAAACCAAAGCACAGCCAACTGCGCAGACGAGAGAAGGGAACGGTGAAGCCAGGGCGAGGCGAACCAAACAGCCAATCCCGCGCCATGTCGTCCTCTGCCGCAACCGAGACGCAGCAAGTCGAGGCCACTGCGCCGATCCAGCTGCAGCAGCAGGATCAACAGCCACAGAAGCCAGAAGAAGCCTCGTCCCTCGAGCCCAGTCCCGTCCACGATCCTCCGCCTCCGCCCGTGCCCTCGTCCGACCCGCGGCTCTCCATCGACCACGACCGAAGTCCACCGACCGCGACGACCGACAGCACCAGCAACGATGAGTACGACCTGTTCAAGCTCAAGCCCGCCGAGGCCCTGCAGCTGCTCAGCGCCGGCGTCGAGCTGCTGGTTCGCATCACCGGCGACGTCCCGCCCACTCCTCCCCCGAAGACGCCCACGGATCCCCAGATGAGCAATATGCAGGCTGAGAAGGAGAACATTGCGCGGTCGCACTCGGAGAAGAGCCTCGCGCGGCTACGGGCCCAGGCCCTCAGGGAAGAGCAGGAAGAAAAGCTCAGGAAGCAGCGCCAGCAGCAGCAGCAGCAGCTCCAAGAAAAGCAGCAGAAACACGCCCACAGGAGCGGTGGCTCGTCGGTAGGCAGAACAAGCAAGCTCCAGGCGTACAGCGCGTCCATGTCAGCACAGCTGATAGCCCAGCAGGACGCCTATGTGCAGTCCATTGACGGCGTGCGGCTAAAGCACGACGCCCTGCGACGCGCGAATCCCTCGTCCTCGGCCCCGAATCTGCATCCTCCCGAGCCGTACATTGTCGTCGGGGCAGACTCGCAGCCCCTGAACCTCCAGCACGGCGCCATCACGCGCAAGTTCTATAGCAAAAACGAACCCCCGATCTCGGTCAACCAGTATCTGCAGCGACTACACCAGTTCTGCCCGATGAGCACGGCCGTCTATCTCGCCACGTCATTATACATCCACCGCCTCGCTGTCGAAGAGCGTGCTATCCCGGTAACGAGACGAAACGCGCACCGGTTGGTGCTCGCAGGCTTGCGCGTGGCCATGAAGGCGCTCGAGGACCTTTCGTACCCGCACACAAAGATCGCCAAGGTCGGCGGCGTGAGCGAGGTCGAACTGGCGAGGCTGGAAATCAGCTTCTGCTTCCTTGCGGGGTTCGAGCTCGTTGTGAGCGCAGAGCGGCTGAAGAAGCATTGGGCGGTATTAAGGGAGGGCAAAATCCAGCGCATGGTCGATGGGATCGAGGTTCCGCTGCTGAAGCTGGATAGGAAGAAGAAGATGTCTCGCGAAGTCCATCAGTTGATGCAGTGATCTGATGCTGGACGACACGGGGCATGATACACATGTTAGGAGGGACAAGGTGGCGGCAAATCTGCAATTTTCCTTTTTACGACTCACAAGATCCGAGTATCGGCATTTCATCATGGCCTTTCAACTTCTCTTCTCACATCATATCTTTCGCTGGTAACTGGCATTTGGCATTTGGTATTCAGTGGGCATGGACAGGTGGACGAAATGGTACAATCGGTATTTTCTCGTTTTCTGGCTGGACGACTGCATCAGCCGATACTATGTCGGGAAGTAACGTGCCTTGTTGAATGATTGGGAGCGTTATATCCTTGTTTTTATGCACAGAGATACCCAGATGGGAGCTATTCCGCAGCAATAGGTGAATGACACAAAGCATCTCTACCACTGCCTGCGCCTTATTTGAGCTTGTTCAAGGTCGGGCACACAATCCTCTCGGCAATTTTCAATTACAGAGAGAGAGTCCTTCAACACGATGAATCTGAGTTGCCGGTCCGAGATGAGGCTGGCCGAGGGTACCTTTTCAGCTGCTGATCCTGCGACAATGTTCGTGAGCCATCGGACAAACAAAACCCAATTTCTATAACTTCTCAGCTCCCCTCTTCCCCTGCCGATGAGGCATCGAAATCCCATCCTGATACCCGCTCGCAACGTGTTTCCCCTCCGGACTCCATATCCTGCTCTCCAACACCGCTCTCCCAGCACTCATCCGCGGCCAGCACACCTCCTGGATCCACCATCCGTCCTTCATCACCGCCTCCTCCGCGTTGACATGCACAAGGAACATGTAGCTCAGGCTCGCCGCAACACCCAGGTTATAGCCCCATCCAAGGTGATTCCCTATTGTGAGGAGTCCGTTCCGGTCAGCTTCGAATGCGTGGCAGAGGATATGCGCGTTTGCGTCTTCCGGGGGAACAGGCTTGTGCAGCTTATACAGAAGTAATTCACGGCGTTCAGGGATAGGCTTGTCGGCGTTCCAGGAAGACATGTCTACCTTGTACATGTCCACGATGGGGAACGCGCCGTGGCCCTCATTCGGAAACAGATCATTGAGGATGTCCAAGTCTAGCTGGGGACTCGCCTCCCACTCGTCGGGTCTTCTCTGCGAAAGGATGTGCGCAAAACGCTCTTGCGCAGAGGTCAGTTGCTGGTCGGCAAAGTTTGACACGGGACGCTTGAACGTGACGTGGCAGCTGAAGCAGATGGGACCGAGAGGGAGGTTTGCGTCGGACAGGGGAAAGGGGCCTGAGGGGGTTGCTGAGGGGTGTTTTGGTTGGCGGACTGTGACGAGGAGCGTTTGAAAGGAGCGGCCGGATGAGAGCTTGGATATGGAGTAGATGAAGGGCCGGTCTACGTATCCTCCGTATGTGAATACGCCTTGTATTGACTGATTCTCTCCTCACATCAACCCTTGTTCATTCATGTGATACAGCAGAGCAGACTCACATGGATCCCAAACTTGCTCCCGTTAGTATCTTGCGTTTTATTTGTCGCCGCCTCCTCCTCCTCTGCTTCCACGATTCGAGCAGCAGCCAGCGGCGCCTGGACGTAAACATTCCCTCCATACGCCTTTGGGTTATAGAATCTCTTCGCCTCCTTGGGGACGTCTGCCCTGTCCCACGGGAGCTCTGCGCCGGGCTGCCATGCTGGTCGATGGCTCATGAAGCGATGCGTGTCGCTGGAGTTGCCGCTGTCGTCGGGGAGGCGAGACATTTCCATGGCTTCGAGGAACCCGAGTCTTGGGGCTTTTCCTGCACCACCGGCTGGCGACATTTGAGGGGAAGGAGAGGAGTGGTGATATACTCTGTTGGATTTGGGATATTGAGCGACAGAAGCGTTGAAACACCATCAGTACCTGCTGTGTAAGAACCTATATCGACTGCCACGGCATGCTCATCAGAGTGTAAGACTTTTGACTTGCCGAGGCCCAGCATATCTAGTGTGTCCAACTACTGAGCGCTTGTCTCCCATAAGAAGGATGCAGGAGGGATAAGCAATGGGAAACGTAAGCGGCAGCTCTGCTTGCCGGCCCATGTGAGAGTGAGAGTTCGCTCAATGTTTAGCCTCATGTCGAACGGCTTCTCCACATTCTCCGCTCAAAGCGCCCGTTTTGGTCCTGGTTATGCTTCTCACTTGTTCACACGGGTTGACACTGTGGCTGCATCTCTCATTCCATATGTGTCAGATGAGGGGACTAGGTATATCATGGAGACCGGTGATCAACATCGAAGGCGAACATAAAGGGTTGCGTTTAAGGAATGGATAAATACACATTTTCTGTACGAGTCGGGACAGCATCTAACGACACCCTACTATCAGGGAGTCCATATGGAAAATGTCTGTTGGCTCTTCTTTCGAGAAACAATGATCTGACATAGTAGCTTCCTCGGTCGTATGGGACGTTCATTCGCACGGTCGAGGCTGACATGATCGAGAGTTCGCAACTACATACTATGCCAAGCATCCTCCGGGCAGGATAATGCTGCATGTCTGACACGCCATGATGATAAAGTGCTGGAAAACAGCTCTTTGAAGTAACTACCGTGAGGTTGCAAGCATCATATCGCGCAATTTCGGATGTGAGAACTGGTCAATGTGACCAGATTGTCCGAAACTTCAGGTAGACAGGCAAGTGCAGGTAGGTGGTAAGGAACGGATGTGTGGGAACGGTCTACTCGATGCCACACATGGTCACAAGTTATATAAGACATACATACCTGAGGAGACATGTCACTGGATATGTCAAATGTCTGCGTATATATATATATGTATGTGTGTGTGTGTGTGTGTGTGTGCGTCTGTGTATCTCTGAAGATATATCGTGAGATTTGATATCAGTCAACCAAGATCACACGCCTTGTCAAACCGAGTCCTCGTCCTAGAATGTCTTTCGTTGCGTTGCTAGTCTTGTTGAACCACAGGGTGACTCCAGTCCGGTCCGTCTCTGCGGACCTCAGTCAATGTATAAGAAGGCCCTGCCCCCTACATCTGTATTCACTCTCTCACTTTAACAAGTCTAGGGTACAGATGACATTACCTGAAGATGATAAAATGGGAAAAGGAATCACAAGTGACAAGATTTACTTTTTAAAGATGCGCGCAAGGAGGTGGCAGAAATATGAATTGCACTGAAAGATGTCTACATTTCTGCAGAATAAAATGAAAGGATACCCGCATTTTGCTTCCATTTGCGTAGAAAGCAGTGAGGGCGGGAGTTTGCGTGCCTTAGGTGGGATCCGAGGATGCGTCTTCAGGGGTGCAAATCATGAAACAAAATACTTTTAATGCCCTTTTGCCTCCTTGGGTGTTTTTGCCAAACTTAGAGGGTAGTGGCCCCCTTTCTTTGGGAATATTGCGCGAGGCGCTTCTTTCCGGATTGTTGACGCCAATGCTACTTCCAGGGGCAGAGATCGGGGCCGGAATAGCCCGTTGATAGATTGCAGAGAGGCTTCAAACTCATGTCAGGACGAAATGTCCGTTACTCTAGAGTTACCTTTACTGAATCGGGCGGTTTCGATTGATCCAGCTCTTTTCTGACGTATGTTGTCCGTTGCGTGTCGGGTCCGTATATTTATAAAGTCTTTTGCAATCTGTCTGCAAACTGATTACTGCCCTGTCATATCTTTCTGATTCCTTTAGAGTCTTATTATTGTAACTGGACTGGACCTTATCTTCAGCCATTGCCGAGATCAAGTACTGTGGCTTTTTTAAAACGAACGAATGTCCTGAACAATTCGGCTAGGCGATCGACTATGAGCTTCATTGAAGCCTTCTTAAGCCCAGTTCGGGCCGACTAGATTGGTGCTCAGTTTCCATGGAGCATATATATGGTCTTGCCTCACCAATCCTGACTCCGCAGACAAAGACCGCCAAGCATCATCAAGACGTTCACAATCCTATTGCCATCACACTTTGACGGCATCAAGACAAGACGAAAATCCTCAAGCCAATTTCACTCTCTATATGTTCCTTGTCTCTCTTTGGGTCAGTTAGAATTAAGGCAGGCGAGTTCGCGATGCAGTGAGTGTCTGAACCCTTGATCTGCTCTGGCTTCACAAGCTGATAATCACCAGTGATGCCTCAATCTTCGCCCCTCTCTTTATCCTCACAAAGTGCCTCCTGTACTACATGGCCGCGTCGACAGGAGTGTACATCACAGCCTTCTTCATTGCTTTCCTCTGGCATCACACTGGCCTGCTGTTCGTGACCTTTACTCGCCCGCCAGGAGAACGATGGCAACATTATGAGGGTGGCTTCATCCCTGTTTTGGGGCGTTCTTTCGGGTCTCTGGTATGTAAAGATTGTGAAAAAGAAGGTGAGGGCAATGATGAACTGGAAATGGCCACGAATTATGTCTGGTCATGAAGGCGGTCTGGGACAGACGATTGATTGTTCTGGATGGCGCCGGGCTCCATGAGTGTCCTAGTCCCGCAGCTTGGAGTTTGCGAAGCTTCTTCCATAGGCTCTGTGGTATTTGTTCGACTAATTTCTATGTTGAGAAGAATACCTTGCATGTTGAATCCCCCATGTTATCGGGGACGTATAGAAATAGCTATTGTTGTGCACTTATGTATACGCTGGCTGCCATGATCATGTCCCCTACAAACAACAACGATAGTGGGATTTGTCTAAACACTCTTGAAACAAGAATTAGCTACATTACTTTTTATAATTCGTTTCCTGTGGTCAATTTCCAATACCTTCGAATGAACATGGGTTTTGGAGTGACAAAGGGTCGTGCCATTATCTTAGCGGTCCAGCACGTTGAGCCAGCATCCGAGGCTGTCTCATTGTGACTACTAGGGAGTGGCTACCAGCACCCCAACTGGGCTATTCGGCATCCCAGGTTCATATATGCAGGGTTGAGATGCTGGTCAGGGTTCTACTTTCAGATACTCTACTCAAACGAAGCATATGTAAAGTCCAAGAAGCAACCTGTCCACAGCTCCACAGAGAGCAGGGTGGAAATGACTCTGTCGGCCATATCGTGGGCGTGGCTGTGCCTGTATTGGAAAAGAGACCCTGCAATTTCTCCCTGCGTGAACTTATCTCGATATGCACGTCGTCGGAACATTTAGACTCAGTATTGGTATTGACAATGGTTGCAGCCAAAAAAGCGTAACGGCTTATGGCTGAGAATCCCTTGCATTGTGGCGTGACACGGGTGACTCGCTTCGCTTTGAACTAGTGGAAGCAAACAAAGCTGGACTTTTTTTCGTTTCTTGGATTCAGGGTCTAGACCTCTGACTTCATGGTCATCGTGACAGTCTGGAACCTGTCGTGCGGGCAACCCTGGTTCAAATCTGACCATCGACCTACCGCATCAGAGTGCCACATTGACCCAAGGGCAGCTCGACACCGAAAGCCAGCCGCAGTTGCTCAGCTGCATCTGTTAGATTACATATCCACACTTGAGCATCTGCTGAACTTCATGTTGAGCGATGCCGGCACATGGGACGCGTGCTTCACCGCGTTCGCGCAGGAGAGGTTTGCCCTGGGCAAAGCTATCTACCAGATCTTCCTTTCCTATATATGCATGTCTCCAAAGCCTCCGTATCGAAGCTTTGGAGTATCAACAGCCCATCTTTCTTCTGCTTTAAAGTACTGCAAGCATTGCATCACAAGAATAATTACATGGCCGTCAACATGAGCCAAATTGAGCACATCCACTATGCAGAAGGCGAACTACATTGTCAGGACAAGTCTCCCGTCAAAGACCAGCAGGTCATAGTGGAGGTAGTCGTGACAGAAAAGCATACCACTGCCTGGTACGCGTTTCGAAAGACCATGCGTGAGCCGTTCTCCGAATTTTTTGGAGTCCTGATCCTTGTCTTGTTTGGCGATGGATCTATAGCTCAAGTCGTGCTTGGACAAGGTGCCAAAGGGGACTGGCAAAACATCAATTGGGGATGGGCGTATGTTACTTCAATTTCGAATACACCACAGTGATGCTGACTATATGACAAAGCTTAGGTCTGATGCTCGGGGTCTATTGCGCTGGTGCATCCGGTGCACATCTGAACCCAGCTGTGACCCTCGCCAACTGCGTCTACCGCAAGTTTCCATGGAAGAAACTACCCGTCTACGTCCTTGCTCAGCTCCTCGGTGCAATGATTGCCTCCCTGATTGTGTACGGAAACTACAAATCCGCCATCGACGTATACGAGGGAGGCCAGGGCATACGGACAGTTGGCTTGAGCACATCTACTGCAGGCATCTTCTGCACATACCCAGCCCCTTTTCTGACAAAGGCGGGACAGTTCTTTGATGAGTTTACTGGCAGCGCTATTCTTCTCTTCTGCCTCTATGCTCTTCAAGACGATGGCAATATCGGTGCCGGAAATCTCCTTCCACTGGGCTTGTTCTTTGTCTTCTACGGCATCGGAGCATGCTTCGGCTCCAACACGGGCTACGCCGTCAACCCTGCAAGAGACTTGGGTCCTCGTATCATGACTTCGGCAGTTGGATATGGGCACCAGGTCTGGACGGCGGGCGACTATTACTTCTGGGTACGTGTATTTCCAAGCTTTTTTCCGAGCTGATACTAATGTTGGGGCAGGTTCCAATTGTTGCACCATTCTTGGGCTGTCTCTTCGGCGGCTTTCTTTACGACACCTTCCTTTTCACCGGAGACAGTCCTATGAATTTGCCATACATGGGTCTTACACGAGTCTGGGGCAATCGGACTAAAACAGGGAAGCCCGTGATGGTATGATGTTTCCAAACGCCACTTTGATCACCTATAGATGGCAAACTGAACTGGGAATCTAAACTATTTAGATTAGACTTTGACTTCCTGGGACACAGGAGTTATTTGGGTAGTCCTCTGCTATATATCTCAAAACGTTTTATATGTTTCTTTCAGGATTCTGTCATTTCTCATAAGCACTCGTAGAGCGAGTCACGTGGCTCCAGTACTGTTCCGTAGAACGCCATGCAGTTCAGAGTGGCTGCACGTGAGAAACTGATCCATTGAATGGTACTCTTCAACAGAATATTAACACAAGATCAAGGCCCTATAAGAACATGGAAGAAAGCTTGAACAGCTAAGACTGCTAAGATACACCTTGGAGAAAGGCGAGGACAACTGCTCTCAGGCTAGATCCCATCGTTACAGACTCCGCAGGTGGGAGAGCCCTCGAGAGGAAGTAGGCGCAGGACCCGAAAGCTGTAAAGTAGGAAGAGGTTCCTGGAGCCAGGTATGGCGGACACACTCTGAAGGACAGCCTAGAGGCTGGTTTCCGCTGATATGAGGCTGATCATCCATTTTGAGCGTTTGCGTTGTATAAGGGTAGCTTCGACAGAGTACTCGTCCAGCTTGAGAAGACGAGGGATAGAATATTCTTATCCGGAGCATTAATCGCAATAGAATCATTTGCCGTGGGGCTCCTTCGCGACTTCGAAGTGCCCAGTCTGATCTTCGCGTGATATGTAACACATCACACCAGGCTTGTATCGGCTACCCTTGCTTACCCATCTGGTATTGAACGGCAACTGACGATGGTCTGAGAGTAACGGTCAACCACAAAAAGCCCCGAGCTCCGACTGGAAACTTGTGATGAAAGACGCACCTACAGGAGCACACTGTTACTCGACAATCACTGACTCCTCGGTCCACGACGGTCCAGCAAAAAGAGCGCCATCTGATTCTTTGAAAGAGTTTCGCAACTGTAGCACCTATCACGAAGGTTGTTTGGTTGGTATCGTTGCCGTTATGGACGAAACCACCGAGCCGCATGTTTTACAATGAGCATCTCGCTCTCTTTAATGAGCTTCTGTAAGAGTCACAATTTTATATGTGAAATAAGTTCTGTTTCCAGAACCAACTTAGAATATAAGTTATGGAGTAGCTGCCCAGATGCCCAACTTGGATATCCAGCATTCCAGCAAATTAATACTCAATAGCTGCTACTGATGCTACTGCTGCTACTGCTATAATGCTATAACTAGGTAGTAAGATCATGTACTCTGTGCTACTATCGCTAATCTCCCTTAATCTTCACATAATCATCTATTACTACCTACTCAGTAGGTATAGTAGCTAGAGAACTTAGAGTACCGTTTTTGGCTCTCTCTGTGTGAAAAGGAAATCTTGGATATCCAGGTTCGGGTGTCAGACAGCCACTCCGCTATATTAGGCCATCATCACAATTGGCATTACTCTTCGATCCACTCAATGGCAGCACCATATGAGACTAACAGATCTGAAATTTCCTCACGCCCCTTGAGGACTTGATATGGTACCACCTGATCAACACTGGCATCTTTGGAAAGGAGCAACTTCACCAGGTCTTCGAGCCCCTCGCTGGCAGCGTAGAACAAGGGCGTCTGGCCATTTGGACGCTCCATCTCGATATCAGCTCCGTGCTCCAGGAGCAGTTGCGCCATGCTTTCATCCCCTTGTTCAATGGCTAGCCAAAACGGCGAAAGGCCGTCATGATGCTGGAATTGGACCTCGGCACCGTGCTTGATGAGTAGGTCCGCGATGGAGTCTCGGCCCCTCATGGCAGCAAGAGACAGTGCTGTACGTCCTAGCGAGTCTTTGGATTCAATGTCAGCGTGTTGATGAATGAGAAACTCTGCCATGGCCTCTTGTCCCAACATAGTGGCGAGTTGTAGTGCTGTCCAATCCGCAAAACCTTTGAGGTTTACGTCGTAAGTGCCGAGGAGGTCGTTTGCCGCCTCAATCAGGCCGAAGCACGCCGCCAAGTGCAGCCCAACCGGCTGTCCAAATTCTGCCATATCAGAGAGCGAAGCCTTGAATGCGCTCTTGAAGTAAACTTGGGCCGCCGCTGCAACATTCTGCTGCTTTCCAAGGAAATTCAGGATATAGGTCCAGTCCGGTTCATCCTGGGCGTGAGCTCCCCAGAAGAGGCTCGCATACTCAAAAAAGGGATTGAGAAGCAAGCGTTTGTTGTATTCTTCTTCGCTCTGAGCCATTCCTGTTGCAAATGTGTCGAACGAGAGATATGTGAGGCAAGCTTTGGTGATGTAGAACGAAGCGTCGGGAAACCATGTGCTGGTGTGCGCCTTGAGGAAATGAAGCACTGAGGGATGGCATAATTCAACTCTCTGGGTGCTTGCATTGAGGCTGACTAACCCACAGCAGTCCGAGAGAATGAAGGCCTCATGAGGGATATCCTCCTGGTCGAGGCTTGAGTTGCCCAGCTCGATTGCAAGGGCATGCTGTAGTTCTTTGATTGTCAGGGGTCGGAAAGCAAATGTGGTCCACGTGAGAACCTGTAAAGAAGAATCTACGTGGTCCGGCTCCTGGAGTCGAAGTCGTATCATTGTCTCTTCCAGATATCCGTCATGTCGTGTGCAATGAAACAAGCTCTGTTGCATGCCCTCAAGTGTCGTACACTCCCTTGCTGATTCGAAAAGAGACTCAGCATATTGAAACCTAGTCAAGTCAGTACTGCCGTCTCTACAATGCTTGGGCAGAGTTCCACATACATTCCATTTGTAGATCCAACTATAATCCTCTTCAGCTCCAATTGGGCTTCGGCACTGGCACGAACGAACATCGGCATCCGTTCCATGTTGCTGTCTAGATATCTCTCAACGTCACTCTCCCTTGCGCAATTCTCCATGATCAGGGCCTGGCGATTCTTGAACCTCTCCACAATATTATAAATAAATCTTGACGTTGCGAAGATATTTGCTTGCGTATGGTGCTGTACAGAGAAGAGTCGCGAAATGAATTGCTGTGCGGTCGATGGTTCCAACTCGTCTAGCGCGTCAACAACAATGAAGGTTCGTGACGACATACGGACGAGTTCTTCCACTGCACTGCAGACATCATCCACTGAGGGCATCGTGCCTTGCTTGCTATGAACATCATACAAGTCCTGGAAAGCTTGTGGTAAAGAAGGTTGAACCTGGCACATCTGCCTCAATATGCTGGCCATTAAGCTCAAGACGCTCGGTTCTGGCGCGCAAGATTTGCAGAAGATATAGCAAATCCTGACTGATGAGTCTGAATGGAATATCTCGCCAAGTTTGTCAATAACAGCCGCTGCAAGGACAGATTTTCCAGATCCAGGCATTCCATGGCAGAAGAAGGCTTCACCACTTTGGCGGAGCCACTGCTTGAAAGGCCCCATCCGAAAAAGCCACTGTCCTGTCCCTGGAGTTCGTTTTTTGAGAATTCTATTCAGTTCAGACTCGTGGTCTTCCCAAGACAGCCAATCAAGCTGCACAGATGATTCGACATCGAAATTGGCAGCATCTGAACGTCCTGTCAGCAGCTGCAGTGGTCGACCAACGGTACCCGCATACAACCAGACTTACCGCGAAGTGGCATGAGGAGTTCTCTCACGCAGGCGGCTGCTGCAGCTGTGGCATGATCCATCCAGCTGGCATTCTTGTGTGAATCCGCATAGTCAGAAATGCCGTGGACTAATAGATAAGGTAATTTGCCCATAAAGCCTGTTGCGTCTGTCTCTAGGCATATGGCATCTGGGAACCAAATATCGCGGCCTAGTCGAGTTCTCAAACTGTCTCGCTCGAGAGCAGCCCAAAACACTTTATCGCTGGAAATAGTTGTGCCACAATAGACGTGTCTTTCTCGCGGTAATCTGTGAATGCATTGCAGCATGTCGCAAGAGCCACATGGTCTTTCCAAGCCTTGTTCGGCACCAGGTCGACTTGAGATATCAGCAATACTGTTAGTAGTACTATCCACATGATCATAAGCTGAGTTAAAGAGAAGGTCCTCTAGCCGATCAGACTTGAGATATATCAAGCCGTTGGTAGACAACGCATTCTTCGCTTTGTCGATATGTTCTGTTATTCTCAGCCCAAATTGGCCGTGCTGCACTTCCACCTTTCTCAAAGCAGCAAGCAGGGACCTGGGAAACTCTGCCGCTGACCTAGTCGTCCAGTCTGGAAGAATTGGCGCATGAAGATCCCTCTGGCTTAAGTCGGGTATCTGAATGTGATTTGGCGGTGTGCTAATAACAACATCGCCAAGCCTGACATCCGGAGGGATCCCCCCGGCAACGCCTGTGATGAAATAATATTTGATGCCATTGAACTCCCTCTGAAGGTGTGTCAATAGGGATTCTAGCAAGGAAGTGCCCGATATCGGCTTTTTCGGACATATGATGACGACTTTACTCGAGCCAATGGTTCCCAAAGTGTACAAATAATCGTCGTTACGCGGGACTGGCAGTTGATAATGTCTATTATCCAGCATAGTCAATGCAATCGACATTGACCGTGGCTCTTTGCATATCCATCCGACAGTATACGTACTCAAATGGGCGTATTTCTCAGTCGCCTGTTGCTGTTGCCCCGATATGTTGCCTTGTCCTACTATGAATGGCTCATTTTGAGTGTCGTCAGGAGGCTGATCATCAAAGTCTTCTGCTGACAAGTTCCGGACCCATTCGCTCACCCTGAAGCCAGGACGAAACTCGGGGACGGGGTCAAGCGTTGATTCGAATAACACAGCCATATCTTGGACCACGCTTGTGACGTCGCGATCTGTGATACGGTCCCAGTGCTCATCGTCGTCTCGGATACCGAAATCTTCCATCACTGATTCCTGTCGACCACGCATCTGAACCTGGTGGCTCTGCGATGAGTGACCAGACTCGTTGTCTTTATCACAGTCGTCCGGGTTGGCATCCAATGCAAGCTGCGCCAGGCGTTCAAGATGGAAGATGAGATGCGACTGCATCTGTGGGATATCGGAGAAGGAGCTAGGACAAAAAGGACAGTCCCGGTGTATTCTCAACGATGGACCAACGACAGCAGCGAGTAGAGCAGGTGAGAAATGCTCGGGTGTGCTGTCGGGATGGGAATGCTCTAGGTGATGAACGTATTCCGGTTGAGTCTCAAACTCTTCGCCATGTTCTTGGCAGTGCCACACGCGTGTGTGCTGGCTTTCGTGATCGATCCATTCTTGTCGAGTCCCGTAGAGGCGGTTGGAGTCTTGACACTGCTCATAAGTGCAATGATATGGCTGCAGATCGTGTATGAGATGCACACTATACGATGGGTTAGATTTGTGAAAGAAGCAACGTTGATAGGGGCAATAGCATACTCACATCCACATGTCTTTCTGAAGATACTTTTCGGGGCATACAGTCTTGCAGTAAGGACAGATGTAGTATCCGCCTATACGGTCCCCGTGTGGCGGATCTGGCCACTCTAGCTTCTTCCCCTCGGGGCTGATGACTGTCGATACCCGCGTCTGATGAGAAATGGCTGACCTGAGATCGTCTGGTTTGAGCAAGTCTGGTGGTAGTCTTGTGGCCGTTGTGGTCGAAATTGGCATAATTGGCATCTCAGTTTCTTTGCGTGCCTCGCCATTTGCTTGATTGAGATGCAAAGGGATATTAGCAGCCTCGCCGATATTGTTGGCCTCCTGTCCAGCCCTCTGCGCCGGCGATTTGGGCCGAGCTTGGCTCAGTCGAATTACATGTTCCTTCCAGTAGATGAACTGTTGTTTTCGGCGAGTATTGGCAACGCCAGTCCTTCGGATGAGCCAGTGGTCGGTTGATGTGTAACGAGCCAGTACATCTTCGGCGTCATCCTGTGTTGCTTTGATATCCGTGTGTTCAATGAGGTATTGGCGATGTAGAAAGGAAGCAGCCGCAATCTCGACCTCCTCACGCTCCTGTATGTAAGCCGCTCTTATATCAGCGGGCACATGCTTGTACAGCTCCTCTATGGTCCGCTGTGGCCGATTTCGGGGGCTCCTGATCTTGGCTGCTAGGCTGTACAGCGTATCCAAAACCTCTCTGATGCCATTCAAGCGAAAATCGACTTCGTGGACAGAGCTGTCATCACTCGGTGAAGATCGGGCGCTGGCTTGAGATGAACCCTCCCTCTTTGTATCTGACACTGGTCCATCGCTCTCGTCATCTTCCGTCTCTTCATCGTCGTCAAGTTGCTGCTGCTCGTATGGTAGACGCTCATTCCGTACTATGGCGAGAAGATTATCCAACTATACTCGGCAGTCAGAGACAGTAACCTGGCCGTAAATTTGAGCGCGCGACGAATCTGTTTTTGAGAGCTTCTGATAAGACAACTCTGATGTGGTAAGGAGCATACGGCATCTAGGCTACATACATGGCTTTGCAGCTCTTGAAGGATATCAGCAAGTCGAGCCTTTACGACCTCGGCGTCTCGAACTCGGTAATCGAGAGATGCATGTCCGAGATGATACAGCCCAAGACTGTGTGCCCACACTTTAAATCTTTGCTCCTCCGTCACTATTTGTCGATACTTGGGCGACTGGCTGAGCTGCAAAAGGGCAGCTAGCTGAGAGAAATCGGTTGATGCCTGTTTTCCGATGTTGTATAGCTGTGCCGGGTCCATCTCCATGGTATTTGAGGCGTGGAGGCATCAGCATTTTGACATGATCGGAGCCAAGGCCGCGCGAAATGGTGAGCTTATGAGGGGCTCAGAGGACGCAGGGGTGAGAAGGCAAAACTCACCAGCCAGCCAATCGTAAAGTGCATCAGCCCTCCACAGTCTCGAAGGAATACCTGTACAAAGGCTACCCCTCTTTCAGCCGCGAGGAACTTATAGGTAGAAAATTGAGCCTCATCTTCTTCGCCTCACAAGTTCTTCTGTTGTATTCTTCCATTTTGGTTCGCGATGTCGGGCTTCGAGGTTGCTGGGGTGGTCCTCGGAGTCATACCTCTAGCCATATCGGCCCTCGAACACTACAAAGCCGGAAAAGGCACCGTGGCTACCTTTATGAAGTTTCATGGGCAGCTAGACACGCTTATATACCGGCTGAAGCTTCAAAGAACCTTCTTCTACCTCCATATCCTCGAGTTACTGCGCAGCGCTGGGGTCAGAGAGGTAATCAGCAGGTCAGACATAAGCGAAGAGGAGTGCATTAAGTTGCTCCAGAACGTCAAGAACACCGAGGAGATTAAAGAGTATCTGGGAACTGGCCATCTATTTGACACCTTTCATCAGATTCTGGCAAGGTATGAGAATTGCTTGAAGACGATTGTGAGCAAATTAGGGCACATCAAGAGACCACCAAAGGTTTGCCCATCTTTCCCGCTCAGGCGGTCATGGTCTATCCCTGGGCATGCATGGCTGACTTCAGTATTATAGGCTGCCAAAGATGACCTGAAGGCCATTCTAGAGAACAATTCAGCAAGCGCCTCTTCGTTTGCTTTCAAGGAGCGGTTGAGCTTCTCGATTGAGAAAGGCAGCCTAAAGCAGTTGGTTGAGGAGCTGAGCGAGGATCGACTCTCTTTGAAGGAGCTCATTGACAACATAAAAACGCAGCAAGAGTATACATCGAGGAATCCTTCAGAAGACGCCCAAAAGATGGCGAAGAAGCTTTGCAAGATACAGAAGTACGCAGCTCCTCTATTCGAGGCAATGCGCAAAGGTTGTGACTGTGGCTGCAAGAATAAGCACAAGGTATTTATGAGGCTTGATAGCAGAATTCCGCTCAAGAGGAGCAGACGGAAGAAGCTGAAGGACGAAACGGAATTCAGCCTTCTATTTGACCATCAAGGATATCTGCAGGAGACCCATGTCAACGTCCATGAGGATGACGGTGACGACAGCGGAGACAACGAGATCAAAAGCAGGAATACAACCAGGGTTGTCATTGTCCAGCATTTCGAACAGAGTCCGAAGGGGAGAACCGTGACACGATTGTGCCGGCATGTAGCTGAGTTGCAAGAGACAGGACATGTCTTGAAGCTCAGGCTAAGCAACCGCGACCTCTTTATTGTCGAAGGGGAGGCTGAACATAATCGAGATTTCGCAAGTCCAATAACCTTGTCGGAGATCCTCAAAGCCGGGTGTCAGGATGATGATGCCAAAATGTTCCCGAAGGAACAGACGCTATTGGCTTTGACCGTTGCATCGTCCATCTTACAATTGCAACAAACTTGGTGGTTGGGCCTGCCAATCAATAGCAACGGGATCAAAATATTGACCCCACAAGAGCAGTCCGTCACCTCGAATAGCTCGCCCTTTATTGAGCAGCTCATGGGCGAAACTCCGCCCTCCCTGGAAAATGCTGTCCGGTGCAGTACTATAGGCCCGGATCCCAAAACTGCATTAACAGAGCTGGCAATCCTCTTACTGGAGATCTGGCACCACAAACCGCTTGATGTCTGGTGCGAGAAGATGGGCAAAGCAATCCCGACGTCGCCACAGGGACGTATGATGGTTGCCATCGAATGGCTGCAGGCTACCTCGAGGCGCTTGCTTCCATACCAGAGCCAAGTTATCGAACAGTGTTTACAAGTGTGTGCGGGAGCTCTCCGATACTGGCATGAAAAGGACTTCATAAGAATGTACTGCGAGAATATTATCAAGCCTTTGCAAGAGACTCTTGGAGCATGGGATACTTCAAGGAGGGTATAGTGAGAGTGAACAGGTCAATGAGAACGCTTCTTTGTTCTTCTGACAGCGTCACCTCAACTTATATTTATTTTCCCCTGTTGCCGTACCACAACAAATAGGTGGCCAGAGAAGCACGACGAAGAAGCTCTGTTTCGAATTCATTACTATAACGCCATGGAAAGTGAACGGATCACGGCCTACCAACGATTGGTGAGGAATCGCTAAATGTAGACCTCAGCTAAGGCAGCATCAACACTTATGCGGCGTGACATACTGGAGACCCTCACACAATCACTAATATTTGTACCCAAGTTGTTATTTGCTCTGACTCGCTCGTTATCTTAGATTGTGAGGCTCGTAATACTAATCTGTGGAATAAGCCTTCCAAAGGCTCATGATAACTTGCTTGAACCCTGGCAGTGCCTTCGACCATGCAACTGAAAACACGTTATGATCCTGCTGTTCTACAGCTCTCTCGCCACTAAGTCTTTGTGCCAAAGCCGAACAAACCGCTGAGATAATCACAAGTTCGAACAAAAGACCAACAGAGAAGATTGTGAAAACTTGAGAAAAGATACATTAGCTTGACAAGATATGAAGAAGAGGATCTATTAGCATACTAATCATCCAGATATATGTATGCCGCAGCCAAATTTCCGCCCAGCACACGAGGAGCCACTTTGCTGCACTTGGGTACTCCTTGTAAAACTCATAGGGGATAGCAAGAGGACAAAGGCCGATGACGATGTCTTGTACCAGTAGAGGCGGCGTTAGAACGGCATCGTATTTGACCACGACATAGTCGATGTACATGGTGAGGTACATGAAGCCTAGCAAGCCGATGCCGAGGTAATATAGGAAACCTCTGCTGTCTTCGTATTGGTTGTCATTATTCGTCTTCGGTTCACTCTTTGAGTCGCTGTTTGGGTGCCCAGAATTCAGAGAACTGGCCGGGGGTGCTTTGAGAGATAAGATGATTTTCCGTTGGAGGCGTGCCCACATGATGTTACTGGCATGATAGAGGAAACCAACAAAGCCGTAGAAGGCGAAACTGGGTAGCACCATGAGATGGTGCTTGAAGATGTCCAGTACACCATAGTCCAGTAGCTCGGTTGGCAAAGGACTGTCCGTCAGCGTTTTTGTCATGTCTGTGATTTGCTTATCTTCGTTTCGCTGGGCTTGTGTCGATTAGTTTCTGTATCTATCGACTGCTAATATTTGCCCGGTGAGTGATCGGAGTTGACAAAAAAGACAGGAATGAACCCGGTGAAGGAAAGGAGATAAGGGGGGGGGGGGGGGGGGGCTCTAGATACCCAGGTACTCGAAAGGGCAAGTACTCGCCCGGTGCATGATAGGCTTAGATGTACTTGGAATCCTCCAAGTGAAGAATGCCTAAGGTACGAATAAGCTGCACTTGTTGCAAGCCACATCAGGTTGTCAGAAGAGGGCCGAATCTTTGCCCTAAAGTATATTATGAACGAGGCTAAGCGAGATTCCTTCACACCGAAAGTTCCCTGGTGTTTTTTATTCAGGGTCATGAGCATCTTCGCCAGCATTTACCTGCTACCAGGCTGGGGAGTGGCCGGGACGCGGTTTGGAGGATGGTGCTCATCGTGGCTTCTGGAGCAGGGAGCGCCGCCGCAGTCAAGGTCAAGCAAGAGGTTGGCACCGTGATTGATGCCTCAACTGTCATGGAGAGTGAAGGCGGCAGCGTTGGATTCGACGCTTGCGCGACCATTGCTTTGCAAAGACCGGGGTCAGGGTGGTGCTGCCCGTTCAGCGGTTTGGGCTTTGAAGACAGTTGATCATCGACGCGAGAGCAGGTCTTCGCAGAATGGCTGTAGAAGGGACGTAATATCGCATTGAACATCTTCTACAATGTCCGAGGTCGGCAGAGGCGGAAACGAAACGAATATGTTAGCAGACCCTCAAGACACAGCAAGATCAATTTTCAGTTTTGACATATTATCACTGAAAGCATTTGTCGTACTACATCAGAAGAGTCAGCAAGCAACACGACCTGACAACTAGGTGCTCGGTATGTTGAGACAGCTGACATATCTGCTGTGGCGTACTTGGAGTTCACCGCATACAAATAACTAGGTTGATAACAGACGAATGATAATATTTAACATTAAGATATAAAGATGCGATAGAGATAATTCCTGTGTCATACTAGACACTCTCGACAAAGTATGAGAAGTGCTCGGGTGTGCTGCCGGGATGGGAGTACTCCAGGTGATGCACGTATTCCGGCTGAGTCTCAAACTCTTCGCATACATGTAGATAGACATTCAATCTGATATCAATGTATACTGCTAGGCTTCAGCTATAGAAGACTCTGTCCTCTGGGAACACTCCCAGTGCCATAGCTCTAGAAGCGACCAGCTCCTTGGATGCAGCAACGAAGCACTGTGCAGAAATTCCTTCTATTGCATTATAAATGGCAACAGGCATTTCCGAAGCAGAAATGGGTGATAGTACGTTAGGCTACCACGCAGGGTATCATGGAGAAATATGCGGCGTGGTGTACTACAGGGCTTGGAAGAAACGCCAATACACGCACATATACGCAAAGGTATTGCAAAAGTTCTAGTCATTCATTACAATTCTTCTTGGTTATCTCAAAGAAAGGACCGTGAATTGCAATATACCACTCTAATCCCAATAAATCTCCCAAGCGGAATCTCTAACCCGCTTCCAATGTGGCATTGATCTCGAAAATGCCTCTGAAAGTAGGTTACGGCGCTGCTGATTCTCCGGTCCTCTATCACCAAGCCTTTCCACCAAAACCTCAGATAGGGATACCAGAAAGGCAAGTACGTAGAGGCTAGTATAATAGATTTCCATGGAGCCTCAAGAGAAGAAATGTTAGCTTCAAGAGAGCTGCAGGAGGGGAGAAAGTGTCATACCTATGACCCACAGGTATGTATGCTGATGCCATATACAGGCCCAGCATAGGAAGAAGCCTTGTGATATAGTAGGCCATCCGCAATAGAACCTGGAGGGGATAACAAGCGGAATCAGGCTGGCGATAAGTGCTCGTACCAATAATTTCCATGTAACAACCAGTCCAACGCCCTCAACCTCGATAACATCAATATACATGCTAATATATATCAAGAGAGCCATCGTGACGCATTTTGAGTCGCCCTTTGGAGGCTCAGCACGCCCAGAGGTGCGCAGTGACCCTTTCAAACGTAGAACCAACTTTCGTTGGCAGCGTGCCCACATGATGTTGCCGACGGTATGGAGAAAAAGAAGGAAGCCGGAGAAAATGAGGCTGGGTAGCATCATGAAATGGTGCTTGAATGCGTCAAGTCCATCATAGTCCAGCCTCTCGGATGGCAGAAAACTGTTCGCTGTCCTGAAAACGATCGAGGGTCTCATCATGACGTCCATAGTTGCGCTCTGTTGTGTTTTTGTTTCTGCTTGTGTGTGGATCTTTGTGTTTGTCGACCGGCATTATCTGCACAGCGAGCGTCTGGGTGATGTAAGAGACAGAATGGGATCTCCCTCAACCAGCTAAGAAGGGGAGAGGGGGAGGCGGCACTACATATATATACCTACAGGTAAGGAATGATTCAGCAGAAAAAAGTCCAGAACCTGATGGACTTAGATGGTATTGATACTCGAGGCTTCAGCATCGAAAATTGCCTAAGGTTGAACTAATTTACACTTGTCGCGGCAAGCCAAATGCCCGAATCGGGTCGTTGTATCCTTGATCTCCCTGAACTGGATGAGGAGTCTGTCGAAACTGCCATTGCAGTGGCAGCGGCAGCAGCAGCAGCAGCAGCATACGATAGACAAACGATAATATTTAACATTAAGATATAAAGATGCGATAGAGATAATTACCGTGTCATACTAGACACTCTCGACAAAGTGTGCGTTGCGAGAAATATGCAGATGCGAGCCGACAAGAATCGCAAACAGACCACAAACAAGAACCAGGCACTTCATCCCAGGCCAAGCGGGCCAACATATTAAGCTTGGAACTAGACCAGGCCTGCAACATATACAAAAGAGACCATATCCAAATTATACCAGCACGCATCACGTCTGACCATTCGACCTATATATATGAACGAGGGCGGGCTACTGTAAGCATCAAATGAACCCTCGGAGGGCTCAGGCTGAGCGGTACCAGTTCTCGGGAGGATCGTTAAGACACTCGCCAACGGTCACCAGCCTGTAACCTCGATCTCTGCTGGTCTGAATCATATACTTAGTCAGAGTGACGACCGTCTGCTGGTGGACGTCGTGGGCGAGGACAATGTACTCGTGGGACGCCTTGTCGGGCGACTGGAGAGAGAAGAACCGCTGCTTAGAGATCTCAATCAACATCGGGCTGTCGTTCTCGTAGTCTTTTGTATCCAGGTTGGTGCTGATGATGTGGTAGCCGAGACTCTCGAGAGTCTCGATGCACCCGGTTCGCAAGCTGCACTCGAGGAACGGCGGCCGCATGTACGTCGGGAAGAAACCAAAGATGTTGCGGAAGGCCATCTCGTTGTAGATCATCTCGGTTCGCTGGGTCTCCATGTCGACGCCGCTCAGGTTGCGGTGTGTCCAGGTGTGGCTGGCCAGCTGATGTCCGGCACCGTGCATGCGTCGCAGGACATCAGGCCATGGCGTGTCTTCGTTGTCGATGCTTCCCTTTCCCCTGTTGTTGCCCGTGATGAAGAATGTTGCCTTGACGCCGTAGTCATCCAGGATGTCGAGCAGGTCGTCGGTGAACGTGTACGGCCCGTCGTCGAACGTCAGAGCAACAACGCCCGGAGTGGTACAATCGGTGATGGTAATAGCTAGCATCAAGTCAGCTTCAGGGATAATGATAAAGACAAGCAACAATATATCTGGGCAGAACGACGAGTTGACATCATAAGCAGGGGTAGATCTGAAGAAGCTCACCATATGGGACGTCGCCAACAAATCTCCGAGACACATCTTCGGTACTGCTGCCAGCCGGGGGGATTCTACACTCGCAGCATTAGCCCTGAATCTTTTGCCCCCAAATACTCTTTCATCCTGTGGCCTCTATCTTCCAACTTACTGGGTGTTGCAGGCATGGCTATAGAGGAGTTGGCATCCTCCAGAGCAGTAGTCCTGCGTGGTGCCACAGTAGCCAAACTCAGAGCAGCACTCACGCTCGCCACAGCTCCCGAAGCCAGGACCGCAAGGGTTAGCAGCGGCCGTTCCGTAAACCATGGCGGCGGCGACCGCCAGCATGGCGAGGCTGAAGAGTCTCATAATGATAATTCTAAGATGATATAACACTTGGGGGCTTAGATATCAATGAGTATCTCTTCTTATTGTGAGTATGCCCAGGCGTACGATAAAGGGAAACTGCCCAGTTTGCGTCGTTGCCAGCACGAAGGAGCTAAACTGAGTTCTCCTACTTGAGAGGCAGGAAGTGCTCTATTTGATCTAGAGGAACGACCGGCTTGAGATTGTTGCCGATTAAGCGAGACAAGACTTTGTTCTCGTTGCAGGATCAACACCAGTCTGGTACACACACACAAACATGCTCAACAACCTACATTGAGCATGGAGGTGCTCGGCAATTCTCGGATTCCTGGAGATTGGCGTGCATGAGCTCCTCTTTCTCTACCTATGATAGAACTGTGTTAAGACAAAATTGATCACTCTGGGGAGCAATATCGGCGGCATCTCATGACCATCGTGAAAGGAGGGCCGTACGATTCCCCAATATAACGAACGCCATGCTGGGAATTGCCGATATAACCGTGACTCACAAAAGCAGCAAATCGTCGTGGCGGATTGTGGGCGCCCTCGGCCTCTCTTCTTGTGCGAGACGGTCCCCCCATGGTTGCCTCTGGAAACTAGCAGAGAGGCGCACAGCAGGAAACAGAGAAGCCACGAGTATCACACCCTCTTTACTTGCTGTTCTGCGCCCACTGGTTGAACCAGGTTTCCGCCAAGGCTTTGGCTAATTGTCCGTATTACGGTGAATATCGTGTGGAAAAAAAATAAAGATGGCGCGGGTTCTGCAGTGTATCGGAACGCGATGAAGGAAAGGCGGGAGGGTCATTGGCAAGGCGTATGGGGGTGTGTAACAGCACCTGATTCGGTGATCCTTGCTTCATATTGTGCGATGAGACGGGCCACGGTATCATCCACGCCTCGCCAAGTAGAAGCATAGGTAAGGAATTGGGTGGGTAATACCGTGATGTCCTTCGCTTTTCAGGACACGCGCCATAGAGAGACGCCACGGCTTCGGTAGTTGTTACTACAGACAACGGCATTGCACCGCACAGCGCTTTCGGCTAGTAACTGGTGACTGGTACCTCTAACGTCTCGGTTCTCCTCTAGATGCTCGGTAAAGGAGGAGGAGAACGGTGTCGGGAGAGCCACACCGGCTACTGGCTACTGGGCTCTCCATCTCATTCGTCAAGCGTCCAGTTGAGGCGCGCCTCCTCAAGCCGTACGCGAGCATGTCCAATGAGGCCTGCTGATATCTCGGACTCCTCCGTTTTCATTCCTCTTGGCTGATGACTTGACCACTACCAAGGAAGCGCAGGAAGAAGCCTCCTCCGACGAGTGGTTCATCTGACCAAGCGTCATATGGCCACGGTACCTTGAGGGGGGTCTGGATGGAAGCCTCCAAAAGACGGCTGGCGAGTGGCTTCTCTCTCGGAAAGTTGATGATTACACAGCCAGGCACCGAATTCGTATGGAGGAGTTGGTGTTACCATACTCGAAGATGGCTCAATCTGAAGTGACACGTCAACACTGCGGCTATTGACGCTGTGACAGGGCCTCCTTAACACCACATTGCGATCCCAAATACTTGGCAGAAGAGGGGAAAGAAACAGGAAACCAATTCAAAATATCAGAGCGGTCGTGAGTAGCTTTCCAATGCTCGTCTCCCAACACCTGACGGGTCGGAGATGTGTCAGCTCGCAAGGTGCAACTTGCAGGACATCCGGATTCGGGCAACGCTGCTTATTTTGCAAGGTACACCTTTTACATGTATGTGGGAGCCTCACCCGCGGTGGCGTTTACTGAGCTACTTTTCGATCTACCTCATCTCTCAATCCTCTTAACCCCCTCTTCTTAGCCTCATGTCCAAACGCCCACTCGAGATTGGTAGAGATCTCGGATCGGAGGCTCTACTCTGCCCAATCAGAGTCTCAGTCCTCGCTCAGGATACAGGTATTCTTCAAGGCGATGGAGAGACTCGGCAACCACGTCATCACGGCGACTCAGACTTGAAGAATCGCCGACTGGAGGCGAGATTTTGGAACAAGGGATGGTCGAATCAGAGAGTTCGGCTCATTACAAAGCCCTCTTCGTGTCTACCTAGCCAAGTCTTCTGACCTTGAACGTTAGATTAGCAATTACCGCCATCTTCCAGCTGCGTGCAGAAGCTACGAGAGGGGATTGTTCGTCAGATGACGGAACTGTCAGTTCAAGCCTTGACTTGGCTTGACTTTGTATACGCCAGAAACGCAATTCCACAAGTGCCTTTCATCGAAATGGGTCCCACAAGCCTTGTTTCTGCGATGTGAGCTTGTTGAAGAAGAACCGGGAAAAGTACCAGCCGCATCACTTATGACGCGGAGATGGCACCGCGTGCAAAGGCTGTGGTGACAGGCCTGTACAATCTTCCCACATCGTATCGTATTGGAGATTCGCAGTGCTACCGTGGCTGCCGCAAGCTTTGTTCCCCCCCAAAGGCAGCCAAAGCTCAGAACGGAGCTGATGCCAGGGGCAAACGCTCGAGCAATCGGGCCAGAGAATTTGAGGCGGGTTCGGCCAAAATAAGCCCAGGAACTTGTTAGTATCACCGGTGCCGAGATCATGAACACCGCATTTGCTCCAAGTGCTCTCAGATCCCTTGAAAGACTGGAGTTCAGCCCGATATCACGCCAGATAGACTTCTTCGGTCCACAAGTCCGGCGTAATTGAGGCCTTATTTCTGGCAGAGAATCCCACTCCATGCTCGGCCAAACTCGATCCCCTAATTGAAGTAAGTTGTTTTCCCCTCTCCCCCCTGAGGAGGCAATGTTTAAGGCTTAAGGCTGACACTGCCGGTAGTGATAGAGATACTTGCTTGCAAGCTTCTCGTTCTCTTCAAAGAGAAGTACTCATGTGTCGAAACGAGGCTTGACACACTCGAAAAAACCTACCCAGCGGTCCGAAGCCACGTAGAATGCCGCCTCGCTTCGGCTGTTCTCAAGGAAAAACGTCTCTAGCCTCAAGAGCAATGAACTGAGGTTGATGTTGGCATTCTCTGCTGCTCCCACGAATATAAAAGAGAGCCTTTTCCCCGGCCTCATCCAGTCAATCTTCTTCTGCTTTCCTTCTTACATCTAACAGTTTCAACTGTCTATTCATCATCTTCGGAATCACAGCTGACTCCTGTCTGCGTCTGCCTACTTCCTTCTCTGCATTCTGCAACTCAACTCTTCTATCTACCTTTATCTGGTCCTTCCATTCTTCGTCTGTGGTCTGGTTGCTGTGATGGACCCGTCACAGCTACCGCTCCCGCCCTCAGAGGCAGGGGGCACCCCCGGGTCATCCCCCGTCCCGGGCGAAACCCATGCTGAATCGTCGACCCGTAAGAACTGGGTCTACTACGACGTGACTCCGCCTGCAGAGTCTCCCTCGGAGCCGCTCACCTCGTCCATCTCCACCGGTGAATTCCCCTCTTCTACCCTCGTGGCCGTCATCGGTGTTGGCTATGTGGGCGAGCATCTCGTCGATGTCTTCTCCCGCCGCTTCAACGTTCTCGGCTTCGACGTCTCCGAAGCCCGCATCAAGGCCCTCGCCAGCAAGTACGCCGACAACTCCAAGGTCAGGATCACCTCGAGCCCGGCTCGGCTCTCGGAGGCAACCCACTTCCTCATCTCGGTTCCCACGCTGCTCCTGCCGGACAAGACTGTGGACACTTCGTACCTTCGGAGTGCCCTGGCCACTGTTGCCGAACACGCCCGCCCTGGTTCCACCGTCGTCTTCGAGAGCTCCGTTGCCGTCGGCATGACCCGGCAACTTCTCGGTCCCCTCGCCCTGTCCCACCGCTGGTTCGCCGGTATGTCGCCGGAGCGTGTCGATCCCGGCCGCACCGAGCCCGCCGCCCATGAGATTCCCAAGGTCATCTCCGGCCTGGATGACGTCGTCCCCGGTTCACTGGATTCTATAAAGAAGGTGTACTCGGCTGTCTTCAATCAAGTTGTTCCCGTCCCCAAGCCTGAGGTAGCAGAGATGACCAAGCTGTTCGAGAACTGTCAGCGAATGGTCTGCATCTCCTACGTCAACGAGATGGCCAACGCCTGTGTCCCCTTCGGTATCGACCCGTACGAGGTCTGTCGCGCCGCCGCCACGAAACCGTTTGGCTACATGCCATACACGCCCGGTCTCGGAGTTGGTGGTCACTGCATCCCCGTCAACCCGTACTACCTGCTGTCGACGAGCGAGTTCCCTCTGCTCAAGGCAGCATCGGAGGCGATGTATGCTCGGCCCGCGGAAATCGGTCAGAAGGCCATTGACCTTCTGTACGCTGACCGCTCCTCCTCGTCTGTTGTCCTTCCTCGGGTCCTCGTCGTTGGCATGGGCTTCAAGCGCGGCCAGTCCCATCTCGTCAACTCGCCGGGACTGGAGCTTGCCAAGAGCCTCGTCCTCTCGGAAAAGGTTGCTGTCTCCTTCGCGGACCCTCTTGTTACACAGGAGGCGATCCCGCAGATCACGCGCCTGGACGAGACCAACTGGACCGTGGAGTACCTGGAGCGGAACTTCGACATGATCATCGTGTCGTTCAAGCAGGAGGGTCTTGACTTTGACCTTCTTGACCAGCTCAAGGACTCCGTGAAGGTTCAGATGTGGTGCTCCTAAAGGGGCGTCTCTTTGGACGGGTCTTCTCGTGGCGGCTGCGGCCGGATAACTTGCTCGGTTTGGGTACAACGGTATCGGTCATTGGCCATCGGGTCAATGGGGTATGGGAGATTTGGTTTTGTCCTGGTGGAGGATTCTGGTCTCTGGTCATTGCTCCCCTTGTGGAGCAATGGGGTCTGTCGGGTTTCTGGGTGTGTTCTGGTAGATCGTCTGGGATTCTGGTCATTGCTCCCCTTGCGGAACAATGGGGTCTGTCGGGTATCTGGGTTTGCTTCTGTTGGATCGTCTGGGTCTGTGGTCATTGCTCCCCTCGTGGAGTAATGGGGTCTGTCGGGTGTCTGGGTTTGCTCTGGTAGATCGTCTGGGTTTATGGTTCCTGGTCCTGTCATCGGCCAGTAGCGTCTGTGGGTTTCTTTGTATCGTACGATCCTGGAGGATGGTCTTTTTTCTTTGGCCCATAGTCTCCATCATTGTAGTTCACGGATTTGGACACATGATGGGAGAGGCACTATGGAGTTTTGCCATCTATTGGGTGTACACTATAGCCCGGAGTTTGGAGAGGAAAAGTTTGAGGAGACTTAATAGGTTCGGAAAAGTCTCCGTTTCGTTATAATTCATTCTAATGTTGCATTATTCCTAATAATCTATTGGCTTTATGTTCAATACTGGCGTTATTTTGCTCCCGTGCCATTCTGTTGTAGTCCTGTATCAACTTGTGCCCAAAGATCGTGAGGTTGAATGCCCAAGTAACAACAGTGTCTGGCTACCCTTGAGGCATACATTTGGGACGGAACATTGTGACTTCTGTCTCTGCCTCGTCTAATCCTGACTCTGTTTGCAATGTTCTTAGACAGTATCATTGTGCAACCGTTTAGATGTCTCGACTCATTGCAGACAGTCTCGTATTCATAGATCTCACACATCAGTAGGCACATTTCACTCAGATACAAACCGATAGAGATGCTGTCCTCGACAACTCTAGACACAAGAAACTCAAACAGCCCGACGCGGATCTCCGGGTTGTCCCTCTCCAAGGATTGACCCCCCTCGGCCACGCAACAAGGCACCCACACCGAATTATTCAGCGTCGTACAGCATTTCTTTCTTCTCAATGGCCGGCAGACTTTCGGACATGGAGACATCGGATAAAGTACAAAACGGGACGGAAGTATGTTTCTCGGAGGATTTGGTGTTGCCCAAGCCTGCATGCCGAGCCCAGTATTGGGAGCTTTTTGCCCCATTCTCTTTCTACCCGCCTCTTCCTCTGGGGGGGGGGGGGGGGGGGGGGGGGGGTTTGCTTGCTCTTTATTGGTCCCCCATCGTCCTGTTTGGTGCAACGTAGGGAATTTCGTGATCTCGGGGGCGGAGACGATGTACCGAGCAAGATTTGTGGCTTGGTGAGAAAGAGGGGGAAAAGGGGGGGCGGTCCGACGGACAGCTGCGTACTCTGCGTGTATCTCGGCAAGATGCAGATTTCCCATCTGGAATTTGCGAATGAACAATGACGATCGATCAGGAAGCAAATAAATGATTGTATAAGACATTTGCTCTTTGGCCCTTCGTATTCGCACCACCCGACTACTGCACTCATAGCGAAGAGATATATATAGGAGAAACGCGTCCGGCGAGCTGCTGCGCTACGGAGATGTGCAGAGATCTCGAGCTAGCATGAAGCAACTACTGCAGGTCCGTCGGGAGGAGCGTTCAGCTTCGCTTTGGACCGAGGACTATGCCGCAGTGAGGATAGTTTCGTGGTCGGATGGCCTCCCCTCCCGTCGTTGACGATCGGAGACGAGAATTCCCGCGTCAAGGAGGAGCGGCAGGGATAGAAAAAAGATACAAAGGAAATTTTTCATTGAACATGTCGGAATCTCAGCCTGATCAGGTGAAAGTCGAGCATCCTAGGTAACGCCGGGGTTTCCTTTGTGTCACTGGACCAACGGACTTTACTTGGGGTACTTTCATTGGAGGAGGGAGGGGGGTGTGTGTGAAGCTTACAATTCCGGTTCGTTTGCTGCCAAGAGCAAATACATTTGTTGAGGGGAGGAGCGGCAAATGGCCTCAGAGCCTACGGATTTAAGCATGATTTTAGTACGGGTGGGCTTGGATCCAGATGGAGCACCTCCGTCAGGCTGTAGTCGATGTGCCGAGAGCGAAGGGGAGGGAGATGGTGGGGAGGAAGAGGGAGCCGAGCAACGGCGATTGGGGAGGGAATATCCCCGATCGAGGAGCTTTACTCGACTTGGGATGGCTGCTATACCTTATTTCCCTTGCTCCTCCCGAATTCTCTCTTGTTATTCGCCCTTCAAGGAGCCGAATTACGGCTTTGGGCAAGCGTCGAGTGGCTTGAGGGTGGCGCACCCTTTGTTTCTCGATGGCAGTCTTCTACCACAAGGCATGGAGACTCACTCACAGACTTCGCTTCGCACATATTCAATCATTCGATCACTCCATCACTCGACCGCTCGCGCACGGACAAGGACATGTCCCGAGGACAAGTCTCACGGGTCCCAAGGAATGCGGCGAGAAGACCCATGCTGCATGCCAAGCAATATATACAATTCTGCATGTCCGCGATACTACACCAAGGAGTCAGATTCCTTGCCAGATCCCACGTGGTACCACTCAGTGACACGTCCCCAAGCTGAGGACTGAGCTCTTCCTCTGTCACTTTCGTCACTTGCCTTGGTTTCCTCCCTTCTCCTCCTGCTGCATTCAGGTAGAGGCGGCGTGGCTGATGTTCCCCCTCTTTCTCTGCCCAATGCCCCCCTTTCATCTCGGTCAGATGTACCTCCTGGCGCCGAGCATAACATTGTGGCGTTTAGTGACAAAGAGCTTGATGTCGAGGCAAAGAAAGAAATGGTCTCACAGATACTTCAGGCGCATGCAGATGAGGTGTGACTGTAACAATCGAGCTCGTGTCGGCTGCCGTCTAGCCCACATGAAGACATAGATCTACACAAGAGTATCACCATCAGCTTGACACGTAAGAGAGCCACACGGCGGCATCTCCAGAGAGCATCATGCAATGCCCAATCCACAGTGACACCCATTTACAGCTCTCATCTACGCGCTCCTCATGTACTACGTCTGCTCCCACCCCCCCTACCTTGGTGTTCCTCTGGCTCAAGCCCAGGAGCAGAGTAACTCTCACCGGCCTTGGCGCCAAAGACCCAATTGCATTAGCCCCAAGCCCATGGATTCTTCGTACGTTCTAAGTCATGCAAGCCGACGATGCCTTCGTATTCGAGGCTGCTGCATGAGCAGATGCGTCCCCTCGATCGGACCACTCAGCGATCTCATCTACGCTTTCGAGGGATTCTCAGCTCCGGGAGGCGGCGGGTGATACCATATCTGGTGCAAAAACTTATTCTCTTTCTAGGCTTTTTTTCTCCCCTTCTTCTCGGGCGACTCGTGCGAGGCTGGCGAGGTTTTCTCTTCTTTATCTGTTTCTTCTTTAGTTCCCTACTTTAGTGATGACATGGCATTGCCAGACAAAGCCACCCTTGACTATTGGACGCTTGGCGGTAGTTGAGGCTTTAGTCCACATCTTCATATCGGTTTCTACATGCCTCACTCCTGCTCTTCGTGTGATGGCAATCACTGTTATTGATACTTCAAAGAAGCCCCTACGAGCCAAGAAGATCAAGAATGAACAATTCTCTTTTCTTCCTGAACCCAGTGAGGTCTTGACCCGCATCTGTCCGTATTACTCCTTATCCTCAGACACAAACCACATTCGTCCACCCCTCCTATTAAGGTTTTTCTCACTTCGAAGCCCCCACTGGTTTTTCAACAGCCCTAACAGCCTTAAATCAAGATCACAAGCCAGTAAGAAGAGTCCATTCCTCCTTCGGCTGCTCTAGATGTGTTCCTCGCTAACAGCCCTCTTCAGCCAGGTGCCGTTCTTTGTCGAGCTCCCTCGAGTTAACGCGGTACGGTCAAGCCTCCTCCTGGAACAGCCGTCTCGTTTCGTTCTTTAGGGAGCCCGTACCCTCCTTTTTCTTCTCCTTTCTTCCCCTCTTTACACACATCTACGCTCACTCTTCGTCTGGCGTCTTCCCACGATCGTTTCGACATTTTATGCGAAAATAAACGAAAGCCTTCAGCTTTTGACATACGTTCTTTATCGTGGAAAGTGAGATCCACAGGAGAAGAGACATGTCTTCTCCCATCATGCCGGTCGACTCGAACCCGGGCAGGGATTCGGGCGACATTGCCGCCCAGCGGCCTACCAGAGAGGAGTACAGCAGGCCGCCTGTCTCCTTGTTCAACAACGCGGCTCACAACCGCTTGAGCTCTGAGCAGAACTCGCGAGACTCGGTAGGCATATGAGCGGAGGAATCAACGCGATTCCCCTCAAGCTGGCGGCCTTGACAAATGCTAACATCATCACCCCCTAGTCCGTCATCCGCAACATCAACGGCAGCTTTGTCCCGGGAACCCAGACGCCTCAGTCTCAGGACTCTCTCGGCATCGTCTCTGCGTCTTCATTCTCTTCCTCCATCCAGCAGGAAGAAGCCAAGCTGCGATGGGACTCGGACTTTGAGCTCAAGAAAGTGTCCAAGTCGCTCCTCATGCTTCAGAAATGGCTTCTCATCATCGGCCTCCTCTGCATCAACGGCCTCCTCATTTTTCTGGCATTGAGATTCCACCAGCTGTACTACCTCTTCATTGTCCTCCTCAGTTCAAACACCATGCTCCAGGCTTTGATGATGGTCGCCATCATCATCATGGTGACCCTCAGGCGCTGCGTCCCCTGCTACTTTGGCCGAAAGGAAATCATCCCAGAAGAGCCCGAGAAGCTGGTGCTTCTGCTGCCCTGCTACAACGAGACACGCGACGAATTGACCCGCTCTCTTGACTCTCTGGTGGACCAAAAGGAAATCGGCGCTCATCCCAAGGTCATCTTCATCGTCGTCGATGGCAACGTCCGCGGCCCCAACATGGAAAAGACCACCCAGGAATATCTCCTCGAGGACATCCTCGGACCCGGCCAGTACCGTCACTTCGAGAATGGTTACCGCGCCAGAGACGGCCTCTTCATGCCTGTCAAGGTCCAGTCGGGCTGGTACAAGGGCCTCCCCTACGTCTTCGTCGGTAAGAGCTACAACCAGGGCAAGCGGGACAGCCTGTGCTTTGCCCGCTCGTTCCTGTACCACTTCAAGCAGCGCTCGGAAAACGTCAAGACCATGTTCAACAACGTTCTCTACGAGTACATTGGCAGCGTTTTTGTCCAATTCGGCCTCGACACTGTGGACTTTCTCGTAGGCATGGACGCCGACACCGTCTTTGACCAATTCTGCGTCATCGAAATGCTCCACGAGATCCGCTCCAACCCCAGGCTTGTCGGTGTCTGTGGCCACGTCTGCGTCGACTTTGATGGCAAGCCCTTCAACCCTTGGTCTCTCTACCAGTCTGTCGAGTACTCCCAGACTCAGGGCCTGCGCCGCATGTTCCAGTCTCGCGTCACCGGCAAGGTCAACTGCCTCCCCGGCTGCTGCCAGCTGATCCGCGTCGACGAGTCTACCTTTGGCGACCAGGTCCTTCGTGATCGCTTCGGATACTGCCCCAAGCCCAACGACGTGATGACCCAGCACATCATGGGCAACTACTCCGAGGACAGCATCCACGCCTCCATCATCTTCAGCCTGTTCCCGAAGAAGCAGACCGCTCAGGCCCTCCGCGCCAAGGCATTTACCATTGTGCCCCAGAACATGAAGGTCTTCTTGTCGCAGCGCAAGCGCTGGGCCCTCGGTAGCATCTCCAACGAGTTTGTCATGCTCTTCAGGCCCGGCATCATCTTTGTCGAGCGAGTCCAGAGTTTCGTCGCTGTCGTTACTTGGGCCATTACACCATTCATCATGGCTGCTGTAATCGAGCTCATTAGACTGTTTATCAAGAGAGGCGGCACCGTGTTCAAGGATCCCGTTTTTGTTGGTCTTATGTCTGTCTTGTTTGCTCGCTACGTAAGTATCAGCTCCATATTAGTCCTCTCTCTCAGTCTCCTCTTGATAGCTAACGTCCTATAGTTCTATTCATTCTGTGTTGGCTTCTGGCTCCCCCGCAACATGATGGAGCGTGCCCAGTATTTTGTTGGTTTCTTCCTTCACTTTCTCCTCTCACCTTTCATGAATATAATCATAATGGTCTATTCCCTCTTTAACTCGGATGATTTCAAATGGGGCAAGACCCGAGAGGTCGTTGGCGAGGATGATGACGCTGAAAAGGGGGCTCTGGTAAACAGAGCTCCTGTCGCTCATTGAGTTGGTGCATATCAGCACCATACTCGATGGGAATGGAGGCTGTGGCGAGGCGAGGAGGTGGGAGGGGAGGGGAGGGGATGAGGTTGGAAACGGAGCTGATGAGGGGGGTCACTTGAAGGTGACGTGAGAGCTTAAGAGAAAATGAGCCCAGCCGTAATGCAGGTCTCATGATGGAATCAGAGCTTGGCTCTACAACACGCCAATGACGGGAAATATCAACCCAAGGTGGTAAGTTTACCGGCTTCTCATGATTCTTGCCTCATTGTGGTTACAATCAACTGACAAGACACTCTACAGAATTTCCCATTCACTCAAGGCAGGGCTTGTATGACAGATACCCTCCGTTTCTGTATTGACACAGAGTTCCCCTCTCGCAAAAGCAATCTTTTCCTGCAGAGCTTTTCGTCTTCCAAACCCTCGTCTCGACTAGTCCGGGGTCCAGCAAAGGACTCGTCCAAGGACGGACGAGGCGTCATCAGCCTTATGGTCGACACCTGCTCGGGCTAGCGTTGAGTTGATTCGCGCCCTATTTTACTGGGCTTTTTTCTCTTTTCTGTCCTCTAATACTTTAACTAATTGCGAGTTTATTGATATCCGGTTTTGGAGTGGAGGTGTTTTGGATTTATGGATTGGTCACTATGTTTCTCGCCGCAAAGGAAATGCATGTGAATACTACTTGATAACAAGATATCACCATCGCGTCACCATCATGCTAATCACGGAGCTGGCGGACACGGTGATAGGGGGGGGCTCTATTGAAAAGTCTGTAGCTAAAGATTGTTAGATGGACATATCGGTCACTTAGTTGTCCGATTAGTATTCCCTCAAACACGAAAATCCCGGCAAAAAATTGCAATTATTTCACAAAAAATGATATCTCCTTCAGTCTGCCAAGCTGAGACTATCGTGACCTATCACATGTCGACATGCAGCCATCCGCGTCTCCCCCTGTTTCCCCCCTCTCGCTGCCAACTGGCATGACGCGAATGGCAGCGGTGTAGATGGATGCTGCAGGCTGCAAATCGATACAACTACATCACGGGTTAAGCCGCAACCATACGAAAGGGATGCCCGGCAGGCACATTTGCGAATGACCCGCAGTGGTTGCTGATGGAAAAACACGATTTCTGCCTGTTGAGGCTTATGTTGGACTGCAGACAACTGAGTGTTTTGCAGGTCACGACGAATACGTGTCATATAGGCACCTTAAAGCTTGGATATCTTATGCACAGAATCCTAAGTCAAGCGAAGAGGTATTATGACAGAAAATCAATATTTCAGTTGTAGATCGTGCCTTTATTCGTTTATTATAAGAAGCCAGACACGACCATCGCCATCTTCAGGTCTTTCCACACCATGAAGTTCAAGACACAAGCGACACGAGTGTTCAAAAGTCTCACCAGTCCTCCTTCCAACAGGCATTACCGCAAGACATGTCTCGGCATAGACCTCATAGCTCTCTCCCCCATCTCCATCCCCTCAGGTCCCCCCCAAAGCTCATCCATAGACCAGGCATCCGGCATCAAACCACATGTCCACCTCAACCCACCCCCCTGCCAACCTCCCCCAGCCAACGAAACCCCTCCCCCAGACACCCTCAGCGACTCCATCATAGCACACGCATAATGCAACATCAGGTCTAGTCCAACCCACCACTCCAACCTTCTACTGCCTGCCCACACACGCAAACCTGTCATTGCCAGAAATGGTCCTTTCTGGCTTGTGGCGCATTGCATCGTAAAGAGGAAGCAAGGCGAACAGGGGAAAGGGTCGATGCGACCCTGGCAATCATGGTGGGCGCGCTAGCTGGGCCTCATGGCCACATCAGATGACAAGCTACATCTCGGTCCAAAAGGATCCTTCATAGGTACTTCTTGATTAGAGAGCTAGAGAAAATGCATCAGCCTCTGCATACATGATGGGATCTCTATTCTTGCAAGTTCCCGCGTCTCTTCCCTCTCGTCATCCGTGCCAGACAAATCCCAAGTGCGGTGCGGGGAACTTGACTTATATGCGGCAGATGCTGTTCAAAAGCAGAGGAAGGGGGGTGCGTGAAGCAGACAAAGCCGTCACCCGTGATCTGTAATTAAAAGCCAGCCAACTAGGGACATGAGAATGAAGAGTTTATTCTACAACAATGAGCTACTAATACCCGAGGACCATCCTGTCGCCACCGACTCTGGTCGACCTTCCTCCTACTCCTGCTCTCAATCTATAACTCACCAAGAACAATCCCATTCCCATCTCGCCTTGATTGCATCCAAACCTCTCTCTCGAGCATCATTACAAACAAGCACATACGAATAAAGACAAACCCCCAAACCCCAAGATGCACATCCCTCAACCCCCCTCCCCAACACCACCCCCCTTCCTCCAAGCCCGCCAACTCGACTTCCACATCCTCACCCAAACCCTCATCCGCCCTTCCACAACAATCATCACAACCATAACCCTCGGCACAATCGAGCCCACCTCCACAGAAAGCACCGCCGCCGCTGTGCCTCTTCCCGTGACATCCCACCATCATACCGGACTCTCTGGAGGCCAGATCGGGGCTATACTCGGCTCCGTAGTGGGCATCGTCGTGCTCCTCCTCATCATCGGCTTCTGCTACGTCGGAAGACGCAGAGTGCCGATAACATACGATGATGAGAAAGAGCACAAGTACAAATACAAGAGACAAACACACCATAACAACGACGTTGGCACCAGTCAGAAGAAGAAGAAGAAAGCCAAGGGTAAAGGCTCGCGCGCAACACGTGGGGTATACGAGTACGACTACACTCAGGAAGAAGCCGTATACTACACAGAAGCTCCCTCCAAAAGCAAGAAAAAGTCATCATCATCATCCTCGAAGAAGAAGAATAACGGCACCACGGTCCAGGAACCTGATCCTGCTGTTGTCGCGGAGAGAATTCCTGGGGGGCCAAGGTATCCTACCTATCGCGCGATTCCAATATCAAATCCTCGAAACCCTCAGATCTGGCGCACGGGGTAACATGGCTTTTGTGTTCGGCAGCAAAGATCAAGAGGTGATATGTCAGGTATTATATAACATAGAATGGAAAGAAGTACTATCGGGTTGTTGACAGAGATATTGTGTCATGATGAGTGTTTACGTGCATACCTACCTAGTCTCAGTAGTCCTGTCTCACACAATTAGGCAAAAATGGTCTTCCCCATCATTTTGCAACAAGCGTCGCTCCTCTAAATCTAGGTTCACAAACATGAGCCGGGAAAAATAAGAAGATCCAACTTCCAGTCCACAACCATTCAGTACCTTCAGTACCAGGAACATCAGCAAAGGTTAGCGATTACAGGGACTGGCTCATAGCATTCGGCAGCGAGGCATAACTTGCCCTCTCATCATTGACCATAGCAATAACAAATAATGACTAACGGCTACTTTAATGACACTTCATCCTACTCCAATGCAGTCATGTTGTGCCTCATACAGTGTGGTCACCCAAGCCTCCGCAGCTGTGAGACTTCTCAATCACCTTGGTGAGCTGGGCCGCCCGGTTGAGCCGTCTCTCAATGGCCCGTCTGCTGCTGGGGTTGGGGCTCGTCTTCTCTCGAGGAGGGATGCCATCCAGGCTCAAGGCGAGCTGTGCCGCCGCACGACCAGCAGCCTTGGTGTTGAGAGTGATGGCCTCCCAGTTGATGTTGTCGAGGTTGTCACAGGCCTGGTGGTAGCACGCGTCCTCTGGAGCACCAGCACCGGTGAAAATTCCAGAAGAGGGTATGCCAAGCTCCAAAAAGGCAACATAATCCGAAGAGGATCCAAATCCGCTTGTGTCAATTGACAGTTAGCACTTCTCTCTATATCCTTGCGGCATCCAAATGAGCAAGACTCACCCATAGTAAACTGGCTTGCCCTTGGACTGCAGGTAGTCAAACAAGATGGAGCCTCCAGACTTGTGGGCGTCTGTATCAGCATAGACGGCGTAGATGGGCTGCTTGGAGCCAATCATGTCGTAGTTGAAGTAGAAGCGGATGCGATCAGCCTCCGCTTCAGACAGTTGACTGCCATAGTACAGCGAGCCGATGAGGCCACTCCTGTTGTGCATCTCGATCAGCCAATCGAGTCCTTGACATGTCCACGACACACCAACTCAAGACTTACTCTTCCGCCCCCCACCAGGCAAATCGAACCTTGTTGGCGAAGCCCTTGTATCTCCTAAAGGCGGTGGCCAGTTCAAGAAGGCCGGCTGTTCCGCTGCCATCGTCGTTCACACCTATATATCGCGGACGCATCACGTCTGATTAGTCCACTGCCGTGTAACACGTCTCGAAGCCAAGCATATACGTGTACGTACCAGCACCAGCTTGGACGGAGTCTAGGTGAGCACCAAGCATGACCACATTGTTCGGGTCGCCCTCCTTGGTCTCCGCGATGATGTTCCAGCTGTCTCTGGGCTCGTTGATCGAATCCACGACAAGAGTGGCCTTGAGCACCTCGCCCTGCGCCAGACGAGCTTTCCAGCCCTTTCCGTACTCCTCGGTAATGACTCCGACAGGGACCAGCAGTCCAATGTTGTTGGCACTCAGGGTCGCTCCTCCAATGGAGTCACCTGGCACGTTGTTGTACAAGATGACGGCCAGCGCACCGTGAGCCTTGGCCAGCTTGAGCTTGTCGGCGATAGCACACACGCCGCGCCGCACCAGGGCAATCTTACCCGTGGCATCGATGCCTGCCCATTGGTCTTCGAAGCACGCAGATCCCCGCGCGTCGTCAACCGGCGTATCAATGAGCTCGGCCGTGATGCCGCCGGGAAGAGGCGTGGCCGTGTTGTACTGAAGGGTAATGACATAGACATTCTCGCCCTCGGGTCCGGTGACGGAGATGCTCCTCGTGCTTTCGAAAAGGTGGGTGAACTTTTGCACATACGTGTCGAACTCGCTGGCGAAGCGTGTCTGGACGCGCTCCAGGACAAAGTCGAGGGAGGCGTTGTAGCCGGGGAGACCAAAGGCTCTGTTGCCGCCATTGTTCTCGGCGATGTGGTTCAGGTTCCAGAGCACATTCTGGAGGCTGTGCTCGAAGTCAGCATCGAGATCTTCAGGAGCGATTATAGGTTGCGGTGTGAGCTTACTTTTTCTCTTCTATATCTTTCTCGATCGCATCCGGTGAGAGCACCTCGGTGGCAACGGCACGAGTAGCCACAATGCCGGCCAAGGCCAGGCTACTCCAGAGCTTCATGATGCAGCGACTATGGGATGGATAGGTAGGTCTCGGCGATTGTGTTGTATAACTGCAGTATATGAATGATGACACTATAAGCAACCTGGACTACTATCATACTCTGTCCAGAGTAGGTCCTTCTAAGGGTGAAGCAGTATAGGAACGGAAGCGAATAAGGAACCAAGACCCAGACAATCCTTTTATCCATCAGTTCAAGTGCTCCCCGTCTCGAAGCCGCTTCCGGAGAGGCAGTTGCTCCCGATCCTGACCGGCGGCTAATAACTGCCCCCCCTGCTAGCCAAGACTCTATTCGCAATAAGGCCCTGGCAAACCCCAAGTTAAGCTTGTCGAGCCCCATTCCTCAATCGGAAGCTGGCAAAGGCAATCTCGACATCTTATCGCCTTGGCAGCCGAAAGGGCAGGTCTTGACGGCTCTCACGCCTCAGCGGAGCCGGTTGGCGCAACAACTGGCCCAGCCGATTGGCGCCCGCACCGACGGCATCCGTGTCCGACGAGATAGAAGCTGTACAGTCCAGTAGTCGTTTTCACCCATCACGATTCCAGGTTGGTGGCATTTGGTCGATGGACGTAGAGGACAAGATCCTAAGAGGGACGGCGCGGCTGGGCAATGGAACGCTTGGTTGGGGTCTGTGGGAACTTCTGATGGACCAGACGAGGAATTGGGTTACGCTGCATAAAACCTGCTGACTGGCGAGACTGTAGAGACCAATGAGACGCGGACAAACTACAACAAGCTGGGGATCGTGAGGGTAAGAAGTTGTAAAGATACACCAAAAGTGCCTTGAAGACGAAGAATTGGCCAATCGCGACTTAGTGTTTTATGCTGCACCCGCCGCTATTAGTAGCTCCGATGCAACTCTGTGACCCTGTATCTGTATTCACACGACCGGTGAGCAATAGTAGATGTTTGCAAATGGTGAGCATACAGATGGGTGTCTGGGATGAGGAGTTGAAGCTTGCTCATGATCCGTCAAGGCACACTCCAGGAAAAGCTACCCTAGACCTACACACACGTAAAAATGGACATTTCGGAGGTAGCTGTCCATTATGTCAGCCATGGACATCACGCCATTGACATTGTCAGTGATCCCATATCTTCACATGCCGGACCCAACCGGCGGCGTGCCCAGCGCTTCAGTGTCATCAAAGGGTAGATTTGGAGTTTATGGGAATGCTGATGGAAGTCCCGTGAGAGCTCATCATATCCCAGAATTCTACCTATCTCTGTGATAGAAGCCACCGACGGAGCAGTTGTCCCTTGTCCCTTACACGGGCCCGGATTAATTGGTTTTTGCGAATCGCCGCCGACCCATCAAGGCACATGGGCTGATCCGAAGAGAATCGTGTGGCGTCGCATATCGCCGGCAGAAGAAAAATAAGCAGCTGATAAAAAGCTAAGGCAAGAGGCCAAGCTTCCGGGTTTTCACCCCTTGACACCCTCGCTGGTTCTGTTGCAAACCGTCTCTCGTACCTACGTCTCACTGCCAGAAGCTCTCTTCCATCCATAGCGGGAACAGCATCTTCTCATCCTCTGCCATGGCCGACTCCCAGATCCCGCAGGTCCGGCGCAATGCCCCGACTGTCCTCTCGGCCGCCGATCTCATCGGCAACACGCCCCTCGTCAGGCTCAACAAGGTGCCGCAGAGCCTGGGCATCGAGTGCGAGGTGTACGCAAAGGCGGAGCTGTTCAACGCCGGCGGCAGTGTCAAGGACCGGATTGCGCTGCGCATGATTGAGGAGGCCGAGAAGAGCGGCAGGATTAAGCCTGGCGACACGCTCATCGAGCCGACCAGCGGAAACACGTACGGCCCCCCCAATCATGATGTGTATAAGCTGACGGGCTTGTTTGGCTAATACTTCCGTTTTGCAGTGGTATCGGTCTCGCCCTGGTTGGCGCTATCAAGGGCTACAAGACCATCATCACCATGCCGGAGAAGATGTCCGCCGAAAAGGTCTCGGTCCTGCGAGCCCTCGGCGCCACCATCATCCGCACGCCGACCCAGGCCGCCTGGGACAGCCCCGAGTCTCACATCGGCGTTGCCCGCCGCCTCGAGAAGGAGATCCCCAACGCCCACATCCTCGACCAGTACAGCAACCCTGCCAACCCGGAAGCCCACGAGTTTGGCACCGCCGAGGAGATTTGGGAGCAGACCGGCGGCAAGGTGGCGGCTGTCGTTGCCGGCGCGGGAACTGGCGGTACCATTACGGGTATTGCCAAGGGGCTGAAGAAGCACAACAAGGATATCAAGATCATTGCTGCCGATCCCCACGGCAGTATCCTGGCTTTGCCCGAGTCGCTCAACGAGGAGCACATGAACGAGGGATACAAGGTGGAGGGCATCGGCTACGACTTCATCCCCGACGTTCTCGATCGCGAAATTGTGGACAAGTGGTACAAGACCGACGACCAGCAGTCTTTCTACCTTGCCAGGAGACTGATCGCCGAGGAGGGCCTCCTTGTTGGCGGCAGCTCCGGCTCTGCCATGGCGGCGATGCTGCTGGCCGTGCGCGACTTTGGCTTCAAGAAGGGCGACGTCGTGGTGGTTGTTCTCCCCGACAGCATCCGCAGCTACCTGTCCAAGTTTGCCGACGACGACTGGCTGGCTGCCAACGGTCTGCTCCCCGCCGTCAGCGACTCGGCACCTCAGGCTGGTGACAAGACCGCCTCTGACCCTTACCATGGCGCCACCATTGCCTCTCTCCGCCTCAAGCCCGTCACCTCGGTTGCCGATTCGGCTTCTTGCTCCGAGGCCATCGAGACCATGCGCGACAAGGGCTTCGACCAGCTGCCCGTCCTTTCCTCCTCCAACAAGCTGGTCGGCCTCGTTACACTGGGCAACCTGCTCAGCTACATCTCAAGCGGACGCGCAACGGCGCACTCCCAGGTCAAGGACGTTATGTTCGACTTTGCGCGACTGGACGAGGTCGTCACGGATCCGCGCAAGCTGGCAAGCGGCACTAAGGCGGGCAGCAAGCGCAAGTTTGTCGAGATCACCATGGACACGCCGCTTTCCGCCCTCAGCAAGTTCCTCGAGTGGAACAGCGCTGCCGTCGTCACGGACGGCAAGGGCGATTCCAAGTCCTTGTCCAAGCCCATTGCCATCGTGACCAAGGTTGACCTGCTCACCTGGATGGTGAACCAGAAGCTGTGAAGCTCTGGTCTCTTTTGACGTCTTCTTGGGAAAAAAAAAAAAAACATTATTCATGACATGTTTCTGTTCGTTTGTTTGTTTATCGGCGTCATCTTGTTTTGCTTGGGAACCAGCGGCGTGTGTGTCATGGGCTGAGTTGCATGGAAATGGGATTATAGATCAACATTGCTGCGCGGTAGCCTGATAGACTCAACATCTCGGGAATTGCATGCTTAGAAATTACAAGAATTGGATTTTCACCAGCCTCTATTCATTCCCGTGGTATTATGCAAATGCCAGATGTACAGCAACATTAAGTGTCCACTTTATCATGACCTTTCCGCCTTTACCCATCCGTCATTAAACATTCAAAGCCCAAGTGCAGCGTCGGTACTCATACAAAGCATATCTCATCCCATCCTATACCCATATCATGCATCCAGTTTAGGTGTTTATATCCTCTGAGCGATCCACCACCACCACTTGTCGGCACCAGGCTCCTCCGTCAAGACGCTGCCGGGCAGCACCTCAACGTTGATGTCGAATTCGCCCATTTGCTGGAAAGTAAATTTCTCCGATCCATACTCGCCCAACCAGCCATCCTGCTCCTCGGAACCAACATCGTCCATGCCGACGCCCGAGTCAAGCAGGCCCTTGCTGCGGGAGGCGCGAATGCGGGACAGTTCCACCTCGAGGTGCGACTTGACCATGGTGGCAGGCAGCGCGGTGAAGAGATCCATCTTGTTGGCTGCGATGAGGACCGGGATGGAGGCCTTGTCCTTGCCCTTGGACGTGGCCTTCTTCTGCAGAAACAGCAGGACGTCGTAGAGATAGGCGGCGGTGGGCGCAAGGATGTCATGCTCGCCGAGAGCGGCGGCGTCGACCATGAAGACGACCGCCTTGACCTTTTCCGTGCGCGCGAGTCGTCCCATGGCGACGTTCCTCAGCTTTCCGTGGCCGGGGGTGTCGACCAGGAAGAACTTGGTGTGCGTGCCCGTCGCGTCGTCGTGGTTCCGGAACGAGCTCCTGGTGACGGAGTCGGTGGAGGCGTTGAGCTCGATGGAGTGCGCGACCTGGGAGGTGTGCGTGGCGGCGGGCTGGGAGCCGCGCTCGAAAAGGGTGAGGAGGGCTGTCTTGCCGGCGTTGTCGGGGCCGAGGAGGAGGACGCTCGGGGGCGTGGTGTAGGTTGAGGAGGAGGACAGGAGGAGGTGGAGGAGGATGGGGGCGCCGAGGATGAGGATGATGCCGATGACGATGACGGGGAGAGAGGGCGTCATGATGAGCTCGAAGAGCTCGGCGGCGGAAGGCATGGTGGGCGAGTGTCGAGGGTTGCTTCGTTCGAGCTGATGATGGAGGGGAAGCTTGGTGCTCTTTGAGGAGAGATGCGATGCGTTTATGGAAGCATGCAATTGGCCGAAGTCCAGGTCCCCCTTTGAGGTTTGAGAGAAAAATCGAAGGAGACGGATAGAAGAAGACGTGGCCTGATGCGATGCAAAAGGAAGATGCCAGCCCCGATGCCCTCGGACGATGGAGATGGGCAGTCGGACGAGGCGAGATAGGACGATGCTGTTCTGGCAAGTTTGGTTTGGACCCTGCAAAGTGTGGCGAGCAAGGACAGGGAGGTAGCTGCCTGCGCCACAGCTGGAGGTCTGGTTGGATGTGGCTTGTGAAGCTGTTGGTGATTGACGTTGAAAAGGTCCGTGTGCTCTCGACTCGGACAATTTACTGGAGACGCATGTCTTTGATTGATGCCGTTTTTACCACAATTGACGCATTGACTGCAGATTGTCTGTGATGGTTGAGAATGGGAGACTGCTCTACGACGTGATCAAATGAAGAGATGATTGATAGTCTAGTAGGTAGTTACAACTACAGCGTCTGCTCTACAATAAGCGCCTGCAGACTCCCCTAGCCACCTAGCATCGTTCAGCTGTAATTTCCTGCTATCAGTTCCAGGTCATCCAATTCACTTGCCAATTGGATAAAAGCGATCCATCAATCCTCTGCTCAGCCGCAACAGACTCGACAATCCCAATCCCAATCCCAAGCCCAATCCTACTCCCCTGACCCCGTGCCCCTGCCGTGATCTACCTTACTTCAGACAGATGATACATATCCTGTCTTGTCACCACCAGCATCTCCATCTACCTTAGCTGCTGAATCCTCTCCTCCGTCAGCGCAATAATCCATTCATTCGTCCAGCGTTCTGCTGCGCCACTCACTTGCTCACTCACTAAATGCTGCGTAATCCGTCCGTCTGTTATCGATATCCCGACATCCATCGTCAGCTCTTTTTGCCTTCTGTAATATTAATCCTCTCTCCACCAAAGTCTCACCCTCGTCCATCTCTAATAGACCCGGCTCGTCACCCTCGCCTAACGAGCCGCCGAATCCGAGAACCACCCCTGGCATTCTTTACTCTTATCTTTTTCATTCTTGCTGCCATTATTCCCGTCGTTGATTCTTATCTTTTTTTTCTTCTCATTTCTCGCTTGCTGCCGCAGCTGAACGGCCTCGCCTCGCGTAACTAGTCCGTCAGATCCCAGGTACGGATTCAGCCCTTCCAGCCCTCCAGCTCGATCCTCGACGACGCGGCAGAGCGCGGACGACGCTCGTTTTTGGTCCCACGCCTTCAGACCCTCCTGTGCCTCTAGACATCATCTCTATCCGCTCCCTTCGCACACCCTCACCAGCCGCCATTACATGGGTAGTGACAGCCTGCCAGCTCGCGCAAGGAACTCCTCGGCCTCCTCCACGACCAGCGCGGCCGCAGCGCCCTTGCGGATGCAACCCTCGTCCAAGGCAGCCGCCGCGGCGCCGAAGCTCAACAGCGAGATGGAGATGGGCAGCCTGCCCGCCGACGAGGCGCCGCCCGAAAACGACATCATGCAGCTGGCCCGCATCGGCGACGTGGCCGGCATGGAGAAGCTGTTTGCCTCGGGCGAGTACGACGCCACGTACAGCGACGACGAGGGCATCACGCCCTTACATGTGAGCTGCTTTTCCTCTCTCTCTCTAAAGGACGGACAAGGACAGACGGGATAGGACACAGCTGACACTGCTCCCACCTCTGCCGCCAGTGGGCCGCCATCAACAACCAGTACGCCATGTGCGCGTTCCTCATCGAGCACGGCGCCGAGCTCAACAAGAAGGGCGGCGAGTCGGTCGCCACGCCTCTGCAGTGGGCGGCCCAGCGATGCCACTACTATACCGTCAACCTGCTGCTGCAGCGCGGCGCGGACCCCCTCATCACCGACTCCCAGGGCTACAACACGCTGCACATCTCCACCTTCAACGGCAACGTGCTGCTCATCGTCCTGCTGCTGCACCAGGGCATCCCCGTCGACGTCCTCGACAGCTACGGCCACACGGCGCTCATGTGGGCCGCCTACAAGGGCTTCCCGCAGCTGGTTGACGTCTTCCTGCGCTGGGGGGCCAATGTCCACGCCACGGACGAGCAGGGCTTCACGCCGCTGCACTGGGCGCTGGTCAAGGGTAACGCCGCCTGCGTCCTCAAGATGATCGAGTACGGCGCCGACCGCTTTGCCAAGACGGACACGGGCAAGACGCCGGCGCTGACGGCCACGGAGCTCAACACCACGGCGGCCTGGCACCGGGCCCTGCGCGAGTGCGGCTACGACGAGGACGGCCATGTTGCGACGCCCCCGTGGCCCGGCGCGAGCTACTTTCTCAAGGACAAGAAGGCCTTTCTCACCCGCTTCCTGTTCCTGTGGCCCTTTCTGATGGTGTGGCTGGTGCTGGTGACTCTGTCCGGCTTTCCCGTCTACTTTGGCCTGCCGCTGGCTGTAGGCGTGGCGTATGGCTTGCTGTGGGTGGCCAAGCAGGTGCTGGAGTATGCTCCTTCGGATATGCGCGCATTCCACAAGACTGTAAGTGCCTGTCTGGTCTGATAACTTGGATTAGCATCGCTAATGCGCTCGAACAGCCGTGGATGGCGGGCATCTTTGCCGGATCTCTGTTCCTAGTCGGCGTTAATTGGCTCTTCTACGTCCTGCCGGCAACCATAGGGTGGCAGGGCTCCTCTTCCCACCTCCTCCTGAACCTTGCCTTTGCAGCCGCCTTTGGCTTGACCACCTTTTTCTACATTGCCTCGATCCGATACGACCCCGGTTTTGTGCCCAAGATGAACGGCATTGCCGAGCAGAGGGCCGTCATCGACGAGCTGCTCAAGTCGTGGAAGTTTGACGAGTCCAACTTTTGCGTCGTCTGCATGATCCGCACGCCCTTGCGAAGCAAGCATTGTCGTCGGTGTCAGCGATGCGTGGCCAAGCACGACCAGTAAGTTGAATAAAAGAATTCTAAGCTACTTTGAATGTTGCTGTGCTAACAACGACTGCGCAGCCACTGTCCATGGGTGTACAACTGCGTTGGCGTCAACAACCACCGCCAGTTCTTCTTCTATCTCATCTTCCTTACCATTGGCATTCCGCTATATGACTGGCTTTTGTACTACTGTAAGACTCATGTCATTCGCCTTTCCTATGACTGCGGCTGACCTTTTCAGATTATGAACAGATTACACCCTCAGCCTCCGAGTCTTGCACCCTCTTCGGCCCTAACATCTGCCGATATATCAATGCCGACTCCTACACGCTCCTCCTCGCCATGTGGGCATCTCTTCAGCTGCTATGGGTCTCCATGTTGCTCTTCACGCAGTTCATTCAAGTCGCGCGTGCCATGACCACGTACGAGAACATGACGGGCATTCGTGCTAACACCTCGTTGTCCACGGCCTTTACATCCACAGGCGCTCCTCTCGACCCCAACCACCCGTCCCTTTCGGCCCCTGCTGCGCCAGCAAGCGGCCACGCCCACGGTCACAAGCACAAGGGCGGACTGTTGAAGCAGTGGAGCCAGCTGCTAGGCGTTGATCCCTTTATTGAGACGATTACCGGCCGCGGCGCGGCTACGACTAAGAACAAGCGTAAGAAGAAGAACCCCTACAGCAGGGGCTGCGTTACAAACTGCAAGGACTTTTGGTGCGATCCTGCACCCATCTTCAGCCAGCGCGAATCTGGATATGCAATGCTCGGTGGCGACAAGGTCGACTACACAGCCATGTATGAGACGCCGGCTCTCATGAACATTACCGGAATGAGACGAGGCGGCTACGAGGCAGTGCAGACTGAAGAGGAGGTTTGAAGGGGCAGAGACGAGTGTAACGGTTCACGCTCGGAGAAGAGCAATAATAACACTTTGTAATATTGAGGTGGTGGAGCCCTGGCTGGACCTGGGAACGGCCAGCACGGTTTCCTTCTTCTCCTCCCCCCTTTTGTTCTCTTCTTTACTGTTCCTCCTGGATCGTGCGACGGAGCCCGGGGTATAAATGCGTGTTGGGAGCGGTGTGTTGACATCTTGGATCGGATACAAGCTGGGATGCCGGGTGACGGCTCACTCGAATGAATTACGACGACGACTCGAATAGACATGAAGGGCGTGCCGCATGGCGCTGGGAGGAGACTGTTGTGTTTGCATATAGCACGTTTGTCGGCAAGTGCCTCGAGGGGCATGGAGCGTGGGATGGTTGAGCGATTGGGTTGAGCCATGAAGCTTATGCTGTATTGATCTGTGAATCCGTCTAGCCTCGCCAGCGTAATGCTGAAAGGTAGCTATGTGTCATATCCAAAGACTAAAGCGATGGTATATACATGACATGGCGATAAAGAATGAAGGTGACATGTCGAACCATTGTCGTACTGTCAAGCTGCGTCACCTTATATTCACTGCCGTCTGCCATTGTGATGTAGGCATACGGCTTCTATATAGGTATGTATATTCTCGCAAGAGATTCAACTATGCTTCAGCACTCTATCCAACTCTTGTATACTCCCTCCAATGGTTTTCATCCTCTATTCATCATGCCACAGTCAACCATTCATCGTCCATCAACCCACTCATCAAATTCATCCCATAAACATCCAACACCACCCCCATCTAAGCCCCCCCCCCCCCCCCTATTATCTATCTCCCCCCCTTCGCCGGCCCACACTCAACCACCCTCCCCCCTTCCAATCTCAAACACCACTCCGCATCCTCCACAGCCTCCAGCCGATGCGCAATCGTCACCACCGTGCTGCTCCTCAACTCCTCCCTCAAGATCCGCTGCACCGTCGCCGCCGTCCCGCGATCAATCGACGCCGTCGCCTCATCCAGAATCACCAATCCGCTCCTCCTTAGCACGGCGCGCGTGATGCCCACGAGCTGACGCTGTCCCTGGCTGAGGTTCTTCCCCGCGGCGTCAATCTGCGTGGCGACGCTGAACGAAGCCCCGAGGACGCGCGCTATGGCTTCCTGGCAGGCCTTTTCGGTAAAGGAGCCGCTGGGGTCGATGTTGTCGCGGAGAGTGCCGGGGAAGAGGATGGGGTCCTGCTGGATGAACGTGATGCGTTGGCGGAGAGACGTCCGGTTGACGTGTGAAAGATTGACGCTGCCGATGCTGAGGGTGCCTTCGTGGGGGGCTTGTGTCATGAGGAGGGCGTTGGCAATGGTTGATTTGCCGGATCCCGTGCGTCCGAGAACGGCGCACGTCGAGCCGCCGGGGATCTCAAACGAGACTTTATCCAGCACGCAGGGCAGGTGAGCGTCGTACTTGAACGAGAGGCGCTCAAACTTGACGTCGTCGCACGGTCGCGGCCAGTCCTCGGGGGGCTCCTCTCCGCCACTCGGTTCCTCGGGGATCTCCTTGAGCATGCTCACGCGCTCTAGCGACACGGCATCGAGCTGCAGCTGCGCAAACCGCTCGCAGAGCTGCTGCACAGCCGCCATTGCAATCGTCGTCTGCGTCAGCACGAATCCCACCGCGCTCGCGCTCGTCCCGCGCCAGACCATGAACAGGATCAAAGCCGTGCGCGTCACCGCAGAACTCAGGCTCAGCCTGAAATCCAGCCAAAAGGCCATGCTCCAGAAGAAGTGGTCCTGCTTCTGGAAGTCGTCCACGGCATCGAGGTGCCGGTCCTGGAAGTGCCGCTCGACGCGCAGCGCGCGGATGGTCACGAGGCCGTCCTGCATGACGCCGATGTTGGCGATGATGGGCGTCAGGTAGCGCATCTCCATGCGGCGCAGGCAGCGCGACACGGGGACGTAGGTCCGGAAGAAGTGCACGAAGAGGGCCGCCACGGCGGCGAGCATGACGAGCAGCGCGGGCTGGTGGGAGGCGATGGCCACGAGGCTCAGCGCGAGCGCGATGAAGTTGTACACGAAGGATTCGAGCGGCGCGACGATGCCGCCGTCGACCATGCCCATGTCCGCGATGAGCCGGTTCTTAAGCTGGCCCGTCGGCGTGGTGTCGTGGTACCGGAAGGTTGCCCTGCTGACCTTTTCAATGGCCGTTTTGAAGAGCTCCTGCGCTGCCCGGACGCTGATTTGCGCAAGGAGCAGCTGGGCCGCGGCGTATGTCGCGATTTGGCATGCTGAGAGGCTGGCGAGGACGAGGAGCCAGGGGACCGGGTGCGTGTCTGGCGTGGGAAGGACGCCCCAGCGCGTGCTCTCCTCCGTGCCGCCGCCCTGAACGGAGCCGGAACCCCATGCCTCGAGCAGGCGGGCTCGCGAGATGTCGCATACCCGGGAGGCGCCGTAGGAGAAGCCGAGGAGGACCCAGAGGTGCCATCCGCCCGCGAGGATGTATTCGCTGTATACACTCAGGGGCACGCTCCCCGTCTTTGCTGGTTCTTCAGGGGCATCTTTGAGTGCGGGGATGTTCTCAGAGGAGATGTCGTGGGCTGCTTCAGAGTCATCGTGCGTCGTCTTTGCGTTGTCGTGGTACGGGTGCTCGAGTTCGAGCCTGACCTGCTCCTCTGAAAGCACAGTTGCCTTTCCATCGACCAGGTCAATCACCTTGTCGGCTATCCGGAGTACCAGATCATCTCGGTGCGTCACCATAACGATGGTCCGGCCCTCGGCAAGAGGCCCCTGGAGAAAGCGACGAACAATCGCACTCGCTGTGTCGTGGTCCAGGGCAGCAAGCGGGTCGTCCAGTAACATGATTCTGCACTGGCTGTACACTGCCCTGGCAAGGGAGACGCGCGCCTTTTGGCCTCCGGAAAGCCCAATGCCGCCTTCTTCGAGCTTCGTCTGGTCGCCCTCGGGGAGCAGGGCGAGGTCGGGTAACAGGGCGCAGGCATGAAGGACCTGCTGGTATCTTGCCGAGTCAAACGGCTGGTGGAAGACAATGTTTTCTCGGATCGTCTTGTTCTGCAGCCACGGCAGCTGCTGGGTATACGCCACGGGGACGTCGGGCCTGATGAGGTCGCCTTCGTGGAGCTCCATCTCGTTGAGGGCGGCGAGCAAAAGACTCGACTTTCCAGACCCGACTTTGCCTCGGATGACAGTGAGGCCCTTTGTGAAGTTGAAGTTGAGGTCCCGGAGGATGCGCTTGTCGGTGGAGGGCCAGGAAAAGGAGGCGTTGCGGAACTCGATGTCCGTGACGCTGTTGGGGTTGTTAGAGATGTCGTCCCTATCGGGCTCGGCCATGTACTTGTTGACTCGCTCGATGGGGATCGTGGCCTTCCAGTACGCCGAGATGAGATCAAACGCCTCCTTGACGCTCATCTCCAGCTGGGAGAACAGCTGCAGCGATGGCCAAATCACATCATTCGGCAGCCCCTGCCGAAGAATGAGCGTGTACAAGGCGATGCTGGCCAGCGGATACGTCGTCCCGCCGGCGACGCTGACGGTCGAAATGGCAGCGGAGGCGTAGGCAATGCTCAGCCGCTTGGCCATTTCCAGGCCCCGGAACTTCATGATCCTGGCGCTCCAGGTGGCGGTCCAGCCGTTGAGCTTGAGGGGGCGGCTGGCCTCGACAAAGTGCGAGACGGCCTGGGCGCGCTTGTCGGAGATGGATGTTCGCTGTCGTTCGAGCTTGATCAGCTTGCCGACCAGTGTCGAGTTGACGAAGAGGAAGACGAGCATCAGCCCGACGCCAATGGCCGACGGCCAGCTCATGATGTCGATGAGGTAGTACATGGTGACGACGACCTTGATGGGCTGGGAGACGAGCTTGGGGAATTCCCAGAACCGCTGCGAGATTTCGTACGTATCTCCTCGCACAAGATTGACAACTTTGGCGTTGGAGGCCGATCCGGGGAGTGTCTTGGAGCTGTGTCTAGGGGTGCTGGGCTTCCTCCATAGCATCCTGGCCAGCCATGTCCTGGGCTTCCCATTCTCTGCATGGTCACCTGCTTCATCGGCACCCTTTTCCGTCACATCCGATCCGGGAACTGCGCGCGTCAGAAGCTTGCCGAAGAGCGCAATGAAGGCCTCCCCGCGAGACCGCTCATACGCTTTGCGGGAGTACCACGAAGATGTCGTCTTGCACAGCTGGCGGGCACAGTCAAGAACCAGCATCACCAGGCCCCAAAAGACGGCGTCGTCCGGGTTCCTCGCGTCCAGCGCATTGTACAGCTGGCTCGTCAGCCGGATGTTGGACACCTCGGCCACCCTCTCGGACACGGCCAGCAGCGTCGCAATCGTCAGATCCAAGCCATTGGCCCGGATCAAGCACGGGAGGAGCTTGCCCTGGAGCTCACGGAAGGCCATGTACAGGCGGAAGTGCTGAAACTCAAAGGGCAGCTGCCAGACGTCGTCCTCTGTGATTTCGCGCTTGCGGCAGAGCAGGGCCAGGGGGTTGACCCAGCTCATTGTCCAGAAGCGGAAGAGGCTCAGGTCGTCTTCGGGGCTGCGAAGGGCGCGCGAGGGCTTCTCGTGAGACTGGCCAATGTCTCTGCTGCCCCAGCTGGGCTCTCGGAGAGGCATCATGCAGATGAGCATCATGGCCAGGCCGGAGAGCGCCATCCGGGCAAGACGGAAGCGGTCGATGCCGTAGAGAGAGCGATCCAGGAACCGAATGGCGTACATGACGGTGCTGGCGCCCAGTATGGCCGTGTATTGGAGCAACAAGAGCTTTGGGGCCTTTGTCGGACGGTCCAAGATGGTGATGGAGAGGGCCGAAGCCCAGGGAACCGCCTCCCAGAGGTACAGGTAGCGGGTCGGGTTCAGCAAGACGGGGACAAGGGAGAGAACGAGCCCTGTGATGCTGATGAGGAGCAAGAAAATGGCCCAGACGGAGCAAAACGGTCGCTTGACGCCTTCGGGAGCGCCTTCATTGGCAAATGGCCTAAGCCATGGCGGCAGCTGAGATCTGATGAAGCGTCTGTTGACATAGAGAGCGAAGACGCCGGCAGAGAGGATTGAGAGCGCCTGTGTGATGGTGACGTCTTTCGCCGCAGACAGGATTTCCGTGTCTGTATCTACAAGTACGGCAGACTGGGAAGGGAATAAAGGATAGCCGAAGAAAGCTTCTTCTTGCGTCAACATGCCCCTGTTTGAAGGAGGCTGTTCCTGTTGATATGACATGGCGGTAAATTCGGGAGAGACACGGAAGAGAAGATAGGAGCCGTCGGGCTCTCGACCCAGAAGTTCGTCGAAGAGGAAGAGATGTTGACTATCGTGATGCCTCAATGAGCCAGAACATTGGAGGGTTCAAATAATTGATCCAAGATCATGTATCTCCAAGAGGCATCGCTGAAGAGAAGTTCATTCGGTCGGTGGAATAGATGGCGTAATACTCGACCAATTGCTGTGAGATTTCAGCAAAATCAAGGCATCGCACCAGTCCAGCTTCAGCACACGCAGCAAAGTGCCAATTGATCACGGCATTGTCACGACGCTTGGTCAATTGAAGTTGTGTGTTGTTTGGTCGATGTATACATAAGCTTATGGAGTTTGCGGTGACGAGGACAAGACACCAGGCGGGACGTGGAGGGCGGTGGACAGACGCGAATGGTGGAGAAGAGGGACGGGTGGAGAAGGAGGCGTAAGACGAGATGCAGCCGATTTGCTGGACGTTGTTTGGCGGGTAATAATAAGCAGATGCACGTGGAGGCGGCAGCGAGGATGGGATTCGCTGTGGTGATGGTGGGCGTTTGGTGTTGATGCGGGCTGCAGTGATGGGTTGCGAGGATCCATAACAGATATCCCCTGAAAGTCACTGAACGAGAGGAGAAGGCAGTCATGGGGGCTCCAAGAAAAGACATTCACGCAAACAATTGGATAGCTGAGTGCGCGGTTCATCATGGCAACCAATCAATCCATTATGTTAAACGCCCATGTCATGCATGCATGCTCTCGTATCAAAAGACCTAACCTTGTTATATGACGCCTCTAGAAAATAGACAATTATGAAGAAGACGATCCCCTTTTCCCAGTATCATCATCCCGTTCCATCCCTCTTCCCTTACAGCATCATGGCACCACCAGCAAGGAACATGGTCAGGGCGGTCAGGGCACCGCCCAGGCTGATTCCGGAAACGGACGACGCGCGCAGGGCAACGGCGGCGTTGGAGGTGGTGGCAGCAGCAGCACTGCTCTGGGTGCTCGAGGGGCCGGTGGAAGTGGAAGAAGAGCCGGTGCTGTTGCTGCTGGAGCCGCCAGAGGCGCTGCCGGACACGAGGGCCGAGAGCTTGGAGTCGTTGACAAAGGACGCGGTGACGGAGGCGTTCTTGCAGGCGGAGGGAGGGTCGATGGATCCAGAGACGAAGTTGGCGGCAACGCACTACCATCTTGATTAGCTCATGCTTCTTGAGAGGGAGTTGAGCAGGGGTGGCATTCATCACCACATACCTGGTACAAAAGACCATCGGGACCGTCGGCCACGATGCCAATCACGCCCTTCTTGCCCTCAAAGCTCGACGGCAGCGTGATCTGGGGCTCGCAGAAGTTGCCGAGGCCGCTCTGCTGGACAATGGGGAAGATTTGCTGCCAGTCGGACTTGGCGGAGCCGTCGAGGGTGACGCGGAACAGCCAGTTGGTCTGCGGGTGGGTGCTGCGCATGGCCAGCGAGTCGCCGCCGACGTGGAAGTCGACGAGCTGGCTGGAGCCGGAGGACAGGTCGGGGGTGAAGCTGCCGCAGGGGGCCGTGCCCTCGTCGTCGTCGCTGAAGCCGATGGACTTGGGGTAGTTCATGAGGAAATGGGCCTGCGAGAGGGAGGCCAGGGAGAGGATGGCGGGGACGACGGACGAGGCACGCATGGTGATGGTTGTGGTTGGGGTTTGGTGGGAGGAGGACAAGAGGCGAGAGTTGACTTGGGTTGACAGACGGTGACAGAAGTCGAAGCGAGGTTGACAAGTCAAAAGGTGTTCAATGAGAGAGGCTAGAGGAGGGAAGATCAGTTGAGCCACGGAATGGCGAGGCTGTCACCGTGCTCAAGCTTTATAGCAGCCGCTTCCAGCAGCTTCAGAGGACCCTTCACAGCACCTACGCGCTCCACCAGCGCTACAAGGGGGGCTGGCGCCACTTTGGAGCAACGACCCAAGGCGGGCAGCTGTGGGATGGGCGAGCAGGGGGAGGGGGAGGCAACAAGATTGAAACGGTAGCTTGGATGGTGTTGAGCAAGATTACGGAACGGAGTGGTTTGAAGTTGTTGCTACGAGCTGTTCGTCTGTTCGTACAGGTGAGGCGAGGGGCCGGGCGAGTACCTATTAGAGGTGGATTGGATGTGGTTGTACCTGCTCGTAAAACCAAGGGAGACGAGCAAACAGGGAGATGCCTACAGGAGGATACCTACAGCTGTTGGCTGCCGTCACATGTGGACAGAGGTGTGAAATTGACACTCAAAAGTCAGGCCAACAGCATTCTATCGAGGCCAGTTTAACACTATAGAGGTACCTAGCATTCGAGTTGTAGTATGAGAAGAGGTGACTTTCTAGATCGACCAAAAAGAAACGAGTGGCTTTTGGATTCCCGGCTCCCGAATTGGCGGCGAGGCTAGCACAGGGACCGGGCCCGGCACCAGCCAATCAGACGCATCGGTGCTACCCATCTGAGAGCATTTGAGCAAGTTTATTCTCGAGCCTTTTGCAGCTGGAAGCGGCCTTGGCTGGTATGGAGGTACTCGAGGCTGCGCGCAGAGGCAACCGTGAGGCCAGGTAGAGCAGTAATACATACCTTAGATAGCATCAACATCATGCAATGACGGTCGAAGCATTGAATTTCCAGGTTGCAATTGAACGGGGCGACTGTACTGCAAGGTAAGGAATTGTAAGGAAGGTACTGCCTCACAGGTATCTTTGCCCAAAAAACGGCAGGTGGCTCTGTGGACTGCGGCTGCCCTCGTGGCTCCTCGACATTTGAAACGGGCGAACCATCAAGGGATCACCTTCCCTCCACGACTCCACTGGCAAGACCGGGCACCAAAGGCTGAAACTCTTCGTCCTCACCATCACCACCATCATCATCACCATTGCCATCAAGCTGCTTCTTCTTTTTCATCATCATCGTCATCATCATCCTCGTCTTCCCCTTGTCATTTTAGCCTCCCGCGTATCTCAAAATATCAGCCGCCTCCCTGGTCAGCCGCTTACAGGCACCTTCGCATCCCGCCCGGAAGCAAAACTCGGCCAAAAGAAGCCGAAACCATCCAGCAAACCCCCCACACACATTCTTTCTCCGTGAGCGAGTTATTGATAATAATTCCCCCTCCGCCTCAGACAAACCTGCTCATAATCAACTTGCTCGGGTTTCTCTCCATATCATCTGTCCGTCGCCCGGAAAACACGGCAAACGACATTGTCACTTTGCGCATACTACTACAACAAGTACAACCCCGACAAGTCTGTCTTTTGCTTGCCGGGACGAGGACAGGAGGAGAACAATGCACGGCTGAGAGCGCCTAGTCTCTTCTGCTTATCACGCAAACACCCATTGGCTGTGTCTCACCCTTCGCATCGCATCCGTCTACCTTCGATAGACAACATCTCTGGAGACATCAATACCACAGCTTTCTCACCATGGACGGCATGAACGACATGGGCGGTATGGACATGGGCGGCATGGACATGAGCGGCGATGGCATGACAGGTGTCGACGCCAACACCAACCACCGCCTTGCCCGCGCCTACTGGTACATTGCCGCAACGGTTGTGGGATCTCTCATGGTGTTTCGAGGCATCAACTACGTCGGTGCTGTCAAAAGGTGCGTTGATGCCATCGTCACTTGTTCCACCACATCGCCTTCTCACACAAGCCGACTAAACTTCGTCACAGACTCAAAGCCGCTCGCAACCAGTCAACCCCTGACCCCACTCGTCCAGATGGCTTCCTCAGCCAGTCCTGGGCCACAGCAACCGCCTTGGTCCGCGAAATGAGCCATCCTCAATTCTTCGTCCCCATCCGCCATTTCACCTGGCTCACGCCTCCTCCCCTGGGCCGCGTTTTGGTTCTGCTTTGCTACTGGGCTGTCATCATCTACTTCATGACCTGGCACTCCATCATCCACGACATCAATTTCTATGAGCGCCTTGCCTACCGCAACGCCTGGGTCACGCTCACGCAGCTGCCGATGCTCTTCCTGCTGTCCAGCAAGGTCAACATCGTCGGCTTCCTCATCGGCACCAGCCACGAGCGGCTCAACTGGCTGCACCGCTGGGTGGCGCGCACAATGTTCGTCACCTGCACCGTCCACGGCTTCAACTTTTGGACCGAGTGGGTGCGCGGCGGCATCCTGCAGGACGAGCTGGATATGATGACCATGGTCAAGTACGGCCTTGGTGCGTGGGGCATCCTACTGTGGAACGTCGTCGTCGGCTTTGTGCCGATACGGCGAATGGCCTACGAGCTGTGGGTGTTGCAGCACGTTGCCTCGTCCATTGTCATGTTGGTGCTCGTGTATTGGCACATTCCCCGAAATGCCCGCTTCCTCTTCTGGCTGGCCGTCTCGATTGTCGTCTTTGACCGCGTCGCTCGATGGGCGCTGCTGTTGTGGCAGAACCTGCGGGTCAGGGCTGGTGGATCAGCGTGTCAGGGGCGACGGCGAGTAGGCCATCAAATCCTCGCGCGAGCCGTGGGAAATGCGACCACCGTTGTCACCATCAAGGACGTGCATTTCAACTGGACCGCTGGCCAGCATGTCTACCTGTGGCTTCCGCGCCTCGGGCCCCTGGAGGCGCATCCGTACACGATTGCCTGTGCGCGTAAGCTCAAGGGAACGTGCTGCTGCAACAGCATCCAACTGATTTTGCGCAAGCATAAGGGCTTCTCCAAGCGCATTCACGACTACGCCTCCAATAATCCCGAGGGCACCCTGACCGGCTTCCTGTATGGTCCCTTTGGCGCGCCCCCTCGGTGGGATATTTACGAGACCATGGTTCTCATTGGTGCATCGACCGGAGCAAGCTTCACCCTACCGCTACTCGAGGCCGCAGCCCAGGCCGACTTTGTGGGATGCGTCAAGAGCATTGACGTGCTGCTTATCGCCAGGACATCCAAGGAGATGGAGTACTACGTCCAGCGAGCACGAGCGGCTGGCGAGGCCCTGGTCCAGAAAGGCGTCGCCGTCAACATCCACCTTGCCATCACCAACTCTGCGCTCGGCACGGACGGTCTCCCTCTCTCGCGCAACGATACCAGCACTTCACACATCTCCGCTGGTAGCAACAGCAGTGGTAGCAGCAATAGCAGCTCCGAGCTAGAACAGGCCGTCAAGGAAGGCGAGAAGTCTTCCTGCTGCTGCACCAAGCCTCCCGGCGCCAAGGTCGACAACGACAAGACCAGTGTCGAAAAGGAAAAGCTGGAGGAAGCGACTACAACGGCCCTGCTGGCTTCGTCCCGCCTTCCCATCATCCGCGAATACTCTTCCCGCCCCGACATGGAGCAGCTCATCCGGCAGCCCGTTGAGGCGGCCCGCGGCGAGACTGCCGTAGTGGTTTGCGGCGGCCCCGAGATTGTGGCTGCGACGCGAAACTGCGTGAGCCGGTTGAGTGACGAGCGAGCGGTACATAAGGGAACGGGAGCGCAGGGCATCTATCTGCACGTGGAGGAGTATGCTTTTTAAAATGTCATGATGATGGATGATGTGGGTATATAGGCTGGATTTTTGGGTATATATCAGGGCGTCGCGGCGTATTTGTGCTTGTCTAGAGTTTTGTAGACGAGACCGGCGTTGGACATGAAACGCATGGCATGTGCGAGGAATTGGTTCGAGTGCGAATACAAGCAAGTTCCAATCAAGTCTGATCTTCATGGGTGATGTACAATGAGAATGCTATTAAGTATTACTAGTGATAATGTACAGTATGTGTGTGTGTGTGTGTATATGTGTATAATACAGGTAACCCGTGTATGCATATCCAAGCAATGTCGCCTTCTATCCAGAAGGGATCACGCCAGCTTGGGGATGAAGGCAAGTCGTGGAAATCATACCTATGCAGGGTAGCTCTAGATGTACAGAGCCTTGGCTTCAATCCTCTACCAGATGCATAGGAACCCCCCCAAAGGCCGCGCCACCGTCTTCGTACCGCCAATTTTTTGAAACTCGTATGCCATTTGCGTTTGGCATATTGATTTGCCTGGCCGATGTTTGCTCGTTCTCGTCATAATTACCAGATCGGCACCGGTCCGTGAGCCAAGGACAGGCAGGGTCCAGAGTACAATTATCGAAAGCCAAGCCTCATGAAGATGCGCTGGCAGGCTTCTCAACGCCACTCACTACCCCGTTCTGCACCGGAGGCTCAACCCGCTCCAGCGCCTCGGCTCCCTCCTCCTCCTCCTCGCCGCTCGACTCGGACCGGTCATCCTTCTTGATCCGGTAGACGAGGAACTTGTACATGCTGCGCAGCAGGCAGTAGAGCCAAAAGAGGTTGAGCGCCTGCAGGGACGCGAGCAGGGCAAAGGTGATTGCGTTTGAGATCCAGCACTTGTACTGCTGCGTCTCCCAGTCGAGCTCGTAGGGCCCGACGGTGCGGAACTCGGTGAGGACGGAGTAGAGGATGCGCAGGTTGATGTAGTGGCGGAGGTAGCACCAGACGAGGATGTTGCAGACGTAGACGGGGACGACGAGGGGGCTGTCGATGTAGTGGAGGGATTTGGAGAGCTTGGCCATGTATCAGTCAGTGTGTGTGTGTGTGTGTGTGTGTGTGTGTGTGTATGACGCCTATGATATGGCAAAATGAAAAATAAAGGGGGAGGTAGACAAAGACTTACAGCAAGAAAGACGTCGCTGATATCGTGGGTTATGTACACGGCTATGCCCATGTGCGTAAAATGAAAGCGATAGCTCAGCCCGATCAAGGCCAGCGTGACGACATGGTGCGCAACCAGCTCCTTGTAGTCCTTGCGCGGCTTCTCAAAGCCCAGCAGCATCACGATGCCCTGCTGCGCCCAGTACGCCGCCTGAAAGAGGTAGTAGAACTTGAAGCAGGCCTCGTGCGAGCGGTGCGGGAAGGCCTCGTACATGCCCGCCGTGCGAAAGTACCACACGGGGCTCCGGCTCATGACGTAGACGCCCGCCGGGCCCATGAGGCTGAAGTAGATGGCCGTGTACATCTGCTCGGCGAAGCGCTGCAGCTTGCCTCTGCTCTTGATGCCGTTGCGGCGGCCGAGCGGGATGAGCAGCTCCTGCATGAGGAACTCGCGCGAGAAGGACAGGACGACGGTGTAAAAGGCCACGAAGGCGAGGTCCCAGAGGCCCTTGCCATAGTGCGGCGGCAGCGACGAGTCGATGCTGCGGGCGACGAGGGGGTTCGGCTGGCGGTACGAGAGGAAGATGAAGTGGTGGACCGGGTTGGACTCGGCCGGGTGGACGGCGTAGGCGGCGCCAAAGGACAGGAGCAGCGCGAGGGGGACGGCCCAGGTGTTGCGGGCGGAGAAGCGGGCGAGGCGGCGGAGGAGCGAGCGGGCTTTGCGGCGCTTCTTGCGGTCGGACGAGAGGCGCGGGACGGGAGAGCTGCTGGTGGTGGTGATGTCGGGAGGGCCGGATAGCTGCTGCTGCTGCTGGGCGTGATGCTGGCGGCGGCGAGTGTTGGACGAGGCATTGGAGGAGCTCAGCAATGGGGCGGCGTCGAGCCGAGGCATTGCTGTGGTCGCGGGGGGGGGAGCCAAAAGGAGAGGATATGAACGTTTGGTGGGAGAGATCTCACGAGGGAAGGGAGAGTACATGTAAGAAGAGAAGAAGTTGGTTCGTTGGTGTTGTGGAATTATAGAAGCGGCAGCTCATCCGTGCTTCATCAACGACATCCGCTAGAGAGTGACTTGACGGATACTCGGAGCCTTCGGGCTCCATTGGGCTGTCAGGGGGGGTCCGAGCGGCTGAACAGGCGCTATAAGTGGTGGCAGCAGGGCGAGACGGCGCTGTGGAGGCGTTGGAGACAGGTACCGCCTTGGTAGCTTCGAATGCTTGGACAAGTGCCGGATCCGTGCTGACCGATGACGTCTGCTGGCATGAAGTAGGTAAACAATGGGGGACGGAGGCTCACGTAAGTCATTGGTATAAGAAGCAGAATGAGAGGCTTCCTCGAGGTTCAATGGCCACTTGTCAACCATCTTTGCAATGTTCACGTGTCAATTGTCGAGGTCAGGTACTCGTCCCTCCGTGAGAAAGCGAAACTGCCGTGACATGTGCTCTTGCAGTGCTCATTTCAGGTCCATCCCTGTCATTGGTGGGCTTCCCCATACTGCTTGGCTTGAGACGTCAACAAGGGTCCCCTGATACGGACTCCGCGGGCTGGACTGGAGCTCCATCAGGGGTGTTGAGAGCCTCATGTTGATAGTAGTAGTACTAGTATCTTGGCTATCCAGGAAGAATTGTCCAAGGTCTCGACGGGAAATTGCACTGAAAAGATTTCTCTTCCAGACATTGTCGGTGAAGAAGCGAGCCACTACCACCACCTACCTAGTAAATAGGTCGTCCTATGGACATGAATGTCAACCATCGCGTCAATATAGGTACATGCAGCCAGCATTGGTGCTAATAGTCAGCTCATATTGGTATCAGAAAACTATCAACTCCCCAAAATCACCAATGGCATCAAGAGCCAATCAGTATCGTATCCAGGCACAAAAGACCATATGCAAACCCATATCCACCGCCGCAGTCAAATGTCTTGCTCGTCAGCCTCAATCAAAATTCAGCAAATCAAGACCTCAGCCAATATACCCCTTCACTTCTTCCCCTTTTCCCCTTTCCCCCAATGTACATGTCAGTGACCGACATCAGTCCATGGCATCTCTCATCCAATCCGGCTCAGGAGCTCCTTATGCTCACTCTGCCCAGCAAGGTTGAGCCCGCTCGAGATGCCTCCCCTGACGAGCGACAGCCCACCGCCGCAGTCCCACGCCTTGACCGCGCCGCCCTCGGCCGAATCAGGCTCATACAGCAGGACCTTGTCCTCGGCGCTGGGTGTGCTGGCCTTGGGCTCGTAGATTGTGTTCCCCCAGACGTCAAAGTGTTCGTAGTCGGCAGGATTCAGGCCTTCCAGCTCACGCGGCAGATCTTCGCCTTCTTCCTCCTCCTCGTCTTCGCTGCGGACGTCGTCTGCGTTGTGGCCTCCGAGGACGCGGAGGGCGACTTGCAAGATGGAGTAGCCCCAAATGAGCATGAGACCCTCCAGAACGGCGAGGTAGGCGAAGAAGCCGTTGAGGATGCCGCTGCTGACGCAGACGATGCCCTGTGGCTGGCTGAACGGCTCGAGCATCCACGACCATCCCTCGGGCTGTGGGAGCGGACCCTGGAGGTCGGACATGGAGCCCCGGTAGCACGCGCGCGGGAGGATGCTTCGAGCGTCAAAGTAGACGCTGTAGAGAACCATGCTGAAGAAGACGTGGCGGGTGGCCAGCCAGACGGCGACGAAGAGGCCAAAGAGACAGTCGCAGACGCGGCTGTAGCCCAGGTAGCGGGCACACTTGGCAAGCTGCAGCAACAGGTCAGCTTCAATAATCTCCTTGTTTTCACAACGAGGGCTTCTGGCGACTCACTGGAAAGACAATGTCGACGACGTCCATGATAATCATGGTCACGTTGCCGACGCGCGTGAAATGGTACGAGTACGACGCGGCGACGAGGGCAATGGTGACGAGGTGATGCACCAGCATCATCCAGTGGTCCTTGCGCTGCTTCTCAATGAGCGAGACGAGAAGCTGCTGGATCCAAAACGCCCACTGCGTGAGGAAGTAGAATTTGACGGTGCCCGTGACTTCGCGGCTGGGCCAGTCGGTCCAAAGCTCGGCCATGTTGAGGTAATAGGGCGAATTATACCAGATGTACTGTTCACGTCAGTTCTCATTCCACTTGAATGCCGCAATTTAGAGAAGAGAAGAGACATACAATTCCAAAGGGCCAGAAGAAGGAGTAGTGGATGATGTTCCACGTCTGCTCGGCGAAGCGTTCCCTGTCACGCCTCTTCTCGATGCCGCAGCGCTTTGCCAGGGGACTGAGCACAAACGCCATGACGGCATGGCGGATACCGGTGAAGAAGACGATGAAGAAGAGGACAAAGTGAAAGTCGAAGCGTCCGATGGCGTAGAGGCCCGTGTCGGGGTTGTAGTGCGAGAGCTTGAAGTAGGGGCTCGTGTAGACGCGGGATCGGGGCATCATTAGGTGCGTGAGGAAGAGCAGGGCCACGAGGTTGAAGGCGATGGCTATTCTTGATGTCAGTACCGGTTTCCTCCATCACGGTTCCTTGCTAGCCGTGATAAAGAAGAGGGCTGAGAGGCACTCACGGCTTTGAAAGTCGACCAGCAGCTGCTTCACGCTGCGGCAGGGCATGGGCCGGCAGCTGTAGCGTTTGATGATGGCCTCGACGCTGTCGTCTCTGGGCATCTCGATGGGTTGGTTGACGGCTTTGGGGTCATATTCCATCTCCAGCACGTCGTTGGTATCGTTTGAGTTTCCAACAGCGTCGTCTGAGCACATGTCGCCCATTTTTTGATAGCCGATGATGGAAATGTCCACAAAATAGCGATAGATGTGATCTCGAGATGGAGCTTCAGGGAGAGGGATTTGTCAGAGATGGACGTTGAAGGCTGTCCTGGGATACGGACAACAAAGAAAAAATAGCGATGATGTTTGTTCAGTTCTCAGAGCGTGCTGAGTCTGCGGAGCTGAGCTTAACTTGGCAGAAAGGGATGTGAGCTTGATGAAAGAGGTTGAGATATCTCGAAAGGAAGCCCTCGTCTTCTTCAGATGTGTGATGTTGAAGAAAGAGAGGAAGAGGACTGGGAGAAAAAAAAATTGGCATTTGGTTATGGCTCCTGGCAGTTATTTGGTGGCAGCTGGCTTGCATTGTTTACATCGAGTCTTGTTTTGGCATATGGCTTGCCAGATCCACATCACCAGAGTGAATTGATCATGATGGGCATTAGGGCGAGTACAAGGAGACTAGGGCCAGGCCGAGAGCAGAAAGGGGTCTGGCTATGTTGAGGCCATAGGCCAGTTCCAGTCGATGATGGACATGTTGGGATCTGGTGTTGAGTCTATCTATGATATGGTTCCAGCCAGGTAGAAGAGGCTTGAGGCTAGGTGAAGTCGGGATCATGGAGAGGAGGGAGGCTTGTCCTCTATGTGGCATGGGTGACCAGCCTCGATATTCTCTTCACGTTCGTCCTGCATCTGTTCTCGTTCACCCACAGATTTGCAGTCTTCAACCATACAGTTCTCTGGCATACTGGTGACTTGATAGGATATTGGGTACCTAGATAACATACACCTAAGGTACACAAGCGTTCAATCATACGCACATATTCGTGTCTATTGACATACTAGAACATCGGACAGTAGAAAGTACACATCCATATCGTTCAACCATACGCACGTATTAGCGCCTCTTGAAGCGCCTATGCCGTGAATCATTGTGCGCTTTCTTCCTCTGCGGTGTCGGCGTTTCCCTGACTTGACGAAATCTAATGCTTGGTTGAACTTTTTGTTACGCTGTGGCGCGCTTGAGCTGAGTGCAGCCGGTGACTTATGGTAAGGCTCCTTTCCCGCGTTGCCGCTTCTTCCTAAAGTTCCCAAGACCAACCTAGGTACCCTATGCTGTCAAAGTGGTGGCTTTGTTTGCCCTAGAAAGCAATACGTAGAATTGGCAGTGTGTTGGCTTCGTCCTTTAGAACATTTGAATCTCAATCAAGCTACCTACTACCTATGCTGGCACAAGTTCCCTCTATCTAGATGCACCTGCGTCACAAGGTCATCAGTTGTGTACGTAGGTATTGAACGCATACAGGAATGGATCGCAACAATACAAACACAAACATCAAGAACAAAAGAAGTCTTCAACTCGCGGCTTTTCTTGTTCAGACTCTGTTCAGTTAGAGAACAACACATGCAGTATGAACTCACTCCTGTATCCCCCTTGAACCTGGCAATTAAGCTCCAGCCCCCGTTCAAAACTCAATCGCGCATCAAACAGATAGCACGCACTCTAAAGTAGCGGCCGGCAGACACTTGCTACTCTAAGGTAGTCTAGTATGTGACCAGTAAGCCACATATCAAGTCCGTTTTGACTCGTTTCCACAGCACTAGAAACGACGGTTCCCAGCGGCCCGACGCCTCGAATTGCGGCAGATGGAGATTTGGCGATCGACTAAATAAGGGGGGTAGATAACCTTTGGTTGTGTACCTATGTAAGTAGGTAGGTAATTGGTATGTTTGTGTGTAGGTAGGTACCTTATGTTTGTGGTCTGTGTCGTGTCCAGCCAAGACGGTCATATCATGCAATGGCAGCATCAGAATGGCATCCCCACCACCAACCCAGTCCTACGGTAATGGTGATGGTGATGGTGATGGTGATGGTGCTACCCGGCACAGATCACTCCCAGGTCTCCATCCGTTTAGGCATGCAAGTCATCGGCAAGCAGCACAAACCCTCGGCATCCCCAGAAACGAACCACCACCAACCCGCCTGGAGCTCGCCTGCAATCACCCGCAGCGGTTGGCAAACGCATCAACCCGCCCAAGCAAGCAAGCATCAAGCATCGAACTCGCCCGTACCTACAATTACCTACCTATGTAAGGTACTACTAGAACCCAACAAGGTAGAGCACCTAGCATCCCGCTCAGTAACACCCCTGGCATCAGCCCAGTCAGATGGCGCGGGGATTCTGGCCACATGTGCATGGAAAATGCCTTGGGCTCCAGCGGCTAAATCAATTATACTCTGATCCTTGTCGATGACACTGGGGCGGGCTTTTGATGCCCAGTCCTTTTGCGCTGGCGTCTGATCCTCTACTTTCCTTGTTGTCAGTGCAGCTGTGAGCGATGGGACGAGGTGGCATCTCGATAGCCATGGGAACATTGCACGCTCTTGTACTATCCATTTTGCTAAAGATTCTTGGCCGGGTCGTGCGAGTCCCTGCATCCCGTTGTGTTCCGTGCGACTCTGCTCGAAAGAAAGAACCAGTTTGGCTCTCTATCCGACTTGCACAAGCACTATTGACTTACATACTTGTTTATCCCTGTCGGTGATCTTGGTAATCCGAAAAACAATGACACATAGATACAGAAGCGCAGGCGGACAGTCTCGAGATAGAGAGAGGCGGGCAGCAAATCACGTCTCGTCGCTTGCGGGTTGCCGCCCAAGCAAAATCAACTGGCCCGGATCCCTCCCGCTTCTCCCCCAGAATCTCCAACAGCTGCTGCCGCCAGCCACAGCCGCACCAGATCTGTGTGTCCTGCCAACTCCAAGGTATCCTTGTTTACCTTATGTTCTCTCCTCTCCTCTCCTCTCTTTTCTACGTACCGCATCTCGTGCAGCCAAGAGCAATCCGCCGCATCCCCTCACTTTGTGCTGACCAGAGACCACCTCCACCACCAAGTCCCGTAACCCGCCAATATCATCACCAATATTACACTCAACCCACGCACAGACAAACCCCATTAACTCTTCCCCCCCTCCCCCCTTGCACTGGACTCATGCCTGTCATTCTTCTTCCTCTTCTTCTTCTGTTGCCGTTCCCTGCCATTCACCCACTCGTGCCGGCAAAAAGCTCCGCATCGCACGTGGGAAAGCGAGCTGCCCGCCATTTTGCTCTTGGCAGCTGATTTCGAACTGCCCCGTCACGTCAAGTCTCTCTCCGCCTTAGGTTGTCTTTGCCTGTGCTCTCACTGCAGTCAACTTTGTGTTTTATTTGATTTCATTCTTCAGCTCTGCTCTCCGCTGCGCTTCGTCACTGGCATCGTTCAGCCCTCGTTTTCTGGATAGCGGTGCGACGGCACGATTGGCCTTATCTCCTGCTGCTGCTGCTGCTGCTTCTTCTTCTTCTTCCGCATCCTTCTTGTTCATCTTGGTCTCTCCCACGTCTTTCTGTGCTTTCTCGAGCTCTTCTTGCTACCTGCTCTAGCTCTGCGTCACATCCATATGACCCTCGTCAGCCTCAGTCTGCCTTGTCTCCAGCTCTCAGCTTCAGCTCTCGGCTTCTTGCTCTCCTCTGCGCAATCCTCACCCACAACACGCAGCAGCCGGCCATGACGCGGAGCTGCTGCCCCAGCTTCTACGGCATCGTCCAGATCGTGGCCCGCACAGCCGCCTGGATGACGAGCGTGACGACGCTCGTGATTCTCGCCTTCATCATCAACCAATGGCCTGACAAGGGCGGCGCCATTGCAGCCGGCCTCGTTGGCGTGAGTCTCTCTCTCTATTTCTCTCTTTTGACCTCTCTTCTCTATTCCTACACACATGATGACCCTGGCCGTGTCTTCCTCCACTGGTCATCACCAAAACCAAAACCTGATCTGATGCTGTGCCCGCAGTCCGCCATCGCCATCCTCAACGACTCGTGGATCGTCGTCGCCAACATCGACCGCGCCCTTGGCTTCCAGCAGCTCTCGCCCGCCCGCGCACTGCTGCACGACCTCTTCTCCCTCGCCGTCTCCCTCGGCGGCATCGTCATGATCATCTTCTCGCGCTACTCGGACGCGGCCGACGGCTTTGCCGCGCTCGACAGCGACTCGGCGCCCCAGGTCACGGCCGCCGCGGGCCAGACGGACGTCATTAGCAGGGAGGGCTTTTCGCAGGTCCGCATGATGGCCATTGCGGTCTGGCTGCTCACTGCTGTTGTGTGAGTCTGGTCCATGATATGATTCTCCTCTCTCTCTCTCTCTCTCTCTCTCTCTCTCTCTCTCTCTCTCTCTCTCTCTCTCTCTCTCTCTCTCTCTCTCTCTCTCTGGTGAAAGATTTGGCATGATGGCTAACGTGCAGAGTTGCAGCGTGTGGCGATTCATCTTCATCATCTGGGGTGGCTTCGAGTGCCTCTACGAGTTTCGGCTGATTCATGCGCGACCTCGGCGACGACAACAAGACATGGTCCAGGTCTGAGGACGGCCTTGATGGCCAGGGCACCAAAGAGGAATGGGGGGAGGGGGCAATTTTGCATTTACTGGCGTTTTCCGGTTGCCATCTATCGGAGTTTGGTGGAAGGACTCCACAGGGTGTTTAACAGGCAAGGGTGACGGATTTAAAGCATGTTTGCATTTGGCAGCGGCTGGGAATATACCCTCTTGTGATTTGGCAGCGACAAGGATGGATGGATAGTATCAAGGTGCATGGCAAGGTGATAGCAACAATTCATGACAGCGCAAGTGGGAGCTGTCGACGTATCGTGTGATTTGCTCAACATCCAGGAAACAATTGACTCAACATCTATCAATCTATAGAGTGACAAACAAGGCATAGGTATTTACCAAAAAAAAAAAAAAAACAATTCACGCCCGCCTCGCAGCCTTGACCCGGCTGCTATTCATGAAATAGTACAACGGCAAAAACAGAAGCGAGCAAACCACCGTCACCCCCGTGCTGTACAGCTGCCACAGAAACACCAGCAGCGGCCCCAGGTACGGCACCACAAAGGCCACAAAGTCGTTTGTCTGGTACAGGTCCTCCTGGCTGGCAATGTAGTATCGCAGCCTCTCCTGGCCGGGCCCCGCGAGGGCGGACGAGACGGCGGACCGGCCGTCTGCCGCGGTGTACTTTGGCGGCGGCGACAGCTGGCCTGGTTCGGAGGAGGAGCCCTGGACGAGGCGCAGGACGGAGAGGAGCTTGACGCGGGAGGAGTGCAGCGGGATGAACCAGATGGAGAAGGTCTGGCGGATGGAGACGTAGAGGGTGTTGTTGTGGTGGTCGAAGACTGTGGGAGAAGAGAGAGAGAGAGAGAGAGAGATTCTAGGTTAGGCTGATGTGTTTCTTGACTTGGTAGATGATGCATGTTTTGGAAGGAGTACATAGGGCTCTACACCGCTCATTGCAGCAGGTGAGATTCTTTTCTTCTTTTTTTTTTTTTTTCTTCTTCTTCTTCTTTTTAGGGGGGAATAGTGACGAGAGGCAAGAGAGAGATGGGGGGGGGACAGACATACCGGATGAATCGACGGTGAGGCTGATTTTCGGACTCAGCGTGCGGTACCAGCGGTAGATGCCCAGGATGAGCCAGCGCGAGTCGAGGTCCCTCGCGAGCGGGACGGCGCCGCGCGAGATGGAGGGCACGCGGCAAAAGGGGTGGATGAAGGACGCGTTGGAGAGGAAGTATGTGTTGAGCGTGTCTTGCTGCTGCTGGGGGGTTCCTTTGGTGAGGGCGTTGATGACGCCGGCGATTTCTTGGACTGTTGTGATGAGGTGCCGGTGTTAGACTGGGGATTATGCTGATGCTGATGGTGATGGTGAGGATGAAGAGGATGAGGCGTGTGTAATTACCTGGATTTTCCATTGTGTTTTGGTGGTGTCAATTGGTGAGTTGTGGGATGATTAGAATGAAATGAGATGAGAGAGGTGATGAGATGATGAGATGATGGATGGAAAGAGGGTGAGATTGACTGCTACTAAGAGGTCATTGTTTCATTTGTCGGTCGGTTGCTGGTGTTGTTCAGGGATTCCCCTTCGGCTAGCTTGGAAACCTGGGACGCAATCACATGCAAAAAAAGAAAAAGAGCAGGGGAAAATCATCGTCAACCCTCGTTTCCAGATACGGATCAATGCGTTCATCCATGTGGGGAGCTTCCAACGCTCCCGTCCGTGACGTCACCATCACGAGCCATTAACCCGTGAAATAAACAGCTATAAGACCGATATCAGACCATGATTCAATGCTCAATTCTTTTTTTAAATTTGATAAACCTCAATTCATAGGGGGTTCTGTGAGTTGAGAACAGACGCAATACCCTCGCAATGGCTCAACAACGCTCGGGGCTCGTGAACCCCCTGTTTCACCCGCTGCTGTTCGTGTACCAGCTGCTGCAATGGGTCATCGACAGACTCCTCTCGCCCAAGCCGCCGCGGAGAGTCGACGAGCTGACGAGGCCCAAGATTGGCATCATCGGGGCTGGTCTCACGGGGGTGTCCGCGGCGGCGCATTGCGTTGGGCATGGCTTTGACGTGACTATTTTCGAGGCCGGGTCGAGGGACAATCTGGGGGGCATCTGGAGTGTAAGTCTCGGCCATTCTCACAAACTCGCCCTACTCATCATCACCTTCTTGTCAATGACATGAAACCTACTTCAATCTCATTTAAAAAATTAGAAAAAAAAAATTAAAAATTATTGGCATCAAAGTCACTAACAACTCCCTCCTCCTCCTTGCAGAGAGTCAACGACACGTCCGGCCTGCAAATCCACAGCATCATGTACCGCTTCCACCCCTCCGTCCAGTGGCAGGGCGGCTACCCCAACCGCAAGCAAATCGTGGCTCAGATCGAACAGCTCTGGAAGCGCTACAACCTCGACAAGAAGACCAAGTTTGGCGTCAAGGTCAAGGGCGTCAAGCAGGACGACCAGACGCGCTGGATCGTCAACAACGACCCTTCGCTCGGCCGCTTCGACGGGCTGATTGTCGCCATTGGGACCTGCGGCGAGCCCAAGATGCCGCACATCCCGGGTATGGACAGGTTCAAGGGGGAGATTTACCACTCCAGTGACCTGACTGGGTAAGCAAGCAAAGAATCATGATGATACACACATGACTTCGATATGTAACAAAAGGTGAGAGAGAGCTACTTATATACTGACAACCTTTTGCAGAAAAGACGCAAAGGACAAGCACATTGCCATCATCGGCGGCGGCGCCTCCGCCGTCGAGGCCCTCGAGTTCGCCTTCTCCGCCGGCGCCTCCAAGGTGTCCATCCTGTCGCGCTCCGACAAGTGGATCATCCCGCGCAACGTGCTCGTCGACACGCTGCTCAGCCTCAACATCTTTGGCCAGGAGACGCTGCTGTCCTTCGTCCCCGAGTTCCTGCTGCGCAAGCTCTTCTACCGCGACCTCGAGGACCTCGCGCCGTCCCACGACAAGGGCCTCTTCATGAGCACGCCCATGGTCAACTCGGCCGTCATGGACAAGCTGCGAGAGGGCCGCGCGGAGTGGATCAGGGGCGACATCCAGGGCTTCACGAGCCGCGGCGTAAAGGTCAACCGCCGCTCCAGGGGCGTTCCCAAGGGCGGCCCCGGCCACGAGGAGCTCGTCAAGGCCGACATGGTCGTCATGGCCACGGGCTTCAAGCGGCCCTCGCTGGCCATGCTGCCCGACGACTGCTTCGAGGAGCCCTACGGCCCGCCCAACTGGTACCTGCAGACGTTCCCCCCGGCGCACCCGTCCGTGTCGGCCATCAACGCGACGTTTGTCGAGGCCATTGGCACCGTCGGCAACTGGCACATTGGCATCTACACGCGCATCCTGCTCATGTTCCTCGTCGACCCCCTGACGCGGCCGAGCCGCTGGTGGATGGAGCGCTGGATCGACATGACGCGCACGCTCAAGCGCTTCAGTCCCACGGGCGCCTTTGACTTCTTCACCTATCTCGAGCTGGTCTGGTGGTTTGTGTTTTGCGTGGCGTTCAATCCCTTTCGCTGGAAGTGGGCGCTCTTTGTGTTTTTCGGCGTCGGCATTGGGCTGCCGGACGTCGTGGTCAGGACGGAGAAGCAGTTTGTCAATGGCGAGGGATACAAGAACCGGGACCAGGGGGTCAGCTTTTAGTGTTGATGAGAAAGGGGGCATAGTGTACAAGTACGAAGAGAGGATATGACAATCAGTATGATGGGGGATATAAAAGGTGTAGATTCAAGCGTCTCTCACGACTTCTCATATATATAGAATGCAAACAGAATACAAGTACTCAGTCCATCACCAACCAAGCACCTTCTAAACTGCCCTCCCCAACTAGGAAAAGAGACTGTTGAGAATCTTTTCAAATCCATTCCTAGAGAAATCGTCAACATTGTATACCTACTAGATACTGAAATGAGTTGTGAGTTGACATACCGTGGCGGAGTGGGGATGTAATTGTTCTGATACTCTTCAATCTCAGCAACGTCCTTTAACAAATCAACCTCCTCGGGCTTTCGAATCTTTGTCTTGCGCACAATCTTGTATCCAAAGTACAGTACCGGATAGACAAAGATCATGGCATACCTGCACATCACACACACACACACAAAAGTCAGCATCAACAACCCCATCTCCACCCATATACACAGGCACATCACCAAAAGAAACTCGCAGGTCATACTCACGAGAATAGGAAATCGGCCACGTTCCAATACCCAGGCAACGGCAAAAACACGGTATACCCGCCCACAAACGCCATGACAAACGTCCAGACGAGGGCATACCACGCGGCATACGGCATGAACCACGCCTTGTACGGCAAGCTATCGCGACTGATGCCCTGCGCCTTGAGCGCCCTGTGGAAGCACAGGTACGAGACGCAGACGGCGCAAAAGTTGATGAGCTGCGAGGCCGTCACCAGCGACACGAACCAGTTGAGCACGACGGCCGAGTTGGACGACAGCTGCAGAAACGACAGCAGCGCAAAGAGCAGCACGAAGCCGACGCAGAAGACGGGCACGCCGGCCTTTGTGCAGCGCGTCAGGAACCGCGGCGCCTTGCCCTCGAGCGCCAGGCCGTAGAGCGACCGCGAGGCGCAGTAGACGTACGAGTTGCCCGCGGAAAAGGCGGCCGTCAGCACCGCCGCGTTGACAATGTGCGGCAGCACCCTGATGCCCAGGCGGTTCATGGCCACGACGTACGGCGACGCGGCCGCGCCCGGCTTGGAGTCGGCAAACGCCGCCTTGAGCTCCGGGTCGTCGTACGGCACCAGGATCCCGACGCACAGCGAGCCGAGGATGAAGAAGGCCGTCAGCCGGTAGAAGACGGCGTTGTACGCCCGCGGCATCACCACGCGCGGGTTCTCCGCCTCGCCCGCCGCCATCGACACGTAGTCGGGCCCGGCAATGGTAAAGGCCGCCTGGATGAGGCACTGCAGGAAGCCCAGCCAGCGGCCCAGGTCGCCCTCGTAGTACAGCTCCGCAAAGGAGCCCGGCTGCTTCCAGAAGCGGAAGCCGAAGCGGTCGTGATGCGGGTTCCCGCCGAGCATGACGACGACGGTAAACACAATGAGGCCGACGATGAGGACCACCTTGCCGATGGCCGCCCAGAACTCGGTCTCGCCGTACCACTTCACGGCCAGCACGTTGATGAGGGCGTACAGCACAATGACAATGGCAATCAGGGCGGCCGTGGGGATCGCGTCCGTCCAGTAGCGGATGATGAAGTTGCACGCCGTCACTTCAAAGGGCACCAGCGCGGCCTCGAAGACGAAGAAGTTCCAGCCCGTGGCAAAGCCAAAGGCCTCGTCGACGTAGCGGCCTGCAAAGCGGATAAAGGGGGACGAGACGGGCAGGTAGGTGACCATTTCGGCCATGCAGAGCGTCACCGCCAGCACGACGGTGCACCAGAAGCTGAAGGCGATGAAGAGGCTGCCGGGGCCGCCGTTGAGCAGGCCTTTTCCGATTTGGACCTACGTGGTGCAGTTCATTAGCATGGATTCAATCATAATCATACTGTTGTTTGGTTTGTTTGATACGAGGGTGAGGAGAGACGGAGAGAGAGAGAGAGAGAGGACTTACATAAAGGACAGTGCCAATGGTGCCTCCAATGCCAATCAGCTGAATGTGTCTGGCCTTGAGCTGCCGGTGCGTCGTGTTCCGCTTCGAGTCGCCCGAGGACATGGAAATGCGAATCCCATCCAGAGACTCTGTTCGATCCGCCGTGATTCCGCCCTTGTCGTTGCCAGAGTAGGCCGGAGGCTCAGCGGGAGCGGCCATGGCTGCAGACGTATCGTGATTCAAAACTCGTTTTCGACACGACTAGATAAAAAAAAACAATCGGCCGTACCGCCAGTGACTCGGCGTATAAAAAGGAGAGAGCTTCGATTTCCCCAGAGCTCTCAATGCCCAGAGAAGAGGAGATGGTAAACGGTGTTCAGAGAGCAGTTGGAGAAACCGCGTCACCACCAAGAGAGAGAGTACAGAGAGAAAGAGAGCGGCGTGTGTAATGCCGCGCTTTTTCCCCCGGACTCTTTCAGCGGATGGACTTGAGAAGAAGAGAGAAGAACTCGACTACGAATTCCATTCGTCGCGACGGTTTTTTCTTCTCCTATTTGTTTCCCTCTATGAGTCGTGGTAGCAAAGCAGCTACAGAGATTCTTTGTCAGTTTGAGCAGTGATTGAAAGACGCAAATATAGACGCAAGTTCTCGCACGAGATCGAGTAAACAAGGCACGAAGAACAAGGAAAGGCGAGAGAGAGAGAGAGAGAGAGAGAGAGAGAGAGAATGAGAGTGAGACACAGCGCCGGCTGTGTGTTTATTTATTATCCACTTTGGACCTCGATTTCTCCTAGAGCCGAGCCGAACTGCCTTGGACAAGGTATTAGTTGCATGTATCTAGCCTCTGCGGGTCTCTTGTCATGGGCCGAGCAAAAGGGCCTTGAGATGGTACAGACAAGAACCAGCAAACAGAAACAGGAGTCATCTTTGTTCTAGGCACTCTTGGCTTCTTCTGCATTCGGCCTGGAGGCCGTTCGTCCGTCAAGTCATAGCCTCTTCTGGCTGGAATTTTGTGAGACATGGAGAGCAGTCTTTTTATTTGTCCAGCTTTGTACCTACTATATGGAGGAAGATCTAGATCATCATCGTCCCCCCGCAATGCCAATTCCGGCCTCTTTGCGGTCACCAGTGAGAGCAGAGCCATTTCCAGCTCCCACTGGTCCTCCAGCTTTACAATTCTGACTCGAGCATCAAAAAAAAGAAAAGCCCATTGAGAGAATAAAAAACGACAACCGGGGGGAAGGGAAAATCCCAGGCTAATGCAACCCCCCAACCTCTACTAGCCGCCCCCCCCCTCATGAAGTTGGGGTGCCCCCAGAGCCACCGAAAAGCGTGGGGTTTTTCATACTAGAGAGCCATGACATGAAGTCAGGATGCCAAAGTAACATGCCATGGATGCAACCAGGGCCAGCGACTAAGGCTCTAATGCAATTTGCCTAAAAAGTATTTAGCCTGGCTGAAAAGTTAAAAAACAAGTCAACCTTGCCTAATTAAGAAGGGATTATTAGCATAAAGTCGCGCATAAGAATCTAAATGCCTTAACCCTTAATTACAAGGTATTAAGCTAGCTAAGGCTATATAAATGCTTATAAGAGGGATAGATACTAAGACTCTTTAATTAATTCTACTAATAGCAGGGGGTAGTAACTAAAAACTTTTTAGCTTTTAAAAGGCTTAGTTATATTTAGCTGCCTACTTTTTTAGTTCTGCAGAGATATTATTATAGTTATAAATTAGGTTATTAGTATAGCTAATAATAAGGTATTAGCTAATATTATCCTAGCTTATAAATATTAAAGGCAGTATTATTAAAACCTTTAAAAAGCTGCTATACTATTAGCTATTAAATATATCCTTAAAGAAGAAAAGTAATTACAGTAATAAAGGCCAGCCTACTTAAAAGCAGTTAATACTAAGCTTAATAAGGCAGATAAGGCAGATAAAGATAATAAGGATCCCTATTAGCTAATAATTACAGCATTATAAAAGCTATATAATAAGCTTTTTTAAAGATTAAAAAAGAGATTTAAAGAACTATTTTATATAAAAAAGGCTATATTTTAGGCCTTCTGCAGTTAGCTAAGTTATAATATTAATATATTAAAAAGTTAAAAGCAATCCTTATAGCAGAAGGTTATAATATTCTTATAAATATATATATTTAGTAAAACCTAAAGGAATACTACATATTACTTTAAAATATATTAGTTAATAGTATTTTAAATTATATAAAAGCTACTAAATCCTATATAGCAGTTATATATAGTATTTATAATATAGCTACTGCTAATATATATCTCTCTTAAAATTATAATAAATTTAAAGGCTAAGGGCTTTAAGGGCATAATTAAGGCTATTAACAGCATATATATTCCTGCCTTTATCTTAAAAGTAAATTAATAATAATTCTATTTAAGGAAAAATAATATTATACAGAATATACTTATAGCTATTACCTTAAATAGCCTATTCTGCTATATACTAGTAGAAGGTAAAGGATCTTTTTATAATACCACTCTTTTACTATAAGCTATAACTTAAAGCCTAAAGGTGCTATAAAAAAAATACTATCTTACTAATACTAGCTTCTATATAAAATAAGGCATTATACTGCCTTATATTAAATTACGTTATTATCTTAATAACTAGGGAGATGCTAGTTAGTAGCCTTATAATAGTTATAAGCTATTTAACTTATAGCATGCCTTACTAAAGACTATAATTAAGTATATTTTTAGCTGCTGTAAAAGGAAATAGAAGATTATATATACTAGCGCTTTAGAATATAACTTTATAAACTAATGCCTTTTTATATATACTATTATAAGGCTATATAATTTTATAGTATTAAGAAGAAAGACTTTAAGTAAGAGCTACTATAAATATCTTAAAGCCTTATTATAAAAAGAATAATTAGCTATTACTAAAGCAGGGGAAATAGCTAATTTTATTATACCTTAGTTAGCACCTTATAGGTTAAGGGAATATATAGCTAAGGAATATTAGTTAAGTTACTAGTAATATCTTAATAATAGTAATAAAGATTACTTCTTTAATAATAAGGGTTAAAGCCAGGGCTTTAAGGACTATAGAGATAGTAGTAGTAATAGCAGCAGCCTAGGATTAGACCTTATTAATAATAATAAAGGCAATAATAATAAATTTAATAATAAATTTAATAATAAATTTAATAATAAAAATAATAAAGATAATAAAAATAAGAAGGAGGGAGATACTAAGGGATAGGGCTAGAAATAAGTGTAAATATAGCTTTAATAAAGTAAATTAATGCTAGACAGCAGCTAAAATAATAATAGCCTTTTAAGCAGTGTTTTTTTCTTATTATAAAGCTATTTATAATTATTATAAAATAAAGCTAAATTCTAGCTTAGGTTTACTACTAGCTATGCCTCCTTAACCTTATCTAATAGTAATAAATTCTATATTAATAAGTTTATTAAATCTTTATATATTTAACAGACTAGCTTAATTAAATATTCTATGCCTTTATTACTAGTAAAGTTAAGATAATCTTTTATAGTAATTTTAAATACTTTAGCGCTAATAGGTAATAGCTTATATATAATAATATATATTACCTTAGCTGCCTTAGCATTATATAAATTAATTAACACTACTATAAGCTTATAAATAGCTTTTACTAATAATAACCCTTCTTAAGCTAGTAACCTTTTTTTCTTCTACTTCCTTATACCTATTATAACCTTAGGCGCTGTAAATAATAATCTAGGCATTAGTAATACTATCTATAGTATTAAAGGCATTCTTAGCTATAATAAAGTTAAACGCCTATATAATAAAGGCGCTGGTTATAGCATTAAGGCTATAGGCTGCAGCGCTAGCGGCTATATTACTAAAATAACCTTATCCTTATCCTTATCCTCTATTACAATCTCTACTACTACTATCTCTCTTACTAATACTAATACTTTTAATAATGCATCTGCTAGCTTATTTACTAGTGCCTCTTAATCTTTAGCTATATTTTTAAGTGTATTCCTAACTTCTTTTATAAAGTTATTACTAACTCCTATACCTCTTAAATAGTAATTTCCCTTAGTAAAAGTAAACCCTTTAGCATTACCTACTTCCTAAATATTTCATCCTGCCAGTTAGTCCTTAATAAAGATATATTACTAAGTATTAATATTAATATTATTACTAATAAGGAGCCTGCTTTATATAACTTTCCTGCTAAAGTAAAAGTATTATAATATTATTAATTATTAATTTACAGGGCTTATATTAAGGGCGCTAGTCTTAAGGTTATATATTATCCTTAACAGCCTCTTAGCCTTATTAAACACTTACTAGAACTTCTTTAAATAGTTATACTTATTTTTAAGCGTCTTAATAGTCTAATTATAGCTAGAATACTGGTTTTTTATAAGTTTAATTATCCTTTTAAAGCCCTGCTAAAGGTATATTACTTTTACTAACTTTATAAAGTTATTACTAGTGGCCTTATATAATAATAAAAGAAAAGACAGCATTTAGTTATCTATCCACCTAGCTTTACTAGCCTATAATACCTATAATATAGGTTTTAACATTTTAATAGGTCTATAGCTTATTATAACTTAAAATAAAAGTAAAATTATATAGCTTTAAAGGTATTTTAAAAATCAGGCTATTAAATAATATTAAATTTAGCCTAATTAAAGTTTAAAGGCAGTAAGATATTTCTATCTAATTACAGTCTAGTGGTCTAATAAGGATTTCCAGGGCTAGAAAGGAGGTATAAGAAAAACACTCCACTTAGCGCTAATTGTAAAAGTCACACTTTTCAGCCGGCTGAATACTTTTCAGGCGAATTACATCAGAGCCTAAAGCAGACGCACATCAACTCCATGGCAGCTGACATCCTTCCCATCTCGTGCAGCGTTTTGCAGCTATTGTTACCCAAGCCATCCATATACCAGGTAGCAGAATACGCCACCAAACGACATGCGCCGACACAAAATAAGCCTCATCAATGCAATCTGATTACCAGGTACTTCTTACATCTCTCTCGAGGGCTAGCAAGGGGGCCATCATGCAGCCTCGGCGTCAAGACAGGCAGGCTACTACTACCTTAGGTAGTGCCTTGCGGAGATGACATCACCTCGGCCCCGTCAGTTTCTGCTCCACCAGCATCATTCCAATCTTCACCGACTTTCACCGACACTCACGACATGTGAAGAGAGAACAAAGACTCTTGATTTGACATCTAGATACAGCATACAGTGCAGCCTCACGGCCCGTCTCCCTCAACTCACACATACAATAGAATACACAAAACAACATTTTTGGATTGCTGCCCCGAAACAAAGGAAAGCCCGGCTCATGCAGTGCAGAGGGAATGAATACACACGGAAGGAAACCATCCAACTTCATCTCGACTCAAGGAAAAGATAAGAAACAATATAGGGTATCGTCTAAGCACTGCTCCTCCCGCCCCATCCGCATGGCCTGTCCTTTTCACAACTCGTCTCGGCCATGCTTCGCCGCGTCGGTCGCCTTGCTCGCCATGCTGCCCACCTTTTCGCCAACAGATCCAGCCGCCGCGCTGGCTTCGCTCGCCAGGCTGGCCACGTTCTGCGTCGCCGTGGCATACGCCGCCTGGAGCCTTGACAATACACTCTCCGTGAAAGGCGGCTCCCGGCCAACAATCAGCTCCGACACCAGCTCGCTCACTGCTTCGTACTCGTTCACGGCACCGGCTGATGCCGTCTCACCGGCCTTTCCAACAGCCGAAGTCGCGCTCGCCACGACCGCCTGCGCATCCGTCACCAGGCCATCGTACCATCCGATGAGTGCCGGCGTTGGCTGGCCGTAAATCTCCAGGCTCAGCTGGCTCACGACCGTCCCCCACGTCTCGCCAATGGCCAGCCCGGCGTTGTAGACTTGCTCCGTCGCAGCATGATGCAAAGACGAGATCGATTCGTCCACGGCTTCGATTGCAGAAGCAACATTCTCCGTCGCCTTGGAGTAGGCAGATTCGGCAGCCTGACCAGCGGCAGAGACCATGGACATGGCAGAGTCGGTCAGCGCCTGAGGCGTCGGAGTCGGTGTCGCTGTGGCCGTGAGCGAGGACCAAGCAGACGAAGCAGCAGAGATAAAGTTGTTGTAGCGATCGTGCGCCATGCCGACTCCGGCGTAGTAGTTGTACTTGGCCTGTTCGTAGTACTTCTCGACGGCATTGGTGGGCGTTGGAGTGGCCGTCGCCAGTCCCAGCGCGATCAAGGCGCTCTGATATTGAAGCTCGGCCCACAGCTTGCCCTCGTTCAGACGCTCTGCAGCAATTGATTCCACTCTGCTCCAGTGTGCCTGCGTGGGAGTCGCCGGGGTAGGAGCTGGCGTGCCATAGACTCCTGCCGAGGCGGCATCAGCGAAATCCTTGAGCCTCGAACTCGCCGCAGCCAATGCCTGATCGTAAGCGGCCGAGACCGAAGAAAGGAGCTGGTTCTGCACGGCCGGGGTTGGGGTTCCGTGAACCTGGGCGGAGATGATCGACACCGCGCTCGAATAGCGATCAGAGGCGAGGGAGACGGCGCTCGAATAAGCCGCCTCGGCAGCCTTTGTCGCGCTAGATAGGTAGTCATCCTCCGTGTCGTCGTCCTCGTCAAGAACGATTTGCCGGCCAGGAACAACCTGGGCGGCCGCGCCGAGGAAAGATGCCTTGACGGTAGGGGCGTCGTGCCGAGTTGCCGTGTCTCGTGACCATGGAGACTCGTCGTCTTCCTCCTCGTGCTCTTCCATGACTTCAGACTCGGATTCCAGTGCGGCTTCAGCCGTCTCATCGGGCTCCGACTCCATCACGGCCTCGGTGGCAGATTCAGCAACAATGGATGCGGCGTCGCTAAGGATTGTGGAAGCCTCCTCCAGAATGATTGGAGCGGGCTCTTCGTCCTGTGTGGCATCAACAGCGGGTTCCTGAGCCTCGTCGGTCTGGCCTGCAAGGGGCTTCTGAACATCAGGGTGAGTGTCAGTCTGTTCCGCAGCGTGTTCAGAGAGGTCCGAGGTGTCATTGTCTTCCACAGGAATGGCCTCGCTTGATTCCGCGCTCGACGACTGCTCATCAACAAGAGCATCATCCTTGGCTTCATCAGCAGACTCGGGTTCCGAAGGCGGGACCGTCTCGTCGGTCTCCGTTGCCGCTGCCTCCTCCGAGACGGCCTCCAGGACGGCTTCCAAAACGGCATCAGTAACCTGGGTAGAAGACGAATCTTGGCCATCGGCTCCATCAACGGCTGCTTCAGGAAACTCTTCCGCCGTAACATTGTCAGCCTCCTCTTGTTCAACCGACTCGTCGGCATTCTCAGCCACAGTAGGGTTCTGTGCAGCCTCTGCTGCTCTTTCCATCGCCTCCGAGTCAAAGTTGTCGCTCGAATCATTCGCCGCCAGCTTCCACTGAGCCACTTGCTTGAGACGAGCCAGCTCCTTGGCAGCAGCCGACGCAATCGTCATGCCCTCGTCCTCGATCTGTGCAGAAGCATCCTGTGCCCGAAGAAGCGTGGGGTGGGTGACGATGAGCTGCTTCAGCTCCTCGGTCCACTCCGTCAGCGCCTGCTTCAGTTCGTGGTACTTTGCCCAGTCCTTGTATGTGACGCCCTCGGTCCAGGCCCACTTCATTCCGAGCTGCTGCAGGGCGAGATTCCTAGTCTCGTCCAGGATCTCAAAGTGCACATCGGCGGCCTTCAGGACCTCGGATTGCAGATCCTCGTCGTACTCTTCGCGCCAGTTCCGAATGTCTTGCGCAGCCGTCTTGATAGCCAGACCAGCGGCTCGGACAGCGCCGACAATCTGCTCCTGGGCATCAGCGAGCGCACCGCGCGCGTGCTCGGCAACGATCTTGGAGATCTTGGCCTTGAGACGGTCAGTCTCAGTCTGGACCGTTGCCCGGAGCTTCTTGACAAGAGGCTTGCCGTAGCGTGCAATGTCCTCAGCCATCCTGCGACTCGCGAGCTCGTCAATCCGGTCCTCCATGTCCACAGCGCCTTCGTCGGCCTGGGCGGCAAACTTATTCTGCCACATCTCGAGGTCCTGCGCCACCATCTCACGAGCGGTTCTCCTTTGCTCCGTCTCGTTTTCCGCAGGGGCGGGAGGCTGCACAGGGTTCCAGTAGGATTCCGTCACTGGCTGCTTCTCAGCGCTGGAGCTCGGGGCGGCGGGGGCATCAGGCTCGGAGGCTGGTGTAGTCGGCGCTGGCGTTCCCTGTGGGGATGGCTTGCTGAATGATGAGTATCGCGGCGGTTCGGTTGTCGTCCTTCTTTTTCTATACCACTGTTAGACGAGGCCAGAGAAGCTGGGAGAGCAAATATGCGGTGGGCACTCACGTAGCAGACTGGGTCACTTCAGGGAGCACCTTGGTCCTGGCGCGATTCTTGTATCGCTCCAGACGCTCACCGATGCGAACAAGCTGGGGCTCTACATTCTCGACATAGAGCATCCGCAGCTGCGGCCACACTGCCTTGTCGAGGAAGGCGTTCGTCTTTGCCCAGGTCCACTGGACAGCGGGGAGCGCGGTGCCGGTGGTGAAGCTCGAGGCAGCCGTGTAGCCTTGGTGGGCATAGGGTTGCACCAGCGCATACGTTGGCAGCAGAGCATCATGGTACAGCCGAAGAGAACTGGCCCGGCCGATCTCGTAGTAGGGTCTGAGGACCTCGCCCGCACGCTCCAGATGGGGAGCAATTGTTTGTTCGTACTGCTTCCGCGACAGCTCTCGCAGCTGGGCTACCTGGGGTTGGCCGTGCTTCTCCCACTGGGCCCGAGCTTGTTGCTGGCCCTTTTCCACCCAGGGAGCACCGTATTGGACGGCGTAGCTGCGCGCTGGCGAGAGGACGCGGGCGTCGACTGTCTCGTAGTAAGGCCTCGCAAAGTCCACATATGGCGCAGCGTATTGCTCGTAGTAAGGCAGCGTGTATGGGGCGACGGCGGCTTTCGCCTGGAAGTACGGCTTGCAGATGAAGGGAGAGTTCTCGTCGCACTCCTCGAGAGTGGAGGGGCAGCGGAAGAGCAGCGTGATAATGATGGCCCATGTCGCGATTCTGTTGATGCAGTCATCAGCACGTTTTGTCCCCGCGCGCACGGTAAGCTGCAGGGCGGCGGAAAGAGGCGCATCGCCAGCCTTGCCAGAGCCAGCAATTGAGACCGGCCAAGAGCATATGGAGAGGCAACAACTCACCTGGCAGCTGTACCAAACAACCAGGCAAAGAGCCCATGTTGCCGTGGCGCAGGCTGTTTCTTGGCCGTCGTCTGGCCATTCATCTTGCCGTTCACATGCGAGGAGCCGTTGCCCGGCTTCAGGCCGCTGGACTCGGCCATGAGAGAAAAGCCGGCTCTGTCAAAGTCAAACTATAGGAGGATTGAGTCAATAGTCAGGAAAAGAAAGAAGAAGAGACGATGGTGAAGAGGGGGCGAAAGAAGAGAATGGGACAAGTAGAAGACAAAGAGAAGGTGAAGATGAGGCAGAAGAGGAAGAAAACAGATCATAGGTAGGTGCAAGGCTAGCGAGTGCCTACCATATTTCTAGTGGACTGGTGATGCAGCCTAGCGGGCAGCATTTCAGTGGATGGGGGGGCCTCGTAAAGTAGCGGCAGGGTCTCGCGGCCCCAAACGTCGCGGTGCAGGTACTTCATTGGTACCGCGGGGCTGTTTCGAGTTCCGCGGCCAGGACCCACCCAGGCAAGCTGAACCTGGGCAGCTGGAGGGGAATTTGGCTGTCGCAGGTTGTGAGATTGAGGATCGCAGAGCACGACTGACGATGTTTCAGCGATGACGCGAAACGGGAGTGCTGGAGCCCTGCAGTTGCATCAGGTCAGGGGGGGGAGAATGCCCGTGTGTGTCAGAGAGGCTGGCAAAGCTGGGCTGGTCTGGGGACGCAGCTGGTTATGCCAGGTGCGAGCTCTACATTATATAGCGATGGCGAGACGCTGTGATTGCATCGAGAGATCAAGCTGTGAATTACGGATGCATTGGCACCACAGCGATCGGGTCGCAGCACAGCGCAACACGCAAACACCATCCACGGCGATCGTCTTTGCCCTCGTCCTCGCACCGAAACACGTCATGGCGCTGTCCACAAGCTTGTTTTTGGCTGCCGTCGACATCGGCGATCACGAAGCCTCGCATGCTTTGGAGACGTGCAAAAGGCCCGCGATTGGCCGCTAGGCTGTAGATCCGCCATGACCGGAGCGAGTGGGTGGCCACCGGGGACAAGATCGAGTTGGTAGCTGAAGGACAAGATAAGCAAGATGACGAGACTGATGGACCAAGGCGATGCAGCAGACGGACTACAGAGATTGAGCGTAGATGGAAGATGAGAGAAGGCTCATGTACCTAGTAGGTGATAGATATCTTGCCAGTACCTTGCATGGCATGGCATGGCGGTTGATGGTTGGGACAACCCCTAGAATAGACAACAGTATGCATCAAGTGAGCTGACAGCAGCCTCACACCAGTCAAGAGATGACCCCTCCACCCATCTGCCTCTGCAATCAAGGGCAATGCAGCTCGAATACTAGTAATAGGGTTCAAGGCGTGAATGTTGGACGTGCACAAAGCACCGCTGATGTAATGACAACATTGGCCCCAAAGTGGCAACTGGCGGTATCATGCTGTGCCACCTTGACAATTGCTGGTTCCAAGTGGCACCAAGAGGCACCAACACTTTCAGAGACCCTTTTGAAAGACCCTGATATCTGTCGTCCGTCCCTTACCTTACACATACAGGTACAGTGCCTAGGTACTGTATCAAGGTAAAATGGTACAATTTCAAGCATTTACCAACATACGGTACCCTCGCTTACATCAACGTAACCTCGATACGTGTAGATATCTTCTGCCTAGGAGGTAGGTAGCTACTACCTAGTAGTACCTGCCCTACCTACTCATCAAGTTCAATCAACTCATCGTGTCGCGTAACTCGTCTGTAGGTAGGTATTCTCTTCTCATCAGACATGTCATCCCTACCACCGCACAGCCCTTCTTCCTCATAACGCCTCAACTCTCCAGCTCGCCTGTAAATATGGCAAAGAATAACCTTTAAGGCGCCAGTCGACTTTACAGTACTTCTGCTGTACAAGCGAGCCTCACATCCCTCCCGCCACCGCCACGGTATCGATTAGTGCCCGCACCCGCCAATTCGCTCCCTGCCATACCTTAGGTACCTAGTAAAGTACCTGCAACTCACGACCACGCTTCACTCTGCCTAGTTTATCCGAAGTCCGCTCAACAACTTGCAACTCAACATCGACTCTCATTGTTCTCTTCTGCCTCGTGCACCAACTCCGCCTCCCATTCATACAAACCTCATTTGCCCCCTTGCAGATTGCTGGTCAAAGCGTCACGACTCACGGGCATTGGCCTCCGACAGCTTCCAATCTTCAACCTAAGATTCTCTTCCCTCCTGCACGCAATCGAGCTCCAAGATAAGAGAGGGGCCGACACTTTCCCCAGCGTCAAGCTTCTTTACCTGCCCAACGAACGACGAACGGCGCACTCTCTCGACTGATGGTGTCGCCGACTTCCCTCCTTCGATAGCTCCCCCGCTGCGGGCATTTTCTCCTTCTCCTTCTCCTTCTTCTTCTTCTCATCCTACACTCTCCTCACCTCTCGTCGCTCCTCGCAACGTCCAGCGTCAACCATGGATGCCGCCTCAGACGTCGGCCCCGCGGCCCAACATCGAGACTCGACCCGACACGACGATGGCGTCGGCGCCGCAAACGAACCGGGCCTTTCGATATGCCGTATATGTCGTGGGGAGGGCTCGCAGGCTGAGCCGCTCTTCTATCCATGCAAGTGCAGCGGCAGCATCAAGTATGTCCACCAGGACTGCCTGATGGAGTGGCTCTCGCACTCGCAGAAAAAATACTGCGAGCTGTGCAAGACGCCCTTCCGTTTCACCAAGCTGTACTCGCCGGATATGCCGCAGTCGCTCCCTGTGCACATCTTCGTCCAGCACATGGCCAAGTACCTGCTACGCAACCTGCTGGTGTGGCTACGGGCGGCTGTAGCCATCAGCGTCTGGGCTTTCTGGCTTCCCTACTTTATGAGAGCCTTCTGGTCGTTCATGTTCCGGATCAGCGACGAGGGCCTGGCTACCGGGTCCATCATCCCGCGAATAAACGAGACCAACAACACATTGTCTGCCATTCCCTCATCAATCCTGGCCATTGGTACCTGTCCCGCCAGCCCTCTGCTGAATGCCACCACCACATCGGTGGCCGAAGTCGAAGCCGTTGTCGGCCATCTTCAAGGCAAGGACGTTTCCGATTATCTCTTTCGATTCTTCCTTGGCTCCTTCACTTCTCCATTGCTAGCCTCGGACGGTGATCTGGAACAGGTAGCCAACGCTTCTGCCGGATCAAATTATGCCAGTCCATCCACCATCACCTCGACACTCCTCGGCAATGTGGCGTTCATCGGGAATCTCACTCGAAGCGCCAACCTGAACCGGGCCATTGTATCCGTGCTGGAAGGACAAGTCATAACGGTATTGGTCATCATCTCCTTCATTCTCATCATCCTAGTTAGAGACTACGTTGTTCAGCAACAGCCCGAAATCAACATGCGGGCTGCCTTTGCCGCTCCTGAAAATGAGTTCCCGATTCCACCACCGCCGCCGCCGCCGGATGCTGCTCAGCCACAACCCCTGCCGCCAAATCCCGAAGCCGCAGGCGCAGGCTCGGACGATGAAACCCTGGAGGAAAACGATGTGATGGACGATCAACCCTGGCGAGCGATCCCGGCTGTGATGGTCGGCCCCGCGGACTCATTGACTCCGGGCTCTTCGAATCACTCGATGCTTGATCATGATCATGATCACGACCCTTTCCCCACGTCCAGCACCACGTCAATGCAGAACGACCAACTCAATTCGCACGCACAAGAGGGCGCTGATGATGGAGAGGTCGCGGAAGAACGAGCCACCGTCGAGGACTATCTACGCATCTACCGCCGCGCAAAAGGCGACTTTTCAGAGATTTTGCGAATCATCGAGGAGGAGGGCCTGCAAGAGAAGCTCAAGTACTGGGTCGAGGTTACGCGCCGCTCAACCGTGGATAATGCCGAACGTGCGGCTGCTGATGAAGCTGCAAGCGACGCTGTCGCGGACGAGGAAAGCCATTACGAGCATGACGGTGATTCAGACCATGAAACACTCCAATCGCCGCCCAACTGGAAAGGCAAAGAACCAGCTTGGTCTCCGACCTCGGCAGACGCCGATGTCTCGGGCCCTTCAGTTGACGATCCCTTTAGTGATTCGTACTACCCCGTCATTGCCTCGCGGCCTCGTTCAATGTCCGACGGATTCCAGGAGCAAGAGTCGGCCAACCCGTTAGTGAACGATTCGTGGTCCTTTGACTTACTGCCTTCGGATGCCCAGCATGGAACCGCATCCCTCGACCAAGAGGAACCTGAGCTTGATTTAATCGAACCGCAGGCGTTGAGCGAGGCCGAAGACAACGATGAGGACAACCATCTGAATAGGGAAAACTACAGGCGCCATCCAGACGGAGACATCTATCGACGCCATCCTCAGCCAGAAGTCTACCAGCGCCACCCCCAGCCGGAGCACCGCCCCGAGCCGGAAGCCTTCCCGCGCCATCCTCCCGACTTCGACGTCTATCACCGCCACCCAGCTGCAGATGCCGACTTCGACGGTCGACCGCCTCATGTCAACGACGCCGCCGCCGAAGAAGCCGCCATCGATGACCATGATGCCCCGGCCGCTGGTCTCATCAATAGAGTTGCTGATTTCATGTGGGGTAATTTGAATGAGCCGGCCGCTAGAGGCGGCCCTATTGCAGCCCCGGAAGCAGCCGTGGCCGATGAGGGGGATGCTGCCCAGCGAGCTGCCGGTGTTGGACAAGATGCCGCTGCCGTGGACGATGGCTGGATAGACGTTCCAGACGAAGCCAACGGCGAAGATGCGGACGGCATCGCTGCTGACGGCAATGCGGCGGCATTCGACGCCGAGGCAATCGACGACCTGGAAGACTTCGAAGGGGTCATGGAGTTGATTGGCATGCGTGGTCCCATCGCGGGCCTCTTCCAGAATGCCATCTTCTGCGCCATCATCGTTGCCGTGACCATATTCGCTTGCATCTTCCTCCCCTACAACATTGGCCGTGTGTCCGTGTGGCTTCTCGCGAGCCCTACGCGGGTTGTCCGCATGCTCTTCGAATTCTCCAAGCTGCTGCAAGACGTCACCTTCCTGGTCGGCGGACTAAGCTCTTGGTGCGGGCTGAACATCGTCGACATGTTTGCGTCCGTTATCGGGGGCTCTGCTAAGGCACATGTCGTCTCAGCCAGGAAGATATCGTGGGCTCTCTGGACAGGCGCCGGCAGCAGACTTTCCAGGTCTCTCTTCCTCGAGTTTTTCCCCATGACGACCATGGAGATTCACAACTTTTCCGCAGTTAGCCACGAGGCGCTTAATACGGTCAAGGGCAACATCCTATCGGTATTTTCCAACATCGGCGACAGCTTCACTGCTGCTCGTGCCATGGGCCTTGTCAATATCGTGTACACGAGCTTCACGACGATTGATGAAACGCTCCGAAAGTTGGCGCTCTTAGCCACGAAACCCAACCTGTGGGTGATTGACCTGAGCATGCCTGAAAAGTGGCCAGCGGCCGATCCGCAGTTGACACACTGGTCGAGCCTGGACAGGTTCTGGGCGATCCTCGCCGGCTACGCCACCGTCTCTCTGATTGGTGCGCTGTATCTGAAAAAGGGCAGCCCATTCTCGAGAAGCACGACAATTCATGCTTGGGAGGCGGGCGTCATCGACTTCCTCCAGCAAGCCAGCGGAATCATCAAGGTGATTCTCATCATCAGCATTGAGATGCTCGTCTTTCCCCTCTACTGCGGCCTGCTTCTCGACGTTGCCCTCCTGCCTCTATTCGAGGACGCCACGCTGACGGGCCGACTCATGTTCACCTGCAAGTATCCGTTGACATCGGTGTTCGTCCACTGGTTCGTAGGCACCGGCTACATGTTTCACTTTGCTCTTTTCGTTTCCATGTGCCGCAAGATTATGCGACCAGGTGTCTTGTGTAAGTCATATTACCCCCCTTCCCCAAGCGTTACCTTGCATCAAGGTCCTGACACTGCATACTTTATAGACTTCATCCGAGATCCTGACGATCCCGAATTTCACCCCGTCCGCGACGTACTCGAGAGGAACCTCACAACGCAGCTGAGGAAGATTCTCTTCTCCGCATTCGTTTATGGAGCACTTGTGATTGTATGTCTCGGCGGCGTCGTCTGGGGCTTGTCGTTTGCCATGCCTGGCGTGCTGCCCATCCACTACTCGTCGAACGAACCAGTCCTGGAATTCCCCATCGACCTCCTGTTTTACAACTTCCTCATGCCGCTTGTGGTCAAGTTGGTCAAGCCCAGCGACGCGCTGCACACCATGTACACGTGGTGGTTCCGCAAGTGTGCGCGGGGTTTGAGGCTCACATACTTTCTCTTTGGAGAAAGGAAAATTGACGAGGAAGGAACCTTGCGTCTCCGCCCTGGCGTTGAGGATACCAGGCTTTTGAAGTCACCATACTTGCTCGAGCTTGGAGAGGGAGACAAGGTTGTGCCAAAGACCTGGCGAGATACTTTTGAAGGTGGCGACCTGAAGCCAAACACGGTCATGAATTCGGAGCAAAGAAGAGAGCTGCGCCGCAGAAAAGCTGAGCTTGTCAAGTCCCAGCAGCTCGTCAGGGATGGCCAGTTTGTCCGGGCCCCTGCGTCCGACAGGATCAAGATCCCCAAGGGGCAACGTGTCTTCCTGACCGTGAGCGAGCGCAACCACCGAAAGGACGGCCGCCCGGACGACGACATCTATTCTACGAACCAGTACCTGATGGTCTACGTACCTCCCTACTTCCGCGCAAGAGTCCTCCTGTTCATCTTCTTCATCTGGCTGTTTGCCTCGGTTACCGGCGTGGGCTTCACCATCATCCCGCTGATTCTTGGCAGGCGAATCTTCAAGCTGTTGATACCAAGCTACGTCAGAACGAATGACATCTACGCCTTCAGCATCGGAGTCTACCTGCTCGGCTCGGCTGCCTACTTTGCATTCCACTACCCCATGATACGGAAGACGGTTCGGAAATGGGTGCGGCAAGCACGACGCGACGTGGCTGACGGAAGGGCATGGAAACGGGGCACTGCCTTGGGCATCCGACTGGCCAAACTCTTCTATGCCTACTTTATCCTGGTGATTGTGTTCCCACTGCTTACGTCGGCGCTGATGGAGCTCTATGTCACCATCCCACTCCACACATACATGTATCCTCCCAAGGCAATCTCGACTCTTGGGGGCGAGGCAGTGGAACGCCACACGATACGCGTCATTCAATCGTGGGTCCTGGGACTGCTCTATCTGAAGCTGGGAAGCCAGATGATCACGTCGCTGTTCCCAGACAGCCGCGCCGCAAGGGCAGTCCGATCCATCATGCGCCGCGGATGGCTGCGGCCAGACGTGCGTCTCCTGACGCGGGCCTTTGTGATCCCAGGCTTGCTTGCATTCTGCGTGGCCGTCTTCGGACCGCCCATGGTGGCAGGATTCGTCATCAGGCATGGCGGCCTTGGTGGAGGCTCCTCAGGAGAGGATGCAGCCGAGGCGGTAAGGCTGGCGGTGATTTACAGGCAGTCGTATCCCGTGGCGGCGTTTGCGGCCATGCTTGCCAAACAAGCCATCGGTCTCGTCAAGGTAACGAACCGGTGGGCGGCGGGCGTGAGAGATGAGGCGTACCTGATCGGCGAACGACTGCACAACTTTGGATCTAGGACATCCGGCACAAAGAGGGTCAGGACCCAGAGGTAGATGAGCAGTGAAGAAAGGGGGGGGGGGGGGCTGCCTGACTGAAGAGAACGGTTGGCTGTGTCGAGCGGTAATGATAATGAAATGCATGACGGGGAGGAATTTTGCTGTATGTCAGTAGGTATACAGCTTAGCGTCAGAACAAGCATGTACCTATTTTAGGTAGTTCGTTCTTAAGAGATGAAAGAAAGCAATTTTCTGGAAGTAACCCTAGTGATTTCAAACAGGCGACAAATGTGTGGGTTGCCTGTCCTTTTGCTTGATTGTTCTTTGCCATGCTCCATGGCGCCGAGCAATGCGAAACCAAGTGCGCCTACCCTAGAGCGCCGAAGTGACGAGACGATGCTGTGTTTTTCCAATGAAGAGAATGCGACTGCACAAAGTAGGACGCGAAGCAGTTATGCTTTCACAGAAGAACAGGTACATGATGAGGCACTTTGTCAATACTGGCAGCAATATTGAACACCAGATGCTCGTAGAGGTGCTTGTTGGGTACCAATGGTCTGCCAGTCATGGGGCTTTTTGGTCGTCGTCACCTGGGCTGCGTCTTATTAGTATCTTGGGTACGTTCCGACGAATCAAGGGTTCAGAGACGATCCAAGATGTCGGTGAGGTACAGATGCAGAGTCCTCCAAATACGCCCAGCAAGCATCTGGCGAGCACATGCGCAAAGACATCATCTGCTTAGGTACACGACAAAGACACACATGGCGATAATTACCTGCAGCATCATGGTCCAATCAGGAGAGGAGATGACGCATGCATGGATGCGCTGGCAGCATGTCTGCCGTTTGGCTCACAGAGAGGCTGCGATGCACCCCGAATTGCGAAAGACGGAGAGCAGCAGCTGGAGGCGGCAGGTACCGGTACCTTGCCTAGACGTGGACAGGTCGCCCCAGTTGGCTGCAGCTGTCCTGGCGGCCTGCAGCCGCTCTCAGTGGCCAGCGGCGGTGCACCACGTGACGTCCCAGGGGACCGTGCCGCTGTAGCTGCAGCGCCCCAGCCGCTGCAATTTGCTGCTCCCCAGCGCGGCTTCAGCGTGCAGTCCTGCCCGTCTTGCCCGTCTTGCCCTGTCCAGGCCTTAGTTCAGGCTGTTGCCCATGGCTGCCACCTGAGGCTAGCCCGCATCGGGCGTAGCGCCGCCTGCCGCTCGCCAAATGTGATGCAGCCCAAAGGGGACTTTGTCGCATCAACTCGTCACGGGCCAGCAGAAACATGCAACTTGCACCTCCTCGAGAGCCTCCCGCATTCCGCCTTTGGACTGTAACGGGCTCAGCGACAGGCAGGGTCTGCGTCTTGTCTCTTCTCGCCCAAGAAATAGAAGCAACACGGAATACTCGATATCATCATATCCGCACCGCACCGGCTCCTCGGGATCCCCTGGCGGCCAGGAACACAGCGACGCCGCGCGCTCGCGAAATTTGACTCGTTGCCGCGGCTTGCTGCGCTTTCTGGCTTCGTTCCGCCTCTCACGTTGAGCGCATCCTCGTACACAGCGGCCTCTCTGGCTGCTTGTCCACTCGCGATAATCGCCGTGAGCTTGGGGTCTTCTCCAGCTTCCTCGGTGAGCGCAACTTGAAGCGGGCGCCTTGGACGGGCTGCAACGGGCGGTGGGAACTGACAGGCGACGGGCAAGGCAATCCAGCGACAAACGGGGCCTCTCTTACCGCCAACAGCTTTCGCACGGCCGATTCCGATCGTGTCTTCTCTGCATCTTTTTGCGCCTCCATCATCGTCCATCTTCTCCACGGCGACTCTCTCTCGTCCTCTCTGTCTCTCTTTTAGCCGCTGGTTTGTACCAGCTTTGAGCTCAGCTTCTCTCGCCGGCCCGCCGACGATTACTCTCCTTAACGATCCACGATCACAACCTCCACCACTAGCCTGTGTCTCTTTTGTCTCTTGTTTCAACAGATCCTCACGAATTGCGCCGAATTCCATCGCGTATTGATTTCCTAGCGATATATCGAGCCGCATAATAACGATTCATTCACTATCAATTTTCCTTGACTTTTTTTTTTGTCGTCTAATTTTACCATCTTACGTCGCACAACAATCCATGCCCACACCGCCCTTCACGACGAGAGAGGAAACGAACAACGAGAAGCGACGACAGCACCCAGCTCACACATAGCTATCTAGTACCTATTGATCCGCCATGGCTGAGCCACCGTCTTCGCCTCCCAGTGAGGCTGCCGGCGCCGAGGATGCCCTTGCCTGGTACAAGTCGCAATACGAGCTCTTGGAGTCTGAGCTGGCCGAGTTCCGAGAGTCTAGTCGGGAATTGGAGCAGGAACTCGAGAAGGATATCGAGCGCGCAGAGAAGCAGGAGAGAATCCTCAAAGAGAAGGCGGACGCGCTGCGATTTGAGGTCGAGGAGTGGAAGGTAAGTCGGGATTGCGCTCTTTTTGAGTATCCTTGTTGCGATTGGGAGGGGATCCGTGACGATTCTGCGGCCCCCTCCCGGTTACGCATGCGATGATTTCACTCGCACTTCGGCTACGGCGGCTAATCTGTTCCTTTCGCACTCTGCGCAGAGAAAATATAAAGAATCAAAGGCAGAAACCATTGCTGCCCAGGCCTCACTCGAGAAAGAGATTACCACACTTCGCGAGGCGAACCGCACATTAACCCTGAAGCTGAGGGACTCCGAGGTTGCCAACGATGACTTCGAACGTCAGGCGCGAAACACCACGTCGTCGCTCGAGGACATGGAGTCAAAGTTCAACCAGGCCGTTGAACGAGGCGTCTTGATGGAGGAGGAGATTCGAATGGGCGAGCAGGAGCGAGAGGCGCTGCGCATCGAGTCGCAACGATTGCGAGAGGAGCTGTCGGAGCTCAAGATCGAGGCCGAGATGATGCAGGACAAGATCAAAAAGTACGAATCGCGCCACTCGACCATCTCGTCCGATATTTCGCTCCTCGGCTCGCCCACCTTTGACAAGAAAACGGATGCCTCCGTCGACTCGGCCGCGAGCTCGCCCCTCATCACCACGCCCCCGGAGATCACCAAGTCGCTGGGCGAGCCCACGACGGAGCTGCTGGACCCGCCATCGCCGCCAATGTCGGATGCCTCGGCCCAGATGTCGAGAGGACCCGCGCGGATGCGGACGCCGAACCCTGCCCCGATGCGCCGCACGAGGCTGCCGTCGGTGGATGCGGGCTCGAGAGCTCGTGGAACAACTTCTGCGACGGGCACGAGGGTGGTCACTGGTGGCCGCCCGTCCATCAGCAGCATCGGCAGCATCAACGGTGCCGGCGGCAGCAACAGCGGCGGCGCACCTCTACGGACGCCCGGTCACCGATCCACCGTCTCGCGCAACAGCAACTACAAGATCCCCGCTTCTAACTCGCTGTCGCACATCCGCCTGCTCACGGCGCAGATGCAGCGACTCGAGGCCAGAGTGCACTCGGTGCGCTCCAAGCTCCCGGCGCCGGGCAGCGGCGGCAGCACTCCGCCTCGCCCGGTTTCGCGACCCCCGATACTTGCTGCACCTCCCAGCTCGTCGACGTCGTCGCTTACCGTTCGGACCCGCAAGCGAGCCACTACACAGTCAACGGTGTCTACGGTGTTTACTGGAGATGACTTGACACCAACTAGCAGTTATGCTTCGTCATCCAGGACCAGCCACACGCCTCGGCTAAGCACGTCGGGCGTTAGCAAGCTCTCGTTTGGCACGCAGTCCAACGGTCGGGGGAACGAATCGGAGTCCAGCCGGCCAGTCTCGCGAGCCAGCCACACCTCTTACGGCAGGCCGCCATCTCGCAACGAACTGCCTCCACCGCCGCGGCCAATGTCGCGAAGCTCCTTCTCAGCGGGAACTCGAACTCCCCTCGGCCGACCAGCGTCTTCTTTTGGCAACTCTGTACGCGGACACTCTGGCAGTGTGAGCGGCGTCGACCTGCTGGGAGAGGACTACGAGCCCGTGTACCGTACGCCTAGCAGGCGAGGCACGTTCTCCACCAGATACGATCTAGGAGCAGGCATCAGTGGCATCCCGACGCCGGGCACCAACAGTAGCATTCCCATGCCGGGCAGCGGGATTCCGGCCCCGGGCCTGAGGCGGCAGAGCGGAGCCAGGAGAATCAGCCTTAGCAATGGCAGCTCCAACAGCGGCGGCGTGCCCATTCGATCGGGGCGCGTGAGCACGACTGGATTCAGGAAACTGGGCGACTTGGGAGAGACTTATTGAGCTCTCAACATGGGAGACTGCGCAGCCCGCAATAGTCTCCCAGATGTTACTTCTTTATCCTAATCTCTTTGTCATTCTTTTCGTCACTCTTAAGCTTTTACCTCACAGCTCGAGTTCTCGCTTTGCGGTTCAATTGTTTGTCTGTATTTTGGGAACGGGTGCATTTTGGTCGCGGTGCCACATCGGCATCACCGAGGCGAACAAGGTGTTGATGATGATTACGGGCACGTTTGTTCTTTGAGGGTTGGTCGTCGTTTGCCTTTCTGCGCCCCCGCTGATCAACTTATTCTTTCTCTTGATCCAATTTTTCCTTGCGTTTCTGGTTCTCGGTATCTGTGTTTTTTTTTGGTTTCTTGTTTTCTTCTTCTCCAAGTTTATTATACCTCGACCCTTTTTCGTCCTGATAGTCTGAGATGCAGGGCGAGAGGGGGTCTTGTTCTTGGCACTACTTGACTACACGCACAACATGGAAGTTATGAAGAGATGGTACGGGCTGAGCTCGACAGAGAACTAGGCATAAGTTTCTATAGATTGCTTTTCATTTGTTCTTAGTGAGGGACAGGATCGGAGGGGTGGGTTAGTGAGAGGAGGGGAAAGAAGGGAGTATGCAAAGGGAGGATAGCAGCAGATATCAAGATAGTATTGATATAGAAAAAAAATTGATACAATGTTTTACCTCTTGTAGTTGACGTGCTCGGTGAGTGATTGTATGTGAGAGAGAAGAGGTATGGTATGGTATGGTATGGTATGGTATGTTGCTGGTCGGGAATGTATGAGGTCGATTGGCGAATGAGATGAGATGAGATGAGATTGGATTGCCGAAACAGGCTCGGGCCGGGATGGGGCCATGTATACTTGCATTGTGGAAGAGATGACGAGCCCGAGGGCTTGGTTTGTGCTTTGGTACTACTACTGGGTTTCTACGGAGACGAGAGTCTGGGTCTTGAGGTATGTATTGGAGAGTGGTGTTTTCCGGTCGATGGATCGATGTGAAGTAGTAGTAGCTTTGTAGGGTAGAGGGGGGGATCTGAATAAAAAGGGGCTACTATCGTGAGATGGAGATGTAGATGGAGATGTGGTAGTAGTGATAGTGGTAGTGGTAGCACATAGTACTGTTGGGAACGGAGCCTGGAAGCGTTGGAGTGATGCAATAGTAGCGAGTTCCTGGCTTCCATGGGTGGGTAACGTGGGTAATAACGGTCTACCTGCACACCTCCCTCCATCCGCTCATAGCCGGTTGCGTCGACGGAGTACGGAGTTTCTTGAGATGGAAGAGGGTGAATCTGAAGACGGGTTCATACGCCCGAACTTGTTTAGGTTAAGCCACGACGGGACTGTAATCAGGTGCTATTCCAACCTTGGTCTTGAGTTACGGAATCGACCATTTACATTCAATGCAAATACTCGACAAAAGCATGAATAACAAGTGAAGAAGTGCGAGCCAAAGGAGAGAGGACGGGACACGAGACTAGGTATCAAAGACTAGGAAGATCGCGATTCAGGAAGGGAGCAAAGCGAAAAGGGTCCAGGAAGGTATCGTAATCATAACCGGTCGGCGTATTTTTGGCTTGTCTGTCTGGGAAGATGTGATTGGCTGGAATGAGGAGGGAGGGGAGGGGGGCGGGATGTCTCCAGTTTGGGGTGAATTGTTGGGGTGTGAGGATTTTTTTTTTCTTTCGTTTTCGTTTGCTGCTTTTCTTGTTTTGGTTTCTTTTGCTTGTTGTCGACGGTATCGGGATATTTTTGAACGAGGTGTCGGCGAGTTTAGGAGTGTTTTGTTATGGACCGGCTGTGAATTCGAATGTCTGGAGGATTTTATTTGCTTGATTACCTACCGTATGTATTGGTGTTACGAAGGATAGAGGATTTATACCATACCCGGAGCGAAAGGCTACCGGCAATGATACAGGAGATTTGCTAAAGTGAGCCGGTCCGTTCCCCCGAGCGTTACGGAGCCATTTTAGCACGGAAACCAGAAAGAAGATTTGGGATGGGGTGGGAAGAAGAGGAGGCAAAGCAAGCAAGCAAGCAATCAGCCGGGAAGTCAAGGCAAAGCAGATCCATATAGACTACCTAGGTAGGTACCTGAGGTAGCTAAAGTAACAAAGCGGTTGGGTGGAACTCAACAATTGGGGGGCCCAGAAAAAAAAAAGTCAAGACGATGGGAAAATGATGGGGGGGAACGAGAGTTTTGTGATACAAGCAGGAATACTTGGTTATGCTATGGCGAGGGGGTGGTGTGGTGAGGTAGTGGACTTGTACTATTGGAAATACGCGTAACTTGGTTATTGGGTCGTTTTGATGGGTTTTTGTTGGTTTGGTGACGTTTTTGAGGGGTGTCGGTTTGTGCTTTTGGTGGTGGTGATGCGGATGGAGATGGAGATGGAGATGCGACGTTATCTTGCATCTGGTGTTGGAATCTCGAGTCGATGCGAATGATAGGCTGCTGCTCGTACGTAGACACTCGTGCTGTGGCTAGGTACGCGTATTTCGATGTATAGAGCATCGATATCCCGACCAGTTCTACTGAAGCATCTCACACTCCAATCTGCGACTTGCTGATAATGCTTTATCCCCCTCTGCTCATTCGTCTCTAGCACGGGAGACTAAGACCGGAATCTCAGGTCTCGGAGGTGGGGCTGTAGATGTTTAATCTTCCAAGGTCACGGAACGAGGAACATGGGATTCAAGTCAGTCACTTCACCCCCTTGACTTTGATTCCAGCAGGTTTTTGCCATGCTCTGTCTCGTCTTCGTGCCGGGACTTATCGCGTTGATATTCTGCAAGGCACCAAGCTGCGTTCGCCGGTCCGCGGGGCCCGAGAGATGGGACTGGAAGTCGTTGCGATGGCGCGCCTCAGCTGTACCGCAAGGTCAACAGGCGAAATGAGCCCGGGCCGGGCTTCGTGCTGGGGATGCACTTCGAGTGACGCAGGGCCCGTTCTGTTGTTGAACCTGGATGGGTGAACAGGTCGGAATAGTAGTTCAGCTGGGGGTTGCTGTGTCTCGATCCATGGTGTCACACAAGGCAGTCACGGTGTCAATATGTCTTGGCCTTCACCTGGACTTGTAATACTCCGTATCGATCAGAGGTCAGCTGGGGAGCCCGTCGCAAAAGCCGACAGTTACCTTACAGTACGTACAAGACAAGCACAACTCCGTCTCGCTGCTCCGCATCCTAGATCCGACCCTCGATCCTCCGCACCGGTCATCCTCTGCCTTGCTTCTGCTTCTGTTTCTGGTGGCCATCGCGTGCCGCCTGCATCGTAAGCAAGGGACGAAAAAAGAGGTGTCAGATGGTGTGCTGGCCATTCCTGGATACATGTAGTGTCGGGCTACCATCGTCAGCCCGTTTGCGGCAGGGCTCAAGTTGTGTTGCCGATGGCTGCTACAAGCCTACAACCACCCCGAGTGAAGTCAAAGACGAAGACGTCTTCGGGAGACTGGTGGCTGTGGAAGACACCCAAGGTACGATACGCAGGTAGGAGAAGGCATCGGGTCGGCGCAAAAATGATCGATCGATTCCCGGCAGATAGAACGGGGTCTTAGATCGCCAGTGGTTGCATCAAGCGTCAGGCGTGTGTTGATGGCACCCCAACCTTTTTTCTCTTCCCGCACGTAAAATGTACATGCACTGGGATGCATACGAGCAGCGCCCACCGGGTGAGATCCTTCCTTCTTGTCTCCATGACTTTTGCTATCTCCAGCTGCTTCGTCTACTACGGTACTGGTGTTGTTATCCTCATCTCCAGTCTAGTATCTCTCATCTTCCTCCTTGCTTCATCTCGACTCTCGTCATCAAATCGATGCCCAAACTGAGGCTACCCTCATCCGTCCAGCCTCGTCCCCACCCCGCTAAACTCAATGGCAGCGAGACACCCGCCCGCCGACCCCAACAGATCTCGTTAGTAGCTGCCTGGCACCCACCGTCCATCCCCTGTGCAGCGTGTCCAGCGTGTGCAGCCACTGGAGCCACCGCCTACAGGGGGGCCACAGGGCCGCTAACGCCCCGTAGCTGCGCCTAAGCCCGCCCGAAAAAGCTTCTCGCACACCCCTCGACCCCTGCCCGTCCCTGTGTACCTTGTATTGTGCGAGGCCCAGTCGGGTGTGTGTCTGGTGTCTGGCTCCCTTGCCCCTCGTCGATCCTCACTGGATGGCCGGATGGGATTTTTTGTTGTCTGGGCTTCGGTTTATTATCTCGGGACACCCGCACGATCCAGTCTTCGCTCTGGATGAAGCCCTTCCTGTCTTCCATCTCCCATTCCTTTCCCCCCTCTTGTCGAAAGCGAGCTGCAGTCTCTCCTCTGCCGCGGCCGTCTTTTGCCTTCTCTCGTGCCTGATTCAGCCTCATTCCCTAGCGGGCCAACAAGCTGGGAACCAAACCGACGCTTCACACAGCAAGAAAAACCACCGAACAGAGACACCTTCGGTCCTGTTCACCTAATCGGCAGTCCAGATACCCCCCCGTGGACTGCTTCCATCCGCCTCCTCGCTAGTTCATCGTATCGATTCGATCAGTGGGCAGAAAGCCGCGCCAGATAGCCGACCGCCTCTGACGTTGATCTGTTCCCCTCCCCCTCCTCCATACTAAAGACACGCAAATCGCCAGCTCTTCAGTCTCTCCTCCCTCCTCCACCACAGCACCAGCAGCCATGGCCGACTCAGCAGCAAACGGCACCCCGAACGGCAACGGCCGGACGGTGCCTGTTGCCAACGGCAGCGCCTCGTATGCCGAGAAGCACAACATCGCAGACCACTTCATTGGCGGCAACCGGTTGGAGAATGCCCCCGCCAGCAAGGTCAAGGACTTTGTGGCCGAGCACGACGGTCACACGGTCATTACAAATGTGAGTATCCGGGAACTTCTGGCTGCTGGAGGGACTTGCGACTGACTTGACCAGGTCCTCATTGCCAACAACGGTATCGCCGCCGTCAAGGAGATTCGATCGGTCCGGAAATGGGCCTACGAGACGTTTGGCGACGAGAGGGCCATCCACTTCACCGTCATGGCCACGCCCGAAGATTTACAGGCCAACGCCGACTACATCCGAATGGCGGACCACTACGTCGAGGTGCCCGGCGGCACGAACAACCACAACTATGCCAACGTCGAGCTGATTGTCGACATTGCCGAGCGCATGGACGTCCACGCCGTCTGGGCCGGATGGTGAGTATTCTGCTGCTCGACGGGTCCAAAGACCGATTGGCTGACTGAAATATTCTTCCAGGGGCCACGCCTCCGAAAACCCCAAGCTCCCCGAGTCCCTCGCCGCTTCACCCAAGAAGATCGTCTTCATCGGTCCTCCCGGTTCCGCCATGCGATCACTTGGTGACAAAATCTCCTCCACAATCGTCGCCCAGCACGCCAAGGTGCCCTGCATTCCCTGGTCTGGAACGGGCGTCGACAGCGTCGAGATCGATGACAAGGGCATCGTCACCGTCGCCGACGACGTCTACGCCAAGGGCTGCGTCTCCTCATGGCAGGAGGGCTTGGAGAAGGCAAAGGAGATTGGCTTCCCCGTCATGGTCAAGGCCTCCGAGGGTGGTGGTGGCAAGGGTATCCGAAAGGTCACCAACGAGGACGAGTTCGAGGCCCTGTACAAGGCCGCCGCCAGCGAGATTCCCGGCTCGCCCATCTTCATCATGAAGCTGGCTGGAAACGCCAGGCATCTGGAGGTCCAGCTGCTCGCTGATCAGTACGGCAACAACATCTCCCTGTTCGGCCGTGACTGTTCCGTCCAGCGTCGCCACCAGAAGATTATCGAGGAGGCCCCCGTCACCATCGCCAAGCCCGATACCTTCAAGGCCATGGAGGAGGCCGCCGTCCGACTGGGCCAGCTGGTCGGCTACGTCTCCGCCGGTACCGTCGAGTACCTGTACTCGCACGCCGACGACAAGTTCTACTTCCTCGAGTTGAACCCCCGTCTCCAGGTCGAGCATCCCACCACCGAAATGGTTAGCGGCGTCAACCTGCCGGCCGCCCAGCTCCAGATTGCCATGGGTATTCCCCTGCACCGAATTCGCGACATTCGCCTGCTCTACGGCGTGGATCCCCGGACGTCGAACCCCATCGACTTCGACTTCAAGCTGGAGGGCACCGCCGGCTCCCAGCGCCGACCCCAGCCCAAGGGCCACTGCACCGCCTGCCGTATCACCTCCGAGGACCCCGGTGAGGGCTTCAAGCCGTCCAACGGTGTCATGCACGAGCTCAACTTCCGAAGTAGCTCAAACGCATGGGGCTACTTCTCCGTCGGTACCCAGGGTGGTATTCACAGCTTCTCCGACAGTCAGTTCGGTCACATTTTCGCCTACGGCGAGAACCGACAGGCCTCGCGGAAACACATGGTCATTGCTCTCAAGGAGCTCAGCATTCGTGGTGACTTCAGGACCACGGTCGAGTATCTCATCAAGCTGCTCGAGACCGAGGCCTTTGAGGAGAACACAATCTCCACCGGCTGGCTGGACGAGCTCATCTCCAAGCGCCTGACTGCTGAGCGTCCCGACACCATGCTGGCTGTTGTGTGCGGTGCCATCACCAAGGCACACATCAAGAGCGAGGCTCTCTTGGCCGAGTACCGCGCCGGTCTGGAGAAGGGCCAGGTGCCCTCCAAGGAGATCCTCAAGACCGTCTTCACCATCGACTTCATCTACGAGGGTTTCCGATACAAGTTCACCGCCACCCGCGCCAGTCTCGACACCTACCACCTCTTCATCAACGGCTCCAAGTGCTCTGTCGGCGTCCGTGCCCTCAGCGACGGTGGTCTGCTCATCCTTCTCGACGGTCACAGCCACAACGTCTACTGGAAGGAGGAGGTTGGCGCTACTCGTCTCTCCGTCGACAGCAAGACATGCTTGCTCGAGCAGGAGAACGATCCCACCCAACTGCGAACACCCAGTCCCGGTAAGCTCGTCAAGTACTCCGTCGAGAACGGTTCCCACATCAAGGCTGGCCAGACCTTTGCCGAGGTCGAGGTCATGAAGATGTACATGCCCCTCGTCGCGCAGGAAGACGGTATCGTCCAGCTCATCAAGCAGCCCGGAGCTACCCTCGAGGCCGGTGACATTCTCGGTATCCTTGCTCTGGACGACCCCAGCCGCGTCAAGCAGGCCCAGGCCTTCGTTGGCCAGCTTCCTGCCTATGGCGACCCGGTGGTTGTCGGCACCAAGCCCGCTCAGCGCTTCGCCCTCTACCACAATGTGCTGGTCAACATCCTCAACGGCTTCGACAACTCGGTCATCATGGCCGACACCCTCAAGAAGCTCATTGAGGTGCTCCGCGACCCCGAGCTGCCCTACAGCGAATGGAACGCTCAGTTCGCGGCACTGCACGCCCGCATGCCCCAGAAGCTCGACAGCCAGTTCACCCAGATTGTGGACCGAGCCAGAGGCCGCAACGGTGAATTCCCCGCCAGGGCCCTTAGCAAGGCGTTCAGCAAGTTCCTCGAGGAGAATGTGGAGCCGAGCGATGCTGCCATGCTCAAGACCACCCTCGCGCCCCTCACTCAGGTGCTTGACAATTACGCCGAGGGCCAAAAGGTTCGGGAGCTCAACGTCATCAACGGCCTCCTCGAGGCCTACTGGGAGGTCGAGAAGCTGTTCCAGAGCCGAGCCCAGGAAGATAGCGTCATCCTGAAGCTCCGAGACCAGAACAAGGATTCTCTGGCCAAGGTTGTGCAGATCGTGCTCTCGCACAGCCGTGTCAGCTCCAAGAACTCCCTCATCCTGGCTATCCTTGACGAGTACCGCCCCAACAAGCCCAACGTTGGAAACATCAACAAGTACCTGCGTGAATCGCTGCGAAAGTTGACCGAGCTGTCTTCCCGCGCCACCTCCAAGGTCTCGCTCAAGGCGCGTGAGATTATGATCCAGTGTTCTCTACCTTCCCTCGAGGAGCGCACGTCCCAGATGGAGCACATCCTGCGATCATCTGTTGTCGAGTCCCGCTACGGCGAGAGCGGCTGGGACCACCGTGAGCCCAGCCTCGACGTGATCAAGGAGGTCGTCGACTCCAAGTACACCGTCTTCGATGTGCTGACCTCCTTCTTCGCGCACGATGATCCCTGGGTCTCATTGGCCGCCCTCGAGGTCTACGTCCGTCGTGCTTACCGTGCTTACGTTCTCCAGCAGATTGAGTACCACAACGACGAGTCTGATAACCCGCTCTACCTCTCCTGGGACTTCCGGCTGCGAAAGATTGGACACACCGAGTTCGGTGTCCCCATTGAGTCTGCCGCTCCTTCTACCCCCGGCACCCCGATCGAGTCTGAGCCCAACGTCAAGCGTATCAACTCCATCAGCGACATGTCTTACCTCACCAGCAAGTGGGACAAAGGCCCGTCCCGCAAGGGTATCATTGTCCCCGTCAAGTACATTGACGATGCCGAGGACATGCTCCAGAAGGCCTTGGAGACGTTGACGTTCTACAACCAGCAGAGGAGGCAGAGCAACACTTCTGGTCTCCTGGCCGATCTGAGTGGCAAGCGAAAGCCCTTCGCCGCTCTCCGAAAGGAATTCCAGAGCCGCAACAACGGTGATGAGCTGTCTGCCGTCATCAACGTGGCTGTTCGGGATGCCGAGAGCAGGGACGATGCCGAAATTCTCTCACGCATCCTCCCCATTGTCCAGCAGCTCAAGAGCGAGCTCCTGGTCCGTGGTGTTCGCCGCCTGACCTTCATCTGTGGCCATAGCGACTGCTCTTACCCCGGCTACTACACGTTCCGAGGCCCCGACTACGAGGAAGACGACAGCATCCGTCACAGCGAGCCTGCCTTGTCCTTCCAGCTGGAGCTCGCCCGCCTTGCCAACTTCCGCATCAAGCCCATGTTCACCGAAAACAAGAACATCCACGTGTACGAGGCTGTTGGCAAGACTGTCGAGTCTGACAAGCGCTACTTCACGCGTGCCGTGATCCGACCCGGCCGCCTCCGCGACGAGATCCCCACTGCCGAGTACCTCATCTCAGAGGCTGACCGAGTCATCAACGACATCTTCGACGCCCTCGAGATTATCGGCAACAACAACTCTGATCTCAACCACATCTTCATGAACTTCACTCCCGTCTTCCAGCTGGACCCTGCTACTGTCGAGCAGTCCCTGCAAGGCTTCCTGGATCGCTTCGGCGCCCGTGCCTGGCGACTGCGTGTTGCTCAGGTGGAGATCCGCATCGTTTGCACCGATCCCAAGTCGGGCATCCCGTACCCTCTCCGTGTCACCATCACCAACACGTCCGGCTACGTCGTCGACGTCGACCTGTACGCCGAGCGCAAGTCCGACAAGGGTGACTGGGTCTTCCACAGCATTGGCGGAACCAAGGACAAGGGCCCTCTGCACCTGCTGCCCGTCTCCACGCCTTATGCTACCAAGAACTGGCTCCAGCCCAAGCGTTACAAGGCCCACCTGATGGGCACGCAGTACGTCTATGACTTCCCCGAGCTGTTCCGCCAGGCCATCCAGAACAGCTGGGTCAAGGCTGTCAAGAAGCAGCCTGCTCTGGCGTCGCAGCAGCCCAAGGTCGGTGATTGTATTACCTTTACCGAGCTGGTGCTCGACGACAAGGACAACCTCGACGAGGTCAACCGCGAGCCCGGCACCAACACCTGCGGCATGGTTGGATGGATCATCAAGGCCAGGACCCCGGAGTACCCTGCCGGCCGCCGCTTCATCATTGTTGCCAACGACATCACCTACAACATTGGATCCTTTGGCCCTAAGGAAGATGATTTCTTCTACAAGTGCACGCAGCTGGCTCGCAAGCTCGGCATTCCTCGCATCTACCTGTCTGCCAACTCTGGTGCCCGCTTGGGTCTCGCCAACGAGCTGATGCCTCACTTCAAGGTCGCCTGGAACGATGCTTCCAAGCCCGAGGCTGGCTTCCGCTACCTCTACCTGGATGAGAAGACCAAGGAGCTCTTCAAGGACGATGTCATTACCGAGGAAGTGGTTGAGGATGGCGAGAAGCGATACAAGATTGTCACCATTATCGGACGGGAAGATGGTCTCGGTGTCGAGTGCTTGAGGGGATCCGGTCTCATTGCCGGTGCCACCAGCCAGGCCTACAACGACATCTTTACCATTACCCTGGTCACCTGCAGATCAGTCGGTAAGTTTTTTTTCTCTTGATTCTCCGTGTTACGCCATCGTCTGCCTTACTAACATGTTTGCTCCCAGGTATCGGTGCCTACCTGGTCCGTCTCGGCCAGCGTGCTGTCCAGATCGAAGGCCAGCCCATTATCCTGACTGGTGCCCCCGCCATCAACAACCTGCTCGGTCGTGAGGTGTACTCCTCTAACCTGCAACTCGGTGGCACTCAGATCATGTACCGCAACGGTGTCTCACACATGACTGCTAACGATGACTTTGAGGGCGTCTCCAAGATTGTTGAGTGGATGGCGTTTGTGCCCGAGAAGCGCGGCGGCCCCGTCCCCGTCAGCCCTAGCCTTGACGGTTGGGACCGCGACATCACCTACTGCCCGCCCCAGAGGCAGCCCTACGATGTGCGGTGGATGATTGCCGGTAAGCAGGACGACGACGGTTCTTTCCAGACCGGTCTGTTCGACAAGGACTCGTTCGTCGAGGCCCTTGGCGGCTGGGCCCGAACTGTCGTGGTCGGTCGCGCTCGTCTTGGCGGAATTCCCATGGGTGTCATCGCCGTCGAGACTCGCAGCGTTGAGAACATCACGCCTGCCGATCCCGCCAACCCGGACTCTATCGAGCAGATTACCAACGAGGCTGGTGGTGTCTGGTACCCCAACTCTGCGTTCAAGACTGCCCAGGCCATCAACGACTTCAACAACGGCGAACAGCTTCCTCTCATGATCCTGGCCAACTGGCGTGGTTTCTCCGGCGGTCAGCGCGACATGTACAACGAGGTACTCAAGTACGGTTCGTTCATTGTTGACGCCTTGGTCAAGTACGAGCAGCCCATCTTTGTGTACATTCCTCCCTTTGGCGAGCTTCGTGGTGGTTCTTGGGTCGTCGTCGATCCTAGCATCAACCCTACTGCCATGGAGATGTACGCCGACACGGAGGCTCGCGGTGGTGTCCTTGAGCCCGATGGCATGATTGGTATCAAGTACCGCAAGGACAAGCAGCTGGAGACCATGGCCCGTCTGGATCCCACGTACGCCGAGCTCAAGAAGAAGCTTCAGGACAAGACTTTGTCTGCTGAGGATATGGAGAAGGTCAAGCAGCAGCTTTCGATCCGCGAGAAGCAGCTGCTGCCCATCTACTCGCAGATTGCTGTGCAGTTTGCCGATCTCCACGACCGAGCCGGCCGCATGAAGGCCAAGGGGGTCATTCGCGACTCCCTGGACTGGGTCAACGCTCGCCGATACTTCTACTGGCGCCTGCGCAGACGTCTCAACGAGGAGTACATCCTGAAGCGCATGAACCCCAGCTTCCTGCCTCCTCCCGCGCTGAACACCGCCAAGGCTAAGGAGGCTCGCGCCCAGGGCCTGAAGCTGCTGGAGAGCTGGTCTGGCATTGCCGGCTGGGACCGCAAGGACCAGCAGGTTGCCGAGTGGTACGAGAAGGAGGCTCAGTCGATTGGCCAAAAGGTGGAGGCCCTCAAGGCTGATAAGCTGGCTGCAGAGGTGTCCGAGGTTGTTCGCAGCAACGAGAAGGCTGGCTGGAAGGGTATCCGCGAGATTTTGCGCGTGATGCCTGTGGAGGAGCGGGACGCTGTTCTCAAGTATCTCAAGGAGTAAATGCAAGGGTATACATCTAATAAAGGATAGAGGGAAGAGGGGGACTTGATTTGGGAGCGGGTGTACGGTTATGGTTCATGGTTTAATGAATTTTATTACAATGTTTCTTAAGGGTTGCCATTTGATGAGTGACATGCAACTGTAGTCCGAGTCCGGTGAGGTAGAACGAGGTATAGTAGGTATGACAGCAGATATATTCACTAATGCTGCCTTTTGTTAGGTATATCCTGACCAGATCGCTGTATTGCAAGCCCACTGATTTGTATCGGTCATGTATACCATGTATGGAAGAAGTTGGATGGAAGCTCCTGGCGGAGTGTTAACATTAATGGTCAAGGCTTGTCAGTAAGAGATTTATAAGCTGCCCGCTGCGAATGGAACATGAAGAACCTTGCATCGTGGACTTAGATGGCGAGTGAGAAAAGTGCTTTTTAGTAACATGCTGTATGATAGATGCGCGTTGGCGGCATCAACATCCATGTTATACCTAGGTAGGGTCGTTCGTTTGTTCTATAAGATCTAGTACTCTGGGAATATGGAAACCCCAAGCTTGAGCGCGGTGGTCGTGACTCGGGAGCAAAACCACTAGGTATTGCATTATCTACAAGGTCCAATTAGCTGGAATCACATCACTGATTTATATGCTCCTTGGCAATTCTTCAGCTTCTCCGGTACACTTGGCTAAGTTATATACCTAGTTTCTCATGATTGTTGCTAAGCCCGGCTTGATAAGTCCTACTCTATGTAGAGGAGTGGACAAAGGGGAATGCAGCAGCTATGTTTGATTTGCTCTCTCTCTATCTCTCTCTCTCTGCTCTTTATCTTTATCAATTCATTGCTGTTAGAAGTATGTCTTCGTGAGTTTGTGCAGAGAGCGGACAGCTAGATACTGCACAGCTACGGAGATCTCTATAATCGTGAGGAGCAGTATATCCTTCTTGTGCTGTTGGGCTTGTTTGGTATTGTGCCAGCTCACTGACACCATCTCGACCGCGTCCCGTGATCCAGACTTTCCCATTCAATTGGTCGGATTGGGTGTTAAATGCATGCAGTGTGCAGCAAATGTGCCTTATCATGGCATTGGTTGATGCCTGGCTGTAAGCGGATGCCGAGTTCAGCCGCATTGGTGCCCTACGAGGCTCCCATCTCTTCTTCATCTATACCTTCTCTTTGTCGCAAACAACGCGTGGTCTTCACCGTGATTCTGCAATAAGACTATAGGAGAAGAAGATATTTTTCCATCTTTCTGTCGGTACGAGGAGTGGGCACCTTTTCTGCTCTCGTCCATAGGTCTGCTCCTCGAATCGCATTCCATCCTTGACAAACAATGGCATCAAAGAAGTCCTATGAAGACTACAGCGTGGGTTGGATTTGTGCTCTCCCAAAGGAGCAGACGGCTGCGACGGCCATGCTAGATGAGAGACATGCAGACCTGCCAAAGCTCACACGCGATGCCAACACTTACACTCTCGGCTCGATCGGTCCTCACAATGTCGTTATCGCCTGCCTGCCCAAGGGCCAGTACGGCACCAACTCGGCAGCCAACGTGGCAGCCTTTATGATCAGGACATTCCCTTCCATCAAGATCGGCCTCATGGTCGGTATTGGAGGTGGCGTCCCGCCGAAAGTGAGGCTTGGTGATGTTGTCATCAGCACTCCGACCGGCCAGTATCCTGGAGTCGTCCAATGGGATTTTGGTAAAGAGACCCAAGAAGAAGGCTTTGTAAGAACTGGGGCCCTGAGCAATCCACCCGGTGCTCTATTGACAGCTTTGGCCAAGTTGGAGACGAAACATGAGCTTACGGGGTCCAAGATCCCTGAGTTTCTTGAGGAGCTCAAGGCTAAGTTCCCGAGGTTGGCGAAGAAGTACTTGAAGTCTGACAAGCTTCAAGACTTTCTTTTCCAAACAGACTACGTTCACATTAAAGAACCATTCTCGAATATGAACTCTGAGGGCCCCACAGGTGGAATGGTGGAGGTATTTGTGGACGAGGAACTCGAAGAGGGATCGGATGAAGATGGTGATCCATGCCAGTTCTGTGATAAGTCCAAGATCATCAAAAGGAGGCGTCGATCATTCCGAGTTCACCACGGCCTCATCGCATCCGGCAACAAAGTCATCAAAGACGGTTTACTGCGAGAGAAGCTGAACAGCGCACTTGGAGGCGAAGTTCTCTGTTTTGAGACGGAAGCGGCCGGGCTGATGAACAACTTCCCCTGCCTGGTTATCCGGGGCATCTGCGACTACTGTGACTCGCATAAGAACGACGCTTGGCAGGAACATGCTGCTGCGGTGGCAGCGGCCTTTGCGAAAGAGCTTCTGGGTTGTGTTCAACCCAGCGATTTTGAGGGCGAACGGCTTCTTAGGGAAGTCATGAGCGAGGGTCAGTAATTTCCTCCAATGAGCAATCTAGGTATCTTCTCATTATAGCCGAGTGTCTAAAATATGCCCCGAGTACCTAGTGAAGCAAGGTGTACAGCGCCTTTACGACGTATCAGCGGAAACAAAGGAGCACCTGGACACCTTTCGCGATGGTATGGCTACGGTGTTTCCATACCCTTCAGAACAAACCATGCTGACGACGAACGTGTAAAGACAACGAGGCGAAGAAGCGAATCGAAGCTCTCAATTGGCTGAGTCCTTTGGATTTCCCGCTCATACAGCACGACTACTTTGCGAGATGCGAGCCTGATACGGGCCAGGAGTTTCTGCTGTCGGAGCAAGTGCAGAGCTGGATCTCGACAAGCAAAGAGACGATGTTCTGTGAAGGCGTTCCGGGAGCGGGCAAAACTTTCCAAATGGCCATCTTGGTCAACTATCTTACCGAAAAGTTCCGGTATGATGGAACAGTTGGCATGGCTTATATCTACTACAACTACAAAAGGCACCACGATCAAAAAGCTGAACATATGCTTGCGAGTCTCATCAAGCAACTGGCACAGAACTCGAGGACTTTTCCGGAAGCAGTGCACAAGCTGCATGATAGACATAGGCTTGGGAACACTCATCCCTTTTTCGTTGAGTTGTCGGACACTCTTGCCGTTCTTGTCCGGTCCTTCTCTAGAGTTTTCATCCTCATTGATGCTCTCGATGAAGCCGAGGACAATGAGCGTACAAAGCTTTTGGATCGTATAATCATGATGCAGGAGGAGAGTAGACTCAATCTTTTTGCGACATCAAGGGCAATCAACACCATTGCAGCCAAGTTCGAAGGATCTAGTTCCAGGGAAATCTCTCCCAGCCGCCACGACGTTTTCCAGGTTCTCAATGCTCGCATGTCTGAGCTTCCATCGTTTGTTAGAGAAGATGAGGACCTGCAGAACGAAATCAAAGCCTCTATCGAAGCAGCTATGGGTGGAATGTGAGTACTTCTAGACAAAGGGATGTTGAGTAGTTCCAATTCTAACCTCAAATCTTAGGTTCCTCCTTGCCCAACTCTATCTAAACTCCTTCGTGGGCTCAAGATCCCCGTCATCCCTCAAGAAATCACTCAAGTCTCTGCAAGAGGCCTCATTCTCATCTTCGTCTTCGTCTTCATCAGACAGGTCCAGAGTCTTGGACGAAGCATATGACAAGTCGATGGAACGAATACAGCAACTGAAAGGAGATTTGCCTCGCGACGCGGTACTGATAATCTCCTGGATTGTCAAGGCAAGGAGGCAAATGAAAGTAGCCGAGCTTCAAGAAGCTCTTGCTGTTGAAATCGGTGCATCTGAGCTTGACAGAGACAATATTCCAACTGTCGACCATATCATCCAAGCCTGTGCTTCGTTGGTCGTGGTTGAGGGAGACGGCATCGAACTGGTCCATTACACCGCGCAGGAATACTTTGAACGTCCCGACAACCAATGGATGCAGAAGGCGCACAGCTACATAACAAACGTTTGCCTGACATATTTGTCATTCTCCGATTTTCGAAATGAAGGTTGCATGTCATGGGAGGTTCGTGCGAAGAGGATCAAGAACCGTCCCTTCTACGGCTACTCGGACGAGAACTGGGCGTATCATACCAATGAGGCTTTGGAACAGGGCTTCGAAGTTTCGAAAGTGGTTGAGTTTCTTGACTTCGGTGTTCTGCGAGCGTCATGGTACCAAAACCTACTGTGCGGCCACACAGCTAAACCCTTCGATCTGAAACCGTTTCCCAATCAGGTGGCACCCCTGCATATCGCCGCATTCTTCGGTCTTCACGGAGTGGTGGCGAGCCTGCTTTTGCAGGGGGTAAGCCCAAACGGTGAAGATTCTGCCGCACCACTTCCCATAGTTTGGGCTGCATTGGGTGGGAATGCTCGAGTCGCAAAGCTACTTGTGGAGGTTACCAATGTGGACACGCCGGACAAGGATCAATACATGGGGTACAGCCCATTGTTGATAGCTGCTCATCTGGGACACGCGGCAGCTGTTGAAGCGTTGCTCGATAAATATCCCATAGAGTCGGTCGATGTGGAGGCAGCCTATTGGCCACGTTTTGTGGCTTGGCTCTTTAAGTATACACAGCTCAGCGAGTATTGCAAGACTGGTATGACGGCATTAAGTTTGGCAGCGAGGTTTGAGAGGAAAGCCGTTTTTGATCTGCTCGTCGAGAAAGGCGCCAACATCGAGGCCAGAGATAAAAAGTCAGGCCAAACACCGCTAGCTATGTGCGCAGAGACCGGACGCGCGACCGCTGTTCAGTGGCTTGTTGAGAAGGGAGCCGATATCGAAGCGAAGGACAACAGGAGTAGGACACCATTGATGCTGGCCACCTTGGGAAGCCACAAGGATATTATTCAATACCTCCTCGGAAAGGGAGCTGATATCGAAGCAAAGGACAACATGAGTAGGACGCCATTGATGCTGGCCACCTTAGGAAGCCACGAGGACATTGTTCAATATCTCCTCGGAAAAGGAGCCGACAACGAAGCAAAGGATATCAGCAATCTAACACCTTTGTTAGTAACCATGATAAGGAAGGACGACAACCTGGACCAGAACTTCATCAAGACGAGAGGGAATATCAGCGTTGCTGACAACGTCAACCAAGCCCTATTCAAGATGGTGCTTGAAGAGAAACTCAATAGTGCCACCGATTTCTTTCTCAGAAATGGCTTCGACCTGAATATGGCTATGGAGGACAAATATACACCATTGACTCGGGCCATTGTCAATGGCGCTGATGATGTTATCGAATGGCTTATCAAGAAAGGAGCCGACTTGAACAAGGAAGATGGACATGGCAAGACTCCGCTGCTAAAGGCCATAGAAAAGGGGAACAAGGACGTTGTTTATCTCTTGATCAGAAAGGGCGCTCGGTTGGAGTATAGAGTGCCAGGAAAATACTCCTCTGGCCCTACACCATTGGTCTTTGCCGCTAGAGAGGGGAAGAAAGATATCGTGGAATTGCTACTCGATAGTGGAGCTGATTTGGAGGCTCGAGCAGATTTTGGTGATGGCACCGCGGTAATATGCGCCTCTTGGACAGGGCATACACATGTTATCCAACTACTTTTACAGAAGGGTGCCAACATTGAAGCCAGAGACAGCGGTGGCGCCACGGCTCTGATCGCGGCCAGCGCATTCGGGCGAAACTATGCTATCAAATTACTTCTCATCAACAATGCCAATATAGAAGCCAAAGATTGGTTTGGCCGTACGGCGCTCGGCAGAGCTGTTTGGATGAACAAGCCAGACGCCGTTCGAATACTCCTCGACAACGGCGCAAATATGGACTCAACGTACAATGTTGGATATCCTCCAATTGTTCTTGCCGTCCGAGAGGGCAATGCTTCGATAGTAAAGATGCTCCTCGACAGCGGCGCCAAAACAGACTATCGAGGTACTTCTGGACAGACATTGATGCATATCGCAGCTGGGCAGGACAAACTCGAGTGTGTCCGTGTGTTACTTGAACACGGGACAGTCGAAGTTGACGTGAAGGATAACAAGGGGCGTACACCATTATCACATGTGGCGCAACGCGGAGATGTATCTGTTTTGAAGGCATTACTCGAGTCTGAGCAGGTGGATGCCAATACGAATGATGTTCAAGGCCACACACCTCTGCGATATGCAATGGAGCGCCCGGATGAAGATCAGATTCTCAACATTTTGCTGAACTCTGAGAAGGTGGACGTCAACGCAAAGGACGACCAGGGACGCACACCCCTGCACTATGCGATAGAATGCGCAGAAGAGTCACTTCTCAGAATGCTGCTCGACTGCGAGAAAGTGAACGCCAACGAAAAGAATGATCAAGGTCTCACGCCGCTTCGGTTTGCCATAGACCACAAAGGTCAAGATGCTTCGATCCTAAAGGCAATCCTGAGCTCCCGAAGAGTCGACGTCAATGCAACGGATGATCTGGGATGTACGCCGCTATTCTATGCCATAGACAGACGAGACGAATTAGCGATCGACACATTGCTCGAGTCTAATCAGATTGACTTCAACGCAATGGACAATCAGAGGCGCAGACCGCTGTTCTTCGCGATATTACAAGAAAGTCTAATTCAAGTGATGTGGTCTGTGGTCTTTGGAGAGACCAACGTCAACACCAGATCTGAGTCTAGCGTCAAGCTTTGCGCGGAAGCTTTTATTGAGAGACAAGCACCTATACTCAGGAAGTTACTCAAGAGCGGAAAAGTCGACCTCAACGCGAAAGATGACGAAAACCGCACGCCGCTACACTATGCGACTTCCTCCAGGTGTAATCATGTGGTTGAAGTACTGCTCGAGCATGCAAATGCGGAGGAAGCGAACGCAAAAGACGGTCATGGACGTTCGCCTTTGCAACATGCGATCGAACTGGGTGAAATGCCTATTATCAAAACGTTCCTCCATTGTGGCAAAGTAGACGCCAATGCGAAAGACGACCAGGGACGCACGCCGCTACGATACGCCGTTGAACACAGACAAGAATCTATCATTAGGGATTTACTTGACTTTACAGATTTCGGAACAAGCATCTGCGATGATGATAGACTTGATCATGACGTTCTTCAACATTTCCACGAGCGTACGTGTCAGATTGCCAAAGTGGACGCCAACGCACGAGATGAACAAGGACGTACGCCGCTGTTATATGCAATACAATCAGTGGACAGACCCACCGTACAGCTACTGCTTGAGTCTGGAAAAGTTGACGTGAACATGGGCGACAACCAAGCCCGCACGCCGCTGTCCTATGCGGTAGAACTCATGGACAAATATACCGTTAGGTCCATACTCGAGTACGACATCGAAGTTGACACCAAGGATGGCGAAGGTCGGACTCCGCTATCCTATGCTGCCTCGCACGAGGTCGCCAGGGCGCTACTCAAGACTAGCAAAGTTGACGTGAACTCGAAAGATAACCAGGGGAGAACGCCGTTGTGGTATGCCATGAGAGCTGGGAATCAGGAGCTCGAAAGATTGCTACGGAGACGTGGCGCACAGGATGCATCCGAGACAAAAAGCAAACGCACATCATCGCGAAGATTGCAGGGAAAAGGGTCAACGTCTAGGAGAATGGAAAGGTGATTTTGTAGAGGTGAGATATTCGGCGCTGTGAGAGTACTTTCTGTTCTACTAGGACAAGGCTATGTTGTTATCGGTGGATCAGGAACGCAACGACATGTTCACTTTGAGCTTGATATTCTGTTCTATTTCTCTAATCGGCCCTCAGTTGGCTATTTCGTTGAATCATCCTCCGGCGGCACCCTCGTCCGTATCTGCACGCCATGCCACTGCTTGACGAGATCTCCCAGCGCAGCATTCACAAGACGCTGCTGCTTCAACATATTGAGCCCCTTAAAAGCCGGCGAGGTGATGTCAATCGCATACATGCTCCCACAGCCACCCGATATATCCTGCACAAGAAGAGACGTAGGCTGGAGCTTCGAAGCCAGGATCGCCGCGATTGATGCTTCCGCCTCGGTCATGTCTGACGCTGCGTATGCATCCTGCTCGTTTCGTTGTTCATTGGAGGAAGACGGCGTTGAAAAGAGCTTGGCAGATGACGAGGAGAATTGGCGAGGAGTAGTCGAAGAGAGGAAGCTGATGCGCTGAGGAGCGGCTTGGGTTGTGTTGCTCTTGAGGGAGTTTGCGATGGGCGCAATTGCCGTGCTGGAGGGACGCGGAAGGGCTGTGAAGAGGCGCAGACGGAGCGCAGAGCGGCAGGAGGAGCAGATCATTGTTGCTCGTATCGCGATAATCTTTCGGTAGAGAGCTGGCAAGCAAGCAATATTGAGGGTGGATGATGGAGAGAAGTTGAAGCAATTAGAAACTGAGAATTATTCAGCGGCATGGAAGATGCCGATGGCGATGGGCCGAGCCGGAGCTTTGCCGGAGGCCGGCTTTTGCCGTGTTTCCAAGTTGCCGAATTTGGCAACTTTCGGGCTTCACACATTGGTGGAGATGAATTTGTATGAGCGACTGCGCATATGAGAATAGTAACTATATCTGTTGAAATGTTCATGAGTATTAGTTATTTTGGAGTATTTGGTGCTATGCCGCTCAACGCTCAAAAAATGACGAACCGCTAGATAACCAACATTCACAGCACTAATACGCGATACAAGCCATTCAACCATCACCTTACAATCCACATCCCCCCATTCCCATATGCCTTGTCCTGCAAAACCCCAACCTCGCTCCTCATGCCCGCCCAATGCAGCGGAATCTTATCCACCTGCGCCACCACCTTGCCCGTCGTGTCATCAAGCCTCTCCCCGAGACTGCGACTACTCTTGACGCTCTTCATCATGGCCACTGTGTCGTGTGGGCCCCATGCTGCGCGGCCGAGACTGGCGAGCGTGTTCATCACGTCTTGGGAGTGTTCGGCTGCGAGATGGTCTGGCGGAGTGTGGGGAGGGGAGGCCGGGTGCAGGAAGCCCATGAGGAGGACCTTGAGTTTGGCATCGATGAAGTGCGTTTCTTCAAAGTCGTGGATGATGTGAACCGAGACGCTGTTCTTCATGGCGACAGAGGGTGGAGCATGTCGAGAGGGAGCGATGGTGACGACGGCTTCGAGCCAGTCTGTCGGCAGCATGTCGTCCATTACTGCGATTGACTCGCCGTTGCTGTTCCTGGGCATCTGTATGCATGCCCAAGCCGCAAATACGCCTCCCATCCGCAACTTGACCTGATCCGACACACCACTCAGGTTCGCCGTCGGAATTCCCAGCTCTGCAGTTGACCTCCCTGTCCCTTGGACGACTTTACCATCGAACTTGACTGGAAATGGTGCCTCAGGGCCGCTTTCCGAACCAAGCATGTAAATCACCGGCGCATTCACCATCAGCGGGTCGTATCTCTCCTGCTGGCCCCTTTGCCGCTGCCAGCTCTCCTGGACGGCATCTCCCACGCCGGACACCTGGTAGCTCCGGACTGCCACGGTGCTGACCTTTTTGACGGTGGAGTTCGCCACGATGTTGCCGACCTGACTGTTGACCACTGCGCTCGCCACGCCAATGTACTTGTTCGCCATGGCCTGGCCTATGGTGCTGGCGACTTTGACGCCCATCTCCAGGGGCATGGTACTCAGGCTTGCGCCCCTGACGACACTGACGTCCGCAGACGTACTTGCGACCCTGAAGACAGGACTTCCGCAGAGCACTTTTTTGCCCGCCTCGCTCCCTCCACATAACACGAGGCGAAAGTACCCATCTGATGCAGTAGCCGGGATGCGAACAATGTGCGTCTCGCGGGGAACATGATTCCTTTGCCGTCCCGAAGCCTTCTTCGCGAAACGCTTGAGATCGCGCTGGACGCTGCGCTCGTCTGCTTCAGAGGTGTCGTTGACGGTGGCGAGGCGCGCGGGCGTGACGTTGATCCAGGACGAGGTCGTGCCGGCGAGGGCCTTGAGCGCCATACCCATGTTGCCCGAGTAGCCCTTTTGCTGCATCCAGAGGGTCCGCTGGGAGGGCAGCGGCTCGTCGGAGAGGATGGTGATGGAGACGGAGGTGGAGGGGCCCGAGTACCAGATGAGGGCGCGGGTGTGTCTGATGATGGAGTAGTGGCGGGTGGATTCGGAGGGGTGGGAGATGAGGCCCGAGGCGAAGTATTGGGCTTCGCCAAGGGCGGACTTCCAGATGGAGTCTTGGGGTTTTGGCGGTTCTGCGGGGAGGGTTGCGGCTTGTTGGGGGTGTGGTGAGAAGAGCGGTGATGGGGGGCTTGATGAGGAGGTTGGGGGCCTTCCAGTGGAGAGTGCGGATGAGCTTTGAGCGCGGCGGAGGGGGTCCGGAGACGGAGGGACGGAGAGGCCCGGATATGGCGGCGGAGGAGGGAGGTTCTCAGGGTCCATCATGCCGATGGGAGGAGGAAAGGCCTGGGTGGTGATCTCCGGGGAGCGAGCCATGGGGGGATCTACGGGATGAGGAGCCGTGAGATTCTGTTTGAGATTGGCGGCTGATCTACTGCCGGGTCTCAGCTGTTGGGTATGCGTGTTTGTCGCTGCTGCTTGAGAAGAAAGTGATGAATTTCCTGGCGAGGGCGGCTCGTCGCTGTACAAGTCGTAGATGTCTTGTTGGTGGTCGTATCCTGGCGCTAGGACGGGCCGCCGCCGTACAGGAACGGGCTTACGCGTGTGTCCAAAGCCAGGAGATGCCATGATTAATGACCAAGTAGACAAGACTTGTAGCACCTCATGTGCAGGGGGGGAAAGGGGCAAAATCGATCAATCGTCCTTGGCTGTCATAAGAAGTCGTGCATTGCGTCTGATGAGTCGCGATTGGATTCAATGAATCGGGATAGGAATGTATAGGAATGTGTATAATGGCTCTCCCGGAAAATAGACCGTCAAAGGGGCGCTTCTTTGTCCGGCACCAATTGGGCTCTGCCGATGGACAGGGGCAACAAAAAGTTTGCACAGTGTGTTTTCAAGGCTGTGATGGATGGCGGACTCGTATTGGTACGCGTCAGCGAAATTCGCACACCTCCTTCAGCTTGGGGCAATCTCGTATACGCGAGTTAGTGTGCACAGAGCGAGATTGAAAACATCATTGGGTCATTTCTTTCAATTTTTTTTTTTGGTTCAAATTCTTTTTCTTAGATTGGGCGCTTGGGCTTGGTTTGCTTGCGTCGTCTAGCTAGCCGCCATGAGAGCCTCCAGCTCGCCCGGCTCCTTGATTGCCGTGGTGAGGTTTTCGTAGCCCGTCTCGGTGACGAGAACGTTGTCCTCGATGCTGTGTTCAAATCAGAAGCTGTCATCTCAGCGCATTGGGAGGAGGAGATTAGCTTACCGGACACCGCCAACGTCCCAGTACTTGGCGAGCACATCGGCATCAATGTACTTGCTGTGTTCAGGGTTTTCCAGGTAGGGGTCGATGATGAACTTGCAAAAGTAGACCTGCAGAAATGTGAGATATAAATGCAACCATCAATATTCATCATAGACTTACACCAGGCTCGACAGTTACAACACCGCCAGCGGGGACCTGGCCGCGCAGACGCAGGTTCTGGAAGATGACGTCGGGATCCTGGCGGTTGGGGTTGCCGCCCGTGTCGTGGGTGTCCATGCCCAGGTAGTGGCCCAGGCCATGGGGGAAGAAGGCCTGGCTGGTCCTGGCCTTGAAGATCTCGTCCTTGTCGCCCTTGAGGATGCCCAGGGCCAACAGACCGTCGATGGCAATCTTGTGGGCCAGGATGTGGGCATCTTCCCAGTACATGCCGGCCTTGATGACGGCAATGCACTCCTGCTGCATCTTGTAGACGATGTCGTAGATCTCGCGACCCTCCTTGGTGAACTTGCCATTGAGGGGGAATGTCCGCGTCTAGGGATCGAGCGAAGTGGTTAGTTACTCTTCTACTTGCACCGACAATCAACTCAAGGAGCGTAAAGGGCATCACTCACGATGTCGGCTGCATAGTTGTTCCACTCGGCGCCGGCATCAATCAGCAGGTTCTGCTTTCCCGCCAAGGGAGCATCGTTTGCGACGTAGTGAAGGGTCGCCGCAGCGGTGCCGCTGGCAACAATGGGGTGGTATGCCATGTTCTTTGCGCCCTTGGCAACGCAGCGCTCCAGAAAGACGGCCTCGAGCTCCATCTCGTTGGACGCCTGCTTCGCCTTCTCGACGACGGCCTTGTGCGCCAGGCTGGAGACGTGGTTGGCCTTGCGGATCATGGCCACCTCGAACTCATCCTTGACGACGCGAGAGACTTCAATGGCCTCCTTGAGCAGGGCAAAGTCCTTGTTCTCGAAGCCGATGAAGGTGATGTGGTCCGACACCTGGCCGTTGATGGCGTAGATGGTCGAGCTGGAGGTGGCATTGGCCAGGTGGGCGAGCGTCGCGTTGACCTCGGTCGTCAGCTTGACCTCGTCGACGTCGTACAGCCTGAGGGCGTCGTCGATGGTGGTCGGCAGGCCGGACCAGATGACGTCGTGGGGGTCGATCGGGGGGATGAAGAGCGTCGACTTGGCGGCCTGGATGTCGTAGGTGAAGTAGCAGTCGGCGAGGTTGCAGCCGGTCAGGTAGTAGAAGTAGCGGCGCTGGCTGCGAGAGGGAGCATGGCTCAGTTAGCGGACTCCAGCTTCCAGGTCATTGCAGCCATCTTGCACTGTAGAGCATCTCACGTACCGGAAGGGCTCGGGCGAGTCATTGTCCTCGAGCAGCTTGGTCATGCGGCCCTCGAGATAGAGCACGCCGTTGGCGTTGGGGTCCTTCTTGCGGATCAGGTCGACGACGCGGCTGGCGTGCGACTTGCCCGGGTACTTGCCCTTGAGCACGGCTTCGAAGTCCTGGGCGACCATGGCGGCAGAGTATCGATGCGACAAGTGGGAGAAGCAGCGATACGAGAGGCGAGAAGCAGACGATGAAGCTGAAGAGCTGGAGCTGGAGCTTCGGTGATGGCGGTTATTATTATGGTGGGGGACTCTTTCGAGCGCTGGGCTGACGCGGGGCTCTCGGGGTACGTGCCGAGCTGTGCGGAGCGATAGCAGAGCTGGCCGATGCAGGGCTCGCAGAGGCGCAGCAGCGGACATGGAGAGGCACACGCAGTGGACTGTGTGGTTCTACAGGTAACCCGAACCTACCTAGTAAATACCTATTGCACAGGCTATGTATCGACAATCCGCAGATTTCAGTGTCCGCCAGATGGGGACTGCAACATGGAAGAGTCCCATCCCGAGGCTGCGTCCAGTGATAGGTCCCTACCTCTTATCGGAGTGGAGGGCAGGTACTTTTTGGTGCGCTAGAGACGGGGTGCAGCGGCAGTGGCGCCACAGCGATTGCCTCTACATGTACCTTACCGGACGACTAGTATACCTCGGTATGATGAAGCAAGCCCATGAGCGTTGTCAGCAAGAGCACCATCAGCTTTGACAAGAGTAGTCTGATATCCGCATATCCCAAGGGAATGACTGAACAGAGGTAGAGCTCGGCGCTCCATCAAGCTCTGTTCCGGCAACCACAACATGTGGAAGCCCTGGAAAAGCCCCCACGAACCACTGACGGCTATCCACAGCGGCTGTCAGCGGCTCAAGGTTGGGTGGTCCTCGACAACCAGGATCCATGACACTTGCGGTCACGAATCTGTCGGTGCAACTGAGACACGGAGCACCTCAACAAGACGACTGCCTAGGACCTGACAAACATGCATCTGCGGGACTCTGTGTCAGATAGTCACTCCTCCTGCGCCAGCTACCGGGTACAACTCGAGGTTGAAGTTGCCAAAGGGAACTTGTCGACATCCGGAACGTCAGACATACATGCCTTCCATTCCAGCGAACATAGGTATGCCCAGTCCTACACACATTGATGTCTCGCCGAGTGCCGGATGCTTTCCTATCTACCTTAGGTAGGTACCCAGAGCATCACCTCACTCAAGGGCACTTTGACGCGGGGCCGCTCTTGACCGACTGCAACCCGTCGACTTGTTCATCCGGGCGCTCAAGCTGCAGTCCAAAGGACGCGATTGCTGCATCCCGTGTAGGTACCCTAAAAGCCTGGAATTCGACGTTCTTGCGCTCATCCCTTGCTTCAAGCATTACTTTGCGTGCATGGCGTGTGCTTTTACGTTATACAGGTACAGGTAGGCAAGGCCCAGCCTCTTCCAGCTGCTCGGAGCGGATGAACATGAACGGCAACGATAAGGTACGTACCAAACCGTAATACTGCAGCAACGTGGGAAGGCACTCGTTGAGCAACTTGACAAGGACGTGTCTTCAGCTCTTTTCGCTCACCATAACCATTGAAACACCTCATATTGAAGTCTTGACACACAGACGCCATCCCCAGCAGTGAGGGATTCATTTCCCAAGGATATTTTCAGCAGCATCAGCTGACACCTCTCCCACTCCGCCAGGTACCTGCTCTCGCGAGAAGCGGTGCTGAAAATGCTGCCAGACCTCACCAAGTCCTCAACCCGCCAGGACTGAGACATATTCGACGCACACTCTGGTGCTGGCCAAAACGCCAGCCACTTGACCTCTCGCTATGACTTGCTCGCAGGGCAGTAGCCCAGGGCTGCCACCTCTCAATGATCACCTTCATCCAAGCCATCTCCTCCGCCATGGCGCGTGTCTGCTTCACCCTCCTACCCCTGCCACGGCTCTTAGTGAGCTGTCCGGCCTCAAATCACTTCAATAGGCCAAAGCAAGTCCTCCTTTACCGTGCCAAGCTATCGTCTTTTTGTCCGGATCTCATTGCTCATGGTGGGGATGAGTCGAGAGCACCCCATCACTTTGACCCCCGTGGCTCTAGTTCTTCTCCGAGGCTGCTTCAAGGAGGGTGTGTGCCAACATCGCACTTCAACAAGATGAAAGACACTGATCAATAGCGCCAAATCTGAGATACCCTATCATATCCGAAACAGCGATTACCACCATCCTCACCGTGGCTGCTCCGGACGCCGTCGTCTGCCGTAACGCCAGCGAGGTCCGCGCCATCTTGATGCCAGAAAATCGCTCAAGACAGAGGGAGCCACACGCGTCATGACACCTTTGACATGCCTCGGTGTGCCCATATCGCATGCACAGGACACGCACTCACATGTCGTGTTTCAGAGCACTGTGCAGGGAGACACTCCCTTACTTGGGACGACAGGACGCGTGCCTTAGCCCATGGCCCAGATTCTACGTCTCATTAAACACACATGGGCAGCAAAGGCGCATGTGACAAGGCACTTTCGAGACCAGGACGACATCTGCCACACCTGACGACCCGCGGGCACCATGCTCAATGTATCGACTAAGCCACCTCCCCCTGGGCCGATCCGCACTGGCATTCCGGGTACGTGGGACTTAGCGCAGGGGAACCCGGCGATGTGCGTCCTAGACAGATCAGCTAGGGCTCTGCCGAGATCGAAGAAGTGGGCATCCGGATGTGCGATCCAACAGACGCGCCAAAATGCCGGGCCCTCGTTCTGTGTAAACGACAAGGTTGAGATCATCGTCTGTTGCTTTCCATCTCGCTGTTCAACCATCGTTTTGACACCTCAACAGCCCGTGAATCCATTGGATACCGAAAAATGCTGCAAACCGATCTGGTACACCGCACCCCAGTATCTCACGGGACACCTGATCTGTTCAGGTTGCACCACTTGTTACACAACTCCCTTGCTGCCTCGTCATGCCAATAACATTAGCCCTGTGTGAAAATGGTTATGGATTATATACGAGGAGGCAAGAGAGAGGTAGGCAATAGGGGGAACCCAAGGACTGTGCGAGAGCAAGCTCTTGACCTCCGGGTTCATTTCGAAAGTCTTACGTGTATGTGCCAGACCCCGGGGAACGATCCGTCCACTGGTTCTGGGAGGTTCTCATCTGCCTGGGGTGACTCCCCAAGCCCTCCTCCCCAGTCATCAGCGGATCTTACTGTACCTACTCACAGCATGTCAGCACCTGAGGGATAGAATTCTATATCCGGATTGCCTAGGTACCCGTCATGGAGAGCCAATCAACAGGCCAGAAGCCATCATGGCTGCCACACAAGACAGTGTCTCGCAGCTGCCATGCCACGTTGTTCCAGGATTTCTTGCATATTCCTATATAGGCCATTTTCAACGTCGATCTCGCCAATAGCCAATCATCACGATCATAGACACGGCTGGATGGCCTCTACTATCCACTCAGCGAGACATGGCTGAGCGCCGCGCCTGGACAGGCTGAGACATAGCTTATTCACCACTCACTATTCAAAGCGCCATGCCCTCTGGAGAGAATCCTCCAGTCGATCGAGCGAGCCGACTTACTCTGAAGACATTGGTCTAGTGTCCCCTTTTGATCGTCAAGCGCGAGTGAGAGGTAGTCGTACGCTGCCTCAGCATCGGAATTACTCGTCCACTCAAGGCTGCGGCTTCTCTAGGCATCGTGCCAAGCAAAACAAATGAACGAGAACGAAGAGCATCAAAACTCGAGAACTCCCTTGCCTTTTCTAACCACGAACCGCAACTATCATCTCAGGTGCATTCACAATGCTGATACACCATGCACTTGTGTACCAGCGGCGAGGGGAAGACACGAGACTTCAAACGGAGCACGCCCTAGCACTCGACAAGGGTAATGGTCTCCCGTTTACTCTCACTTGTTATCACCGACTTCCACCAAGTACCGTCCGCATAGTGTCGCCGTCTTCTTTCTGATTGGGTGTGTGCGGGTGCGGTCTGTGGCTTGTGGTAGCGGTGCTGGTCCATAAACAAAGCGTGTGCGCACAGATCAACATTGGGCGCAGTTCGACGGCTGCCAGCGGGAACCGCAAGTCTTCTTTTCCCATTACTTCTCCCGCTTAGCCCCCAATTTGGCCGCTTCGCCCTTAGGATCTAGGTACCATAGGGCCGAGCGAGGGGGTGCGCAAGAGGGGTCGTTCAGATTAAGATGCCGCACGGAGGGCTCATTGTCCACACACCCCGGATCGAGAGCTGAACATGGTCAAGTCACTGAGCCGCCACAATCGAGACGGGACACACGACGCTATGAATTTTATGCAAAGTTGCCCAGCCCAAGGCACACACACCCATGGATTGATCATCTCCGTGCTTAGACTCGCCATGCTGCGTTATGCTATGTTGTGCCTTGCACGCCCCCTCCCTTGTACCAAGAACCGGGAACTAAGTTGGCTCCTCAGCCTCAATTCTCCAGGCACGGCTCAGCTCTTTAGCAGGGAAGCAATCTTCATTATCTTGACTTGTTAGGGCCGGACCGGCCCATTAGCCGTTGCAGGGACGGGCGGAGAAGATGGCTCGCTATAAACCATCACTATCCACCTTCGAGACTTGGACAGCAGACCAGAGGCCACACATAAAACAGGCACACAGGCGGGCAGGTGGATAACCTGTCGAACTGAAATCGCGCCCCGGAGTAAGGGGGTCTGGTAGTCGCCAGGGGAGTTGGAGGATGTGGAGAAGCACCGCCCACCACCATTCTTGATGCCTGTCAACTCTGTCATATGGACCGCAGTTGCTTGCTACGCCTGCTGCCTCCTGTCGAGAGGCAGCCGTCCGAGTCTTCCCAAGCTCCATCTGATTCGTTTATCTGTGTCTCTAGCGTCCGCCGCGGTCTGCAAGCCGACATCCAGATTGACCCCCGGTCGTTCGTCCTGTGGTCTGCAAACGCTGTGAGTTGATGGTCAGCCACGACCGCAAGACACCTCAGTACCCTGGCCTCAACAAATGGCTGATGTCACTTGTGCTCGGAATAGAAGTTGTGTATTACCTGGGAGATGCTCGCGGCCTGCCTTTGCCATGGCGAGGAGGTCAACTTCTTGTTTGTCGGCACAAACCTGGCTCAAATTAGGACGACCTTTTGTCTCTCATTCATTTGCAAACTTTTGAAGCTGTCAAGCCACAGCGGAAGCCATGATGGGAGAGTGGCCCAGAGGGAGAGCTCGTACTGCTTTCTCTGGAATATATAATGAGGTCCTTTCTCGCTCATCTGGTCGAGTAGCCATCACTCAGCACCTCAGACATCTTGCCATTACCACTCCTCTCAAAGACTCTTTGCTCATTTGATCCCCTCATCAAGTACCCGCCTTGCAGCACTCCCTCTCTCAACACTCCATCAAAGCAACAATGGCCAACATTCAGATCTTGACCCAGCCTGCTCAGGCCAACGCCAACCGAACCTTGTCCCCAGCCATCGAGCTTCATCAGCAGGTTGCCACAGAGCCAAACCTGTACTTTGCACACGCGGCGCTATATGACGCTGCAGGAACGGCCGTCTCGGGCGTTCTCCAGGGCGACGTGAGTGCCACCGGCACGCCGACGGACGGGGGCCTCAACTACTCCTTTGCCAATCTGAAGATCACGGCTCCTGGACAATACTATGTCCTGGTGAATATCTTTGAGCAAAGCAATGGCGCAAACTACCTGGGCGAGGCCAGGTCGAATCTCATCACCGTCGTTTAACTCCAGCAACAAGTAGGTTAAAGCTCTCTCCCACCTTCGACCCTTTTCTTCTCCCAAGTGAGGGGGGTACCGACGAGAATGCTGACATCTTTGCTCCAACAGTCACCGTCTCTGTCGGCGTTGCAGAGCTAGAGTGGGAGTCCGGTTAAAACTTCTTGTGTCGAGTACTATTCGGTACCCAAGGAAATAGATGGATTTGCATTTGCACCGCACGTCAGCTTTCAGAAAGTACCCGAGAGGGCCCGTTTCCTCTACCAGCGGAGTGTGGGCTCTAGGGGAAACAACACTGGTAAAATCTGGATTGAGTTATGCAAATAGGGACATGGGCTAGATTGAACACATGGCAACGGTAGCTTAATATTCTAGAAAGCATTGGCAACAGACTTGTTCTACGCTGATAAAACAAAACGTGTGCAATTGACATGTGATTTGCATCCCACGAACCTGGTAACTGGGCGGCATTTGACACATGCGTACTACCTCAGTAGTAGCAGATCAGATGCTGACTTCGATCGGGAAATGTGAGTGCCATTTCGTCGATCGGGAATCGCTTCTCCAGGCAGCCACTGACGCTCGCCACTTTGCCTCTTCTGATGATGAGAAGCGAGTCCAAGCAGGGTCTGTGGACAAGAAAAAGGTGCATGCCCTCTCGTCCATCAGGAATCAAGGCTCGGATCGCCGACTTCCCGTGCGCCTCCAGATGGATGCAACCTTGGAAGACAGGGGCAGGAGATGCAGGCAGACAGAAGTGTGGCTTGTATGGGAAGATGTTGAGACCGGGGTGGGTTCTGGGATGAAGGTGGTACAAACTTCTTTTTCTGTCTCTTTACGAGCGTCTGCCTTACGTATAGGTGGATAGGCTGTTTGAACCTTGCAAAGATGGCAGAAGCTGAGGGCTGAGATGGACATGGGATGATCAAGGCAGAATTGTTTAATAATGAATAAGGTATGTATGGTGGTCGCAAGAATAAACAGATTAGGTTACTCGTACGCGCCTGGTAGAGAGAGCTAGGCCGTTTAGATGCAGTAATTGGATGAATAGGGTATAACTGGATATTTATTTGTTTGCCTGTCTACCTTGGATATGTGATGCTGGCGGAGGCTTGGAAAGAGAGATGAGAAGGCAATCAAGTCGTCTAAGATGGCTGAATGTTTCTTGGGGAGATTCGTGAGATTTCGGGCAAGGGTCTTTGGTGGAGGCTGTGAGCGATCGTAGGAAGATACGAAGGGGGTTGCGCGAGTTGGCATTGGCAGATCGGAGAGATATGCGCGTGGGTACTGTAAGCGGATGTGGAGGACGTTCACGGGGAGGCTTCCGGAAGTGGATGAAGAGTGGCTAGATCGGACGAGATGGCCCGGAAGGAAAGATGGGGGGGGGGACCGGGTGATGCACGAGCTCGAGTTAGGTATGGAGGAGTGGTGATGTAAGTGGGAGGGAGGGGTGCGGATGTCAGCCAGGATACTCACTCATAGAAACACAGGTAGAGATGGACACGGAGAGACGGAATCAGACACGCAGAAAGTAGGGCATGATACGAAGATGTACATGGTGTAAGTGTAAGTAGGAAGAGGGGTGAGCATGATAGACAGGGTAGATAAAGAGTTGGAGCCCAAGGGATGGAACAACACTTGGCAGAACGAGCCAAAAATGGCACCTGGTACCCGACTCGTCGAGAAAGTACAGATTATCGCAAGGATCCAAGGAAGTGCAAGCAGAAAAAGCAAAAGAGGGTGGCAGGTTTGTCTTAGATGAGGTTCCAAGTCGACGGTGGTGATGCGGATCCAAGGCGTAGAGGAGGTCCGAAATATTTCGGCTTTGGCTGTGGTTGGCTGGATAGGGGATGATTCAGCACATGTTGACCTTGAACCAATATTCTGGTATCTTTTTTTGGGGGGGTTGTTGGACGTGCGACGAGAACGAGACGGGACGAGGCGGCATGAGATGAGATGAAAGAGGAGGGGTCTATTTCGAGTTGACTTAAGATGAAGGATTGCTTTCTATCTATTTTCAACGGTGTCATTGACGGTCTATAGCTTTGTTTGCTCGGCTTTTTGCTACATGAGGTGTACGATAGCGCTGAGATGCTATGGCCAGTGGTTTGGGCGGGCAGCGGGTAGCCGTCCGATTTGAGGGACCTATTCTGGGCTTCCCCGCCAGTGCTGAGAGTTTGCCGTTACACAAAGGGAAGAACAAGAGATCAATGATGAGATGAGATGGAAAGGGAGCAGAGAAAGAGGGGTAGTGAGTGTATGCAGCAGCAGAATATACGCACAAAAAAGGGGGACAAAACACTGTATGAGGGACGATGGCAGACAGAGAGAGAGGCCAGAAACGAGGCCATCGTGATCCGGCGGACTGTGTCTGTTCGCACTGTCCATCCTCTCAAACCGCAGGTCAGAAGAGGAAATGTGGGGTCACGTGTCTCAGTGTTCGCAGGGCCCGCTTTCTGCTCTGTCTCTCTTTTTCTGTGGCGGTTCATGTGCTTGATTTACTGGGCGAGAACAGCAAAAGACAGGGAGCTTCGGATGACGACGAGCTGCTTCTGTGGCGCTGAGCAGTGCTGAGCGAGAGCCGCAAGTCTGAGATTACCGAGAGACAGGAAAGTACTGCGATAGCAGGAAGCAAGGGAGAGAAGAAGAAGAGAGGGGTGAGAGACAGAGAAGATGGTGTACTACTTCACCTCGAACGTCGTGGAGCCGGCGGGCTTCATCTACGTCGGCAAGGACAAGTACGAGAGTGAGTGTCTCTGTTTCTTTGTCCGCGGAGATGCTCTTTTTGTCTTTTGTTACCTGGATCAACAACGTGACGATGTGAATCATTGGGCTATATGAGTTTCTGTTTCTAATTTCTCACGATGGATGTTGTTTAGATGAGGATCTGATCAAGTATGGCTGGGAGGAAGATGTTTGGTATGAGGCCCTCCTCCCTCCGTCTCTTTACTGTTCTCTTCTCGTCTCTCTTTCTATTCATTCCACCTACTAACCTTGTCCTTCTTTTGCCTTTTCTTTTCTAGGGTATGATGACTCCCCCCTCAGCAATCTCTCACAGCCGCCTCTTCCTCAGATGAGATTCCCCAGACGAAGACATGACCTGACATGAGACCAACTTCCGACCAGTTCCACGTCGACAAACTCTCCAGCGCACACATCTACCTGCGCATGCAGCCCGGCCAGACATGGGACAACCTGCCTGAGCAGCTCGTCATGGACCTGGCGCAGCTCACAAAGGCAAACTCTATAGAGGGTTCGTTCTCCTACTCAGCATCGTCCCTTCAGCCCTCACTATTAGTGGCTGCTTGCTGATGGCGCTGTTGACTAATGTTGCTAATGTTGTTCTTCTTACTTTGTGTCCAGGGAATAAAAAGGACAACGTCACCATCATCTACACGCCCTGGTCGAACCTCAAAAAGGACGGCAGCATGGATGTCGGACAAGTCAGCTTTCACGATCCGCGCAAGGCAAGCCCCCCCCCTACACACTTCTTATCCTCACCCTGGCTTTGCGAGACATCTTCCCCCTCGTGAGATTGCGCTGTAATGGCTGACCCAAGAATGTGCCGCGAACCAGGTCAAGCGCGTGCTCGTCCCTCATCGCGAAAACCCCATCGTCAACCGCCTCAACAAGACAAAAGTCGAAAGGAAGCCCGACCTCAAGGCCGAGAGGGACGATATGCTCAAGGAGCTCCGCAAGAAGGAGCAGGCTGCGCAGCTGATCAAGGTACGCCATGCAATCCATCAAATTGTCCGTTGGCCGTCCGGATGGGGCGGCTTTCTGTCTGGCTACGTTCGACGTCATACTACCCTTTTCCCCCTTCTCATCTAGGATCGGACTCGGTCAAACATGCCTTTTTCCTCATGCTAAATCAGATTTGATCAAGCAATCCCCTTTGCCTCGTATCACTTTCGATCGTGCACACACTCTTATGGCTGACTATTTGCGTCTCAGAAAAAAGAAGAACAGCGACAGGCCCAAGAGTGGAAGGAGAAGAAGTGGCAGAAGGACCATGCTTACGATGACCTTTTCACCGACGAGAACATGGCTGCCGCGAGCAACCAGGATCGAGCCGAGGACTGGGAAGACGACTTCATGTAGATGCGTCAAGAATGACAACTGTTGCATTGATATAACAAGCATATTCCACATCATAGCTTACTGCGTGATCTTCTGCCAAAAAGTAGGGTATACAAGAAGTGAAAAGAGAAAACATAACACTGCCGAATCGTCATGAACCCAAGACGCAAATCATCCCAATCTTTTACCCATTCACATCAATCCTACGCGTCCCGACCTTCATGCTCTCCATCTTCCTCGTCAGCCCCGGCATCTCCGCGACGTCCAGTATAATCGGACTGGAAGACGTGGCCGGCGTTGGAATCCTCTTCGGGCTCGACGGCTCGCCCACAAGCACCGGCGGCATGTCGTATTCCTCCTCCTCCTCCTCGCCCTCCTCTTCTTCCCCTTCCTCTTCTAAGGCGTCATCTTCTTCCACCCGTCTTGTGCTGTCAAGCTCTTCGGTATTGAGCATCACGACAGGCTCACCGCCGGGCAGCCGCACCTCAGTTGCTTCCAAAGTCTGCGCAATGTCGAGCAGCAAAACATCCATCGGGCACATGTACGCCACGTGCTTGCGCTGACTCCAGGCCAGTACATGTCCGCAGAGCTGCCCCTGGTATCGATCGACAATCCAGGCGCCGCTGTCTCCGGGGATACCGAGCGGGATGGAGGCCTTCGCCGCAGGTCCCGTTGCTGAAGGCGGGGTGCTGGCGATCTGATACGTATGACTTGGTGACTGGCGCCCGTAAATCTTGACACTTGTCAGGGCTGGTAGGATCTGCCCTGTCTGCGTGCCACTTGTCCGCGCGACACACTGCACCTCGAGGCCTGGAAGTGCCGCCCATGGTGCCACCGTGGTTGGGCGGAGTGGCGGCTGACTGTTCTTGCTCCTCTTGCGAGACTGCTGGTCCCCATCATCGAAAATCCTGGGGATGCAGTTGTCGTCTGGCAGGCGTCCATCGGCAAATTCGAACAGAGCCCAGTCGACTTCGTGGAGCAGGCCATTGGCTTGCTTGCGGCGGATACCACTCGAAGCATACACTTCGCCCAGGCTGAACGTGTCAAGATGGTCTTCGTCTTCCGTCTCGGCACATGGATAAAATCCCTCTTCGACGTCGTCGAGCGCAGGCTGGGTGACGATATAGCCGTCACCACACCCCGGCTCGATGCCTGGGATATCGCCCGGCTCATTGTACTCCTCGTCTTCCTCCTCATCTTCATCCTCAAAATCGCTGGTCAGGTCCGTCTCTGAGTAAGGCTCCGATTCGGTGTCAGAGAGTTCATAGGAAAAATCCTCGCTGTCGAAGCTGCCAAAGGCCGACTCGGGGAGCCACTCGCGGCCAGGAATGGCGCTGCTGCGCATTGTGTCCGGGAACCCGAAGTCTCGATCCGGGTCATCGAGCATGTGGTGCACAGTCATACCATAGGTCTTGTCGTCCACAATGACCAGGCCGCCAAAGCTGACGGGCGGCAGATGGCGATCACCTATCCACGCTCCAATGCTTGCGCCATTGTGTGGCCTCTCCTGATACTCTGGGTTCACGGCTTCGACATGGTCATCGTCGCTGTCATTGCCTGCATTGCCACCCGACCTGCTCCCCCGCGCCATGGATCTCTTGATGGCCCCTGCCTGTCTGCGTGACCGAATGACGCTTCCACGGCAGACCTTGAGGCCGAAGCCTGTAGAGTCGTCGAAGAGCTCACTGAGCTTCTTCTTCAGAATGGCCCGGACTTTGCCAACGGATGTGCAGACAACCAGGACGGTAGGTCTAGTCTGGTGAGGGCTTGGGCCCACAGACTCGAGCGATATCTCGACGGACTCTGGGTGCTTCCGATAGAATGACTTGAGAGCAATGTTGATCTGGGGCATGAGGATGGCATTCCACTTCTCCACCACATCGGGGGGTAGGGGTACGTGAGGGTATAGCCGGACCTTGGCTTCGGACTTGCTCTCCTTCGTTTCGGGCTCTGTGTCGCCTGGTTAGCCACTTCTTGTGTTTTTAGTTCGTTTTTGGGAGAACAAACCATTTGTCTCAGTGGTAGGTGCTGGAATATGAGTCGGGGCGGGTGGTGGAAGCGGCTTTTTGGCGGGTGCAGCAGGGGCAGCAGGCCCTGGCAATGTCTTTTTTGCTTTGCCGTCCTTCGAAGGCCCCGCTGTAGACAACGGGGCGGGTTCGATAGGTGACGACTCTTGGCCCAGTCTCTCCTCGAATCCGCTGACGCCATCCAGAATGCAGCAGGCTTCCAGGAAGCGAGTGACGCGCATCTGCACGGCGGAAAGCAACGACTCGCCCTTGAAATTTCCAGAAAGTTCGTCGTCGACAACCTTCCAACAGGCTTGGACTGCCTTCATGTACAGCGTACCACATCTGATGGCCAGCGTGTCCAGTATGCTCTCAGGAACGGTCGTGGGCGCTGCGGTGGGAGCGAGACTCTCCAGCTTTGTCCACAGGCCAATGGAGAGCAGCACCATGGCCAAGGAGTAGACCTCCAAGACTCGCTCGTCTGTCGACTTTGGGAGAGGCGATGTCTGGGCAGCACGAGGATCAAGAGGATGTCGCCATATTGAGGATTCGGGCGACTCTTCTTCCGTAAAGACATCGAACGATGACAACACAGGTCGACGAACGTCCACCTGGGCATTCTTATCGCCAGGATCTGCCGCAGCAGTTTTGCTGAAGGAAATATTGGCATCGCAGAGGTTGCCATGAGTGATTCCCCTGGCGTGCAGATCGAACACTGTGTTTGTCAGGTTGTAGGCAAATCGAAACTTTGCCTCGAGCGGAGGCTCAGAGCCACCTCGTGCAAGAAGATCGCTCAGCGTGGGCAAGCTATACTGGGGATTCTGGCTCACCCTGGTGGTAGCCAGGGTGTTGAACGAAGGAGGAAAGAGATATACCAGGCCCAGCCGGGAGTTCTCAAGGTCTTCAAAGTAACCGAGCAGACGAGGGAGACCCGTCCACGCACCAGGGGCTCTCTGGGGATCCTGCTGGAGGGCGGCCGACAGCTTCTCGAAACGAGCCATCGGGGGCATGATGCCTGTGGTCGAGTAGATGGGATCGAAGTTTGCGTACTCCAGCAGCAGAGGAGCCCATGGTTGACGAGTAGCCCCTTGCGTTGTGAGCTCAGAGTAGGCAGTCTTGCTCATGTAGACAACGTGTCGGCAAGACGCCGATATAGCACTCAGTCCATCTTGCAGCGGCTGCAGGTGCGTCAGACTTTTGGGGTCGATCTGCTGGGGAGTCTGCATGCGCGTCGACTCGAATGGTCTAAAATCTCCCTCGGAGGCGGCCGACTTGATAGCCAGCTTGGTCACTTGGCGAGTCGAGACCTCGGTTGAGCGCATTCGCGACAAGTCGTAGAGGGTGTCGATGGAAGCAGTGAGATCGCGAATGAGGTCTTCGAACCGCGTCTTATCCCACTGGACCAAGGGCGCCTTGCGATCTGGCGATGGTCGAACTCCCTCAACGACTCGCTTGTAGCTCATCCACAGGGGCTCGGCTTCAGCAAGGATGTCTTTGATAGTAGACATGATACTGCCGACAACCTCACTCAAGCCAGCCTTGGAAAGAGACTCATCGATCTCGGTAGACTGGTTGGGATCTGACCACTCCAGCCCCCAGCTGACAAAGCGGTCCTTTTGGATGCGCAGCTTGCGATAGAGCGCCTTGATCTCGGGGTCGTCCTCATGCTGGGCAGGCTCTTTGACGAAGTCGCCCGACTTTTTGGTGTCATTGTAGAGACGGCTCAGCCGGCGCTGAAACGGCAGCTGAAAGCCGCCCATTGGCAGAATGGAGTCCATCTTGCGCTGGGTGAGAAACGGGGAAAGGCTGAACTGCCGGTGCTCCCCTATCGTACTGCCTATATACAATGGCGATTTGCTGTTGCCTGAAGGAGGGCCCCTGTTTGGCAACTCGGAGCACTTGCTGTTATCAGGCGCCGGGACGGCACCTGGTTGGATCGGGGATATTCCGCAATACCCAAAGCGGATCTAATCTGGAATTTCGCCTGGCCGCGGTGCAGCTGCAGGGCGGATAAGAGACGGCAACGGTGATGATTCAAGCGCGACGCATCGCAGCGCCTGGCAGCGTCACCGATGGTCTTCTCGGGGCGGGTGAGGCGAGCTGTCCGATACTACTGACCGGCCTTAGATGCAGGCAACAACCCCAACTCGATACACCCTCGACGAGGGGGCAGAGTTGCAGTTTTGAGGAGCGCAAAAATGTGACAGCTCCTCAGCAGAATATATGGCCGGAGGAAGCCTCGGAAAATTCAAGCCAGGGAGAAAGAATTGCGAGCGATCATCAAGGCCCGCCGTGTGCCCTCGGGAGCTCAGAAACAGCCTGGCTGGGATGGAGATGACAGGCCAATGCGCGATGCCCCAGAGCTGGCGGTCGTTATCGAGGCGAAACTCGCTGCCTTGCGGTGGCACGGGCTCGATTCGAGACAGTGTCAGCCAGCCAGTGTCAAGTTTGTCAGTCCAGCATCAAGCCGAGCCTTTCAACCCTCGTCTCTGTCTCCCTCACACAGTCCCCGCAAGATCGGTGGGGGTGCTCAGGTAACCCCAGCAGCTGAACCGGCGAATCCCATCGTGCGAGAATCCTGCTGCCTGGCGCTGTTGGTGGCGCCGCCGGGAGCTGATTGGAGGGCTAGTGAGACCAGGGCTGATCTTGAAGGCTCGGTCTGGCGATGGATTTTGGAGACGGTTGGGTTTGAAGCTGGGAATTGGAAGCACGTGACTGAGATACTGGACTGCAATCAGGGCATCACATGACATTCACACGATCTTCCTGCAATGAGCAGCTCAAGCTCTTACAAAGAATCATCAACTCGATTCGCCATTAGATGTTTTATACCTGCTTACATACAGAGAACATTTTGCAACTATGATCTGAATATTACCCCTCAAGAAACCCTCTTACATCTACCCTACGCATACTTGATGGTGAAGGCAGGAGATTCGCTCACATCCCAGTCCTCCTTCTTCTTCTCGTTGCCGAAAATACGCAGAGCATGGAACACGGCCTTGTACGTTCCAGGGGGAGCAAACTTGTTGTCAGACAGCTCGCCGGTCCAAGCAATAGGGTTGGCGCCACGGCTGATCCAGAGGAGCGGTGATCCGGCAGGCTGGCCGATGGAGGTGGTGTCGAGGAACTTGACCGTCTTGAGCTTGGTGCCATGAGGAGGCGCGGACAGGAGGACGAGATCAACGCGGACATAACGAGAGCCAAGGGCAGGGCTGACGACGAGCGATGGGAGCTTGTCATCGGGGCCAGCGTTGCCCGGCGCGGGAATGGTGAAGACGGTGCCGTTCTCAACAGGGGCCAGGCTTTCATCGGTGGAATCGGCGATCCAGGAGTCCTCCGGATAGAGCACCTTCTGCTTGTGCAGGGAGCCGGTGAGGCCCTGGTACGGGACAGACAGACTGGTGCCATCCGTGCCGTTGACCGTGATGTAGCCCGACCAAAGCGCCAGGCGCTTGGCGTCGACGTCCCTGGGGGGAGTAGGGAAGACGTCGACAGTGATGGACCTGCCGGCGGGCAGGGTCACTTGCTGCAGATTAAACTTGAGATTGGCGTGAGCGGCAACGGCGTCGTTAGGAAAGGGAGCTGGATAGCCGTTACCGGGTGCCAGAGTGTAAAAGGTGTTGGTGGGGACGTGGTTGAGCTTGTAGGTGACCCTCTGCTTGCTGGTGTTCTTGAGGGTGATCTGCTTCTTCTTGATGAAGTGGTCAGTGTCGTTGAACGACAGGCTGGACGGTGACAGGAGAGTGGTCGCAAAGGCGGCATCGTAGGCCTGGATGAGGCCACCGCCCTGTTGGGGAACGGGGGCGAGGAAGTCGTAGAACTTCTCGCCGTCGTTGAACAGCTGGGGGTTCGCAGTCGTTGCCAACAAGTTGTCGATCAAGGCAGGGTCAAAGGTGCCACGAGCTTGTCCAATCAGAGCAACAGCAGCCGCCGTCAGGGGGCAGGCCATGGAGGTACCGGACAGGGTGGCATATCCTCCGAGAGCCACGGGGTACGTGGAGAGAATGTTGCCGCCGGGAGAGCTGATCTGAGGCTTGACGTCCAGCTCCCAGGTAGGGCCCCAGGTTGTGTAGCCGCTCAGAGCACCGCCAGTTGTCGGGTTGTCGCTGAACTGAATTTGCTTCTCGCTCTCGATCGGGTCAGTCAGTGTCAGGGTGACGGTCTTTCCATCCTTGAGGGCGGCAATCCAGGTAGCACCCGTCTTGTCATCGACCATGCCGACAGCCTCAATCTCGGGGACGGCGCTGACATCGACGGCCAGCGCACCGGGAATGTTGTTATAATAGAGCAGGTACTTGGCGCCCTTTGCAGCGACATTTTGGGCTTTCTGGACAAAGGTGCAGGTGCCACGGCGGACAAGGACAATGTAGTCAGAGAGGTCGGGAGTGCTGTCAGGGAGAGGCGAGCAGCCATCGTCGGGAATAGTAGTGTCGAACGACACAGCATACAGGGGCTTGCTCACGCCGTCCCACGCCTTGGAGGAGGAGACGTAGCCAAAGTCCTGGGCAGCGCCGCTGTCAATTTTGTAAGAGGCCACGGACAGCACTGAAGGGATGTTCTCGTTGTCGACGGAGGCGACAGCAATGACTTTCTTGCCATTGGCTGCCGTGCTGGCAAAGAAGAGACCAGAGTCGCCCTCGTTGCCGGCAGAGACCGTGCAGGGAACACCTGCCTCAACGATGCGGGTGACGGCAACGGCCCACGGCTCCTCAGCCCAGCCAGAGGGACCGCCAATGGAGGCAGTGATGATCTGGGCACCGTCCTCAAAGGCCTGGTTGTAAGCGGAAATCAGGACATCGTTACCGGCCTGGCCGTCGCAGCCAAAGACTCGATAAGCGCCGAGGGTGACATCGGGAGCGCCGCCAGTGAAGCCGTACGGATTCTCCTGCGCAGCAATGATACCAGCAACGTGAGAACCGTGGCCGGCGCAGTCGACGGGGTCATCATCGGGGACAGGCGTGTTAAAGCCGGTGTAGTCGTCACCGACCAAATCGGTGCCAAAGGAGACCAGACAGCCCCTACCAAAGCAGCCGCCGAGAGCAGGGTGGGTGTAGTCAATCTGGCCGTATGTGAGCGTCTACACGACTTGCTTGGGACAGTGGGCTTGTACTCACGCCTGTATCAATGACGGCAACCCTGACGCCCTTGCCCGTGTAGCCCTTGGCTCGCAGCTTGTCGATTTGGGTCATCTGGTGCGTGGGGAAGTCGCTCGAGTCGTTCGGGATCGGTGGCTTCTTGATCGCCCTGCTCTCCAGAGTAGGCGCCGTGCTGCCGGCAACCCACTCGACCTTGGGGTTGGGGGCGTCGATGAGGGTGACGGGCCACACGTTCTTGACAGCAGGCAGCTGGGCCATCTGCTGGGCCTTTGCCTCATGGTTGTCTAGGTCCTTGAGCTGGACGGAGACGCCCTTGAACAGCTTGTAGTCGAACTTCAGGCGCGTTGAGCCCTCGCCGTTGAGCTTCTTGTAGAAATCGGCCGTGTCCTGGATGGAGTCCCGTCAGCATTGCCACAGCTGGAGGCATGTCATCCGGTGCCAACGGCCGAGCGAGACTCACCTGTGAATCCTCGAATTCGAAGATGTACGCGCCGGGAACGATCTTTGACCCATGCCCGGAGACACGGGCAATGACTCCGGAGAAGGTCGCGAGCAGCGACACGAATAGGGCGGAGCGCACCATGGCTCACACTCTATCCCGCTTGTCTGACTGTGGGAGGGCTGTATGGACAGTGACACACAATGCTTTGCGCAACGACAAGACGAGATCAGACGAAACCAGACGAGACAATGACTGGCGCGCCAGACCGAAGCGCTGCTGCTGTTCTGCCAGGAATGTGTTCCAGCTGGTATCCAGGGCGGCGGGAGGCTGCCCAGTTTATGTACTTCCATCCCCCGAAGTCGGGGCGGTGGCCCTGCAGCTCAAGCTGCCAAGCCATTGATGGCTTATACAGAAGAGGGGAGTACCATCTTCGCTGCAACGATGTTGGAAGAGCCCTCTAGGGTGCGCTCCCATGCACCGCAGCGAACCGCATCGGGCAAGCCAAGGGATCTCAAAGCTCGCCGGTGGCCCTGCCGCTGTGGCGCCAGGGGTTCATCCTTCAAGGCCACTTTCGACCCATGTCTAGCTCCATGACAGCGGTAGTATGTACTTCATAGTGCTGTGCCACTGCAACTCTGCTTCCCGCCAAAAGCGTCCCATCTCCTCTCTCGCCTGGGCAGCTCCGAGAGTCAGGAAATTGAAGCACGCGATGTCTCTTCAATGCGGGGTCTGCACTCCCACACTGCTCTGTTAGCAATCCTCAAGCAATGTATCTTATGTACAGGCGGCAGAGGAGAGATCTCAATCGCCGCTTCATTTTCACCTCCCTCTTTAGGACTGTCGGCCGCGGACGACCCAACCTCTGGGTGCTCCTCGAGGCTTGAGCTGCCACGGCGATGAGGCGGAACAAAAGGGCACCGGCCGATGCGGAACGTTTGTGATGATATGTCCCGATCCTTCCATGTGTGAAGAATACCATTCCGTACCAGCCCAGTTATTCGTATTACTATCCATTTTTTGTGAAGCCATCGGAGCGTTGCGCTGCGAAACATATCAGACGCGGTGTTACGGAAAAGTCAAGCATACTTATGCCACGAGACCGCGCCATGAGACACGAGACAAGTGCACAGCATTTACGGGAGGCCACAGCCTCAGCATGATTCGCTTACCTGCATGCTATGTTCAGAGCCAGTGGGTGTTTGTCGCCTCATCATTCAGGTATTCGAGGCACTGTAAATGACCGCTTCGGCTTTCTGTCGCGCCCTTCTTGTGTCAATTGCACAACAAAGAATTGGCCAAAGGAAGCATCACTCCGAGATAGCAGCATCTGGCCTCGGCATGCTCCGTGAGGTTCTTGGCCAAGTGGGGAAAGCCATGGGCTGGTCTCCTGACGCTATCGTCCATCCTCCTCCTCGACGGAGCCTTTCCACCGGGCTTCGGCGAGCAAGTGTTGACGCGACGCTGCTGAGCGTTTGCATTGTTCGTTGCTCTGTTTGTCTGCACCACGGACGGGGATACTTACACAAGAGGAAGCTTTAGCAAACGATGCATGAAGCCGCGGGCAAAGCGCACTCCAGCTCAGGCTAGTTTCGAAGAGGCTGTCGGCTGATATGCAAGTCAAGGCTGTGTGCCTGGATAAGCTTGATTATTAGCTATCCATTGCCGGGAGGGCCGCTTCATACTCAGTAATACCTAATGAGCATCGCATCTCACGGCTCTGTTGCACCACCGTCCCTGCAACCGGCGCAAATCACTTGGCCAGCGTACCGCGAATACAACGCTCCCCTCAAGTGGTGTCACTCCAGGAATTGTGCCATTGAAGCTCCTCTATACAGGGCGGTGCTCAGTCCGTGAAAGCGGTTGCATGGAAGTGAGCAGCAGTGGTTCTTACATGGCTCATATTTCCAATGAACTGATCAGAATTGCAGGCTATAAGTCGGATCATAGCTAGTATTCTTGAATACAATAACAAACACTACCTAGGTCTCTAATATCTGTCAGCACACGTCAGTCATTACCTTACGATAGCGCAAGGATTGAACCTGAACCTCCCCAGCCTGTCTTGGCGAGATTCTGAGCTGTCTCTTCGCACAAATGATCCCTGCCAGGACCAAAGTTCCCTCATTAACAACCCGATACTCTACTCGTGGCTTGCTCGAGCAATCACCGGCTGACCGTTTTGCCATCGGGGAGGACTTTTGTATCCGGTCTTGGCTCATTTGGTAAGGTAGAAGGACGGAAGCAAAACGTGTGGCTTGCACTTTTGGGTCTTATTTTAACCTTGCCGCTGCGCCAAGATAGTGCCGTCTTAATATTATGGGGCAAAGGATCGCTGCTTCTGGGGCCTCAGCTTCCTTTCCTCCTTTTCCTCGAGGGAGATTGCATGAGTTGTAAGTAAATAGGATCACTGTGAAGTCATAGGTCCGCTTGTGTACTTTGATTAAGTACAGCATTTTTGGAAATGGCTACGAACAACGGTGAATGACAAATGTTGCGGTATCGATCAGGAGGGCGCAAGGAGTGACATGGGTAGAATTTGCAGATCACTTAAATCGTAAGGTAAGTGGCCAGGGATGCCGACTATCACTACCTACTGCTACCTAAGGGCTCGAATCCTCCTCATCCGCCTCGGTGAGGTTCATTGGCTCACATTGACAAGCGGACAAATGGACAAGCGGACAATACATTCCAGGCATCATCAGGTGTCACCCTCACTCCGGCTCTCTATCCAAGAACAGCACTTGAAGCACGGGCGTCCCATGGCAAAACCAAAGACATACTAAATACATCTACAGACTTCTCGCACACCTTGAGAATTGAGACAGGGAGATAAACCAACATCTGGACCTTCTCTGATGCTTGCGCAAGCAATTAATACTGTATCGCCGATATTGACACTGCCCCGGATTCGGCATTCAGAAAAAAGTCCCCTGCCCCCCCCTGGCTTGTTTATCTTAGCTTGTCCGATGGAGCAGAAGTCCCACAGCCCACAGATTGGAGTGCCAAGACGAGCGACAAAGATTCCTTGCTGGTTGTATTGGCGATGAACGACGATGGACTGATGAACGCTTGAAATGGCGAATGCTCTTGGCTTGTTGGTGAGCTTTGATTCGCTCTGAGTGAGACGGCTTGTTCGTGGCGGACTCAGTGTAACTAACATCTCCTCTTGAATAGCAGACAATTGTATCCCACCCAAGCGGTCTCTTCGCCTTTCGCCTTGAGTTGCGATATACACACCCGGCATTCATTTGTCGAGCCCATAGAACGATGTTGAGGGATATTATTTACTGTGTTATCCCCCCGTGTTCTTTCTATATATCAAGGCCTATCAATTTTTGCTTTGTGCATCCCAGACGCTGAGTTCAGTTAGATTAGTTGCGGCTGTGTGGTTTAAGAGGAGGATATGTCGACTTAAGGGTAGGCTCATGCGCCCGCCTCGTCAGTTTATGGCAGACGGAGGTCTTTTTGTATTAAACGTGTAGATTGTGAGGTCTCATGATGATCAATTTCCAAGTGTTTTGTACGCCGACAGTTTGTTGCCAATCCGTCCTTCTCAACTTCAGTCCCTGGGTTAGCTCCAATCCCTTTGCATGTCAGCCTTTTCATACCAGACTTCAGCCAGCATTTCACTAGACCCAACGTCATAAAAGTATATAGTCATTGCGTTGCAAGCTGAGTATCCAAGTGATATTCATGAACAGGTCTACATTTTCTTCCCCCTTAATTAGGACCCTGCCTTGTAGGATTCGGATGGTGGAGCTACCCAGACAATCAGAGAGACTCATGCAGGGCCACTGCAAGATATACGAGGGAAGGATCAAAACCATCGGGCGACTTTTGGGGCCTCCGGAGCATGGATACGAAGCTTTAGCGTTATAGAAAGGGGCCGAGCCAGCGAGCATGCCACGAGGGATCTATTCTGCTCCGGACATGTAGGGTAGACTCAAGGCGACGGTTTGCAGAATGACACAACTAGAGCTCATGTACCAGCAATACACACCATCATCTTTGGGTGTTTGAGAACCATATCAGTTACACTGATTTGACTGCCTTGAGACATTTGTGATGTTTCTGCAACGAACCATCCGTGTCCCTCTGCTAGGAACCCAAGCAAGAATAGCATGTGTTTTGACTTCGTGCTGTTACATAGCAGCCATGTCGATTCGATAATAACTGATAGAGACGACCTATGCCTCGGGATATGGAGCTTATACCGCTGGCCTACATTCACTCCTGATCAGTCTTGTCCCTCCATTCTCTACCACCAGAAGAACTTGCCATGCTCAAGCTCTTTGGTACATGACTCACGTGGTGTAGTTAGACAAGTAAACAGCCAATCCCGACGCACGAGAGCTTAGATCAACGGCCGAGAGAGTCTGTCCCAGTTGTGATTACGTCTATAATATTAACTACGGCATTCGTTCGAACATGTCTGTTGGACTTTCTGAGCAACTCTACAGGCTCTGGATCCCATTGCGGCTCACAGTGACTTCGGCGAGGATCCTGTTGACACCGTGATGCTTGCTTTTGGAACATATTGTATTAGGGAACTATCTCCTGCACAGCATTATGTGCGACTGCAGGGTCACAGTAGGTCACAGTAAATCTGACTAGAGTGCCGTCCATACATTGACAGTTGCGTCGGTCCCAAACAGCATATTGCACCTCTACCAGTGCTTCTCGGAAATGTCCACGGTATTTACATCAACTCCGTCCTTGAACCATCTCTCGTCATCACTGATCTTCACGTCGTTAGCACTCATCTGCCGCTTCCTCATCAACCCGTTCTCAGCAAAAGTCCAGTCCTCAAGCCCGTAGGTACGCCACCACTGTCCCGACTCGTCATACCACTCATACCAGAACTGCACCGCGATTTTGTGGTCGGTAAAGGCAAAGAGCTCCTTCCGCAGCCGGTAGCCATTCTCCCTACGCCATTTATCGGTGAGGAACTGCTTGATCTCGTCGCGGCCTGTCAGAAAGGTGCCGCGGTTCCGCCAGATTGAGTCTGGCGTGTATGCCATCTTGACTCCGTCAGGGTTTCTTTCGCGGGAATTGTCAGTAAACGCAGTGATTCTCAATAGTACGTTTCCAACGAACCTAGTGTTCCACGCATCCTGTGCAGCCTTTACTTTGATCTGAGCTGTCTCGGCCGTGAATGGCGGATATGGAGCTCGTCCCTCTTGCGCGGCCATTGTGAGATAGTATCCGTTGAAAAGGATGTTGACGAGAAAGATGGAGATGAGGTGCTCCTTCAAGACACCGCATATCTGTTACTCTCATCCATTTATACTGAACCAGCATGCTATTGAACGACTATATGGAACTAATTACCGACTATTCTTCTCGCTGAAATTTACCGTTTCCGTCCATCACGACTTACATCATAATCACTTTATTTGTGTCAGCGGCCGCGAAGCGGCACGGCGGTCGGCATGGCTGTCGGCACTTATACACAAAACTGCGCCATTTCCGCGGTATCCGCACAATGGCCTCACCCAGTGGCGTCTCAAGACAATTCCAACTGGAATCGAAAAGTCTAATCGACTGAGAGGTGATTGGATGCGATTCACGGAATTTATGCGTCATATATGGTGGATTCGAGGACTTTGGCAACTCGCAGCAATACTGAGTCCGGGCAACTTGGCTTTTTTAGGGATGCTTACGAGGTGGGAATGCCTGGGGTGCTGTTTGAGGCTGCCAGTCTGCATTCGGACTTTGTCATGCATAACCGTTGCCCGACTACATAGCAATTTGGTGATCAACCAATGAGAGATTTATCGAAGCAACAGCAATATCACAAGTAGTGGCGAGAAGGCATCAAAGCTCTAAAACCAACGTGTCGACCGAAACTAGCTCATGTCCACTATATAACAAATATGCGTTACAATGTCTCGAGGCCACGCACGATTGGTTTCATTCACCTCCCCCGGTTGCTGCCACAAAATTGCCCTCCTCAAGCAGTCAAAGTGCCAGCTTCAATGTTGTTGCCAACAGGGTCGTGGAAGAAAGTGGCGTAGTACTTGGGGTGAATGCCAGCCCGAATACCGGGAGCTCCATTGTCTTTTGCGCCGTTTGCGAGGGCCGAAGAATGTATAGCATCAACAGCGCTGGTATCTACATCAAACAATTAGCACCTGTATTATGCGCAAACCTCTTCTGAGGATTTTGTCATCATATATAGTCCTATACTTACCGGCAGCTTGAAAGGCAACGTGAGCATTGGAGGTCTTTTCGCCAGAAAGAAGGACGAACTCGGGTCCTGCTGTGCCAAAGCCAACCATGCCTTCAGGGAAACCAGGAAGCTTTTGGAGTCCCAGAGTCTTGAGGACGGTGGTGTAGAACGCGACAGTAGGCGCAAAGTCGGCCTTGGCGACGTGGAGGAGAACGTGTCCGATAGGCATCTTGAGACGTGGATGAGTGTGACTTGGAAAAAAAAAAGGATGTTGTAGACTTTGCTGGTGTGGTCTGTTGTTGAGGCTTTTTGTTGTGTCTGTTGTGTGAATTGTATCTCAATTCTGAAGAGGATGGCTTCAGGTCTTATATACACGATATCGACATCTTTCGATTCCAGCAACTCGAGGCAAAACAAGGCATCTCCTTAGTCAATATCCAACGAAATGACAAATCCAGAGTCCGCCTGCATTGCATGACTAGACATCTATTCAATGCCGACTCTTGTTCACTTCTGTTCGATGGCATCACCGGCTGCTAGTCGCCGGGCGTTGGAGGATCAAGAGCTGCGAAGGAGGAAGCGAGAAGGCCACCGACGCTAAGCCCTGCGTGGAAAGCAGTACCCTTGTCAGCTTCGGGAGAGACAAGCGGTTCTTGTTCTGCGGAACAAAGGCGGCATCGAGTTGCGGGCGCTAGACTTGTTGAGGGGATCAGTACCCCGGCAGAGGCTTGATGTCAGGTTGGAATAGAGTTGAGCTGCCTGACGATGAGGGAGTTTACACATGCCACTTGAGGAGATATTCATAAGCAGAGTCATGGAGATAGCCTATTCGTTGCGACTACAATGAGAAAAAGTGATAGGCGTGCCATTGATCGACGTTCCCTGCTAAGTACACGGTTCCAAAGCTTCACTTTGTCACAACTGGTCGAGGGGTCTTCCAACCCATTCTCTGGCACCAGTCCATGAACACCACACTCGGCAACATATGTGATCCAGTTGAAGGTCCATATTGTGTGCTTTCCATGAACCAATTCCGCCATCGCGCTGCTGTGGCAAGAGTCGTCCGCGCAACGCCGAGCTTGATTGCCATGAAAAGTTCTGCCTGGGATACAGTCGACAGCCCTTCCTTTTCAATGAGCTGTATCTTGGAAGCATAGTCCTCCGCCGTCTCCTCACAAGAGGCATTTCCTACCGGATCCAAGCTGAAGAGCAAACGGTTCAGAATGATGGACACTGCGTAACTGAAACCGAGCGCTTCGTGCTGTCTGTCTTTGTTTATACGCATGCTGGCGCAGTCCGCTGTCCCTGACCCAAAGTACTTCTCATGCCAAAGCAGAATGGACTGAAGCAGTTGATGCAGTCTGTTTTTGACATGCTCAACCACACAGTCTGAGGTGTCGCCTCTGGTGATGCAGACGATTTGAGAAATCTTCTGGAAATATTCGGGAATGCGGCATACGTTTGTCAAAAGAGAGACAATTGGCTCACTCCGATCGGAGAAGAGGCTGTCGGTTGTAGGTATGGAGAGCAATGCTGCCTGCCAAGCGTCTTCGCCCAAGAAGCAGTTCTGATTGGAGTTGATGGCTTCGTGGAACTAGATGTGTCTTGAGCAATCATATACCCCAAAGGTATTGTTAAGAAACAAGGCTTACTATTTGGCCGACGTGTGATAGCAGCAATGCTTTCTCAAAGTCGCTTTCACAACGGCCTGGGCCGCGGAGCTTTATCAATGCACTTGCTCCCACGGAATGATAGTTCCAGGAAACTTCAGTCGACATCCTCAACAACTGGAAATCTAATGAGCCGACGTAGCGAAGTGAAATGCTACAAAGTAAAGTTCTCACCTCATATACCCCAAGTAATGCCGTAGCACACAGCACATCAGGTCGGAGGCAGGCTTGTGAACTCTGTAGCTCAGCCTGAAGAGCCTTCAGGGCACTCGAATAAAGCTTGAGAATGCCGTACGACACCGGTTCAGAAGGAGAAGCAAGCCATTGCTGAACTCTAGCGGCCACACATGCGGCAGCCTTGTCCAAAGCGCTGTTATGGCCAAGTCGGCTCGGCAGATAGTTCAAATACGACCAATGCCGGTTGCCCAAGACCTCGGTCAGCATAGTGGGTTTGCTTGCCAGGCGGCTCGCTGTCGCGTAGTTGATGTGGAAGGATGTCAATTGAGACAAGTCGAGAAGATCAAAGTTGTATCGCATCCTCATCTTCTCGTAAGGACAGCTCGCGAGACTCGCCGGAATGACAGTCTTGACAGATACTCGGGCGGTCTTTCTTGCCGTACCACTACCTCTGCTGTCCTCATCTTGCAGCAGGTCAATGGGATACTGTATCAGGTTGTGTTGCCCATATCCGCCTCGCTTTCGCCTGTCATGGGCACATCTGCTCATGGCCTGTTTCCGGATCTGCTTGCGGGCATGCTTGTCATCGGGGACAAGCCGATTGGTCGCCGTTATGAAGACAAGTGAAAGAGGATTCGTCATGGTGTGTATGCGAGTGCCCTTGCTGAGAAAAGACAATCAATGGGGAGGTATTTTGTGCATTGTGATCCCACGGGTAGCCGTCAGACCTGAAGGAAATACTCGAGACGGCACTTCATCGTGATGCCTCGCCTGAAAGTGAGCTTGGCCTGTCCGACAACGGATGGCTTAGCGCATCACTCCATACGTGGTATGCGGCCAAAGTAGTCAACAGTGCATGAGTACCGACCAGGGTGCTCTGACAGGGGTGCTCAAGTCTTCTCACAGAGGCTCTCACGCCTCCCGCGCTCAATGCTGAAGCTTCGATACATGAATATCTGCTCCACAAGCCCTCGAGTGCCCCAGCCAGTACCCGTATGCTGTTGGCTACATACCCCGTCGACCATTGTATGTATAGTATGTAAGAGCTTGGAGAAAACCCGGGGAATTCGGTGGCGCTGATTGTGGGGTGATGGCCACAAGACGACAAGGGTACTGTTTCCCATATCAGGAAAGGCTGCTGAGGCTCTTGAACATGATGTAAGAGCTGAATGAAACGCCGATCTCCCAGCCCCGAGAATGCTTCCTTAGGGAAGTCGGATACGACGTTCAAACATCTGAGAAGTTGAAGTGAAGTACGCGTTACCAGTCTACCTCTATCCATTTCTATGTGATATGCGGTGCTCACCCATTTAGCAATACAGGATTACATATTTTCCTTCACTACCCAGTAGTTCCTTCATATATGTAGCTCACGGTTCCATGACATAATCCTCACTGTCAAGATCGATGTAGCTAGCCAGTATTGCAGCCATCGGCCTGTGATGTTAATTACGGATTGTGCACCAACTATACAGCACAGACGACACATTCTAGTCAGTCACTTTGATATAGTATATCCCCCCTCTCCCCTTTACATAACTCACTCTCACCCTGTCACCAAGCCTCTCAAAGATCCTCTTCTCGCAATTCATCCTGTAATCCAGCTTCGAGAGCAAAGGCTGCAATGCCGCCGCGAGACTGACACAGCTGTGGTCTCTCACCGTCACACTGGTCGCCACAACCGCCGCGATCACCGCTAGGAGCAGCTGCAATCCCACCGTCAAGCCCAATATCAAGTGCACAAAGACCCAGTGGCTAATATCTACTTTGATTCCCTTCAACGGAAGCATCCCCGGAGCATTGACATTGGTGTTCACCTGCGCTGTGATGGCTACAACGCCAACCGCAAACGCTGCCGTCAGCTGGCCCATACCAGTCGTGTTCCCCCCTTGAGTCGCTCCATAGTAGGACTCTGCTGGATAGCTCTGAAACTGAAAGTGTCTCGTGCTGTTTGTGCTGACTCCAATGGCCGAAGCGCCGTAGCCTTGGAGAGCAATTGCAGAGGCGGCAAGCGAGGTGACGTTGGTTCCGACCTCTTGTACCGGATCCTGGACATTGGTCACTGGCCCCACGGTGATGTTACAGCTGTAGAACCACGGATCCGTCTCCGATGCCTCAAACGCCAGGACATGTCCCCACGACGGCCCAGTGTCTCGATCGGGATTGACCATAAAAGTCGTCTGATCTGCCCCATTGAGAGCGGGAATCGTAAACTCGGTTCGATTCGTGTCCCCAATGATGATGGTGTGCTGATTTCCGTCACCCCCTTCCAGTACTCTCCACGCTTTGCACGTCCCTTTAGTCGATATAGATCGATTCGTGGCAACATTTTGGTAATAAGGCAGGTCGTCCGGCGTTGCCTCGTAGAATATGTACTGGCACGAGTTCTGATGGCAGTACATAAGATTGGCGTCTGTGTCCATGAGCTTGCCGGGCCTGGGGATTTCGTTTAATCCACCGTATCCGTAAGCGAGGGCAACGAGGCCGTAGCTGTACAGTTGAGTCAGTCACTGGTCTCATTTCTGCTCGTCTCTTCGTGTCTCGAGACGCACTTGTTCGCCGTATATCGCAGAGCACTTATCGCCTGGGAATTGGACGACAGCACCTTGTTCGTCTGAATGTGGCTCATATCTGGCACTGCCACCGTTCCGGGCTTTGTCACAGTCATATTGTCTGCCGGATTGATGTTATACGTGAGTCCAAGAGTCGCGACAGCTATTTGCGAGGCCTAAACATTTCTTTCACCGTCAGATATAGCCTCCGAGGAAATGAGCAAGGAAGAGAAACGAACCACATTGACCAAGACCCAGAACAATACATATAATCTCACCAAGTGCCGACGTGTCACGTAGCCCAGCTGAAATAGACTGCTAAAGTTTTCGCTCTGTAGGATACAGTCGGCCTATTGCCATTGAGCTCGTATCAGCATCACTGTTCCCTTATGCGCAGAACTGGGCGTAGTTCAGCTTCACTCACTTCTTTCGGCGTCCACTCATACCAGCTCAACATCCACCACCTCAACTCTCTCACCATGTGCTTCATCGAGCTCGCGATATTCAGTCCCAGCGCAATCGAAATCGCGATAATCAGAGTATTGAACTCCTTCTTCTTCTTGCTCACCATGGCCTCCTTCAGCGAATACTGCCACAGCACAAGATACGCGCCAACAACCAGCACCGCCGTCACAGCCCATCGTAGCACGCACGCGAGAAACAGACGCTTGAACTGGTTCCATCGCTTGAAATGCTCGCTCGAGAAGCTTTCGTTGCGCTGGACGTCGCTGGGCAAACTGTCGCTTCGCTGGCTCTGGAGCGTAGGGTGGTGCTTTGACGCTGGACCAGCTGTGCGCATCTTCCGATATGGGTTTCCTCGAACCGGAGCGTTCGCGACTCGTTGGCGGGAATCAGTTACATGTTCGTTTCGACGGGACTCGAGGAACTTGACGCTGTGAATGCGTATGCGTGACTATGGATCTTGAGCGGTTCACGACCTTCCGAATATTGCTGGGAGCATTTCGCTTCTAGTCGCAAGGCAAAGTAGTCGGGAAAATTCTCGAAACAACGAACCGCCCGATCAGAGCTGAAGCGTTAGAGTTCAAGTGGCACTTTTGCAGGTCGGAACTAGTCCCCGGTGGCAGCTGTCTAAAATATAAAGAGAGAGAAGAAGTCCAATATAGTGGCCGAGATTTCCCGTCATTCTGGTCATCTAAGGTAGGTAGGTAGTGGATGCCCTTGCTCCAGCTGCATCCTCAACTGAGACATGCGGACTATCTTCATCTCGTTTGGCAGTTCTCGTCACGCATGTGGAAAGAGGGCAACCTCGTGACAGTGTTTGTTGGAGCTCATGCTATATACCCAGATAAGCCTCATTCCGATCGCGATAGTTGTATGACTAGCTCAAAACCCTGAAAGGGGTAGAAGCGGCCTATTTCCGCGTCGATGAAGAGGGTCTCTCGACTCCTTTCCCAAACGCGATAGAAGCCGCACTGTCACGAGATAGATACGGGTGCCTCAACAGCTTTCAAATCAAGAGCCCCCAGTGCTAGCTGGCTGTCTTGGACATCTACAGTGGTAGTTGGCATCATTTGCTTCCTTCAATTACTACTGGAAAAAGACATGACCTAAACAGATCACACCTGCAAACTCGGTGAATATCCCTTCAGTTGGAGTTCGCACGGACCAGCAAGCCATCAGTTGAGCAACTCGGCAACTCCGTTATCATAGTTGCGTACACGGCATTTGGTACAACTTGCCTGACAGATGTGGCAGCCTCCATCAATCTTGACTTTAGTAAGGCATACATTTACGGAATGCATCTTCTTTGACTCACTCTTGGATCATAAGCTGTATTTGTCCAGATTGAACGTCAAAAATCCTCCAACGCTCTTCACCCGGGATAGCATTCGGACTTCAGACAGTTGTGGCATGACAAGCACAACATCAACAGGTTTGCAGAAAACAACTCAACTGCGCCCAGCATAACTATAATTTGATCTCATCTTCGCTCTAGTTAGTGCTACAAGATGGAAACCTCAATACGTGTCCCTTCAAAAACCCAAGCATGTCTGCAACGCCCCATCGACAACCCCCTGCCCGGATTCCAAGGGCACTTACAACTCAACCCACATGAAACATCGAGCCCAACCGTTGCGAAGGCAGGAATCAAGTACTTTGACCAGAAAGAAAGACACCTCCGGCTCACAGCAAAGCAGAACCCCGGGGGATTCTAACCATCCCCAGGACTTGGAACTCGCAGCTTGTTGAGACTGACATGCAGCGTCCTCGGGCCGCGGAGTAACTGAGGTGTATTTTTCCTCTTCTGCATCCTTCAAGCTGCATTCTTGGGCAGTTCACACAATGTGATGGACATCTCGCATATGCATTAGCACCCAGATATTGCACCCTGAAGACTTTTTCGTACCTCGTATACGGAAAGCAGAAAGCAGCTCGTCGTACTGTCCCGCCTCTGGAGACAGTCTGCAATGTCACCACGTCAAAGGAAGCCTGAATGGTATAAGTCAAATGTAGGTATCAACTCCGTAGACTTTACACGTAGCCCAGTAACTGCCTTAGCCTTGGCCATGGAAAGACTTCGGATCCCTGTTGACGATGCACGACTCTCAATCGAGAACTTATCGTCTCCACAACGCCATGGGTCCCTCCGTCTCTGCTCTCCACCATAGCTGCGTTTTCCCTTCTCCATCTCCATGCAGCTTGAGGAGGGCACGGAGCACGGGAAGAGCACAGACACGGGCCTGGCTCCGGTGCACCAGACCGGATAGCAGACAGCAGAGAGAGACACCCCGGCTGCGTCATCGCCACCACAAAAGCCCTCATCGCTTAGTTCTAGTCAAGTCAATGTCAATTCGTCTGCCGCCGTATACTAGCTCTTGCGCTTGTATCAGCACACTCTGACTTCCATCATGCCCTTCAAAATCCTCCACCTCCATTATCATCCCTCAATTCACACACGCCCCCCTGCTTCCACGACCCCATACGTCTAGTATACAACTCTCTCTACCGTTTCCTCCATCCACCCGCATCCCACGATGCACCTTGCAACACCCACCGTCCCCATTTCCATCCAGACCACACTCCCCTAGCTAAAACTACAACCAAGCTCAAATGCAACCTAATACCCCGTCCTCCGCACCGCAAAATAACATGACAATACCTAGTAGAACACCAAACGGTAAACCCCCCCCCCCCCCCCCCTTTCTCTATACCAGAAGCAAAAACCCCCCCTGGTCGTCAGGCACCAAGACATAAGCAAGCCTATAAAAACAACCACTCCCCTCTCAACACATGTTCCCTCTTTTCCCCGTTTTCTCATGCACATCCGCCCAAACAGATGCCACCAACGAATGCACGTTGCTTGCCATCGTTTTTTTTTTTTTTTTTTTTTTTTTTTTCTTCTCTTTCCATTTTTCCCCTTCTTCTCACCCTGCCCTCGCTTCTCATACGATTACGAGATAAAAGAACCGTCTCCATAGCACAATTTTCCCTCTCCCGTACAGTAGCGTAGAACGTGCCTTGCTCACGCAGCCGAGCGGATGCACATCGACGTGGACAAGGGAAATTGATACGCCCCTCCCCCCGCTGTGATGGTGATGGCGATGCTGCAAACCCGCGGCCGCATACTTCTGACATACAGCACGAGCACAAGCACAAGCATGGCAACACGAAACACAAAAAAGAACGCACGACGAGCATGGCAGCCCAATGACACTCATCCCTTTGTTATACTTTGTTCAACATGCTCCGTGATTATGCACGCACTTCGCCCCCCTCTCCACAAAGTCTTGCCGAGTTCTTCGCCGCCACAAGGTCAATTGGTCCCCTCAAACCGCTCGCCTGCTTGCGTGCTGGCTGACTGGCTGGCTGGCTATCGCTTTGCTGTATGATCATCTGTGCCTTCTGGATCCTTCGTCTTGCATTCTGAATAGCCAATGCCGGTTATACGGTCTTCCATTACGCATACGATGATGCTGTGGCTTCACCGTTTACCAATCTACATTCCATGGGTACCTTAGTGCTTCCAAAAGACCTAGAACGAAGGATTCTCTGTCCACGCCCAATCCTGTAGATGTACCTAGATCCAGCCTATCAATTGCTCCCCAAAGCCACCTTCGATTGCTTCTCTTAATCAATTGAGACACACCGTGACGACCGGGCTGTGCCATCGACGATAGACGAAACGGCTGCATCTGTCATGGCATTGACAGGCAACCACATGCAGTCATATGCAAACACCACAAGTCGCAGCACATTGCACACAAAGAACAGCAAGCGAGAAATCTAGGCATAACGTCTGTAATCTAGGCAATTTCATTTATGTCTGATCTCTTGCGTGTAGTAAGTTGTAGCAGCAGTTACTCTGGCAGTACCAGAGTGCCTGCAAGACCCAAATCGGAACAATCAATACCATTATCAACCCGACTTTTTCCTTTCCATTCTCCGCCTGCTCGTAAACAAGTAGCCCAATGCACCCTGGACCGAAAACCCCAACCCTTCGGCCGCTTTTCGGTCCATTCCCTGAAAAATACACAAATGAGAGCGTTGAAAAGTCGTGATCAATCCGCCCGGTCTTCTTGTTCATGACGGTCTGGAGCCGTGAGAGACGTATAGAAGAGCGTGACAAGAAGGAAACCCCGTGAGAGATGTAACACAGGAGATGAACCGTAGTGGTAGAGTGACTCCATCGCGAGACCTGTCATGAACCGAATCCAGCGCGCAGTATAAAGGAAACAGAGACAACCAAAACAGGAAAACAACATAGAAAGGCAAAAGACCAAACTTCCCATATGCCCTTGTGAGCGCCAAGCGAAACAAAGACAAACCCCGTCGTGTGTGGCCAAACTCCAAGAGATAATACTGACAAGAACCAGAAAAGCACCAGACATGAAGGACGAAGGAAAGACAACATGGACTAATACAACTCCCGCTCTTGCCTGTTGCTGCGAGCAACAAAGGAGAATCGACGGCTGCAAAGCGAACCCCAATATGTTTCAGGGCCCGTTGAATGAGAAAGTGTGACAAGACACATCATGTAAGAGCCTCGTAGTGTTAAACAGAGGACACCCGTGGTGGTGGGGGTTTGCTGGCCAAACCCAAAACAAGTGCATTTTTTTGTCGTGATCAAAAAATCGTCAGTGTTGATAAAAAAGAGAGGAAACAGGAAAACACAGTTAACCAAGAAAGATCCTGTATATAGCCGATGACCTCATCCGATAAACGCTTCCGTAGACGATCTAGCCCCGGATGGCAGTAGCGGTATGAGGCTCTCCGTGCCAGCGAAATCGTTGTTGAATCATCTGCTGTGCGAAGAAGGGGGCATCAGTTGGTGATGAAGAAAAGGACGGCGATGGCGATCTCATGTGCGTCATGGACTTGGGAGTAGACGTCTGCTCTCTGCTGATGAGGACAGAGGACATAGAGTCGAGAGGGGATGAGGGCGATGCCGCGAGATAGTCAGCGGTCAGAGGGCGGTCGAGCTTCATATCAATAGGTTGGTGTAGGCTGTGATGAGCCGCAGGACCAGTGTGGTGAAGGGGATGAACCGCCATGGTATCTGACGCAGGGCTGCCGCCCTCGTTCTCTTCGCTCTTGGTGGCTCCGTTCGTGGCCGCCGTGGAGGATTGCTTCGAACCAAACTGTGAAGAGGGAAAAGGCCAAATGTCAGCTACACTATACCACCCAATTTTTTTTTTCATCATGTTTTGCTCATTGTCCCCCGTTCCCCCCCTAGCCTTTCTCCTTCAAATCCTGTTGTGACGGCGGCAAATTCCTCGTACCAACAACTAGACTGCGGCGGGCGGCTGGGGCGGCTGGGGGACGCTGAAGTGATCTCCAGGGGTACGTACAAAGCAGTATTTACTGACGAGCTCTTCGTAGGAAGAGCTGGAAAGGCCGAGCCCAAGACCAACGTTGGGTGAGGGAGCAGCAGCGGCAGCGGCAGCGGCGGCCGAAGCAGCAGGTGCGACGGCAGGCTTGCTGGGCTCCGGAGCAGGCGGAGCGCTCGTCAGGGGCGGGCCAAAGGACATGGGCGTCGGGCTGTTGCGGACGTTCCTCTTCATATAGAGGGCGTCCTTGTCCTTAGCCGCGGAGTCCTTGGCCGCTTGCACGGCTGCGCTCAACGACGCTCCAAAGTCGTAGCGGTTAGCAAAAGCCAATCCGCTGGGGGCAGTCAGGCCCAGGCCCCTGCTGATGTTGTCACTGGCCAGGTTGCTGGCCGACTTGGTCTTGAGGCGGAGGCCGGGAGTGTTGGACTCGCCCAAGTAGTCGTTGATGTGCTGGTCGTCAAACTTAAACTTTGGTTTCTTATCAAAATCGTCAAACGAGAAAGGCATCTGTCCGGACCGGCCGGAACCCGCGGGCGTCTGCTTGCGGTTGCTGCGCGGCAAGTTGTTGCTGGCGGACCGTGACACAGCGCCCTGGAAGCTGTTCTTACCGTTCTGAGGCTTGAACTGCTTGCGGAAGTCGACCTGGAAGTTGGCCGAGTTGTTGCTGTCCCAGTACTCCTGGCCGTTGACGTTGTAGCGGATGCAGAAGTACAGCGTCTTCATCTCCAGGTTGATTGTGTCCGACAGCTTGATGGAGAAGGTGAAGCGGTCCTGGGGGACACGAGTGACCTGAGGGCGAATCTCATGGGTGAACTCGGCTGCCACTTCCGAAGTCGTCTTCCAATAGTCGAGCGTGAAACGGCAGACAACCGACTTCTGGTACGACAGGTTGGATACGGCCACCGAGCCCAACATCGACTTCTGGTCGGCGGATAGCCAGACCCTTTCCAGACGGACGGGTTGCTCGCGTCGCTGCGGCGAGTCCTGTGGGAAGTTGTTGGTGATGAGCTGCCACTCAAAAGGTGGCGATCGCGCCACGGTCCGCTTCTCGCCGCCAGGGAACGGATACTCTGCCTCGCTGTCGTAGTTTTCGACGGGAGACGAACCGGCGCTGACGGCAAGAGGTCGGTCGACCTGCAGGAAGTGGCGGATGTGCTCCAGGTGCGAGTCAAAGTGCACAGCCTTGGTGAACATGGGAGTGCCGGGCACACTTGAGGGCCGCTTGTGCCCTCGCAAAGCTGGCCTCACCAGCTCGCCCGACTTCTTTCGCACCATGGGCGGCTTCGGCCTCATGTCGTCTTCCGAGTCCTCCGAGACGGTCTGAGAGTTCTCGGCAGAGGTCATGATAGCGGAGACGTTGGGATCCGTAGCTGACCGGACGTGGCCCCGTCGCCCAGTCGCCTTGGGCAGATCGCTCAGGCTCATGGCGCTGAAGCTGGTGTGCACGATGCTTCGAGGAGTCTCATCGTCGGGGATGAGTCTCGACTCTTTGCTCGGCGGCGACGGCGTTCGGGGCTGGGGGATCTGGCTGACGGCGTCCCTGAGCTTCCCCAGTTTGCGCCCCCGGATCTCCGGACGGCTGTCATCTTCGCTATCCGACGATGCCGAGTCGGGCGGCGAGATGATGGCTGCATTAGGAATCCCGCGGTCGTCCGTCACCGGCGGCGGCGACTTGCGCAGGCTAGCACTCACGGCAGGGGCCGCACCGGCATTCTTGACCTCGTCGGAGGAGCCATAGGGCGGAGACGGCGTCGAGTGAGCCTCCGTGGACGGGGGTGCAGACGGTGTTCGGCGGTTCTTGCTGAGATACGAGGCAGACCGAGGCAGCGACGGCTTCGGGCCGGATGTGATTGATGAACGCCGACTCACATCGGGAGAGACGGTCGCTGAGGAGGCGGGAGATCGGTGGGAGGGAGGCGTGTAAGGCATTCCCAGAGACTTTGCTGGGGTACTGCTCAAGTAAGAGAGATGAATAAAGATAACGTGATCTCGGTAGCAAGATGAGAGATGCTGCAAATGATTCTTCGACGGCTTAGACAGAGGAAAAATTGGGCCGTTGCTAAGAGCTGATGATTCGCACTCTTTTTTTCTCGTTTATATCATAGGACGGGTAAACAGGGGCCAGGGGTGGTTGTCGGGCCTCAAGGTGACCGACGAGATGGAAACAAGAGTGGCGACAGGGAAGCTAGTATCTAGGTGGGATGATCTGGAAGCCGGGAAAGTACGCTGTCAGCACGTGTTGGTCGAGAGCACAGATTTGGAGTCGGTGTTTTTGAGGTGGTAGACAGGGGGTTGCGATGCAGTGGAGGGGGGACAACGCATGACTTTCAGGCGACCAGAGTGTTATCCATAAGCAAGGACGTGGAGCGGCGATTGTTTATGAGGCAGAGGGTTCATCTAGGCACTGGCGGAAATGAAGAGACGGTGTGTGGAAGAGTGGTGAGATGGAGCTTGTCGAGATGGAAAACACAAGAGACACGAAAACAAGGTTTGCATGTCCAATCCTTCCACTGCCATGGCTGGGGCAATGCTGGAAAGTAAAGTCAATGGCGCCACTTACAGCAAGTAAAAGTCTCCGAAGTGCACAGGAAGCAACGACACGGTCTCAGACTCGGGCAATATTCCAGCAAACCGAGCAGAGGACTGTGAGGTGCAAATCTGTGGAAGCTCAAGAGCTCGGGATGCGGAGAGTCGAGTGGTTCAGAATCGCCAGACGGGGGTTGAGCCTGACGAGTTGATATGGGCCGGCTCGGTTTCCAACGGTGTCAGAGTCGGACGGAGAAGGATGAGAGACACGGAGCGAAAACAATCCTTGCACGATGACGCAGCAAAGACGTGGTTGAAGCTCGAGGCGGGTTGTGCAGTGGCTCGAGAAGAAGGGAGAAGAAAATTGACGATGCACGGCAAAAACGGCGATGATGGCGGAGGAGAAATCGACGACGGCACGGAAATGACGGAGAGGAGGTCTGTTGTCTGGTCTGGTCCTCTGAGCTCTGATTCCACTGACTGGAGGCGGGCAGGACGTCGTGGACTAGGCTGGTAAGGCGAGGATGGGAGTTGAGAAACCCTTTGGCAGGAGATGGGAGAAAGGAGGAAGGAGAAGGAAGAGAGGAAGAGGCGGCTCAGTTGGTGATGCCGATGAAGATGAGGAGAATGGGAGGAGATAGGGAAGTCGAAGACGGAGGAGGTGGGGAGAGGCTGTTTTTGGCTGCGTGAGACGGGCGATACGTACCGCTTGAGCTGCGCTCTGAGGTCGTACCAAGGCAACGCAAGCGCAGCAAGTACCGGCGCCCAAATGGGGACCCAGAGGCGAATAATGGCGTAAAAAAGGAAAAGGAAAAATTCAACAGGCTAGAGCAGCGCCATCGTACAGGTACCTGCTAGTGGAAGGCTCGGGTCCGGATCCAGGTTGCTGTACTTGGGTCTTGGGTGTATTGCAGGCCAGTCCGCTGCACTGAGACCTTGTCGACCTGCCCTGCTCTAGGCTGCATGAGGATGGGGGATTGCAAAACTTGGCTGGTTGAAACTAGCGGCAGAAGAGACAGGGGGTGAGAGAGGGTGCAAAGTCGAGTTGAGTCTCCATCTCGAATTCTTGTCATCTCGCCGCCGTCCTTGGCCGGCTGTACGAAGCAAATGGGCGGGTATAAACCAAACCCTTGTCCCGCCCCAGCACCGCCTTACTGACAATCACAATTCCCATGGAGAACACCTCTAGACGAGTACATACATGCTAAGGCACCGCAGTTCCGTCCTCCGTCTCGTTCAAAGACGCACTACTGCCTCCCCAACCAGCCGGCCAAGCCAGCCAGAGGAGAATGAGTCTCCAGAGGGCTGCTGCCACACTGGTTCGATGGCTTGAGATGGTGGGCCGCCGTCGATCGGCTTGGAGGGGGGGCCTGTCCTTAGCCCCAGCAACTTTCATCCCTGAGAGAGGGGCCTAGAGATAGGCGGCCAACAGGGGAGGGGAGTGGACGAGGACGACAAATGGGCGAGCCGAAGCAACAGCTCAACCGCCTACCTGAACCCCGGCAAGCAAAGACGACCACCAACAAACACTCAGCAGCCCCATCGCGGTGCCTAGTGTTGGTGCAGAAAAAAAAGTTTTGTGTGTGTGTGTGTGTGTGTGTGTGTGTGTGTGTGTGTGCCTGTAGATGGATGTACAGTAGCATCCAGCGGCCCAAGGTCGAGGTCAGGAAGCCATGCGTCGTCTTGTCTCGAGTCTAGCACAGCTCGTGCAATCTTGTAGGTACATTGAACGGATGGGTCTGAAGGGGGAGGTTCCTTTGGATCTCCAAGCTGCACGGGTCTCCTGTACTAGCTCCATCTCTCCCATCTCGACTGGCAATGGAGCAACTCGCACTTGTTGTGCTGTGGTTTCCATTATTGCAGGACATGTATGATATGAAGACGCCCCCCCTTTTTCCCCATGCCGCCCCTCACTCTCGAGCGAATCCGATATCAACATGCATCAAATAATATCTTGTAACAGGGCGGCAAATGGATGGCAGATAATGGACGACGAAGCAGCTGAGCCACTGGAAGAGGCGAAAAAAGAAGAAAACGAGACAGATGGAAAAGAAAGAGAAAGAAAAAAAGAAAAGAGAAAAGAGAGCCCAGAATGCACGCACACATGCACCACACGCACTGACAAAACAGACGAGCTCCGTTATCCTCGTACACAGGCGAGCAAAGGCGTGCGCCAAAGTCTCACAGTGCGGTGCAGCGTTGCATCCTTTTCCCCTCCCGCAGCCGGGTGCCGGAGAGAGAGGGGGAGTTGGGATTTTGGGCTTGTAAAGATGACAGATGAGGTCGTCCGGCAGCCAGCGAAAAAGAGCTCAGCAGAAGCAATGCAGCCTGATGCAACAACAAGGTGGAAACAACACTCCTACTTCTACCTCATCATTGATTTTCGTGCCAGTAGAGTCTGCTGCTGCGGCGTCGAGGTCGCGCGTCTCTGGATGCCCGCCCATGTTTGCGGAGTAGGCCGGCAGCCCGCGTCCAAAGCGCCGTTCTGCAGCTGCTGCTAGCCACCCAAACTTGACATACGCGCCGCTCTACACGGGCACCTTTTTGGCTTGCCCTGCAGTGTCTGATATCCTCGCTCATGTGTCGTCTCGTCTCAATGCACATCTACAGGCCATGTATGTACTCCATACAAGGCCAGTGCAATGTGTGTACATGGTAGCGGGCACGCCTCTGTACCGGTACAAGCACGAGAAAGCGTTAGCAGCAGCATTTCAATCCGCCTGTGCTAATGCAGACAACCTGCGCACCCCGTGCCATCGCCATCCTGCCCAAGACAAGGTGAGGAGGCTAGCAATATGGACATGCCATGGCCAGTTCGAGCAGACATGGATTACATGTAATAATCAATGGAGGAACTCCGTCCCTTCGGACACGGAGCAACCGGTATGTATGCGGTTGGGAAAGCCCTCTGTCGGGGCTGCAGGCTTCACAGTATTACACCAGAAGGGTGAGAAAGCCGCCCCCAAGATAGATTGACAGAACTCCTGTTGATGAATCACACGGCGGCAAGAGGCGAATGATAACGAATGCAGTGTTACATACCTGTGCCAAAGAGATGATGGCGGAGATGGAGGACAATGGGGAGAGAGTACGGAAGAGGACGAACTACTCATTCGTCAAAGCGCCGGTGGGGGATCCAGCCAGCGGCATCTACGGGCGTTTGCGAGTTACCGGAGAGGGCAGCACTTTGTTTTCGATCTTGTCCCGTCTGGTCATATTAGGTCTACTCTACCATAAGCACGAGAACCGCGATTGACAATTGCAAAGGCTGGTGTGTCATCAACATGGCTGGTAAAAAGACACCGTCACCTTTTTTTAGAACAACTTTTTTTCGATGTCTCTCGTCTCTGTGTCTGCCCCTCCGCTCAGATAAGCGGCCGCCGAGACACTCAGGTAAGGGAAGAGAGAAAAAGGGCGAAGAAAAAGAGGCGTCAAACCCAAAGTGGAAGTGCCGCTTGTGGCGTCGCCTGATAACAATGCACCCTTGATTAGTAGGGTCATGAATAGTACGAGGACGTGATTGTGGCCTTCTTTTGAATCACGTCTTTTATCGTCGGGCTGCGTGCCGATTGTGCAAGTCCCGTGGGCTGATATCGATGTCACATGGATCGAGCGTCGTCCACGATATGATGCACGCCCACAGCACCAAAGCAATAGCGCAGTTTACTGGCAGCAATCTCAGCATCTCATCTCATCTGCCATCGTCCTCGCTTGATCTTGGATTGCGTCAGCCACGAACGCATATCCGTCTTTTCTTTTTCGCTTCGCACAAGAAGCAGCAAGAAGTCTGAGTATGACAAGAGGCCGGTAGTAGTCATACAGTAAGGTTGTGATTCAACTCGCCTACTTTTCTGTCCAGCGCCTGACCTGATTGCACAAAAAGGTACACCTTACTCAATTCAGTAGGGATTTGCAGCATAAACGCAGTCAAGATACCTCACCAAGCCACGCCCGCGCGCGACCCCCTGCACTCAATGTACCGTACTAGCCGGGGTCAGGAGCTTGCCCTCTGTAGGCATGGTTGCCAAGGAATTGGATGAAAATCGAGCAAATCAGCCTGACAGACTGTACAGGAAAAATATGTCTATATAGCTTGTCAGGCGCAGTACAGATTATCAGCCTACTTTCTAAGAGATGTTAAATGCAATCTCTATTACCTGCTAAAGCATGCAATTCCTCTGCTGCCTCTAAGATACTAATGTATACCCTGATCCTACCCTTAAAAGCATGCTCTTGCTCTTTAGCTTGCTGAATTGCTATTTATAATAATATAGGGTACTAGAAGTCTGTGTATATATTATAGGTGAAGCCTGGGTCCAGCCAGGTTGCAGGGATCCGGAAAGATACATAGTCCCTTGGCCCACAGGAAGATGTACCCCAAGTAGGCGACTGACTGGAAAAGTAGGCGAGTTGAATCACAACCTAAGGTAATCATTAGTCAGTCATACGAGGACTCGGGTCAGTTCATACGCCCCAGCTAGGAACATTAGCTTCCTAGCTTCTTAGCTACTTCTCCCAATCTCCAGTCTCCCTCCTAGCCACGCGGATAGCCGGTCAAGCCGGATATGGCCATGGAGACGACGACTCGAGGCTGTCGGTTCACCTTAGTGGGTGATTCGTTCTTGCGAGCATGTCACCAGTACTGAGAAGAATTACGAGCTGCCTCGGGCGAGACGCTGCCCTGTTAGGGCTCCCAGGCCTCCAGGCCGTGCTTACAGCCGGGGGACGATGCTGTGACTCGTCTGCAATGTACAACTACGTGCAGAGTCCGAGGACCATTACGCCCATCGCTCGGATTGTTCAATGCTTGTCGAGTAGCTCGAGCTTATTAGGGGTTCTCGCTTGTTACCGTAGCAGCATATTGTGTGTACAGTATGTTGGAAAGGCATGTGCGGGTATCGTGTTATATGCCCATGCGGGTGATTTCCGTGCAGAGGCGTGTCTAATTTTCGTACTTCGTACTCGCATGGAGAAGCACCAAGGCGGGCTTTGACTCAGGTACCTAACAAGCATCAATAGAGCCTACACGACAGATGTAGTATGTGCAAATTTTATGGCAGACTCGAGCCCTTGTTGGCTCACAGGCCTGCCAAATAGCATTGAAGGGGGCGACTGGGGGAGCAAGAGGCGTTCAAGGTATTTTTCTTGCTTGCAGCCTTGCACTGCAGGCTCCGTGCATCGCTCGTCACTTCGCACAAGTATTGCTACCTCCGCTCCTGGCAGCTTGTACTTGTAGCTGTCCTCGAATAGGTACCTCACGCTTCATCTCCTAGGCCCTCTTTTTCTCCCAATTGATTCCCTGCCCTGTGCTGCGAAGCGCTGCCGCAGAACGGCGAAGCAAAGAGAGAGGGTAACCAGAGCGAAAATTAAACCAAAAAA